TCTCTGTGTGGATAGTTTTCGATTAATTTGTATTAATTTTCGAGCAGATATTAACATTATCATTGTTCGAACCAACTCTTTCAAATCAGACTTACCTTGTATCCATGGACTTGGTTTTAGAGTAGTGATAAAGTTAAACGACTTTCACTTTCCTCGAACTTGAAACAATCGTAGCCTAGATTAAAACATTTTTACCCTCGGGCCCTTCTCAAGCTATTAAAGATGTTCCTAGAATTTTTGATCGACCATTCACAGTGAACAATTGAGTGTTTTTGAATGATAGAATTAGCTGAAGTGAAGACAAAGTGCTTATAGCTGTTGTGAAACGAATGTGATTACTAAAGTAAGAATTGAATTTCTTGATTTCTAGAAAAATAATTATTTTATTAAGGTTTTGAGTCGTGTCGTAAAAATGGAGGAAAGAAATTTGCTAAAGCATTCATTTCCAGCATCAATGATATGTAAAGAACACCTGTTTCACGAACATGAATAGCTATATTGATGGTTTTTTGGTGTTTCAGTTGAATTAGTTTAGCGTATAACTTCAACGTCTTTTCAAACTTCTAGTAAAGCCAACACCTAACTAACTTAACTTAAATTTGAATAGTTTTGCAACCAAAAAAAAACAAAATGTATATGATTATTTTCAATTTAACACAAATTCAAACTTTCAAAATTCTGAATCTGAGAGGTTTACTGTACCTTAAATCTTAATCAAATCAGATCCCAGGGGTCACTTGTACCTTTAATCTAGATCAAAACAAACTAAAGGTTAGATCTGGTCAAATCACAATACATGCAGTATCTTGATACACCATATCTTCAGATCTGAACACAACATTACACCAATACATACAGGATCTTGCTATGCCATACCAAAGATATAACTCCAACATTACCGCAATAGTTAAATCCATTCGAGATCCCGTTGGATCTTGATTTCAGATCTGAAACACTTCCAAACTGCCATAGTTTACGTCTTGAAATAATTGCGAAATATACAAGAATTAAGCGTGAAGAAGTCAATGGAAAACATGTCTAAATCTTTTTAGAAGAAATATGTTAATTATCTTGGATCAAAATTGGGCCCATATTTGACGTTTCTGAGCTGAACTAGGTCAAGAAAAGTGTTTATACCGGTCGTTTAGTCATACTTGGCAATGTTATAAATTCTAACAATTAAAAGCTTGAGCACAATCTTGAGTGTAATTAATGTTTCAGTAGCTAATCTGTCTCACTATACATGAAAATTATTTCCAGAACAACACAAGTAAGCTGAAAAATGTTTTATTAATTCATATAAAAACTGTACCTTCGTGTATAAGTTGTGAAAAAAGTCAAATTAAATCAACCTCAAACCATCTATTTTGACTATCTTAAAGCTTGAGTCTCTGGTTATTTATATCAATTGCTCTTCATTCGCCAATGTGGTATAGTTTGCCATACAATCGAGTATTTTGTCAGAGGCTCTTAATTAATGCCTGATACAGTATTTGAGTCCGACATCCAAACATCAACATCCGTGCACCAACTTTTTATTCCGTTTTTTTCCGACACTTAACTATGAGGGAAAAGGAGAAAAACGGAGATTTTCCACTGTTACAACATCCAAGCTTAACGTCAAATTAATCATTTGTTCGATCTCTTTGGGCTATTCTTATATGACCTAGAGGTGTTTGAAGAGCTGGATTTGTATTCAAGTCAATATTTGGTTCCATGTAACAAATGAGTTCTGAAAATTAAGATTAACCAAATTCAGCTGATTATTCTTCGGATTTTTCAAGTAAAGTGTACGTAGACTGTTTTCACCAACAGTTTTGACCTTTGTTGAGTCAGAACACAACTTAGAAGGTGCCATTTGTTCTTTTGGAGTTCAGGAAGTAAAAATTTATTGCTCAAATACAAGCTCAAATAAAACCTTGTCTTGAGTTTCTTGATTGCTCAATCCTGTAATTAAGCAAACTTAAGTTTCTCAACTTTTATAATTGTGACTGTTTATACCTTAGTTGGTCCTTGTGACAGATAATTTTAGCATGTTGTTGAAGATAGTAAATTGAACCCTGTGACACTATTTGATACTGACATCCAAACATCAACATCCGTAAACCAATTTTTTAATCCGTATTTATCCGTTGATTAACTATGGAGTGATGGAAAAACACGGACAAAATTACTTGATCAACTACACCATCTAAAGTCTTAGTTTTTGAGGTTTGTTCTGACTAGTTATTAAGATGTTTGGGTTAAGAAAGATGGGTAAAAATAAATAAAATTCTGAGGGCTTTATCAAGGTGCTATTTCAGCTACTTTCAGTCGCTTCTAGCTTAAATATCATTCCGTGTGAACCTCTGATTTAAATTGTATTAGCTTTCAAACAAGTACTCTAGTCCTCTACTCTTTAAAGAAGAAACATTTATTCAGTGAAAATGTAAATCAGGGAAATATATTCGTTAGACATTCTTTTCCAAGTTTCAATCATTTTCATATTTTGGTCCATATTTTTGAATTCATCCTTAGTGATTATGATTCTCATATTTTAACATCCAATTGAATGTGCTAGTTTGAAAACTTATTTGATCAAAACACAATAAGTTTGGGTAAATGTAAAAGCTAATCGTTAAATTATCTTCAGTCAACGCATCATCTTCACAGTCTTCAAACTCAATTTAAAGGTGTTTCAAAATAGCTATAACACTTATCATTTTTAAATCAGAATTATTTCCGGCTTGGAGTGATTTATTTTTCATTCGGTATCATATAATATGAAATAAACTTTATTGTCTTGAATTGAACGATTGAAATACTTTATTTCTTCATAAGAAAAATATGTCTCATGATACAAATCTTTTACTGACATTCAACATTGATATAAAAAGTCATCTATTGTAAGTCCAATTTTTTCACAAAAGAAGAGATATAGTTCAAAATTTAAAATAAATCCGCTATTTATATATATTTTTCTCCAGAAATTGTGGATTGAAAAAAATAATATTACCTGGGGTCAAAACATTCTACTGAATGGTTTATACAGTTTTGCAATGATCATGAAGGAAAGTCCCAACGCTTGGAAATTGTTTTAAATCTTAATTATCTTAGAAACATAAATTTTGCATATAATCTTGTTTTACAAAATTAACAGACGATTCACACTTCGTAAAAATACGAACCAGGGCTGCACTGACATTTGTGGCAAAGCTTTATTTTCGGACTTTTCTACTGTCTGACGATATTTCAGACAAAGATTTTGGACTTTTCTTTAATTTTTTTTGGACTTTTTCTCTGTCTTTTTTTTTCTGAATTTTTTGGACTTTTTAGTTGGACTTTTTAGCTGGACTTTTTGTACTTTTGTCGTTTGAAACAGATAATCTTGCGTCCCTTTTTGCAGCCAAATGGAAAAATTCTATTACTCGATAAATACTATTCTTTCTATTATTCGGCAACACTTTATCCAAGAACTATACCAATTTTACTTTGAAAAGCCATTGAGTAAATACCAAAGCTCTAGCTTTTTGATAAAACTTAAGCGATGTTTGAATTTAAAAAAAAAATCTTCAACACGTTTGCAACAACATGCTCAAACTACATAAGATATGTTCATCTTGGTGCTATAAGTTGAATACGGGGTCTAAAAAATATCTACTCATGGACGTAACCGCTGCTTGTTTTTAAGTTAGGGATACAAAAGATCAAATCTTAGATCCACATAACTCTTTGCCACTCACAATTAAGTATGTACCGGAGATTTGACTGCAATATTGCCACTATTGGGGCCCGATAGATACAAACTGAGGGGTAGAGTAAAAATATTAGAGCAAGATAAAGACAAAAGTCCACTGATTTTAAAATATGAAATCATCATGTATTAATAATAATAAGGTTTTTAGACAATTTCCTTTGAGTAGCTTCTTGAATTATAAATTTTGTTAATTTGAAAGCTTTCAATTTGATTTGAATAATTTGAATAGATGACAAATATTCAAGTGTTGTATTCAATCTATAATTAGAGGAGAACAGTCCCTTAATGAAACCAAAATTAAATCGATTATTTATGTTTGCCAAATTTTCTTGTTTTACACTTAGATTATTTTTATTTTTTTATCGATATCGTTGAGCTAATACCATTTAACCTTAATTTCATGATCAAACATGCTCTTGAACAAGTTTAATTCATAACATATTTGACCCAAAATTTAATAAGAGTAGTTGTAAATTTTGACAATTTCTTTGCTATTATAATTACCGATCTTTCTTTACCATCAATTCCGTGGTGATTTAAGATAGCTGCAACCTTGATTGACTCTTTTGCAAAATCAAAATCTACTCTTATTTCGCTATCCCATGTTTTTAGCCAACATCAACAATATATGAAGAAAGTTCAATTTTCATTCTTAAATTGAGTATTTTAATAGCTCTGACAGCAGCAAAATTAAACAGGCAGGACACCACCAGTTTATTCACCAAGTTATAGGTACCAGATTTTACAAATCGTGCTATTACTGGTAGCTATTCTAAAACAAATTCTTACAATAATTGCAACAAACCAAAATAAGCAACCTTCAAGGAAGCTGAATCATCTATCAGCACACTGGAAAATGAAAGTTACAAATGTGTTATTTGAAGAATATTATGGAGATTGGTAAATTCGAGGTCTAGATGGTGATTGCATCGGTAAGGGCCACTTTAGTAGTACATTTTCGAAACCACGCTAATATTGCCATCTTTAAACCATTAGCAAGCTTTTAGTAGTTCTTAATCTTCGTCTGACTACCACCAAGACATGATTGGACCAAAGTGAGAAAATTTGTCAGCAATTAGTCATTTTCTTGGTTAATAAATCCATATGTGGAGATTTGCTCGGTGGAAATCGAATGTTCTTACACAGAAGATACTTAATGATGACGTAGCCATTTGTATAGTCAAAAATTTAAAGTACAAAGAAGTCATAACGCCATGTGATGATCAAGAATCACTGGTATTCATTTATGTATTTTGAAAAATCGTTAATTATTTAAATCTTTGAATTTAAATTCTATATCTAATGCAGTAGAAATTTCATTTTCTAATAAATCAGTTAAAGAACTGCCGTCTCTTAAAGTTATCCATTTACTTTCAATTAAATCATATCTTTTAGGACCACTTATTGGTGAACTTAACCATATTTGCTTATTTGGTGGTTGCTTATTTATAACATAAGTTCCATGAGGTGGTAATTGTAAAGTTAATACACCATGACTTAATTCTGCATCGACTTGTTCATATTCTTCATTTAAGTTTTCTAATGATTCAGCTAGTTTATCAAGATACTCATCTGATATGTTATTATATTCTTGATTCAGTATGTTATCAATTTTACCTTCAAGGTCTTCACCCTCTGTACTTCTGGAATATGCTCGTTGACATAAACTTAATTTACAACTATTTGCAGGAATTCGTGAGTTGGAAGTCGTTATTTTTTTGACTAATGAACGATTCGTTGTAATGCTAAAGCTTCTAAATGATGAGACAAATGATTTTGAACATTGAATGTTTTTGAACTTCGATAGATTTTTGAACATGCTTCCTCTAAATGATATCAGTTAATTTGAAATACTCTATACTTCTCAATTTGATATATCTAATAAAACTAAAACTGTGGTTAAGTTTATAGTTTAGAGTATGTACCGAGATAATTTAAAGAATCGGTTAGAAATTTTTATATTTACTGTACTGTATATAAAAAGAAGTACTTACGCTACCAAATTTTATGAAATTTTTCAATATTTATATCATTTAAAAATTTAGTATCATTTAAATTAAAGACAGTGTATTTATTCAATTACTACTCGTTTCCATTTACACTTTGAAAGTGATCATATAAACAATGTTTTTTCTCATCATCATAATTGCTATTGCTTTATGTGCAACAATGGTACTATTACCAACTTTGTCAGGTTTAACATCAGTCGAAATAAATCCTCATAATCATAATCAAATTAAACAGAAGAAGAAAAAGGATGATATTAAACCTCAGTCAAGTAGTAATAATAATAATGAATTCTCAAATCAATATGGCTATATCTCACCTGACACTTTTTCCAATGAATCAGATACAAAAGACGAAGGGTTTTTAAAACAAAGAGCTCATGCATTGAAGGAAAAATTACAATTAAATCAAGAAGATATGCCAATACAAATCCATTTAAAAACTAATAATAAATCAAAACCGAATGATAATACCGAAGGTGGGTTGAGGAATAGAAAAAAGGAAAAATTGGATTTGAATACTGATCCAAATACTTATGATTATGATTTAGATGATTTAATCAAGGAAGAAACTAGTAATGCCCAAAAACAACAACAAAAAGAATTTTATAAAGATCAAATATTTGGCAAAGAGAAAGAAGCAATGGTTTAAGATAAGTAACGACGGCCCAAGGAGACTAAAAGTGAAATTAAGATTCAGAATCAAAGCTAAGATCTAGATACACGAGTTGGATTGTCGTACTGAGATTTAGTGATACAAAAGAAAACTGAGATTTGCCTATGTGAAACTTAATATGTCAACACTTTTGCTGCTTATAAACTTTATTCAATACAATAATTTGCTAATCAAATGATTCCTATTTAATGACTATCAATTTCATTATAAGTTTTATTTTTGTGGACACTTTCAAACAGTGCGTATGGACAGCATGCTTAATTTTAATCAGTTTAATTGCTTTTAATTTGTTGAAAGACAGAGATAGTATTCAGGGTATATTCAAAATTCCCGGATCATTACCAATACTAGGTCATTTACTTGAAATTCAATTAAACCCATCTTTAGTTTTTATGAGATGGTGGGAACGATATGACAAATCTATTTTTCAAATTAAAATTGGATTTAGAAAAGTAGTTATAGTGAATTCATATGAAGATGTCACAAGTTTATGGCTAAATCATGCTTGTCAGAACAACTCAAGACCGTTAAGTTATACATTTCATAGTGTCGTTAGTTCGTATCAAAGTTATACAATTGGTACCACTCCCTTCAGTAATACATACAAGAATAAGAAAAAAAGTCTATCTCAATTGTTGAATAAACCGTCTTTGAAGAGTTTAATACCCATAATCAATACAGAGAGCAATTATATTATTGATCAAATTCTCAAAGATATAAACAAAAATGACTCAGTTAATTTAAGAGATTATCTTCGGTTTTTTGTACTAAGGTGCTGTATACATATGAGTTACGGCTTAATTTTAGATTGTTTCGGTAAAGATAGAGAGTTGTGCATGAGAATAATCAACAACGAGAATAATATAATAAGATTGAGATCACCAATTTCCAATATTCAAGACTCAATACTAATCCTACAACTTTTCCCATCATTCACTAATACAAAATCTGCACATGAGTGCGGGAAGATAAGAGATCGATACATGAGATTTTTATACAACAGACTTATACGAGAAATAGATAAAGGGAATGAAGAATGTATTAATAGCATGGTGGGTAAATTAGTTACTAGTCAATGTAAGGCTCAATTGACTGATCAAGAAATCAACAGCATTTGTTTGACACTAGTGAGTGCTGGATTAGATAATACACCATTAACCCTAGATTATGCAATTGGAATTCTATCCCAACCAAGACTAGGTGAATCAATACAATCAAGAGCAATCAAAAAAGTCTTAATTGAATACGACCAGAATGACTTCAAGAATTTAGATGGTGGGAACAAAATGAATACATACATTACTGCAATACTTTTAGAATCTTTAAGAGAGTTCACAGTACTCCCGTTAAGTCTTCCTCGAATAACGACAAAACAAATAATCTACAACAACATATTACTTCCACCAAACACAACCCTATTCATGAACGCATATGCAGCAAATCACGATCCGGTCCATTTTGAACAACCTTACAACTTTATACCAGAGAGGTGGTTAAATGGAGATGAGTTAGTTTATAAAGTTAAAAATTTTCAACATTTTGCATTTGGAGCTGGGTCTAGAATGTGTTCTGGTCAGAATTTAGCTATGAGACAGATGTATATTTTTCTATTGAAATTCTTATTGATGTTTAAAATTAAACCACCAAGTTCTGACAATGACTTGATGGAAGTCAATCCATTTACTAGTAATTCAAATCCCAGAGCTACTTCATTTGAACCAAAAAATCATAAAGTGCACCTCAAACTAAGAAATATATTACAATTTGAAGATATTATGAACATATGCTGAGAAATTTTCTGCGATTTATAATATGTATACAGCTATATAGTTTTATCTAAAATCTTAATCTTTTTTTCTTTCATCAAGCAAATAATATAGCGTAGGATCAATGTATCCAGTTTTTCGAACAACAACAGATCTAGTACTTGTACCCAAAGGTAAATCATATTTCAAAACACCAGTAATAATCAAATCAAATGGATTCTCGCTTATAATCTCCCATTTTCGAGAATTATCTTGGCCCGTATCATTTGAGAACGTTTCTAGCGTGACATTCTTACCAGGATTTAGTAATTTAACTTCTCCCTTTTGTATAGTTGGTTCCCTTGAAAAAAACCCACCTTTAAAACTCATTTCTGATTCAAGACTTAGTATAGTTCCTAATTTAACAGTTTCAACTTTCGATGATGAACCCTTCTTGACATACATTTGTGTTTTATCAACTACATCAGGTAAATACCCACTTCTTGCAAATAAATCCAATTCAACCTCTTTAATATCCACATTGAACCAACCTGGATTAAATGCATCAACTACTATATTGAAAACAAGTTCATCTTTACTAACAATAGGATTTTCAATTGATGTAATTCCAACTTCTGTTAAATCTTTTGTGGTTGCCATTATAAAACCTAGTATGAATCCAACTGATAATATAACTATGATACAAATTAGTGTGTATATGAATGATTTTACACAACTTGCTCTTATTTCAGATTTTTGAGCTAGAAAATACGGGTGATTATCTATATGATTTGTATTACTAAAATTTCTTGACCCCTTTTTATGCATTGGTAAATCAGGAAGATCGAAATTATAAGATCTACTGGATTCTTGATCAAAATCATCAATGTCGTAGTAAAAATTATGTTGTTGATTATCATTGTATGGAAATGGGAAAACATTTTTACTTGCATCATGATCGGGACTAGTTAGTTGTTGACCAGTAGATAAATATCTTTTTGGACGTTTTATACCCGGTAAATTCATATTTAAAGATCTATAATGAGGAATTTTCTTTTGCGGATGTTTTAATAGTGATGAAGATTCAGTAACATGTGGGAATTTAACATTAGAATCGTAATAGATGAGTTCATCATCAAAATCTTCAATATCTATATCATCAGGTATAGTGCTATACCTTCTTGGTTGTGATCCTTTTTTATCAAATAATTTTGAAGTAGTAGATCTCAATTTTGAGGAAGTTGTAGATGATTTATAATTTTTCTTTGATGTATTTTTGCTTGATATAGAATGAACAGCTGATGACGAAGGTGCATGTAAGTGTTGTAGTGACGATATTTGTGGATGTGTTGGAGTTACTGTATTAAATTTTTCTGCATCTTCCTCTGATGAGTTTTCTTCAACCATATCATCTTCTATCTCATTATATGAATAAGCATCGTCTTGATGATAAATATCGTTTATTGAATGACCAATACTTGCATTTTGATTATGATTCAGTCCCAGGTTAGGGTTTTGTTCAACAATTGGAGCTTGAAGAAATTGTGCAGAATAAGCTCTACCTCCATCGGATTCAATCATTGATATTGATGACAGAGCTGGATGATGTTGACGTTTGAATCCTAGAGAGTCCAAATGACTTGCACTAGTCATCGAATTCGCTATAGAAGGAGCTTTATTACCTTTTGATTTATTTCTGCCTTCATTGTCATCTCTTTGACTGAAACCAATACTACCAGCAACACTAACATTATCCGACATATTCAATTGATTTGGTGTATCTTCTTCATCATTTCCATTTTCATAAACAAAAGTTTCATCACTATCACTACTTTCCACATCATCAACAGCGCTTGCTAATTTAGCTGCAAAAAAATCAGTCTTTGTTGAGCTTTGTTTCGCTATCTTTTTATGCTTAGATTGCTTGTTCGTATCTGATAAATTCGTTAATGATGATGCATTTATACTTGAATTGTTTGGGTGATGCATAAAACTGGCCTGCAGTTGTTGTTGCGACTGAGATAATTGTTGTTGAGATTGTTGTTGTAGCTGTGGAAGTTGTTGCGATTGATTAGGCTGCAGCAGCTGCGATTGTTGCTGTTGAGGTTGTTTCGATTCTTGATCATGTTGTTGAGATGATGATTGTTGCACTGATTGTTGAGACAGAAGATGTTGCTTTGAATCCAATATAGAATAAGGATTCGAACTTTCTTGTGATTTTAAACCTTCGTCATTAATGGTTGATTTATTATTTAATTTTAAAACTGATGCACCTGGAGTAGAAACTGCACTATTATTATTTCTTAAATTATTTAAAGTTGGAGTAATTTCTAAATTATGAGAATTTGAAGGTAGTACAGGAAATACAGTTGACTGAGGAGATTTATTGATTATATTTGATATTAAAGTTGGATTTTTTGGATGAGGTTCTCTAGAATGTATAATCTTTTGCTTGGCTTTTAATGATTTATTAATATTTGAAATTGAATTCTTGTTGAGACTAGGTGAAAGTGATGCTTGTGAAAGATTATTCAATTGATTTAGGTTTGTTGCTGACTGATGAGTTGATAATGGACTTTTGAGTGGACTGTTTTCTAAAGTTGATGATGAGGCGATATGTTTCACTTGCAGTGGTTGTTTATCTTTTGATGAGGTTTTAGCTCGATGATCAGTGTTGATTGCCAATTTTTTGTAATTTTTCGTCGGAGACAATTTCGTTGGTTCATCATTTGGTTTATTGATCGTACTATTTTTGAAATCTATCTTATTTTTGCTAGTATCGTTTGATGAATTTTGATCGAGAACTTCATTATGAGGTTCATCTGTAGTTTCCTGTGACATAGTCGTATCATATATTATTTGATTGTAACATAAATTAATTTGACAAGGGTACTAAAAAGAATATATATAATTTAATTAATTAAAGTCGAAGGAAATTATGTATAGTCCAATTACTCGATGTTGTTGAATACGAACTTGTAGACTTGTTTTGGTCTGTTGTAGTGTATTTATTAGATGTATTTATTTATTATACTCTAATTACTTTTATAAATTGTTGCACATTACGCTACCAAACACCATCAATTTTTATATGGACTGTTTAACAAAGGTACGACAGATTAGAAGTAAACTCTACCTTATCTACAATTGTCTATTACGTTGATTTCATTTCATGATTATTCATTTATTTTTCATTATTTGTACACGTTTACGTATTTTCATCAACTCAGTCATCATTATACAAATCTATCTATGAAGGATTAAAAGGAATAATATATTCACTACCCCATTGATCATAAATACTTTCATTTCGTTGATAATTCTGTTCTTGAAGTTGTTGTTGTTGATTTTGTTGAACATCGGGAAAAGTTGAACCCTCTTTCGTGTATACATTGTAAAATAACCCATAAGAATTCAAAAGTTCATGATCTAAACCTGATTCATCTATTTCTCTTGCGAGGTTTTTATCTTCCTCGTCTAGGTCTTCATCTATTTGGATTGAATGGACTGGTTGTGTTCTTTTGGGAGTTGATTCTCGAGTAAAACTGCTTTGGTAATGTAAAGGATGATGCTGTGATACTGGTCTATCTTTTGATTGATTGAAATTTTGTTGTTGAGTTCTACTTTGATTGGCATATTGATTTTGACTTTGATTTTGATTTTGATTTTGGGTTTGGTTTTGGCGTTGATGATTGTTTTCAAGTTGATTCTGGTATTGATGATGATTAACTTGACCAGCGAATTGATTCAAATGTTGATGTTGTGGCAATTGACTTTGTTGTTGTTGCTGATGTTGCTGCTGTTGTCGTTGTTGTTGTTGTTGTTGCTGAATTTGACGATTATATCTATGTTGTGTGTTAGCTTGATTTTGATTTTGCTTGTAACCTTGATTGATACTCTTTCTAGATTCATTTTGATGTTGAGTTTTAGTTTGTTGATGAGAGGGAACTTCAGTTAAATTTCTCATAGTTTCCCAAAAATCTAATCCTTCTTCATCTTCTTCATCTTCATGCAGTTGTGAATGAGCCATTGCAAAATTATTAGTTTGTCTTGACTTATGTTTATTATTATTATATTTGGAGTTTTCTGCAGCTGTAACTAATTCAACTGCTTGAGTTAATGGAGTTAAAGGATTTGAATCTGGAGATATATCTCTTTCGTTTCTTTCGTCTGTATTCAATAATTTCAAAAGATCTGATTCTCCTTTAGCCGCTTCTTCAGAAGATTGAATCAATACCTTTTCTGGCGATGACGATGATTCTTGATGGTGATGATGATGGTGATGATGATGATGATGTTGAGTGGTAGTAGCATCAGCAAATACATTTGGAGATGACGATGAGTTTAATTTTGGAACTTGAGTCATTGGTGGTAAGTAATTGAAATGTTGAAATCTTGACATTTGATCTTCTGGTTCAACTACACTTCCTGGTGTACTTGAATTTCTTTCATTATTCAGTGAATAATGATGATGAACATGTTGATGAATTACAATCAGCAAATCATTAGTTTTTGCATAATCTACTAAATATTGAACAGATTCTTGATCCTTTATTGAACCAACTTTGGAGTTACTTGGATCTCTTTCTCCATCATTAGATTTTGAATTTAACTGATAAAACCATTCCATTTCTGTTTTTGAACCAGTATTTGTATCTATTTTTCTTCTTTTTAATTTTCTTTTAAATTCAGGTTCATCGTAAGACTTTGATAATTCTTCTTGTTGACGACTTAGATTTTCCAAAACTTCTGCAGAATTACCATTTGTAACATTTTCAACTTCCTTTTTAATTATTGGATCAGCTTTACCTCTAACAACTTCCGTTACTAATTTTCTCCAACGATTTCTGCACGTTAATGAAGGTCTACTTTCAAATGCACTACACACAGTTCTCCACTTTGTGCCATATAATTTGACTTGCTTAATTAATAATAAATCTTCTTCTTGAGTCCATGGTTTTAATCTATCTTTAGTTCTTGGATCTAAAACTTCCATATATCTTTTTGCGCATTGATCATCAGTTCGTCCTTCAATCTCTTGAGCTACTTTCAACCAAGATGTACCAAATTTTTCAAAGGCTTTAACTAATAAGTCATCTTCTTCACTTGTCCATTTACCTTTACGTAATGAAGGGTCTAATGAATTACTCCATCTTTTACGACAATCTTTACTCTTTCTTGTACCATCCGGTGACACTAAGTCTGAGATTTTTTCCCAATCAATAGAATCTATATCATTATTGTTGTTTAATTCTAATTGTATAATTTTAGCTAATTCGATATCTTCTTCTTTTGTCCAAGGTTTACGTGCCCCTTTTCTAAATGTTTGAAAACCCAAGGATTCAGTTACAGCTAAAGGATCAATCTGTACCACTCTTTTTCTTGTAAATTTAGTGGAGTCCGTTTGATTCATATCTGCATTATATTTTAGCGGGATTTTACTTGTATGTGATGTGTATGAATTATGATAATAAAATGAATAAACACTTTGATTGGTAGTAAATAGTTAAAAACTTATACTTGAATAGAATGATATAAGTTAACGAGAAAATAAACGTGGTAATTCTTTCAAATACCTCTTGATTCTTCTTCTCGAAAATTGTCTTTATTTAAAATGATACTTGATAATTATAATATTTTGTCTTTAGACTAATGTGTAATAATTGATTAATTTTTCTAAATATAATAATTATAATTTAAAACTGAAACCAAATGGTAGCTTTTGAGATATGAATCACATAATATATCACATCTAAATGGTTGTATCTAAGATTCAAGATTAGATCTGTTTTTAATTGAATAGATAAAGTAATGACACGTAGACGATAAGATTAAGGGGTTTTTACGGACTTTTGACTTAAATACTGTTAATTGTGTTGCTTATAAAATACTATGAAAAATAAATTGAATTGTTTCATTTCCACTTAACTTTCTTTGTCAGCTTTTTCAGATTGTCTTATTTCTTTATTTTCGATTAATCTTAATAAATTTCTTAATAGTATAGCAATAGTAACTTTACCAATAGAAGGAACATATAAACCAGCTCTTTGTTTTATATCATCATCAAAATTTTTAAAACTTGAAAAATTTATCACTATTGTACCATGAGTCACCAAATTAATTGGGAATTTATAATTTTCAGTTGGAACACCAGTTATTATAACATCACATTGAGGTGCTAAAGTTTCTATAGTATCTTTTTGATCTAAATCAACAACTAAATGTCTATGTTCCAGTAAATCGTCACCTCTTGTAAATTGTTGAATATTATTTATATCAACTGAATATACTGTTGCTCCATCGTTTGCTAATAATGCAGCTAATGGTCTACCAACGATTTCTGATCTATTTACAATTAATATTTTTTTACCATATAATCTATTTCCATAATGTAAAATATTATTATAAACTCCTAAATATTCTAATATTTTTACCATTGCTAATGCAGTACATGGTATTATTGATTTTTGTTGATTTTGAGGAGGATCTAGAAACCTTATATTATGATATAAATTATGATAATACAAAAAATTCAAACCTTCAACATCTTTTTCAGGTGATATCAATTGTTGTAAATATTGATCTTGTTTATCTCCAAATACTGGGAAATAAACCATTATTCCATTAACTTTTTCATCTTTATTTGCTTTTATTAATGAAGTTTCCAATTCATTCTTGTTTACTTCAATTAATTTATAGTTAAAACCCAATGACTCACAAGTTTTACCGGTCCAGTTTGCATACATTTTTGCAGCTGGATCTCCATTTGCTAGAAATCCAACTAATGTTGGTCTAAAACTTAATTTTTTAACTGCTGCAATAACCTCATCTTGATATGGTTTAGCAATTGTTGAAGCTAGTATAGTTCTTCCTGCTGGCCTAGACATTTTTTGATAAGTGAAATAATCAAACAAAAGAAACTTTTCGGGCAATGGGGTAGTTGCTGGTGAGGCAGAAACTAATGAGATGAATTAATTGATTTAATGTTACTTAAAATAATTCTGATATATTATTAATTATTTGTTTTGTACTACATAAATTGTATTACACAAAGATTTGTTTAATTAAGATTTTGACTCCCCTCCTTAATAATAATTAATTGGTCCCATTTAATAAAGTCCCATTCTAAAAAGTACTACACAACAATCTAAAAAGAAATGAAGTAGAAGGTTTCGATAAGATTAAACTATTACTTATAATGATTTTGGAGAAGCCTTTATACATCTACTTAATTATCTTAAATGAGCTGATGCATTTTTATACAAACTTTGCCAAATAAAAGCTTCAGAAAGCATCATTTCCACATCTTTTTCTTTCCAATTAGCAGTTGGTGGATTTTGCAAAAACAATAATATTTCTTGAAAATCTTTCTGTTGTAAAATTGTTGAAAATTTAACCAAGAAAGCAGCACATACATAAGTATGAAATGTGTTGAAACCTAGTGGTTGTTCACTTAGGTAAGTATCCCACATTCTAATTATTAAGTTGATAGGCAATTCTCTCATTAATAAACAATTCATCCACCTGAATGAGAATTGTAAGAATTCAATACCTTCATTTTCAAAATGCTTTAGTAAATTATTATCTATTTTAGTCATTAAATTTTTTAATTCATTAACTTGTCTTATAATACCTGGTTGCTCATGAATATAATTATCTGTTATATTTTCTAGCAACCTTGATAAACACCAATAAGAATCTGCTTCTATAATTGATCTTACTCTATTACTTAATTTTGATGTATCAAAATTATCGAGATTATAGTTTTGTAAATTTGGATCTTCCAATAGTTGGTTTTCTTTTTCATCTATTTCATTATCCAATGCTAAATATCCTGGTATAAACAACTCTTCATCTTGATTTGATTTTGTTTGTTTTCTTTGTAGTTGCCATATATAATTATTTAAGAATATTTGAAAAAACGGAGTTGCCAAATCATTTATACCTTGAACATAACCACTTGCTGGATGTCTTATAGCCCAAAGATACAATACTTTTCGAAGTGATACTTGTGTGTTATGATAACCATATAATGGTATAGTAGGGTTAGTTCTTTTAACATCAATTTTTATTTGATGATATATTAGCTTTTCTCTACCTGCATTTGATAATGAAGTTGTCAGATTATTTTCTGGTTCATCAAAATTTATTTGAACATTTCTTATACCTTCTAGATATTCTTGACGTTTTCTTTTTAGTGTTGATATTTGTCTTGCTTTATTTGTGGGGAGGTAACCTAGTAATAACAACCATGATAATGCTCGTAATTCATTCGGTATTCCATTCCATGATAGTTTTCTTAACTCTTGTATATCAATTATACTTTCTGATGTTAATATTGTTCTAAATTTTGCATATTTACTATTTAATAAGTTTAATTTATTAATTTCTATTTTTGTTTTCATATCTTCTATATCTATTGATTGTTTGGTGATTGTTTCATGATTTAATTGAACAGTTAAATCTGGATACAACGAGTCCATCATTGGAGCCGAATATGATGTAGTTCCGGTATTTTTTTCATTTATGTCTGCATCCCAGTCATCATCTGAATCTTTATATCTTACGTGTCTATCTGATTTCGAGCTTGTATGAATATTACTAGAGCTAGTACTTCTATTTGAACTACCTTGATATAATGATGAATTATTTATATGCGGATTTGAGTTATTATTTGGTTTCTTATATGATAAATTTCCATATATATTACTATTTGCTTCCTCAATGGAATCTCGACTGCTGTTTCCTGTTAATGATAAGTTTTTTAAAAATGATGATAAATTTTTACCTTTCCCACCTTGTCCTTCAAATATAAATTCATTACTAGACCCATTATATATTTGAGCCATCTCCTGTTTCTTCTTCCCCATATTGGGTATATAATATGAAGTTGTTGTTAAATGATCTGGTCGTTTTAGATTTGTAACAACTAATAATATTTCGAAATACATTTTTGCTACTACAAACAGTTTTGTGTAACCTTCTCAGGTTGTATGTTTTAGCCGTAAGATAGTAAAGTAGTTGTTGACAGCGTTTGAAACATGATAGAAGCTTATGAGTTTAAGCTGAAAAATTAGAAAAAGTAAAGGGCCAATTATAAAAATACAACCGTTATTACAAAATTATGAACAGAAATAAAAAAAGTACCCAAAAACCAAAAAGTTGCAAAAAAACTCACTTAACAAACTCATCATAAGAATTACCCAATTCATGCTTTAGTAAATACTCTTTAGCATCAACCCCAAATCTATAACCATTTATCTTCTTATTAAATCCCAAAACTCGATGGCAAGGAATAATAATTGCAATTCTATTAGCACCAATACAATTCCCAATAGCTCTACTCGATCCAACTTTCATACCTAGCTCGTTAGCTATATCTCCATACGTTTTGACTTGACCTTTGGGGATTTCTAATAATTTGTTCCATACTTTTCGTTGTAAATTTGTGCCAAATATAAACTCAATTTCAAATTCTTGAGATGTTGATGGATCTTTTAGTACTTTCATAAATTTTAAGATTTCTTCTTCAATTGCTGAATTATGATTTAATGTTGAAACTGGTCTCAATTGATAATCTTTTAATGGTTTAAAATCATTGACTAATTGTTCTCTAAATGCATTTGAATTCTTACCTATTGACGCGTAATATATTTTACCAATTTCATCTAATACCAACAAAGCATTGAATGGTTTATTCTCAACAATTTTGTAGTATAGCACCTGTTGTTTCATTATAGCTGTAATTGTAGTTGTATATGATCGAATTAGATCTAGGAAATAATATTGTGGGGTAAAGTTAAATCTATTAGATTTTAAAGATCTGAAATAAAAAGATTGTAAAGTTTAGATTTGTTTTATAAATCCGGTGATTATTTGGTAGCAGCAATTTTTTATATGGTAGCTTTTTCAAATAATTTTTCATCATCTTCACATTGAACTTTTCTATAGTTTCCATAGTTCTATTATTATAAAAAGTTCCATATTTTATATACAAAAACCACCAGAAAAAGATGTCAGTAATTGGAATAACATTTGGTAACACTACATCATCAATAGCAGTTGCAACCCCAGATGGTAAAGTAGATGTAATTGCAAATCCCGATGGTGATCGTTCAATTCCATCAGCTTTATCATATGTTGGAACAGATGAATATCATGGATCTCAAGCAGAATCAAGGTTGATTAGAAATCCAGAAAATACTATAGTTAATTTCAGAGATTTTATTGGTAAAAAATTCAATGATATCAAGAATGACTTTTCATATGGTTCAAAACCAAAAGAAGTAAATGGTGAAATTTGTTATGAGATTAAAAACGATGGTAAAACTGAAATATTAAGTGTCAATGAAGTCACTAAGAGACACTTTAAGCAATTGAAATTAGCAGCTGAAGATTATATTGGTAAATCAATTGAAAATGTAGTATTAGCCGTACCAACTGATTTTAATGATGTTCAAAAACAAGAAATCACCAAGATTTCAAAAGATGCAGGATTAAATATTTTACAATTTATTAATGAACCATCAGCTGCTTTATTAGATCATTTAAGTGCAGAAGAAAATAGATTAAGTGAAGATAAAATTTACGTTGTAGCAGACTTTGGAGGTATTAGATCAGATGCAGCAGTTATAGCAGTAAGAGGTGGTGTTTTAACCATTTTAGCTACATCACACGAGTATGGATTAGGTGGTGATAATTTAGATCAATCATTATCTGAATTTTTCGCAAAAGAATTTGAAAAAAAAAATAAAATCGATCCAAGAACAAATCAAAAATCTTTATCAAAATTAAAAGCTGAATCAATAGTTGTTAAAAAGACTTTATCAAATGTTCAGACTTCCACTTGCTCAATTGAATCATTAGCTGAAGGTATTGATTTCCATACCTCCATCAATAGATTAAGATATGAATTAACTGCAAGAGATGCATTATCCAAAATGACAGGATTTGTTGAAAAAGTAATCACAAAAGCAGGGTTGGAACCATTAGACATTGATGAAGTTTTATTAGTTGGTGGATCATCACATACTCCAAAATTAGCTTCAAACATTTCATATTTATTCCCAAAAACTACCAATATCATAGCTCCATCAACTGACTCCAAGGCATTAAATCCATCAGAATTAGTTGCTCGTGGGGCAGCATTACAAGCTTCATTAATTGAACAATTTGATGAATCAGAAATCAATGAATCATTACAACCAATTGTTGTAAACACTCAGCATTTATCAAAATCAATTGGTATAAAAGACGCAGAAGGTAAATTCCAACCAATTTTAGTTGCTGAAACTGCTTATCCAATCAAAAAATCAATTGAAGTAACTAACGGTGATTCATCATCAGTATTAATTCAATTATATGAAGGTATAAGAAAAATCAAAGAAACAGTTATTGAAGTAGAAAAAGATGAAGATGATTCAGAAGAAGAAGATTCAGATGAAGAACCAGAAATTGAAAGAGAAGCAGTCTATGAAGCTGGCGATTTATTAGCTGAATTTTCATTGAAAGATTTAAAACCAAATTCAAAATTAGAAGTCACTGTAAATATAACTCAAAACGGAGTCTTACATGTTTCTGGAAGAGAATTAAAACAAGGGTCCATTGCTGTTAAAGGGGAAGTATCATCACAATAAACTTAATTTTGGTAAACAATAATTCATGACTTCAATATATTTCTTATAGAAGTAATTTAATACTATATAGACAATTTATATATTTTCATTGCCCCTTAATCTGATACATCGATCTAATACATCAATGTTTAGATCTCGATCGATTTCATTTGGTGTTTCATATCTATCGTTGATGAAACTCAATTTTTTTAAATTCTGGTTATAATCTTCCAACAAAAATTTTTGCTTAAAAATTGGTCCCTTGGCCCAGTTGGTTAAGGCGTGGTGCTAATAACGCCAAGATCAGCAGTTCGATCCTGCTAGGGACCACTTCTATTGTAATCAATTAGTTTTTTTTGCAGAAGCTGTATTCAGATCGAAAGTATTAGTGAAAGTATTAGGTATCAGTAGGGTCGAAAGAACTGGCTCCTAGTCATTTTTCGGAAATAAGTTAGTTGTAAAGACATATATTTTTATTGAAGTTATACTAAATAGCTAAAATCTTTTACATAATTCTTTTAATGCTGCTTCATCATTCATTAATGCATTTGCAACTTTTGACATTGCTCTCTTTTTTGAAGTATCAACAGAAGTACCAATGAGTAAATCTCTAATTTTTAAATTAATAGTGAATTTTCCAAATTCATTTTGAGTAACTAAATACTCTGGTTTTGTTCCTGTCTTGGAACCAATTAATGCATATAATTTATTTTTTGCATCTGGTTTTAATTCAATGTCATCATAAACTTCAATTGGAAATAAATCAGTATGAATTGGAGAATCTGGTACAAATGGTTTTTCTTCTTCCGAAGCTTTATCTTGATTTTCACCATCTTCATTTTCACCATCTTGACTACCATTCTTTGATTCTTCTAATTTTTTTAATTTTTCTAATCTTTTTAACTCATTTCTTTCTTTTCTTTGTAATCTTACTGGTTTTTCAATTTCTGCTCTTTCTAATGCATATTTTTCTAATACTGAGGTATTTTCTAAAGCATTTGCTGCTGCATTTAAACCTGCATCTTTTGAGTTTTGAGCAATACCACGACCTAAAAATTCTCCATTCATTTTACAATCAACAACAAAATCTGTATTTATACCATCACCAGTTGCAACAATTTCATAAACTGGACGTAAATCTGCTCTACCAATAACTGCATACAATTGTGATTTAGCATCTCTATCAACAGGAGTTTTAAGATATTTACGTCTGAAAACATTAAGTTGTGGTTCATATAATTTTTCTAACCAATCTTGAATATCTTGAACATTTAATCCTCTTTCGACAGCTAAAGCACCAACATAAGCTTCAAAAACATCAGCGTATATTTTCAGATCAGTAGGTTTTAATGGATCTGAGGCAAAATTAGTTCTTAATTTTTTATCAAATCCATATTGGAAAGCTAATTTTCTTAAAGTATTATTATTAATTAAATCTGATCTTATTCTTGATAATTGACCTTCATCACAAGCTGGGAAAATTCTAAAAATTATTAATGTGACTAAATTATTTAAAACAGAATCCCCTAAAAATTCTAATCTTTCATTATGTCTTTGAACTAATGTTTCAGTCCCTAAATAAGTTCTATTATTAATTCCCGATTTATGAACAAATACTTTTTCATATAAACTGACATCATTAATTTTTGGAAGTGGTGGTAAATCATTATTAATACCAGTAATTGAAATTTCATCAGTTGCACTACGTGGGACATTATATACAACACTTTTTGAACTACTAGCATCCATTTTAGCTAATTCTTCTTGATCTTCATCAGTAACATTAATTTCATTAGTAAAAATTTGATCCAAGATAGGTAATTGACCCAATTTATGTTTTGATTTTAATTTAGAAGCTAATGACATTAATTCACTTGTTTTAATTTCATTTCTTGTTGAACTATCAACATCAGTTGAATTAATTACTTTTAATAATTCATAATAATCTGGGGCAGATTGTAAAATTGTTGCAACATTTTTTTGAAGAGTTTTAGCAGCATATTCCAATTTTTGTAAATCAAGAAAACCAATACGATGAGAAGGTTCTTTATCAAATATAGCTTCACCGAATGCCAGGGATTTACTGACTTCACTGGAACTAGTTCTGATTCTTTTTAAACCTTCCTCATTGTTTTCAATAGCTTCAGAAGCTAATCTTTTCTCTCCAGGTGATGATCTATCAGTTTTGATAATAATTGATGATGATGATTGTTGTAGTTTTTTATTATCACTTGATCCTCTAACAGTTTTCAAAAAATCTAAAAATGCAGAATCTGGTTGAATGTTAGACATGATACGTGGCCGACTTGATAAAGTCCTAATAAATGGGTTGAGAAATATGATTTGCTTAAGTTGAAGATAAAAAGAAAAAATTATTTAACATTGTTGAAATTAAGGGAAATACGTATAATATTTATATTTTTTTTTAAAAAAATTAATTACACAAAATAATATTTTGTTATGTATATAATAATTAATATATAAATTATTATAACATATAATACGTGAATTGATTTATTTAAATTGATTATCGACCTATCTAACCACAATGTTTTGATCCAATTCATTCAAATCCATAATCTTTAGCATCAAAAGAACCGAGCTCAATGGAAATGAATTTTGTACGTGTCCATTATACATAATTTTTCAATATTTTTTTGCCTCCGTTTTCAATATCTGTGTCGTGTAGACATCAAATTATGTTTCAGATTTTAATTATGATTTTTGCAATATTAAAAATGTTAAATCTTAGATTTCATTAGATCATTTCAAATCTCAAACTTGAGATCTTCAGAGAGGCTGGGATTTTTTACCTTTGTTGAATAAGTGGTGGCAATAATGCTTTTCTTTTCTCTTAATTTAGTTGTTGGAAGTAGAAAATTTGTTACGTTACTAAGTTTGGCATGCAACACTATAGCTCTGTTTCTTCTAGTGCAAAGTATATTATTACAGTGAAGTATAACCACCATCAAAACTTGGGTATAATAGGCTTTCAAGCATAGAATATTGGCTTAGCTTGTTGTGTTTTTAGAGCTTTATGTCACTTAAATGTGCTTTTCAAATTAAAACCTTAAAAGGATCCAGGTGTCTTGTTGAGAGTAGTAATGGTCTTCTATACTAAATTGTAATGAGAGCTTGTTGTAAGTAACAAAAACTCAGATCTAAACTATATTTCACTGGTAAACCTCACGAAGCTTAAACTAATTTAGTAATTAAAAATATTTCTAAAAGGACTTTACTTTGTTAAATTAAAAAATCAGCGTTACTCATATATTAACAATTGATAGGGTTACTAAGACTGTAACTTTCTTACCATTATTTATAAACATATATGAAACGTAAAACCCGTGTTGAAATCTGAGTTTTGTATCTGAAATCTAACGCTTTTGTGTGATGATTTGAGATCCCAATTTATTCAGTATTGAGGTCTGAAGCAATTGTTAATTACTCCAAATTTTTGTCTGATCATTCAATTATAAGCTTAACAGACTGTGAGTAATTAAATAAAAAAGTTCAAGAGTTTTGCGAAGGTTTGATTTTTGTAATCTCTGAGTTCCGCTAGATTTGTTTTAAAAATTGACTTTGATTTAATGCAAATATTGCAAGCTATAGTAAAAAGACAATCAACATCTACAATCGAAAGCCAGTAAAAGCACATTCCTAAGTCTGGTTAATTTCCAAACTGGTTGATTAATTTAAAAATTATGCCATTTATCAGGTTCAGGAACTCTTTTGAATTCAATCTAAATATGTAATTACGTGGTAGCAAGATTTCACTTAAAAATTTGGCACAAATTGAAAAATTTAATAGCCTTCTTTATAAAGAATACATTAAAACAATTTCCGTTCAGATGTCTAAGAACTCAGTCAAAAGAGTGGTGAACGCAAGTAAGTAACACAATTGCTACAAATTTACCAAGACTTGAACAATTAAATCTAACGAATTTTATTTTAGTTCAAAAATTTTATCCAATTTCATTAGCAGACAAATCATGGGACAACACAGGATTACTTGTTGATTCCTCATATGAAGAACCAGAATCATCAACAACCCAACAATTAAAAATATTATTAACAATAGATTTAACTCAATCAGTTGCTCAAGAAGCTATAAATAAACAATGTAAATTTATAATGTCATATCATCCTTTTATATTTAGAGGTTTAAAATCAATAACTCAACAAGATCCTCAGCAACGTTCACTTATAAAATTAATTCAAAATAATATTAGTGTCTATTGTCCACATACCGCGGTAGATAGTGCAAATGGTGGAGTAAATGATTACTTAGTTAAGATTGTCACCGACAGCGAAAACTCAAATAGTAGTAAACCTATTGAACCAGATTCAAATGATCCAAAATGCGGTATGGGTAGAATAGTAGAGTTGCAAGAGCCTAGGTCAATTACTAAAATTATAGGGAATGTGAAAAAAGGATTAGACTTGAGGCATTTACAAGTTGCTATCTCAAATGAAGGTACAGAAAAACCGATCAAAACTGTTGCCATATGTGCTGGATCAGGAAGTGGAGTATTCAAAGGTGTGGAAGCAGATTTATTTTTAACTGGAGAATTATCACATCATGAAGCTTTGTATTTAAAAGAGAGTGGTAGTCATGTTATCTGTTGTAATCATTCAAATACTGAACGAGGATTTTTGAAAGTAATACAAAAACAACTAGCTGATGAATTAGATCTAAGTGAAGAAAATATCATAATAAGTGAAAGCGATAAAGATCCTTTTGAAACTTGGTGAGTGGGCAAGCATGTATATAGTTGAAAGATAAGGTTGTAAAGTTAGTACTTTCATTTCAAATGTGATACAGTACTCGCGTTAATATAGTTACTGGCAAAAACATGATCTCTCAGTGGCTCAGTGAATATTTGGTCCTTGTTTATCAGTCTTTACAAATTTAATCCCCGGCCTTATATAGTATAGTTCAATCTATAGGAAATTCATCGCGGCATTGATATATGAATTCGAAATAAGTAATTTATACACAAATATATAATCAAGCTTAGTTCTTAAAAAAGATTGTCTTCATAACTTTAAGAATCTTCATATATAGGTCCATTTCATATATTGATGCGTGGTCCTTGACTCTTTGATCTTCCAGCAAGAAGTTCGATGTTTTTAGCATATTATCAAAGAGATTTCCAATGAGTAAATTCACTTGCTAACGTCATTGCAAATGATTGGCATAGGTAAATAGTAAGAAGTGAATAGCAAGAAGTTCGTTCCTTAATCATCAAGGTCTTGAACCCTCATTTCTTCAAAGTATTGATATACTCAGTATACTTTTTAACAAAGTAACTTGTATTCTATATTGATCTAAATGATGATTCAACTAATATTTTCTTTCCAACTTTATTAAAACTATATATTTTATACAATTTATTAGCTACTGACTAACTGTTTGATCTTGACGTAATGTTGATGGGGTGTTTATGAGCTGATTCAAAAACACACAATTTTGCAATTTGATTTGTTATAATTCTAAGGTTATAACGTACTTTATGATTCTGCATATACACAAGAGTAATTTAAACACTATTATTACCTTTTTGCAACTAGAAAGATTATACTTTAAGCTAGTTACAAATTAAAAGATCGATCTGCGTCAGAGATCACGGCAGTTGAGACAAGATTAGTCAAGAGGGTTCTAGACTTGAAGCTTAAGCTTTCACAGAAATAGTATCACTGACGTTGCTTGCCTGATACAACGTTTTCACACAGGATTTGTGAGAGATTTTTGGCCCAAAAGTACCTATTGTTAGCGAAGAATGTTGTATAGAACCACGTCCTTCAAATCTCTTGGCTTACTTACTCTACTTTCATTCACGAGGTAGTTCATACTACTTTATGGTATTTTCGTATCTGTCCAAGATCCACACGTATCTAGATCCCGATCCAGACTTTGGCCGATCCATAACAAAAAATTCAATCAGCATAACAAAATTCGCTAGGATCTAGCATAACAAAATAGTTTAGATCTATCGTAACAAAAACCTGAAACAAGCATACCAAAAACCTGAAACAAGCATACCAAAATCTTGAAATCTAGCATACCAAAAAAATTTAGATCTAGCATATCAAAAAGGTTTAGATCTAGCATAACAGAAACTTGAAACAAGCGTAACAAAAATCTGAAACAAGCATAACAAAAGTATTATCAAACATAACAAAATCTGTAGATCCAACATAACAGAATCTCTACGATCCAGATCTTGATCTCGATCTCGATCTCAATCCATCTCTACCACAGTAATTAATTTGGGTTTGAGATCCAGCAAATCTTGATCTTCGATCTCACTCCGACCTTACCTCAATAGTTTATTTTAGTTCGAGATCCCGCAAATCTTGATCTCATTCTCACTCCCTCCAGCATTTTACCTTCTTCTAATTGTCAAGACTATTGTGATACAGATAGTTCAGTCTTAGATAAAGAGTGACTATGAAAGTAATTAGCATTTGAACTAAGTTAATGGATGGTTAGATAATTAGTAAATTTGTAAAGGAGCTGAGTGCATCAACATATGTTTGTGGTTGCGAAAAATACCCCAAAAAGGCACTCACTTTGATCCAATGTTTTCGTAACTTTTGGCACTTTGTTCAACTTGTTCTGGCTACTACATTGCTGTTAGCCCTTAAAGAATATTGAGATTGAGACTTCAAAAAGATATTTACGATTATTTTCCTTTACCCACCCAAATATCTAGAACAGAGATGGAACCTGTTTAGATAATTTCTGATGGATAGTCAAAAAGTTGAAGTGCAAATTAGCTTTCTCTTATCTGATGATTTCATATCTCGAAGTCTTTTTTGCAAAAATGTCTTTTCCAGAGCAATTTTTTGACAATGATGAAATATTTCATTTCGTCAACATATTAATAATGACCAAAACTTAAACAATTTTGATAGGTTTGGTGTCTTTTCAATGACCAAAAATTTAGCATTAGCTAGTTCCAAGACACTCACTTTACAAACCAAAACAATTTTGCGTCTCGAATTGAAATACTAACAAATAAGTACTGATACTGAAGACACAAACTAGCCAACTTAGCTTCAACAGTTGGAAAATATTAAACCTAACGTCCTTGATTAAAAGAAGTGATGGATAAGGCGTTATGGCCAAAAAATGTGTATTCAAGTAAGATTTCGATGAAAACTTGAGTACTGAAATATTTTTATGTTCACATTACTCGCTATAACTTTCAATCTGTGGGAACTGGAGCTGAAATTTCATATTAAATACATTCGTATTTGATTAAAGATCAGTATGGCATATTAATCAAGAAGTAGTGACAAAAATTCATATTTTGGGCTGAAATTTTCGATGCATTTTTCAGGCACAAAGTACTGCATATAAGCTTATTTCAAACTTAATTTTTTAACACTGGAACAAGCTCATGTTTCATGCTTATTCAAGACGCAACATGAACTTTCCCCTTAAATCTCACTTCAAAACATGCGGCAAATTGCTGAAATAAGTCTCAATTGTCTTTCACGTTTACGAATGACTTGAGATAATGCAAATGAACTTTATGTTAAATTACTATCCGACTCTTTTCAACTCAAACTGTTTAATAGTAGAAAGAGGCTTGATATTTCTCAAATTAATCAAAGAATCACAAATAACTGGTTATGAGGCAATCGCATTGCCGAATCGTTACAAGTCTCTGACATCTAAATTTTGCAATTAATTGTTTAATCAATGACACAAATAAGTCGGCTCAGGTTAATAAATATTCGCATGTTGAAGTTAAGAACCACCTTTTCCAATCTCATTCTTTCAAACTCAGTTACTAAGAAATATGCACGAGCGCCGATGACTTAAATATTAATAGTTGAAGTAGGATAACAGTTACACTTGTTAGTAGCGGCCAATACATAAAAAATTTCGTCTTCTTCAACAACTACGCTTACTTCACTGAAAGATTTTACTAGATAATTTCTACAAGTTAGATGTTGCTGTTTTTTGTATACATAGGCTACGCAAAACAACTTTGAAGTACCTGACATTTTTCTGGCTTACTTGGTATTGAAATAGTCACCAAACAATAATCGATGCTTTCATTGCATGTTTCAGCATTTCCTGGTCAAAACAAATACTCTATGAACTTACTATTGTATTTTTTACAAGCAAAATGATTATTAAATAATATGTTTCAAAAAATGCTACCAACAAATTTTGTAACAAATCACACGCAAAAAAAAAGTTGCAAACACAAGCATAACAGGAATCTAAAAATACATTATCTATTTCTATTACATTGTTAATCATCACATATGACTAAGTACACTAAACTCAAAATGCAGCATTCAACAATCAATTTATACTGATAGCATTTGCAACTAGAAAGTTCTAGGAGGTCATTTTATTTTATATAGAGGAAACCATAGTTAAGAAATAATAGGTTTCAGTCTACTTTACGGTAACGTTAGAGCTTAAGCTATAGTTAATTTGGGAACTAGATGCTTTCTCATATTGACGTACCCTGATAAAATTCTCAAAAGGGGTGGTTCACAGCTATCAACAACTTCGCTTTTGCAGAATTAAAAGACATGTCTTTGTACAGCTTCAACATCAGCATAGATAGAGCCAGAAATGAGATAAAATTGTTGCATACATGTTGCCTATTCTCTCTTGATGGTACTCAGAGATCGTAATATGGCTTAATAATCTGTGAAACTACCCCTAAAAAAATTGAGAATTTAACATTTTGCGCTCGCACATTTCACTTTTTTTTCGTTAATTATTTTTATAGCATTTCTGAATACCTTTACTCTTTACCAATACAATGAACTAGGTCTAATTGCATAATCTTTTCTAGTTGTTGAGATATTAAGCAAAACGTATAACTTACTCAAATGGGCAGCTACAGCCTTCAAACTAGTCTAGAAAATTAGATCTTGATCTGAATGACCCAATTCTTAAATGTATGCGTTGATATCAGTGCCAGTTGTAGAGATATAGGCCATTTTAGTTTTGGCCATTTGCAAGGTTAAAATTGCACAAAGCCGGATTTATATTACCGAAAGTCACGTTCTCTAGCTTTTGTAGCGTAATGGCAAAGGTAGTTCACTTCAAATTCCGAAAGGTGCTGGGTTCGCTTCCTGCTAAGTTTTGGTCCTCAAGGTAAAAATTACACAAAACCGGAGAAATAACTCCGCTCACGTGCCGTAGTTAAGTATACAATTTGAAATATGTATTAATCACGAAAAAATTAAATTCATCAGAGGCAGATCATTGAAAGAGGTAATTATTCAAAAAACATTGAAGCTCAAAGGATTATTGCTTGATTCATTCTTTAGTCAAATTGAGCCTATTTTTTGTAATTGAAAATTTTCAAAGTAATTATTTGTGTCCAAAAATACACAACGTTTTTATGCAAAAATATTTTGCAGCATAACAAATATTTTGCCCATTTAGATATATACAAATCGAAACTTTTTTCTAATTACTTTATACTACTCTTTCTTCTCGATCACCATCTTCTACTTCTATCCATGCTACTTTTATCCATACTACTTTTATCCATACAAATGTAGAACTATTTATTTATTTATTTACTACTAACTTCAAAATTCTAGTGTCATTATTAATTGAGAAATTGTTTGTGAGACATTTCACCCGCTTAAGTATGGGAGGTACCTGAGTTGACTACCTAAGACGTTTTCCCGACCCAATGGACAAATCAATGATTTTATTAGATTTGAGACACAACCTTTGAAGACAAACTTAATTAATTGACTGGACAGTGATTTGGATTTGACACTGAAGTGAAGCAAGTGAGATTTTTAGTGTTTTGGATAATTTACTGACAACCATTTTTGACTTTGGTATTTGAGATACATGACTGTGAGTGGGGAGGTTGCTTGGTAGAAATGGACTGTTAATACATCTTTGATTGCATTCATTTCAAATTATCTGTTGGGTTTAATACAATTAAGAAGACTTAAGAGATCGGACAAATGCAACAAACTAGATAAAATTAGCCTCAGTTTGATTTAGAGCTAGCCACCAAACAATCAAATGGTTAGCAAGATTATTTTACAGGTTAGAATTACCATAAAAATACGTTACATCATTTGGAAATTGACAACTAAAAATTGATGTAAGAAAATACAGATTTGTTTCAAAAGATGCTACCATACAAGTTTTGTACATTTTGCGTGCAAAATGGTTGCAAATGCAAATACATCAAAGATTAAAAAACTTCAAATTTAAGTACAAACTAACAAACACAATTACTCAATCATATTCAATAAGTGGAAAATGACTAATTAATAAGATAGTTGATATATGTTAATTAATGTCGCGGCTACTAATGTTTCGGAGAAAGACTGAATAAGATGAAAAGTTGTAAATTAAAGCAAAAATAGACATCAACAAAGATGATAAAGTACCACCTTAGAGCAAGTGGAGATACAGTTTCCAACAGCAAACTGAATCACAGAAACTTGATTAATATGACGTACCCCAAGAAATCCTCAAATGGGGGAGTTTACAGCTATCGACAAATTATTGTTGCAAAAACGACTAACATGTACTAGCATAGCTTCAGCACTTACATAATCTAATACAAGCTCAAGCTTTAGTGATGCATACATGCTGCCTATTGGTTCTTGATGGTACTCAGAGTTCACAATATGGCTAGAAAGTCTGTAAATCTACCCCCTAAAAAATTTGAGGGTTTTCCATTTTTAGCCCCAACATTTCACTTTTTTTTCAGGTATTATTTTTTATTGCAATCTCAAATACCCTTATTGTTGTTCTTTCCAATGCATTAGATCTCATTGATGAATCTTCTCTGGCTGTTGAGATATTAAGCAAAACGTCTAACCCACTCAAATGAGTAGCTACAGCTCTGAAAGCAAGTTTGACAGTTAGATCTTGATCTAAATAGCTAGATTGACATGCCAAGTTGTGAGCAGCTCCAGTAGTTTAGGAGATATGGGCCATTTAAAATTTTCAGGACTAGTATTACACAAAACTGGCACTACTTGTTACACAAAAATAAAGTAGTAGTTTTAGCTGATTTTAAGGTACCAGAATAAACTTTGGTTTAAGTCTAGTTTGATGAAGCACTTTTAGCTGTATAGCACCTCTGGTTGTAGAGTTATTAAGGTTTTAAATTATAAAAGTCACGTGAATTGCATGCGGGGATAGGAGTTGAACAAAGAGGGGCACAAATGTGGTGCATAAATTACATAGTTAAGTAAAGGAGATAGGCGTTAGGAATGCATATAAATTGAGCTTTTTCAAATGAGACATTCAGTATAAAACATCAAATAACGATAGACAGAGTCAAGCTGCAGAAAATTTACTCATACAAATTACATTTACTTTTTGACCAAGTATCTCATGATGTGATTTTTTTCATAACTTGAAGAATTTTGAAAAATTTTGATTAAATTTTGGACTTCCAGTTTGATGGACTTTGTAAGAATTTGGTGTTCTAAAATGACTGCATATTAGCCGAACTTAAAAACACCAATAAGTCTACAACCACTGCTGTTTTGCTCGATCTGGCCACTTCCAATTCTTCTCTAAAATGAGATCTATCTTTTGATACTCCTTTTGTTAGAATAAGTGCTCAATTGGTAAAGTTGCAAATATCTCAACAACTAAGCATCCAGTTGAAATACAAACTATTTTATACAAGAGCGAGAGACATGAGGTATCTGAAGAAGCAATAAAAAGAGCACTTTAGCTAAGTTGGTAAAAGGGCAGACGTATTTCGCCGTCATTTGGCAAAATTCTCAATTTTTTTGAAACAGGGGTTTAGAGCAGTACACATGACTATATGGCTGCCTTGTACCATAAAGGACTTACTAGTTAAGTTAAACATTCATATGAATGATATTTTATAGTTTTATAGCTTTACAAATAATTCACTAAGTTAATTAGTCTTTTTGACTATTTAAATGACTGATAAACCCCTATTGAGAATTTTGATGGTACAGAAAGCATGGATCTTATCTCAAAGTATAAGCATCCAGCGCTAGAAGGAATTGTATAAGTATTGCGAACCTTTTTCTCATCTGGTTTTATGCCGTTAATATGGTTACATAACATGAAATAATATAATATTTCTATAGTTTCTATATTAATTTGATTAATGATAAATTTCCTATAATTTGTTTAATTTTATTGAATTCATATGCTATATATTTTGTTAGCATTTGACTGATTGATTGATTCATTAATGATGATGTTGTTGTTTATGAGTTGATTCCAAAATACACATTTTTGTTGTTATTATTTTTGTTTTTAATGTACCTTATAATCCTGCACATAATGTTTTGCAACTTAGAAGATTTGAGAAATACATAAGAAAAAATAAAAGTCAGAAAAATCGAACCGAAATTTGTTGAACCTCAGTTCAGTATTGGCTAGAACTCAAAGTATATTGATTAGAAAAGCAATTGTTATCATCTATTGTATTTCACTTGTATATTAGTATCTAATGATTTTGAACTTGAAGGTAAGAAGAACTCAAAGAAATGCAAACAATTGTTGATCCTCAAACTCAACAGCATCATCATCTCCAAAATTCTTTACTTCTATAACATCACCATCAACTTCATATATACCATCAGCTAGCAAATCATTAATTTCTCTACCTTTATAAATAAACTCTATTGTTGCGTTTGAATCAACTGGTTTTGATGGTGGGAAACAACCTATTGTAACATGGATGTATTTATTTAATGGCTCAATTTCAATGACTTCTCCTTTAGTATTGTAGATTGAATGAATTTGTGCTTTTATACAGATAAGTTTATTGTGGTTTATTACAATTTGTTGTAGTTTGATATTACTTTTGAAATCCAATGGATTCTTACCTTCTTCATATTTTTCCAATCCAATACTTTTTAAAATCTTTTGCCATTTTTTTTTGTTTTCTTTATTTTTCGTACTTGCAATATGAGCCAATGTGATATGAAATTTATCTTGGACTAAATTTTCTTTTTGTAAATTTTGATATTGTATGTGGGATTCAATTAGGTTTAAAGATTTTAGGATTCTTTGAGGTTGAAGTGAGATCCCAAAATACGTTGGTTCTTTTTTTTTTGCCGGGTTGTTGTTGTTATCGTTTGATTTATTGTTGCCGAAAGTTTTAGTAAATGTTGGTTTATAATCTAGACTTTCTTTGAATGCTTTTTCTATTTGCTCGGATGTTGGTTTTGTAGTGATTAAATCCGGGTAAGTTTCACTTAAATTGTTTATTATTAATTTCACATTTTCTAATGATGAGTTTGGCTGATTTAATTTCAAATTTATTACGTGATCGAATTGTGAATCAGGAGACTTTGTAGGATCAATAGGTCTAAATCTTTTAATAAATCCTTTCATTACAGATACAGTTAATTGTTCATTTGAATTAACTTTAATCAGTTGATGATTATCACCTCTTTCTTTAATTCTTCCATATGTGATATCCCAAAGTTGATCATCATTAACTTCATCATTTATAAAGTTTATACCGATATATTTAAGTTGAATCATTGGATCAATATAAGTATCTCTTTTTTCAAATATTGATGTGAAGATTTGTTTTCTTTCTCTAAATTCTGAGTTATTTCTATCAAATAAAACAACTGGATAATTGTCCAATGCTTTTAATGCTAAATCTACTATTTTTAATTTTGATTTATTTGGAATATTATCATTTTGTATATGTATCCAATCTGGGAATAACAAATGCAAAGTATTGAAAACAGTGGTTTTTCCACATCCAATAGTTGCTACAGGTACTATAATATATTTCGTTATATCTTCTAGATTTAATGATTTTAATTCTTCAGTTAATTTTGCATCAATAGTCAATAAATTCATACCATTTGTTTCATGTAAATGATCCAAAAATAATTGTCTTACTTTTATAATACCATGACCTTTTGCAAAATTTTCTTTTAATTCTGGTTCTTTTGCAAATAAATCTTCAACAAATTCTAAATATTTTTTAGTGATTAATTTATTTTTCTTCATTCTTACCGAATGAGATGGTACACCATCTATTAGTTGTCTTGTCACTTCCCTAAATTGTCTATATAATAAATACGGTTCTTCAAATTTATATTTGAAAAAAAAATCATCATTTGCCTTTTTACATCTAATTACAAATCCTTCAACTTCTCTTTTATTATAAGTACCGGTTTCTGAACATTTGTTTAAAAAAGTAAATAATTCATCATATTCATTAAATGATAAATATTCAATTAATTTGAACCCCCAATCATCTGCAAATTTATTAACTTCATTTATGGAAACAGTTTTGAAATTTATAGTATTATAGTTCAATCCATGTAAATATAAACCAGACTTATCTTTTGGGTAAGGTAAAACATGTTCTTCAAATTCATCATCACATAATTCAGATATAGCAGTTAAATTATTATCAAATAAGTATTTAGCTAATTCTTTAACTTTTGCATCACCCAATTGTTTTCTCAATTGTAATTCACCTTCAATGGCATGGTTCCTAGTATTATCATCTCTAAAACCAGTAGAATGTTTAGAACAAACAACAATATCACCAGTATGTAATCCACCTATGAATATTATACAACCATTTTCTTTCAAAGTGACATCATAAGGTCCTGAGGTGTTTGCTCTTAGATCTTCTTCTTTTGTCATTGGTTTTTCACCAACATTGAAAAATTTATCGTAACCTCTAATTACTATTTCTTCATCATTAAAAGTGAATAAACCTCTTGCTTGTATTGGTAATTTAATTTTATCTTTTCCATAGTCGAAATCTAAAAATTTCCAAGAATCTATTGGTATTGATGTATTATATACATTGTTTGTAAATTTTATACATTTGCCGTTTCTCTTTAATTTGGTTGATTCTTCTAGTTGAATACAAAGGTTTTTAACTTCTTCTTTTGTATTGGTTGTACTCATGAAATAGTGATGTTAGTTCGACATGTAAAAAAAATTGACTGACGTATTGACTAAAAAGTGGAATATATATATGAAATTCAATAATGCTAAACAAGTCTTGCTATCTACAAATGAGCAATACTCCAAAAGTTGTTGTACGTTATTGTTTTGAAATATGACAAATAAATTTAAGCAGCACTTTTTAAATTTTTCAAATGTACGATTTGTTTTATCAACACAAATCTGAGACAATAATAATATATCAATTACTACAATTTAATTTAATAACAAAAACAAACAAAAGTTGACTCATCAAAAACTCCCACAACATTACTTGGTGGTTACAACTTCATACAATTAATCAACAATGCCATACAAGGTAGATATAGATGAAGCAGATGTAGCAGTACTAAATCAAAACCTAATAAGATCAAAAGAATTATTTGAAAATATAAATAAATCATTATCTAAAATATCCACCAGCACTAAAACAGCTCATGCTACAATTAAACCCATATTAAACAAAGTCAACAACTTATCCTCGCAAAAAGTGGAGATTAACAAAGGATTAAGTTTATTATCTGAAATCAATGAAAATGTAGAAACCATTAAGAAATATGAAACTTTACTAAACAACTCAGTTGAAGTAATTGGATTACAGAAATATATCATCAATTTGAATTCAGCTAGACAACTATTCAATCAAATCAGAAACAAATTCAAAAATTTCAAAGGTATAATTCTCAATTTCGAAAATGTATTACATAGATCAGATGCAAAAGTATTAACGTACATTGACTCCATTTTAAACTTGGATAGTACCAAATTAATAGCTAGAAAATTAGATATAAAAATAATTTGGGATTATTTTGCAAGTCAAAAAAATGAAATATTCATAAATGAAAAATATATAAAAGAAAGAGGTAATAAAATTGTAACAAAGACAAAAATAATGGAAAAAGATTTAAATCCTACATTCATAGATGGACAATTTGAAAAAAATCAATTTGGATATAATGGTTATACTAATTCTATTGAAGAAATTATAAGACAAGAAAGTAGTATATTAAATCAATGTTCTTTACCCTTTGATTTAATTGATGGTATACTGAATTATGCAATAAATGAATATAATAAAGTTATTATATCTTTTTCAAATCAAATTAATAATAATACTAAGGAAATAAATAATTTGATCATTTTAGAAATTATAGATAATATAATTAGACTTGAATATCAATTGAAAAATAAATTTAATATTAATAATATAAAATTCATATCAATAGTCAATAATTTTATATTAAGTTCTTCAACAATATTTGCGAAATTCATAAGAAGTATAGAATTTAAATTTCAAAATTTAACAATGTATAATGAATCAAATACTCATCAATTAACAGCAGATTTTTTAAATATAGCAAGAAGAATGTGTGAATTTAGACAATCTTTATTAAAATTAATCTTAAATTTAAAACCAGGTGAATGGATTCAAGGTAATCCTCCATTGAATTATATTTCCGTATTCACATCAATTTTACCAAATTCAAATAATGATACATCAGCAGATTATTTATTATCTTCATATTTTTCAGATATAATTGATTGTATAATCATTAATATTGAAATGGGATTAAAGAAACAACCAGGAGGTAATGACCAGAGTCAAAAAAGATCAAGTCAAGGGTTCTTGTTATTACGTAATTTACATTTAATTGAAAGTATTATAAATAGATCACAAGATTTACATAAAGTATTGGGACCGATTGGACAAGATAGAATCACCAAACTCAAGAACAGATGTTTAAAATCATTCTTAGAAGATTGGAACAATGCATCATATATAGTCATTGAAAGAATGGCACAAATACAAGCACAAATCCAATTAAATAATCCAAATGCAAATCCAATTCCAATGGTCTCTAATATAACAAATCCAAATATGTCAATGAATTCATTAAATACAAATACCACCACCAATACAATAACTGAGACTAACCTATCTAACAAAGATAAAGAGCAAATTAAAGAAACTTTTAAAAGATTTAATGATGCATTCGATGAAGCTTTAACAAATTATTCAAAATTTAATTTTGGTGATCAAAATTTGAAAAAATATTTAGGTAATGAAATTAAAAAATTAATATTAAATGCTTATTCTAAATTATATGATAAGTATGGTTTATCTGATTTTACTAAAAATAAATCAAAATATGTTAAATATGATAAATTACAAATGGAACGTCTACTAAATGAAAGATTATACTAATTGCACATAATATAGTTGTTTGGAGGTTTAGTGAATAAACAGTTGAGAAAATGAAAAATCTAAAATTGTTTAATGGTGCTTTAAATGTTTGCAATGGTCATAATCGAGCTAATATTTATATTTGACATTCTTACTAAATATTTCTGTGGTACCTTAAATTTATAATATAATGTACACCTAAAAATCAATTGAAAAATTTTAAGAGGTAATTACAGAATAGTTTTAAAATTGCTAATAATTTCATAATGACGTTTTATAAAATGTTTCATCTTTAATTTATTCTATTTTGAAAAAAAAAGAATAAGGTCATCTTGCATCTTTCCAAAAATGATCTGAAACTAAGACTAAAAACTTTCGGGATTTCTTCGTCGGTTAAATTACAATAAATATAATATAATAATATTTTATAATTATTCAATTGAATCATTCTTACTATGTCAATTTTAAATATAATATATTCAATTGCTATTTATAAGTTGCAACCATCGAAGAATTATAATAAATTAAATTCTATTTTTGCTCTCTTGTGACAATTAATTATTTGAGCCGCATTACGTATATTTTTTTCCATATGGGGATTTTTTATATACACACTCTCTAACTATCGTTCATATTTCCACTTGTTTAATTAATTATATAGGATAACTTGATATAGGATTGTGATTCATATCTTACCAAATTCTTGTAAGTAAAAATTGAAAACAAAACGTATAGTTTAAAATTATAACTATTCAAGTTTAATAATTCGTCATAATCTAAGGTCCAATTAAACTTTATAATATTACACTTAATACTTAACTAAATTAAGTTAAAATTAATTTGCTATCTTTAATTTTTAATCTTTTGTGTTTAATAAATTATAAAATTATTTTTTTGCCATTTTCAACCCTGATTTTTATTTTTTTTTGATTGCAATTTAACAACCACTTTTTTCTTTATACTTTTTATTTGAAAAATTTTTCATCAATTGATATATAATCCCTTATAGTTTATTATATAAAAGAGATATATTAAGTATTTCTACAACTCAATTGACTTATATTCTTAAACAGTTTTCAATTAAATTCAACTTTTTAGATAACATAAATTTTAGGAATTTCAACAACCACAATTAATTAAAAAATAAAAATGTCATCAATTCCAACTCAACAACATTCAACTTCAATTCCAACAGGTGGAGTTCCTCCAATTGGTGAATCATCATCAAATTATGGTTCAAATTCATCTTCATCACATCAACAACAACATACTGCATCAAATCCTTTTACTGATCCATCAAATAAATCATCAAATACTGCTCCATTAGCTTCAGGTTCATCAGTTACTCCAACTACTGCTTTTAATCAACAACAACATGCTACTTTTAACTTATTAACTTGGAAAGATCCAATTTATACTGGTAAAATTTTTGGTTCAATTATATTTGGATTAATTATTTTTAAAACTATTAATTGGGTTAATATTATTTTCCATTTATCTTATATTTTATTATTAATTACTGCTGCTGCTGAATATTCAGGTAAATTAATTACTGGTAAAGGATTTGTTACAAATTATAAACAAAGATCACCAGATTCTTCAATTGCTAAAAAATTTAATAATGAAATTTTACCAATTATTGGTTCATTAAATATTGAAATTGAAACTCAATTAAAAAAAATTTTTTATGCTAGTGATATTGAAACTACTTTAAAAGCAAGTGGAATTTCTTATATTTTATATAAATTAACTTCATATGTTTCATTATTTAATTTATTTGTTGCTTCAATTATCTTGGTTTTCACAATTCCATTTGTTTATACTCACCATAAAAAAGAAATTGATGCTGCAGTTACAAAATATACAAATGTTGCTAAATCTCAAATTTCAGAATTAACTACAAAAGCTCATAAAGCAGCTGGTCCACGTTTTGATGAATTTATTAAAAAATTAGGTCCAGTTGGTGAATTTGTTCAATCTAAAATCCCAACAAGAACTGCTGGTTCAACTGTTGGTACTTCAAAGGCAACTAAATATGGTACTGCTGCTGATAATCAATATGAACAACAACATACTACTTCATCAATTCATACTGGTAAAGGAAATTCAGAAATTACTACTGGTGCTGGTACAACAAAGCAACCATTTGAATCATCAACTGGTGTTTCTACTGGTAGTTCAAAATTCCCAAATGCTCCAACTTCAGGATTATCCGGTTTACATCCAACAACTGTTGAAGATGTTGCAAATGATTCATTTGATGACTTTGCTGATACAACTCAAGAATATAAACCATCAACTCATAAATTTTAATTGAAATTAGTGTAAACTAATTTTTATCTTAACATAGGAGGAGGAAGAAGTATCAATCACAACTACATCAATTGCTCGAAACTATAATCAAACCAAACAACCTTTTTTATATATATATTTTGTTAACAAAAAGCAAATGATTTAGCTTTTAGTCTTTAATTTTTTTGTATACATCATTAATTGATTTCAATTCATTGTATATCAATTAAATCTAATTTTTTATAATTATTCTTTTACAAAACTAATTCATCTTTATGAATTCTCTCACTTTTTGAAAGTTACCCTTAACTATTCATCAATTGCAATTTGTGATATTGTTGACTTTGCTCATTAATCGATCTCGACTACGAGAGACCAAACTTACAAAAGAATGTTGCAAAGATGTACATACTTTACTATACAAGTAATACATAACTCTATTCACAATCATCAGGATTATCCACCCTTCTGAAACAAGCAACATACTTATCACCTTTATTTCTATCAACTTTTTGTCCTTCTTCAGTAGAATTATACATAATTTCAACACATTCATCACTCGCCAACTCTGTCTCATTTAATTTTTCAAACAATGGATGTTCTTCCAAATGTTTATTCATCCATTGATGTAAATCCAATACATCAGTTATTGTATATATAATCCCTTCCTTTTTCAAAACGTATGCATATTCAGATAATAAAGTATTTGTTATAATTCTTGCTTTATGTTTACGTTGTTTAAAATGAGGATCAGGAAAACAAAAAAAAATTTTAGATAATTGTGATTTATTAAAGAAATTTGGTAAAAATTTCATTGCATTACCTCTTATAACTCCAATATTTCCATAATTATAATCATCTTGAGAATGATTATTTCTTAATGCAATAATTCTATCTTCAACATATTGAGTAACTTGAACTCTGATTTCCATACCTAAAATTAATTGATTTGGAAAAGATGGACCTAATTTAATCATTAATCCACCAAATCCACAACCTATATCAGCAATCTCCACTTTTTTAGTAGTCAATTCTTGTTGTGGATATATTGAAGACCAATCCATTGTTTGTGGAGATGTTGGATAATTTAATCTATGATCAGAAAATGGATTTGAATGAGCTCGTTGTCTATAAAATCTTTTACGTGGTAATTCTATATCTTCTGGATCTGTTTGTGGAGTTGGTGATGGTGATGCTGTATTGTTGGTGGGATCTATTATTCTGACTTGTTTTCTTTCATTATCTTTTAGATTTCTATATTGAGTTCTTTTGGTTGAGTTTGAATTTGATCTTGGATTTGGTTTTTGTTTCTTGGATTGTTTAGTTGATGATGTTGATAGATTTTCTGTAGTTGTGTTCGTAGCTGGTTCTTGCTGCTGTATTTCAGTATTCTCTATATCATAGTTATTATTTGTTGTGTCTGTCATATTTGAATGAACTCGTATTTGATCTTCTTCTTAGTAGAGATGGCTTTTTTATGGTGAAACATTTTTTTACAACCAATTTTTCAACTTTTGCAACACTATTTTTAAAAAGATTAGACAAGCTATAGCTACATTAATTACAAAGAAATAGTTCATTTAATCATGAAATTTACTTCATTAAATATATACATCTATTTACAAAACCTACTTCTCTTCTTCAGAATTAGGATTAAGATCTTTTTCTCTAGCTTCCATAGTCAAATATAACATATTACCAGGAGTTTCTAAAGTTCTTACCAAACCAGCACCACCCAACATTGTTAAAAGTCCCACAAGTTGAGATTGTAAAGTTTCCTTATTTGGTAAGTTTTTGAACTCATCTATTTCTTTTGAATCTAAAAATGAATTTTGATCGATTTTTGCACCTATTATTATAATTTTTTCATTCATTGATTTAATTAATTTTGAAATTTGTAAAACTATTGATGGTTCACATTTTGGAATACTTATTATTGCAGTTGGACCAACAAATAATGAATCTATCTTATGGGTATTCTTGTGGTTCTTTTTATTATTTCCTATAAGAGCTGGATCTATCTCGTTGGATGATCTTAAATAAGTTTTGTAAATTGAATTTTTAATCATTGTCAATTTTGAATCATGTTTCTTTAAATCTTGTCTGAACTTTGTATTTTCATTTTTGTTTAAATTATTATGATGAATAAATAAAAGAATTTCATTTGAATCATTTAAGTATTTGTATAAATCTATGAGGTATGTTCTTCTTGAGAATAATGGTTTTTCCGTTTTTCTAGATATGAATTTTTGATGTTCTTCAGTTGTTGGGACAAAATCAGTGTAGGATAAGGGTATTGAGGTTGATGATGATATTTCTGTTGTGATTGTATTATATTTCGTTGATGATGTTGAAAAAAAAGATAACGATGATAAGTTTAGACTTATTGGTGATCTACTTATACCATTCTTAAGACACCTTGTAATCATCATTATGTTATTAACTTCAAACGTGATTACTTTTATTGGTTTCCAAATACTAAATACAATCAAATTGAAATTTTTCAAAACTTTTTCAAAAGTATGGAACAGTTTATATATGCAGGATTTCAACAGCTCTATATAATGAAAGTATATATTGAAGTTAAATATGAACAGCTTATAAGTAGTTGAGCTAGCACTTAGTAGAATAGAATTATCAGCTTTATCACTGATTGGATGACCAGTTTATAGATTTGAGGAATTTTCAATGCTGTTGTTTAGTTCCTGTTACAAATATTTTAGATTTAAGCTGCAAATGATACAAAATCAATATAATCTCTTACTTCAAACTATCTTGTTTCAATAATTGATTTTAAAACTACTTGCAACCCCCGAGGTGCTCCATTCCAAGTCTTCAATTAAACAATAAACCATCTTACAGATGATATGTGGCCTCATAAAGTAGGACTTGGAGTTCGACTAAGTTATGGAGTTGATGGAAATGGTATTTTATCAATAAAATCAAATAATGAAAACAATAATAACATTAATGATGACGACAATAATGACAATAATGACTGTAACGAAATAGAACCAATAATGGATTTTCCAAGACTTGAACCAAATACACCGAACCAATATTACAAATCAAATTCCAAAAAACTACTAAGAAATCCACTAAATTATTCAACAATTGATGATCAGATATTAACTACATCTTCTAAAGATACAAGAAGTTTATTAACTCCAAATTATATACCTCATCAAATATTATCATCTTATGGTTTGGAGAGTTCAGCAATTGAATCGGATTTTGCTTATGATCCAATATTTGGAGACATTATAAAAGCTTTTACTATAACAAATTCCACAAAGGAATATAATGGATTACTGTACGTCACTGGGTCTTCTTTAACTGTTTTAAATTTTGCAATTTTTTTTAAAGGTTCAAGTTCTGCTAGTTTGAAATTATCTGAACCCTATGAGGTAGATTTTTTGGATAATATTAGACAAGTGGACATCAAGAGTGATAATAAACAATTAGTAATTTTAGTTAGAACAAATACTAAAATTTACGTGTTAACTTGTCGATTAATTTCTGATTCAAAGGACTCAAAAGCCAGTCCAAATTTTGATATGTCAATAATTAAAGAAATCATTTCATCAAAATTTGGAAACTCAACATTTGCTGACGTATCAATTTGTTTTAAAGATATCAGAAAATTCGCAATAGTTGATATCTTAGGTAATCTAGCTGTATGGAAAATTAATAAAAATTTCACGAAAGTTCATAAACTAAATAAAGATAATTTGAAGATGCCTATAGTCAGCTCACAAGATCTATCAAATTGGATGAAAATCAATTGGTTAACAAATTCTGGTAAATCAAAATCAAAAACCACAGATCAACTTCTACTATCTACAAGAATCAAGACTTTTCAATGTGATATGACTAACAATACACAAACCTCACTAATGACTTCCAATACATGGTCCAGATTGAGAGACGTATATATATTGGGTGAGAATGTTTTTTATTTGACTTCTAAAGAGATAATTTGGTTCAAATATGAGTCGCAGAACTCAAACATAAGTTTTGAAAGGTTATTATCTTGGAAGCATTTTCTCAATGACGATGATCCCTCACTTAAATTTTCAATATTCGAAATTGGGAAAGCTTTCTCGATAATGATATATTCAGAAATTAGTCCTACTATTATTGTCTATACATTTGGTTTTCAAATAGAGAAACCATTTAGTTTACAAGATCCATATATAATACAAGGACCAGCAAGAGGTCTAAAACAACTAGTTACAATAAAAGACGACATACAAAATGTACATCTACTAGAGCTAAGTTCAAATTTAACTTTAAGTGGATCAATTTTACAATATGGTACACCAGCAGGTATAACAACTTCTCCCTTTCATCATACCACAAAGACATTAGCCAAAGCAGCAACGAATATAGACAAGTCCAAACTGACAAAATTGAAAAAATTATATCAAAACTTAATCAAATTTCAGGGTTCTGATTTAAGTCTGATTGAGATTTTACAGAATTATGCATCCACATTATCTTCAAAATTTGAGAATGAATCATACTTCGAGAAAATAACATCAGAGAGTTATAAATCAATGCTAGAAATAGACAATAGAATTCCTTTAAATATATCTGATATATACGAGCTAGATGATATGATAGTTGAGCTAAAGAATAGTACATATATGGAAAACATAGATATTAAAAGTCTTATAAATAATGGAATTATTCAAAGAAATGGGTTTTTAAATATTACGGAAACTCAATCACATATTTACAATATATACTTATTGATCAAAGACCTATTTAAAGAACAGAATATACCAAATTCAACAATCAATACTGCAATTATTCTAGGACTATCACTAATAAAATTTGAAAATAAGTCAAACAACATCCACCAACAAAATTTTGACGAGATAAAATCCAATTCTTCAGAAAAAGTCCAACTTTTACTTGATGGCTGGGATGAAAAAGAAGAAGAACCAGAATCACAACAACCAGATTTAAAAACCGTAACATCACAATTCAATACGTTGCCAACTTTAAAATCAAGTCAATCTCAATTCACTCAACCATTGGCATCACAATCTAATCACTCACAAAGATTGAAAAGACATGCTTCAAATTTATCTCAACCTTCAAGAAATTCACAATTTTCTCAATCTAGTTCTCAACAAGCTAAACGTAAAAAGAAAAAAGTTAAAGGATTTGGTTAATTACACTTCACACCCAATTATAGACACTTTATAGACTCAACTCCACTTTAGTTCTTATTGTTTTAATTTATATTAATTAATTAATTCATAACGTTGTTTCTTTTTGAATATCTCTAATTCTTTCAGCTAATAACTTTGGTTCAACTCCTTCATCTAATAATTTATAACATAATGATAATGTAGTATCATCAATTCCTTTGATATTTAAAAGTTTTGCTAATTGACTTAATATCTCATTTGATCTGTTGTTATTCTCCGAGATACTGCTTGTATTTGTTGACATGATATTGGTTTAGAAAGAAAGAAAGAAAGAAGTTGCCATAATCCTTAATTTGTTGCAAAATTAATAACAACGCGTCTGAATCTGAAATTTCAATCCTTTCCAAAATCTGGGGAAATGAATTTACTACTAAACTTTAGATCTCAATTCAGGCACTCCCTACTCAGACGATACTTATCAACCCCAGCCTGTCAATATGATCCATTGAATGTTGCATTCTTTGGTAGTGGCAATTTTAGTGTTGCAAGTTTACGTAAATTATTACAATTAAGATCATCATCAACCAAATTCATCAATGACTTAAAAGTTATAACAAGAACAATAAAACCAACAGGAAGGAGTATGAAAACGTTTAAAGAACTACCCGTAAGTGAATACGCACTAAGCAACAATATACCGATTCTAAGAGCTGATACATCAGAAGAAATCAATAGATTAATAAATGAAAACAATTTCAATCTCACAATAGCAGTATCTTATGGAAAACTAATACCTTCAAAATTTCTAGAGAGCTGTCAATATGGGGGATTAAATGTTCATCCATCACTACTACCGAAATATTCAGGATCATCGCCAATACAATACGCATTAATCAATGATGATAAAGAAACTGGTGTCACTTTACAAACTTTACATGCTACTAAATTCGATCATGGGTCTATAATATCTCAATCAAATCCAATTGAAATACAAGATTCAGATAATTACAAAAGTCTAGAAACTAAACTTGGTGAATTGGGTGCCCAATTGCTAGTAAATTCAATCAAAGACTATACATTTCTAAATCCAAATTCTGAAACTCCCAACGTAAAACGTACACTAGCCCCAAAAATCGATAAATCAAAACGTCAGATACTTTGGAACCAGTATATTGCAAGACAAATTAAGAGATTATATGATGCCCTCGGTCCCCTTTATACCTTTATACCAGTTCAAATCAAGAGGAGAGATAAACCATTCGAAGAATTAAAGAGAGTGATATTAAATGATGTTAAAGAAGTGGCTGATGACGCTACATTAAAAGAATTGAATCTCAGCCAAATTGGAGAATTCTGTTTACTAGGAGATAGATTATATATAAGAGCAAATCAAGGTTATGTGTCAGCTGATTTACTTCAATTACAGACAAAGTCAGAGGAGAGTGCTACACAGTTCATGAAAAATTTTAAAAAGAATATAGGTGATTCACCTCAGAGATTTGTCGAAAGTTTATAACCAAATTAATCTAAGTTAATAATATACATATACTTGTACATACAAGCTTATAAAGATTATAAAGTTACACGGCAACTCTTATTATATTCTTTAACAGCAACTGCAATTTTTTCATACAAATAATCTCTATTTTTTCGTTCAGGTATTGGAATGAACGGTCCTTTTCTATTTTTCAAATCTATAGTTAATCCAGTATTTTCAACTGATATTGATTTTATTGTATCAAATTTAATACACCATCTTGATGACAAAGTCTTTATATCAAATAAAATGATATCTCTGAAAGTTAACAATACTGCCATTTCGTCACCAGGTAAAATCAAATGTCCTAAATAAGTTTGATTCCAAAATCTTCCATTGTCTATATTAACCATCCAATATTGACCTTGTGAATCTCTTTCAGAATATGGTTTAATAATTCCATCAGGATTAACATATCTTGGTAACCTTACTTTATCTAATCCATCACCATCAAAAACTGTTGTAGTATTTCTAATTCCCTCACTCACATTCGAAGCTAAATCAAATACTCCAATTGCTGTTTTTGTAGGAAGACCAATTAAACCTTTACCTAAACCTTTGAAAAAACCAGCAGCTCCATCTTGTTCAGCACCTTCCATTGGAGCACTAGCTACTCCTTCAATACCTGAAGAAATAGATTCGAAAAATGAATTAGCACCAGATGTAAAGCCATACAAGGCATGTCTTGGTTTATTTCTACGAGCAACTTGTAAACGACGTCTCTCTTGGAATTTAGGGTCCATTGTGGCAACAGTTAAGCCTTTAGCTAATGAACCAGTGACTTTTGAAATCGAATCTGAGAAACCAAATACTGATTTTTTTAAAAAACTTAAACCACCTTTGGCTAACCCAATTCCCAATTCTTGTGGACGATCACTCATAATAAATCCTTGATATGGTTCGTAAAATATATCCATCACTCCTGAAGAAAGTAAATTGAATAATCCAACAGGATTACCTATGAAATCAGCAGACCCTAAAATGTTATAAATTTGATAAAAGAAAGCTTGACTGTAATGGGTTCTAATAGAGTCAAGCAAAATCGGAGTTGGAACTCTGATGTTTTCAATAAATAATGCATTTAATCTAATTGGTGCATCGTTAATGTTACCAATTGCCATAGTTAAAACATTCAAAAAAAACATCAAAGCATTCTGAGATGAAGTTTTATCTTCCACATCTATTCTTTCGGTTCTAACAAATGAAATATTTGCTTGTATTGGTTGTAAATGTAATGCTTCAAAGTACATATCACTTGCATCATTTAATTGTTCAGGCTCTGGTATGTCAAGACTTCCATCATATAATCTATCGATTTGTTCTTTATTCCATGCAGCTCCTGGGAATTCTGCAAAATCAATTAATGCATACAAGAAGTCTTCATCAATTTCTAATGTTAATGCTTGTAATAAAACTGTTGCATATTTGAGAAACAATACACCATGAGCATCATCTTTAACTCTACAAATCGAGGTAGAAAATGCAGGATGTTCGTTTAATTCTTTACCTGAATTTGGAATAACTGTTGGATATAATATAATTGGGAATATTGCACCATATAATTGATTGTCAATTTGCATCCATTTAAGTTTCAAACTATAGTTTTGATACAAGTTAGATTCGTTATATCTTAACTCTAATCCTCTTAAAGTTATGTAACATATTTCTTTTTCCTTTGTATTTATAAGCGAAACACCGAAACCCTCGAATTTAGTAACAAATTGGGTATGATAATTATCCTCTGCATTAGTTTCAACAAATTGATCTTGACTAGTTGAAACAGTGGCATTTGATGCATTTCCAGACTTTACCTTATATAAACTCTTTGATGGATCATAGTTTGTGATAATTAAAGCTTGAGTTGGTCCATCAGCAGCAACATTTAAATCAATAATCGTTTGTTCACGATTATCAGTTGGAGGTAATCTAAATGGTTTTAAGTTTCCAATTTCAGCTAGATTAACTGCTCTTTCACGACCATGTGATTTAACTATTAATTCTTTTAAAATTGCATTTGGATAATCATATGCATATGGCATAATACTCTTTGGTGGAATCCTGTAATATATAGGTTTATATGGCGTCTCTGTTTTGACAATTTCTCCATTTGCATTAACATTAGGATTACCTTGATAAATGTAAAATTCTTCATCAGTATAATTTTTAATTGCATATGGCCATTGATTATTACCATCATCAATATGAATAAACATAGTTGCGTCTTCCAAAAGTAAAGTGACTTTTAATAGCATTTGAACACCATCTTTTCTTTGGACTTTGATGAATAATAGACCAACATTATCAATACTGAAAGGTTGTGACCATCTGGAGGATTGTTTAAATTTCATCATTAAATTCTTCTTAGGCAAGCAACGCATTCCGTATAACGGAATTGAAGAATCCGGTTTGACTTCGACTTCTTTTGATACACCTTCTTCAACAATCAACAAATCTTCCTTAACCCTATTTATCAAGACATATCTTGGAGCAATAATTACAGTTTTTGTCAAATTGTAAGCACCTTCTCCTTCGGAGATAGTTACACCTAAATTTATTTCTTTTTGTTTTCCTAACAATTGTAAACTTAAATGACTAGATTGACCAATCGTATCAAAACTTATTGGAGCTGACCAAACTGTGTCATCAGTTTTAATAGTTGCTCTATTTCTCTTATCTCCATCTTTATTAAATGAAAACATTGTTGGATTTATAGGATCTGAGTTAATTGTCTTACCTAATGATTCAAAAATATTTCCATGATCATTAGCAAAAATGTTCAAGTTAGATCTATTAAGAATAACATAAGGACTGTAAATAACAACTTTCAAACTTGTACTATCAGCTTGTTTCTTCGGGTAATGAATATTTAATTTTAACCTGTTGTCTCCCCTGAGTGAAAAGGTCTGCTCTCTTTTAAACTCATCACGCCTTGCAGCGTTTATTATTGCAAATTCAGATTTTCCATATTCACAATTTAATGGTTCAATACTCAACAACAATAGATTTTTCAAACTTGCGACATGTACATAACTTTTAACTCCCTTTTTAACTTCTCCAGTCCATTCTTTTCTAGAATTTTTATCATATAAACGATAGGTAAAATCATAAGGTAATAAATTTTCAATTTCTAAAGGAGCAGATATAATAAGTTTCAAATGTGGGTAAACTTGAGCTAAAGGTTCTTGTTTATCGTAACTGGCTTCAGTCTGGAAATAATATACAGATGTATCACCCCTTTTAGTAGCTGGACATTTGAAAGCGATTTCGCCACCTCTTTTCATTGCTTCTTTCCAATCTATAAATTCTTCAGACCAATTATAAGATGTATGTAAATGAGGCTTCATTCTTAATTTTCCTTTATATACGTAGTCTATTGGAACAGCAAGATTTTGTTTCGATTTAATTAATAATTCTGTTTTGCCGTTTTCGTCAGCTATTTCAATGTCTATTGGAACATCAGCATCATTTTCAATTAATATAGTGGATCTTAAAGTTATAACTTTCACATAATCTTCTCTAAGTGTAATATTTACACATAATCTATTGTGAACTCCATTAACTGGAGGTTTTAATATAAATAATTCTTCTCCAACACCTGCTGCAGAAATTTGATTAATACTATCATAAGAGTCATTTTTAAACGATATACCCAATGTACTTGCTGTATCAGCATCTAAATTTTCACGAATCTTTCTCCAATCTTCAAATGTCCATGGTTTTGACTCTAGATTTTTAATTGTAGTTTCAGTTTTCTCTTTTTGACCATCAGTCCAAGCTAATATATCTAAACCTGTGTCATTCACGATGATAAATGGATAATCCTGTCCTCTGGGTTTTAATTGTTGATCAGTACTTAGAAGATATTGCATTTGTGATAATAAAGCTACTGATCTTGATGTAATAGTAAGTTCAGCAAGTTGTCTTGATACAACTTCAACGAGTAATTTTGGATCTGGAGCTTGCTTTTGTGAAGCATAAATTGCAATCGGCCATGGTTCGATCATTGGTTCCCAAGTAGACTTGGCATAGTTGAAAATATTTAAATAAGTTTCAAGATGTACTTCAGCACTTAAGTCAGTTGACCAATTAATTGCATGAAATTCAAATGGTTTTAAATTAGCATCAATCACAGGTAATTCTGAAACGTCACCAATTAAGACAAAACGAAGACCACCAAAACTGATAGTTGCTTCTTCGCCTCTGACCGTTACTTTCTTTCCATGAACTGGTTGTTCAGAGCCATCATCATTATTGGCAGTTCTAATTAATGAATTTGATAAAACACTTGGTGTTTCGGATAAGGCTGAACTTTCATCTCCATCAACTGATTCAACTTTTGGTGTGTTATTCAAAGTTAATAATTCTTTAGCTCTATTAACAATTGATAAACCTAATCTTATATCTCTAACAGAAACTCTAATGACTAACGGTTCAATAGATGCTTGAATATTATCCAATAATTCAGTAGCTGTACTTTTTCTATTATCATAAGCAAATGAAATTGAAAAATCATCAATAATTCTATATCTTGCATTCTTTGGATCATCCATTCTTGCTAAGTACAAACCAATTTTACTTGTTGCTATTGATAGTATATTTTGTTTTGTAATTAAAATCTGCTCAACTTTAAATGCAATCGCTTCTGTATCTTTTCTTGAATCATCTGCTAACACAAACACAGACGAATCTGTAATATTTATTGAGATACCTAATTTCGTTGGTGTAATTGCATCCTCTTCGGGTTTATCATTTTTGGTTGAAACCAGCGAAACGGACTTTCTTGATTGCCTTGTAACTATATCTGGTCTTTGAGGAGGTGGTTGTGATTTTATCAAAAAATCTTGCAAATTAATTAAATAATCCAATGCTAAAATAACTTTTGGTTTTTGGACTGTCAAAATTGTAGTTATTGATTTATTCGAATCAGAACCTTCGGAACTTAATTGTAAAACAAATTGATTATCAACATCTTTTGCAGCTGGAATTAATATTGGAAATTTGCTATTAGTATTTTGTCTAGTATCCTCAACAATAAATGATTTGATTGCTAATTTTGAGTCGAACAGCATATCTTGAGCCATATCAAAGTCTATATTGAACTCATTCAATGAAAATGTTGATAAACTGTGTGAACTTATATCTACGACACCAACTGTGTCATTATAAAGTGTTAATGCTATTCTTGGTACTGAAAATTTAAATTTCACAATTTGATGATCTTTTGGAACTTCTTGTTTATTTGCAATTTTATCTTCTACTTTTGGAGCTTGTGCTTGACCACTACTGTTACCTTGAATGATTTTTGTATTATGTTTAAGCACTTTATTTGCATAAGTTGCTTCCTCTTCAATTTCTTCAAAATTTGTAGATGTATTATCAGTATCAAATGTTTCGCTTATCAGTGTTAAAAGTTGAGTTATTAATTTGATTTGATATTCGGTTAAGATTATATCTAATTCTGGCATTTTTCCTATTATATCAAAAGTTGGAATGCCCTTTTTGTATGATTCACACCAATTAACGTTAAATGTAATATCTAAATCATCCATAATTTTTGAAGTTTGCTCTACTCTATCAAATTTAAACTCAGAATGTAAATTGATATTTCTTATTCCAGTTTCAATAGCATTTATATCACCTTTAAATTCATTTTGTGCATATAATTCTCCCAAGTCGACTACAATTTTATCACCAGCTGAACCAATAGGGAATGTAATATTTGGCGCTTGAACGATAATATCAAACTTGATTTTCGTTGGAAGTTGGGAAGCTTGATTCATCGCAGCTTCTCTTGTGCTATCATAAATTGCTTTCATTTGCATAAATTGAGTACTATATGATATAAGTCTGTTGAATGAGCTTTCAATAAAGTTTACTGACAAAGAACTTGTCTTAAAAGTGACCTCTGACGGTTTGATACCATGAATATCAAAAGTTTTATATTTGAATTCAGCTAAATTATCCCCATCCATATGTATTAGTTTAGTAGATACAGAATTGTAATTGTCGACCAAAGATAAAGCACCCAATTTTCCGGCAACATCAATAGTTTCTGGTAAAAGTAATAAAGAAATTTGTGCTAAACTTAATTCAAATGTAGCTAATTTCAGTCCATCTTCATTTAATGCTATTATAATACTATCTAATCCTATTTTCATATTGATCTTTTGTGGAGCTGCTTCTTCGTTAGCATCATTATGTTTTAATTCATCAGCAGGAGTAGGTTGTGCATTAGGATCCGTAAATGTATTCATACAAAAAGTTAAAAGACTCAAAATGGACTTTCTCGTTATTACAATTTGAACTGTGGCAATTTGTAAATCAATATCTTGATCAAATACTTCAATCCTAGATCCTTTAAAATCAACCAATCTTTGAACTCTTTTAAGTGAAAGCAGTAATAGTTTTTTCAATTTTGATTCACTATTTGAACTCATCAAATTATTGAATTCTGCAACACCAGATTTTTCTAAACAGTCTTTAATACTGAAGTCCAGCAAACTCAAATCTAATTGCATATCAGTTTCTGTTTTGAAAAGTAATAAAGACAAATCATCTCCTATTATATCTATAAGAGGTTCTGCTTCCAATGTAACCCCATTGATACATCTTGAAAGCGATAAAAGTATCAGATTTATCTTGAAATCAATCTCAATTAATCTTTGCTCATCATTATTATCCTTTTCAACGTCTTTTGAATCTTTCTTATCACCAGATACGTCATCTTCAATACTTAGATCATTATTTTGCGGTGAGTTATTACCATATGTTGCAAATACACTTGATTCATCAGTAATATCTGTTCCCGTATTGGGTATTGCAACTTCAAGAATATTCATAATTGTTTTATATTGAAAATCATTCATTGCTATTTTAATTTTAGGAATGTTACCTCCAAGTCTCATTTTAGGTAAATTTTTAGCATCAGGTAATATCGATACACCTAAATTCACATTCAAATTTAAATTATCAAGCATAAGAGCTGGTCTTTCTGAATCATGTTTATATAATTGTTCCATGGTGGTTTTTATATTTTGACCAACTAAAAATTGTGCATCAACTAAACTTAACTTAAATTGATCATATAACAAATCTCTTAAATTTTCCCAATCGTTATCAGTATATTTTTCTTTATCTTTATATTCCTTGATTTTAGATTTCTCAATTAAGTCACTAACAATACTTAAATGACCAGCATCTAATATTGCAACAGGTGATTTATAACTTGATGGATCTAATGGCATAATGATTAATGGTGCTTGTAAGTCTAATTTAACATTTACTGTCTTGTGTTCTTCTAATGCATATTCTAATCCCATTCTTGTTTGAGATGTTAAACCTTCAACTGTAGATTCTGCAGCATTCATAATTGCACCAACTGTATCTAAATGTATTTTAGGTGGTGTAAAAAATTGCATCAAGTTTTCCACAAATCTTGGGTTATAAAAAATTGTCATTGATTTTAACCTACCAAGCAATTCAGAATCTGCTGAACCATCGATTGGATTTTGTTCATACAGTACCTGGAAAAATGGATCATGAGATTTAGTAGCTTCATCATCTGATGCTTCTTTAACACTTATAAGATGTTTGTATATGCTTGAATTTGTACCATCTTCAACTTTAAATTCTGACATTTGAAAAGAAGCTAAAAATGATTCTGGTCTTTGAAAAAATTTGGCTTCACAGCCTTCAAATGCAATTTCAGCTAAGTTTGATGAATAATCCTTTTTTATGACTAAACCACCTCTATTTAATACAGCTGATATTTTTGTTTTGACACAATCAATAGGAAGATCAATATCAGTAGCTTGAGCTTTTTCGTCATAATCAATTGTATCATAAAGTGATTTTCTTTGATCATCATTTAAGGAAACTGCTGTATGGTCACCATCAGCTTCAAGGGTGTCCTTCTTTTCTTCTTCAACTTGCTTTTTGCCGCCACCCCACCAACCAGAAAACCATCCAGTATTCTGTTTTTCATTTTTATCTGCAGCTTCAGTATCAAATAATCTAGTGTTTTTTCCTGATTTTCTGATTTCATTTCTTGCAAGTGATCTATATAATTTAATATCTTCAAACGACAAATCCCACTCTAGTTGTTTTAATTCCTGCTCTTCCTCGGGACTTATTTTCTTGTCTAATTTTAATTTCCATAATTTTATATACGCAAGTCTTTGATCTCTTCTCAATTCAAAATGTTCCCAACTCCATTTATAGTGTTTTTCGTGAATTTCATTACGTACGCATTCTGCAGCATATTTGAACCAAGTTTTAGGATCTTCACTTGGTGGTACTTTGGGTCTTAATTTTCTGAATTTTGCAGTTTTCATATACCAATGGAATTTTGATGCTGTCCATAGTATGTCTTCATATTGTTGACTATTTAACTCCAATCCAAATTCTTCAAAAGCTAAATCTGATACAATATGTGGTTGATTCTTTGTGGCACCTGCCTTATGTATAGTGATTTTACCATTACCTATAATTGGTTTCATTAAATATTCTTCATTAAAATTGTTTGATGTGAATTTGTCAAGAGTTTCATTTTTATCCAATTTTGAGATTAATTCTGGAGATTTAGTATCCATGTAACAAGATAAATTTTCCAATGTCAAAAGTTTTCTAGCAAATACTTGAGTAATCGCTATAAATGATGGTTTCCAATTTTCGTCGGTTGAAACAGCTGATAATTCTCCCAAAGTTGCCCCAAGTGAGTATGGATGTTCTGTCAACACTGATTCATCTTCATATCTTAAATGTATATTTTTAATAGTTACTTGTAAATTATCAACAATTTTAGTGATTAATGATTCCGCAAAAGTTGAATCTACCAAATCTTTCCCCAATTCTTCGCTTTGAGCTTCCAAAAAAGTTTCCAATTGTTTTAATTTATCTTGCTTTACAGCCTCTTGTCTTTTTTCATCATCTTCTGCATCATAATTTGATAGATTAGCTGGAGTAGCTAATAAATATAAATCTTCAATTATAATTCTAACTGGTTGTCCTTTCAAATTGGCCCACGGTATTTGCAATGTTAATACTCCTAAATGACCAAATGTTACATTAATTGGTAATTTCAATTTATCTAAACTTTCCTTTTTCAATCTTAAATTGGTTAATTTAACATCACCACTCCATATACCAATATTCAACTGTTTTGTATCAAAATTCTCTAGATATGAACCTAGGAACCTATTCAATAAATTTGCAACAAGTGACTCAAACATGTTGAAATGTAATTGAGATTATTGACTGTGAAATTTTTTAGAGTAGTCTTTGATACAATTGATATGATTTGGTTGTAAATATTCTTGATATAGCAAGCATATTAAATTAATTTGTACAATATTATTTGAATAACACAAAATCATAAACTACTCTCGATGGAAAAATAAAAAGCCGCTTAACAAAAGCCACTTACCAAAAGTCCGTAAAAATAGATCAATGCTAAACAATCACTACCGTGCATTGATTGATTAATTCAATACTAGAATAAAGTTCCACTACCACCTAATATATTGAATTTAGAGAAAGCACTAATAAGAGTTTACCCCTAAAATTACTAATTGATGTAATATTAAAATAATATAATACATTAAAATTTCATAACTTTGTCTATTACTATATAACAATTGGCAGACTTGAACTTCCACCTTGATTTTTGTTGACACTTGCATTCAATGAGGACCCATTAGAATTATTGTTCACATGCGTAGTGTTTGACTTTTTAACATTCTTCTTTACATTCTTATTTATATTTGCGCTGATTGCTGATCCATTACTTGGAGTTGCTATATTACTATTCGGGGTGTTGTGTGTAGAATTCATTATATTTTCAGGATTAGAATTCATTGGTGATGGTTTATTACCTAAATTTGGAGTATTATTAGTTGATGAAGGATTTGATTTAAGTTTTACATTTGTTGGTGGTGCTTCAACTTCATGACCTAATTTAATTTGAGCTAAATTGATTATTGGTAATAATTTATTATACCTTTCACAATATTCATTTATACTTTGTTGAATTATTGAAAGTCTTGTTATTATATTTTGATAAAATTCCTTCTGTGAATGATCTTTTGGTATTACTGTTAAAGCTCTTAAAAATGATGACATATCGTTTCTTAATATATTAGTCTCTGCTTTCAATCTCTCTATCTCCTCGTATATTAGTTTTGGATCTATCTTACCTGAAGTTATATCGTCTATTTTGATCAGGTCCGGTAGTTTTGGTCTCAGGTCGTCAATAGCATTAAACTTGAACATGTTGTTTGTAAGATCCTAGTTTTATTAATAGCTATAAAATCTTGAATGTCTGATGATGCAATACGATTTGTAAATCTCGTAGTCGTAGTTGTTGATAGTAAATTAAAACTCCGCTTTATTGAAGAAGATTGTTTATTATTACAATCATATTCGATTTTTTTCAACTAAAGTTAGTTAAAAATTGTCTTTAATTTATCTCGTTTAAATAGCTATTTCCGGTGGAAGGTTTTGGGCGGCTTCAATTCAATGTCTCCCTTAAGTCGACCAAAAATCTAGCACTGCTCGCATGAGAAACGAGAATAAAAAAATCAAAGATTTGAATATGAAATATCTAGAAATTCACAAAAGGCATTACAACAAACATGATCAATTGAAGACAATTGACATAATCATTACGAAATATATATGGACACTTGTTTAAAATCAACTTTAAACAATTATAATTTTAGATCAATTGATATAGACTATACAGAATTTAGTAACACTCAAAACTCAGATAATAATTCATCAAGTACCAAAGTAATAACTACTTTATCAAAAGAAGACGAATACATGTCTACTAATAAAAATCATAAGAATCAAGATGAAGAAGAACCAGTAAAGAATCCCAAGAAATATATACCACCACATAAATCTAAAAGCTCCCAGAAAAATCAAAGTCATAATCCATCCAAAAATCAATATCAAAAACGAAATGGTTTTAATAATTCTACAACTAAAAATGAACCAAGTATCAACATGGACATATCATTCATGGATGAAGAAAAATTAGCAATGAGAAGAAAGAGATTTGAATCCAACAATAACAATACCAACGTCAAAACCAATATCAACGGTTCTAAACTCCCAATTACAACTACTACACCAACGACAAAAAGATACGATTATGGATTAATAAGTAGGGGAGATGATAAACGACTACAAGAATCTCAAACAGAAAGAGAAGAATTCTTTCTATACATCTTAAACAAGTTCATTCAATATACTTCTCAAAACACATCAAGATCATTATATGAAACAATTGAAAAATTAAAAGAATTAAACCCTGAAGATTTCGAAAGTGCAAAATCTTTAGATTTACAAGAACTTCCAAAGAAAGATTGTAATGAAATAATGTTGGATAGTTTATCAATGGATATTAGGAAACTAAGAGAAAGTTTATTAAATCAACCACCTACTCAATTTCATAAGAAGGTATTTTTATTTTCAGTTCGATTTTCAAATTATTTTGGGAATTTTAAAACTTATATTCCAAGTATTAATTATTTACTTCATTATTCAAAACAACTACAACTAACAAAATTAGAAATTGAAGAAATTATAATTGTATTGGTACTACATTTAGTTCACAAAAATAACAATCTACAACAAGCAATGAATTACTACGTCAAATATATCCCAAATAGACCAGATATCCTACACATCATAAAAGCATGGGTCTACAACGATTATTTTACATGGATAAGTATTTACAACAATTGTGAGAATTACACAATTAAGTCAATGATGAGTTTAGGTCTTAACAAAATAATTAACAAAATGATCAAAATAATAACGTCAAGTTATTATAATCTACACAAATCAGTGATTGAAAGAAATTATCTACCTAAAGAAATGAAGTTTGAGGAGTTTAAAACAAAGTATAATGTAACTTGGGAATTGGAAGATAATGGGAATGTAATTATAAGGAGACGAAATAGACGTAAATAGTGATACTAACATCTGTAATATACAAAAGTAACATAGTTATTTCACAATTGAAGCTACTCTGCAAAAACTTAAATTCTGTTTCGTATAACGCTTTCTTGCAAAAGGGATGCTGGTGTATTGTAGAATTGGTGATTAGTCTTCTTCATTTTGTGTCTATAGATTTGAAACAATTTAAACGATATCGGTTTTGTACCTAAATGAAGAAAATGTCTAAATAAGATTTACGGATTAAATTCTGCCAGGCATAAGCAATTTTAGAGCATTTTGGTACCGAAGATGAATTTTTAGAGAAAGAATGGCAATAGTATGGGGATCAGATTGAGAGATTAAAAAACCAGTAAAAAAAAAAGTAGTCATCTGGCTGTCAAATTGTTTTAAGTAGACCCGGTTTGAGACATTACTATACGGAATAATATTCTACCGTTTTCAAGAGAGCACTTCATGTCCATAAATTAGATGTGTACGATAATTAACTGTATATATTAAAAATTAATTCATGATATCTCTACAACTATCATAACATTCTTAAATCAACGCCAAAAATCAATAAAATCGTGAAAAAAAAACACAATTAAACAACACCTTTCATTAAATTAAAATTAATATACTTATTTATTTATATTAATCTTTGAAAAATTATAATTATTTAGCAGCTAATAATTGAGTAAATTCTTGAATATCAATTTCTCCATCATTATTAGTATCAGCTTCTTTAATCATTTGATCAACATCAGCATCAGATAATTTTTCACCAATTGAAGTTAAAACATGTCTTAATTCAGCAGCACTTATTTTACCATCACCATTTCTATCAAAAACTTTAAAAGCTTCAGCAATTTCAGCTTCTGAATCAGTATCTTTCATTTTTCTTGCCATCATAGTTAAAAATTCAGGAAAGTCTATTGAACCATCTGAATTAACATCAACTTCATTAACCATATCAGTTAATTCACTTTCTGAAGGATTTTGACCTAATGATCTCATAACTGTACCCAATTCTTTTGTTGTAATTTTCCCATCACCATCTTTATCAAATAATGAAAATGCTTCTTTGAATTCAGCAATTTGTTGTTCAGATAACTTTTCAGCCTAAATATTAAAATTGTTAGTAACGTGTTCTGGAATGTTGTGATATAAAAGATAAGATCTCAAAATTAGTCATAGAAGTCGAAAGAATATTCATATATTCATAATAAATTAACCCATTTTTAACCTTATTCGTATAAATACATACCATTATTAATATTATCTATACAATTGAAGTTGATTAATATATATTAATTGGTATAAAATTATGTAATGAACTCTAATGATTATTGATCAAGTATAAATTCTATAATAAATAATAAAAATAAAATATGAAATTCTATTTTTAGTTAATTGATTTATTATGTATTATATCATATTTTGAACTATTATACACTACCAACATTAAAAACAATTTCAATCCAAGTTATAAAAATATGTAGTTTTACAACCAACCTTTGAATCATTTATTTAAAATCATATACGTCTACTTAACGCGTTCTTTTGTTTTATATATATGAATAATGATGATATCCAACTAAATCAGTTAAAGAATAGTCACAATAAGTATAATAATGGAGTTAAGTTAAATGCTGTTGCTAATAATATTGATGATGATAGTGATAATGACTTTGAGGATAGTCAATATCTGATATTTTTAAAATCATTAAATAATGAAAATTTGATTCATCATATTAATCATATAAGTCAAACACAATCCCAAACTCAAAATTTAACTATTAATAAAAGTCCAGAATTTAAGCATCCTTCATTTCAAGATAATTCTACACCTAAAAAGTTACCTTCTATATTAACATCAGTAAGTTCAGATCCGTTTGATGATGATTTAGATATTAATTTGATTATTAATAATTCAAAAGACAAGCAAACAGAAGAGGAAAATAAACAGGGAGAAGGTGTAATAAATAATGAAGACAATGAAGACCATGGTGACCATGGTGACAATGATGACAATGATCCTAAAATAATTGAAAAAAAAAATTCACCAGATGATGAGTTTAGTGATTCAGATTCTGCAAGTGATAAAGACGAATCAGCAATAGGTAAATTGCATGAATTTGGAGATTACAAAACATATTTTGATTCAAAACACATGAAACAACAACGTCAAGATGAAGCTTATGTAAAATGGGATAAACAAAGAAGAAAAGATCAAAATTTAGATTTAGAACCAACTTCAATTTTTAAAAATTGTTCTATTTTCGTTAATGGTCATACAAAACCTTCAATTAATGAAATTCATAGATTAGTTATATTACATGGTGGGAAATTTTTAAGTTATTTACCAAATAAATCAAGTGCTACGCATATTATATGTGATAGATTAACTCCAAGAAAAAATATAATGTTTAAAAATTGTAGAGTTGTTAAAGCAAAATGGATTGTTGATTGTGTTGAAGCAAATGAATTATTAGATTGGCAAAAATATAGAATTATATTGGATGTTGCTTTTGATCAACAAAGATTACTGTTTGGAAACACCAACAAAGAGTCAACTATTGATGAAAATGAAAATGAAATAGAAAAAGGAGAAGCTAATGATGAAGTTCAAGCCTCAGAATCAAAAGCAGTAGAAACTGGACTAAAAGATGATTTCAACAGTAATATGGTAGTCAATTTCGATGATGAAGATGATGAGATTCAATCAACATTATTGAGACAAGAAGAAAATATTTTGGAAAAGTCGCAGCAATTAGAATTACTGCAAAACCAAGATCAAACAAGTGATGGTATAGATGATATTCCAATATTGGATAAAATCCCATCTGCGGCAGATAAAGGAGTTCATCAAGTTAAAGGGAAATTTGTTTTAGATGCAAGACATCCTGATTTTTTAGCTGGATTTTTTGCTAATTCAAGATTACATCATTTAAGTATGTGGAAATCAGATTTAAGATTAAAATTTTTAAAGAGAATCATAAAAGAGAATCTACATAAAACTAAACAAACTCCTTTCTATCAACCAAATGAGAACAAAGATCAAAAAAAAATAATAATGCATATTGATTTCGATTGCTTCTTTGCAACTGCTTCATGTTTAAAACACCCCAATCTTGACATAAATAAAGATGCAATTGTTGTTGGTCATGGTGGTAAAAGTTCAGATGTTGCAAGTTGTAATTATGTTGCAAGAAAATTTGGGATAAGAAACGGTATGTGGTTTAAGTCAGCTCAACAATTATGCCCAAATTTACATTTATTAGATTATGAATTTGATTCTTATGAAAAATATTCTGGTGAATTTTATAATTATTTGGTAACTAGTAATTATTTTGATACAATTTTTCCAGTGTCTATTGATGAAGTATTGGTTGATGCTACTTCATATTGTAATAATGCTGAAAAAAGTGTTGAAGAAGCTGTTGATGAACTTAGTTCAATAATAAGAAAACACATACATCAATTAACTAATTGTTCAGTTAGTGTTGGAGTTGGTTCAAATGTTTTATTAGCTAAAATTGCCTTGAAAAAAGCAAAACCAAATGGTCAATTTGCTTTATTTGATAAAATAGATGAAACTTTAGCTACAGTACCGGTAAAAGATTTACCTGGTTTTGGTAAAGGTATATTGATAAAATTAGAACCTGAATTTAATAAATCATTTCCAATCATAGAAGATGTTTTACCCGTGCCTAGACAAAGATTAACTCAAATCTTAGGTGAAAAAACAGGTACAAAATTATATGAATATTCAAGGGGTATAGATCATACAAGTATCGAAATCGATACATCAAATCCAGAAATGGTATTAGGTAGAAAGTCAATCTCAGTGGATGTCAACTTTGGTATTAGATTTGATACAGTTGAAGAATTAGATGATTTTTTTATTAGGATATCCAAAGAAATGTATTACAGAATGATCAACTTAGGTATAGTTGGTTCAACATTAACTTTAAGATTAGCTAAGAGAAGAGAAGGTGCAAGTATAGTAACTGCTAAATTTTTAGGTTTAGGTGAAGTTGATTTTATCAATAAGAGCTCAAGATTAGGTGTTGCAACAAATGATTGGGGTGTAATTGGTAATGAAATAAAAGTATTATACAGGATGGTTAATATTCCAGTTACTGATTTAAGAGGAATTTCAATAAGTATTACAAAATTAAAAGATGCTGATTTAAATAAATCTGCAAGACAAATGCAATTACCTTTTCAAAAAACCAATAAAAAATTACCACTGCTGGCATTAACAGTTGCTTCTCCATATCGTGATAATGATAGGAGAACTTATCCAAGAAAAAATTCATCACCTTCAAAGTCAACCAACAATTACAGATCTTCAAATAATAATAGCCCCATCAAGAAACAATCTATGAAAATAGACGAAAAATTAATATTTAGCAAAGAGGATATAGCAAAAAGAAGAAAAAAATCAACATCTCCACCTTCAGTAGTAGATCAATTTGGAAACCTAGATCAAATTGATTGGGAAATGTTTGAAATTTTACCACCAGATATTAAAAGAGAATTAGAAAGTGAATTAAGAAGAAGAGGTATATTACCAGAATTTAAAACCAATAACTTCAAAGGTAAATCTTATTTACAACAATTAATTCCAACTCAAGGTGGTAATACTAAATATGTAAGAGTTAGAGAATCACCAACTAAATCACCACTGAAAAGAAAACAAACTCCAACTCCATCACCAATTAAAAAACCTAAAACTGAACCCATTTATGAAGATTCACAATCTTATGATTCATCAGTTATAAATCAATTACCATCATCTATCAAAAAGGACGTATTAAAAGAAATAGAGTATAAGAAAAAAATTAAAAAATATAATTTATTACCTATGAGAGATAAGATTAATCAAAAAATAGAACAATCAAAAGTAGAAGTAGAATTAATAACATCAGATTGGATATCAACACAGCCAAAAATCATAAACTTACCTCCATTTTTAAATTTCGAGAATATAACAACTCGTCAACTTCGTCTTAAAATAAAACAATGGGTAACAACATCATTAGATCAACAAGGTCCTCATGAAGATGATATTATTTATTTTCAGATTTTTTTACAAAAGATGATAGAATTAGGTCAATTAAGTAGAGCTATATTGTTAGTGGATTATATAAAGGAGTTGCTAGAGTATCATAAGTTGATGATTAATTTTGAAACTTCGTCACAAGATCAATTTAGTGATGGTCAAAATATGTTTTTTATACTGGGTATTGATGATTGGGACATACAATTAAACACTTTATATAAATTTCTAGAACAATACAACAGAATGTAAAAGAGTATAGATAAGAATTATTATAATCACGAAGAAGTATCTAAGATTACTTGGCTAACTTATAAATGTATTTATAATGACTTTGCAGCAAAGTTATTTGAAATTGAGTGTGAATTTGAATTTTATTGGCACTAAAGCTCCCATAATCTATTCAAATTTATTAATTGTATACATTATATACAATTTGATTAATGATTGGCTAATAGTTTGACTAAGATTGATGCTGTTTTACTTCAGAATTTGACTACCACTACACTTTTCTGTAGTTTGAATTGTTATAATGTTAATCTTTATTGTACCTTACAATCCTGCATAGAACAGTTTTAAGATTTACGCTACTTTTCAATTTTGCAGCATAACGAAGATTTTGCCATTTAGATATATACAAATCAATATATTTTTTTTATCAATATTTACTACTTTTTCTTCTTCAATTGATCACCAACTTCTACTTTTATCCATATCCATACTACTTTTATCCATACAAATGTAGAGCTATTTATTTATTTATTTACTAACTTCACAATTCTAGTTTCACTATCAATTGAGAACTATTTGTGAGACATTTCACTAACTTAATTATGGCCGATATCTGAGTTGACTACCTGAGACTTTTCCCCAGCCCAATGAACAAATAAATGATTTTATTAGACTTGAGACCCAATTTTTGGAGACAAACTTAACTGACTGACTGGACTGTGATATAGATTAGACACTGGAGTGGAGCAAGTGAGATATTTGGTGTTTTGGACGATTGACTGACAACCCTTTTTGACTTTGATACTTGAGATACATGACTGTGACTGGGTTGTTTGTTTGGTAGAGATGGATAGTTGATTATAACTCAACTTTGATTTAGGTCAATTCATATTATGAATTAAAGTTTAATGCAATTATTAAGACTAAAGATAGCAGAAAAAGACCGGGAAATTGAAACAAAATAGACACAAACTAGCCCCATAGACACTACGCATATAAATAACAAGGTGGTAACTAAGAGTGAACAAAGGGCCAAAAGTTCTTTACACACAGACTATTCAGAATTACGGAGCTTAGACTTTATGACAAAAAAACTAAAATTTGTTTCAAAAGATGCTACCAAGCTCTCTAAAAGTTTTGTGCGAATTCACACGCAAAAATGCTGCAAATATAAAATATTTACAACTATTAGATCTGGGTGCAAATTGACAAGCGCAACAACTCAATCATAAAACACTCATCAATATGACCATTCAGCATTTGGTATACTTTTGGTCACTTATATCAATAAACTTTTGAAGTACTGATCTTTCGGAGATCAATTGATCAAGATAATAAATTAAACATATAAAGTATTGAAAAAAAAAAAAAAAAAAATTGTAATTTTTAGCAAAAAATGACATTAATAAAGTCAACAAATTCTAGAGCAAGGGGAGCTACATGATTTAGTAACCACCCAAATTGCAGATACTTGATTAGTATGACGTGCCCCAAAAAATCCTCGATTGGGGGAGTTTACAGCTGTCAACAAATTATTGTTGCAAAAGTAATTAACATGTACAGGCAAAGCTTCAGCACTTGCAAATCATAAGACAAATATGAGCTTTAGTGATGCATACATGTTGCCTATTGGTTCTTGATGGTACTCAGAGTTCTCAATATGGCTAGAGAGTCTGTAAATCTACCTCCAAAAAATTTTGAGGGTTTTCTGATTTGCGCCCAGACATTTCATTGTTTTTCAGGCTATACTTTTTCTTGCATATTCGGTTACCCTTACTGCTCTTCTTTGCAATGCACTAGGTCTTTTTGAAGAAGCCCTTTTGGTTGTTGAGATATTAAGCAAAACGTCTAACTCCATCAAATGAACAGCTGAAGATCTGAAAGCTGTACCAAAACTTACATCTGGAACTGAATAGTTTTTAAAGCACGCCAAATTGTGTCTTGCTCCAGTGGTTTAGGAGATATAGGCCAGATTAGTTTTGGCCTGTTTCAAGGTCAATGTTACACAAAACCGGATTTATACCACCGAGAGTCACGTTTTGTAGTTTTTGTAGCGCAGTGGCTAGTGTAGCTCACCGCAAATTTTCAAGGTTTTGGGTTCGATTCCAACTAAATTTCGGTCATCAAGGTCAAAATGACACAAAACCGGAGTTTTAGCTCCGCTCACGTGTTCTAGTAATTAATTATGCAGCGTAACTCTAAAATACAGTGTTTATGAGCTAAATCAGAACATGAAATAGTCAGTAAAAGTAGGGACACTAGAACGAAAATGAGTTTCTAGGGTGGCCAGTTAGGTTTAGTGGTTGGAAGTCTTCACAGTAATATTTTGTGTCCAAAAATACACTACTCTCTTGCACCGCTGATATTTTGCAACAAAGAGGAAAGAATTTCTGATAAACAATCTATAACATTTTACTCTCTGTACACAAGTTTTTACTATTCAGACAATAGTTCAAGAATCTGAAAAAGGTTGGGGGCACAATTTACAATCAATTTTCCTTATGAGGTAACAATTTTTAACATTGCATTGAGACTCACAATATTTCCCTAAATTCAGTTTCAAGATTCAAGAAAAAGTTTATCTAAACAAAGAAGGAAATCTTAGATGAAACGAATTCTTCTATGTGATTCAGATTTATTGACAAAATTATCAGATGAAGTTCCATCAAACAAAATGAGACAGTCATTGGTACAAGGATTAATCAAGGGTTACAAATTAGACGAATTATGTGAAATTATAGACGTAGAGCCAATTGAGTATAAACGATTAACTTTATATCATGATATGGATTTCATCAAACAATTAATTTTGGATCGAAAAGAGATTGACCAACAATCAGAAAATCACGAAGTGATAAGTAATAAGATTTCTGAAGTATTTGACTTAATTGAAGATCTAGTGGATGACGAAGTTGATGCTAAAGATGATGAATTGTATGGATTATCTCATGATTGTTACCCATTCCCCTTTATGAAATACTATATAAATTTGACAGCTGCTTCCACAATTCAATTATCCGAGAGAATGTGTGAATACATCAAATCGCAGCACCAGCAACAATTTCAAAGTAAAATTATAGGTCTAAATTTTTACGGTGGTCGACATCATGGTTCAAAATCAAAAGCATCAGGATTTTGTTATATAAATGATATAAATTTAGGTATTTCAACAATTCGTAAAAATTTACCAAATTCAAACATATTTTATTTAGATTTGGATTTACATTATGGTAATGGTGTTGCAGAAGCTTTTAAATTTTCACAGAAAGTTACTACTTGTTCTGTTCATAGATTTGATGTTGGATTTTTTCCAAATGCTGGCTCATTCGAAGAATCAAGAACTGGAGCATATAATATTTCTACAAAGCGAGGCTTAAATGATGAAAGTTTAAAATGGATCCTAGAAGAAGTTGTTTTGAATTTGATTAAAAAGCATAAACCCAATTTTTTAATTATTCAAGTCGGCTGTGATGGTCTAGCAACTGACGTTCATAAACAATGGAATTTGACTATTAAAGGATTTAATAAAGTGATCCAAAATTTAATTAATGATATTGACAGAAGCATACCTATAATGATTTTAGGTGGCGGAGGTTATAATAATGCAGAAACAGCCAAATGTTGGACTCATCTTACTAATTTTTTACTTGATAGCAACTTCCCTAAAGATATTAATGATTTTCAAAATGAAATACCAGAACATTCATTGTTAGATTATTATGAAAACGATGGCTACAAATTTTGGACAGAAACAAATTCCAATCCTAGTAAAATGCATAATGAAAATACCATAGAATCTTTACAAGAAATAAAAGAATATTTATTGTCATTATAAAATCTATTTATACCCGAATTTTGGTTTCAACACTTGTCCCCAATTTTCATCCCATCTAGATTTACTCTCCTCAATAGCTCCCGTTTTTAATTTATTCAATAAATCATCGTTTGTAAATGCCAATTTAATTGAATTGTATAACTCTTCTGAGCTTGTTTTTTGGACCACTAATCCATTCACTTCATCTTTAACTAATTCATTTATAGCGGGAAAGTTCAAAGAAACAACTGGTATACCAGAACCAAAAAAATCAACAATTTTCATTGGCAAATCTATACCACTTGATGATGTATGCAACGATACCCCTAAATCTGCAGTTGCTAGTATTTTTGGATAGTCTTCCGAACTTAGCCATGCAGTATCAATTATGATTTTATCTGAAAATTCTAGTTTTTCAACCGTTTCTAAGAATTGACTTTTCATTGGTCCTTTACCTGTAACTATTAAAAATACAGGTGGTGTAGATAAATCACTCTCGTATTTTTTTAGTGCATGTAGTAAAATATTAAAGTCCTCATCTGGTGTAAAGGAAGTTGAGCTAATTAAAATTTTTCTTTTTGGGAGGTCTGTAATATTATTGAAGATTTCATGATCAAGATTTCTATCGCCTACTGGTGCAGGTTGAAATTGTTTACCTGGTCTATCATATAATGTTACAATTTTTGATTTTTGGAAATTAAATTCTTCAACTAAAAATCTCTTCATTTGCTTACTAACTGTTATATTTAAATTTGCAAATTTACCCAAAATTTCTTCATATTTTTTCACTATAACAACAAATGGATTATTTAAATTCTGATAACGTAAATTCAAAATCGTGTAATTCAAATTATGCCAGTCAATAACAATTTTCAATTTATTGTTGATTGCGTATTTAAACATTAGTATGATTAATAAAATTGGAATACTAGGAGGATTTTGAATTAGTACATAATCAACATCATTTCTTGTTCTCCACATGATTTTCCAAACTTGTATAATTTGCATAAAGATTTTAAACCCAGCAAATGCAATATATGGTAAATTTTTATCATTTTTAATAACTTTGATTGGTATTACATCAATATTTATATCATCAATTATTTCATTTGGTGGTTTTGTCTCCACATATCCACATAAATTCACATTATAATCAATTGCGCTAAAAGATAATGCATGATAGCATATTCTTGGTGAGTGGCCCAAATCTCCCATTACAAATATTGATATCGTTCTCCTACTTTTCTTACTTTTAGTATTTTTATGGTATAAGTATGGTAGTATTTTATATGCTAGTATTGGTAAACTTACATATATTGCTAATAAATAGTACAACCATGGACCTGAGTATTGCCAAATATGATCAAAACCTTTATATTTGATTACTTCAACCATCTCTCAACTTGAAGAAAAGATCTCGTGAGTTAATGTTTTAGTAGATTGAAAAATTGTAAAATATATATTTAAATTCAAAAAAATATTTAAGGAACATTTTTGTTATTATTTTATGTCTAAATTGAGGCACTGATAATTGTATCTTATAGCACCTGCAACATTATGCAAACGTAAACTGGCAACTTGTCCGAGTGGTTAAGGAGAAAGACTTGAATATCTCAAACAATAATTTAAGGAATCTTTTGGGCTTTGCCCGCGTAGGTTCGAGTCCTGCAGTTGTCGCTTGTAACACATTTATAACCTTTTTTTTTGCACCTTGCAGCCAAATTATCTTGACGAAGCTCTACTAACATCAGTAAGTTCTAACAATAACCAACATATAATTTGTCTACCATAACAACCATTTTAATCAACCATTGATCTTGTAAACCACTGCAAAACTTTTCCATATCTATTTAGAAATATAAAGCAAATGACAATTTTGCGTGACTAAGTTTTATCTGATTTTGGGCCCTAGTTTTCTTGAGATAATTTTCACTTATATTGTTTCAAGTCAATTAGTGTGATAAGAAGTAATTTTGCTCGAAAAATTGAATTCCTGGATGTTTCAGCTATGTGGCCTAGACAAAAAAGTCTAGAAGTCTAAATATTTTAGATCAAAGATTGATTGAGTTATATCATGTCATTTTCTAGCTCTGATGTACAATAAATTTGCAAGATGGTGTTAACTTTTGCCAAAATTCGTCTGAAATGGTAACAGAAAATTTGAGAATTACTTAGTAAACACACGAAGAAAGTTTTAAATATTGTGGTTGGGGCTTGATCTTAAAACGTCTCTTGCACGAGCTCGCCTTAGCATCGTGTTGAATTCTAAATTGACAAATTTTAGGGTAATACAATAAATTGATAAGAGTTAACAGCTAAATACTAATCAAAATAAATTTGAAAGTGTTAGCAATTATCCTTTCATTACTATTTTCATCATTTTACACATGTGCCCGAAAATTATCACAAGTCGTTTTATCCTGTGTTAATGCGCAAGTTAACAAAGTTATTGAAATTTTTTCTAGATGTGTTGACCTTGTTTTGTTCTGTTTCGACAAGTAACAAACTTTCTAAGACACATCCGGGTTTGCAATTCTATTTCCGAAATAGATGTTATAATAGTTAAATTAACTTTTTACCTCTCAATTTGCTAAATATTAAGAGAGTGAAGAGATGTAGTCATGAGCGATAGGGAACTTTGTTCTTGTAATCAATATACATTCTAAGTATACAATTATAAACATGTAATTTTAAACCTTACTCTACATAAGGGACTTCAACTAATAATTCATTAATAATACATATTAATGCAATTATTGTTATAATTATTATCATTATTTATTATCCTTATTTATTATCATTATTTATTATCATTACATTTATCATTATTTATTATCATTATTTATTATCACTATGTCAAACAACGACAACAACGACAACATTGCCACTTCTATATATGATATACGTCAAATGTAACCCAATTAGAGATCAACTTATAATTTTTCTTCTTTTAAAAACCATTAAAATATAAGATTTATAATTCTGGTTAGGGTCTTTTGCCTCAGTATTTATAATCTTTTTAATCAAACAATTTGTACGATATAAGTTAATAACTCATTTTATTAATCATACAATTAATTAATCATTCAATACAAACCATAGTTTATGATATTAAATATAAATTAGACCATATTAACATCTAATAATCACTTATCAATATTATTAGTTGAGTTATTCTCATTCGGTCATTTAATTTCCTCTTCTGTTTATTCAAAACATGAGACTTAGATATTATTATATTTGAAACAAGTAATTTTTTTTGTGTAATCGCGTGATAATTTTGCAACCAATTAATTGATGAACTTATGAGTTGACTTTGCTATTGTTATAATTTTATGAAATCTACTTTGTGAGATGATTATAAAATTAGACTTGATTATTATTATGCTGTAATATAATATGAAAAACAATTGATTTAAAAGCTATATAAACTATTTAGAATTTAGATGACACTACCGAATGCTTATATAATGTAATCTCATCAGATCTATTCACAATTATGAAATGAGCTTCTAATGACTACAATTCTACGAGCTTCTTATGACTATCATTTGTTTGTGCAGACGACTCTAGGTAGAAAAACTCCGACATTTGCAACTCGGTAATCATTATATGTAAGATATGAATGGTGATTATTCACATCGACGATATTATATGTAAGTGGCAAATGATGATAATTCATATCGACTATAACATGTAGATTTTAATTCCCCAAGTAGATGATATAATAATTCTATCAACCTTTTACCCCTCAATTGTAATAGATTGTGAAGAAAGAGTAGTCAAAAGCGATAGTGGGGCAAACTTTCTATTTACTTAATAAAACACAAAAATTTATTTTTAAAAATTGGCAACTTGTCCGAGTGGTTAAGGAGAAAGACTTGAATAGTTTAATCACCATTTTAAGGTATCTTTTGGGCTTTGCCCGCGTAGGTTCGAGTCCTGCAGTTGTCGCTTGATACTCATATTGATTTTTTTGCAAATTCTTTTAGTTTCTTGTCCATCTCTTACAATATGATATGTTCTATACTCGATGAATCTTTATCAGGAAGACTTCCAAACTCTTAAAACAACATCAAACATATAGTGATAGATGATTGTTTTTTTTGTTTTTGTTTTTCATATAGTTGCAAAAAAAGAGCGAAAAAACTGTAAAAACATGTTTCACGATAAATACCAAATTGAAGTGTCTTAGAATTTTGCTGATTGGTTGTTTTTAGAGCTAAAAGCAGTTTGCAACTGAATTTTGAATTTTTTATGTAAGAACATCATAGTTTATAAATAGATTGTGTGAAGAACGTAGGTAGAGAATTTAAAATCTAGTCTGTTCCTAAAATCGCGCGGTTTAAAATCGCACTTTTTAAAATCTTTAAATAAAATAAATAATATATGGAGCTGTAATAATAACTCAAATTCTACAATTAATCAGAATTTTCTAACACAGTACTTTTATATTCATATTTATAGACATATATGAGATAGTAGAGGCTAGTATAAAAACATGGTTGATACTCGACCGGATTTGAATAATATTTCAATAAATTCAACAACATCATTACCATTAAGTACTGCTGCAAATTTATTTGATCAAGATGATTCTGGTCCCTCATCATCTATAAAATTCAACCAATTGAAAGGATCAATTCCATCATATAATTTGAAATCAACAATAGTAGCATGTACAAATACACCTTATATATTTTTATATGGAGGATTTGATGAAAATGATGCATTAGATGGAAATGTTTATTTATTAAATACCGAAAAAATGGAATGGGAAATTGATGAAAAAAATGGTATTGAAGGATTATATCGAGAGGGTCATTCGGCAGTTTATTTAAATAATGGGAATGTATTAATTTTTGGTGGACTACCTTTTGATGATGAAATATTTGATACAAATTCTCAAACTCAAACAAATTCTCACAGTTTTAATAAAGATAGTTTAATGATGATTTATAATGTTTTTGATAAGAAATGGATTGGGCCACCTCCCTTTGCTTTAAATAATGCACCCACCTCAAGATCAAGACATGCATGTTGCTTAAATCAAGATAAATCAAAATTATTTATTAGTGGTGGAATAGTAAAGACAAATCCAGTCAATGATTTATATTGTTATGATCTAACCACAGGGGTATGGTCAGGTCCATTTAAGTTTGTTTCTAGGTTTGATCATACTATAATATATAACGACGATAGAATATATTCATTTGGTGGGTTGGATAAAGATATGAATCATGTTAAAACTATTTCCTATTTTTCATTTAAAGATCAATCCATCGTTGAAATTTCAATATCTAATTTGATAACTAATCAATTATCTTATTTACATTATGATTTATATATATTGGAGTATAAACAAGATATAGATTTAGTGTTGTTTGTAAATTTACCAACTTGGAATTCAAATGGTGGAGTTGATATAATGAGTTTAAACTTGAAAAATTTAGAGGTGGAGGTGTTGTTTAGTCAATTAAATTTTCAAAATTTTATATACCACGAAGTCAATCAAAATGAAGTGATTGGAGATAAAACTTCGCTAAAATATACTTGGAATTGTGCATTCACAAACGATAAAGGTACTTTATACCTATTGGGGAACAAAAAGAGATTATTTACACAACTATTTGGAAATGTGGTAACAAACAACTTTGAAAATGAAGATAGATTAATAATAGATCAAGAACCATCAGAAGAAGATGATGAAATATCAGATTTAAGTAATAAGCTAACAAATATAATAGAAATGAATATAAAGGGAACAAATGAATCTAGTCCAATTACTAGTTTATCACAAGATTTTGAAAGTTTATTCAATTCGAAATTTGAAACTGATTTTGAAATTGTTACTTTGAAAGATGAACAGTCAAAATTAAAATATGAAAATCAAGAACAATATGACACCAAAATATTAAGAACCCATAAATCTATATTAATTGCAAGATGGCCACATTTCAAAAGAATGATATCTAGTGGAATGAACGAAACTCAAAACTCAAAAGTATTAATACCTGAAACTTACAAAAAGATAGAGTCCTTAATATACTATCTATACACAGGAAATCTACCACAACACCAACACAAAATATCAGATCTCTCTGGTCTACTAGTAATTGCAAACTTATACCAGCTTCAAAATCTCAAAAATTTATTAATATCAGAGTTATACCCTGAATTTAACAAATTCACACTAAGTTTCAACAATCAAAAAGAAGATCACTTAGTTGAGCTACTTCAATTATGGAAAGACTTTAACATCTCAAATGAACTACTTTTCAACTCCAAGATTTTAAATTTCATCAAGAAGAAATGGAACTATATAATAAAATCCAGAATTTTTTTAAATTTAGATAAACAAGATATAATAAAATTATGTCAAGACACAAACGACATTTTTACTTCAACAACATCAATAGAGAACAACTATAACGAATCAAACCACTACAAAAACGCACTATTCGGTCAAATTAATCCATTGACAGGTACTCAGTTTGGTCAACCATCAACAATAACTTCAACAGAATTAAAATCACCATCCAGAAATTCTTTAAACTCATTTGAATTAACAGCTACACCAGATACGCCCATTAGAAGTACAAATTCTCCATTCTTAATAGATTCGCCGGCGAATCCTACAATTTCTTAAATATCTTAATAGAGACAATTTTATTTTTGGTAAAGTAAATATTAATGTATATTTTTTTCAAAAATTATCATCTATTATACTATGTAAAACATCCCCAATTGCTTCTACTCCATCTTCAATTCCATCTATTATATCTCCTAATATCTCTCCAAATCCTTCATGCACTCTTGTGGTTGTAGGTGTAGGTTCACTAGTTATTAAGTTCTCACTAGTTGTAGTTGGTATAAAATCGCTTGGTCTAGGTAAACTTTGAGATTCAGAGCTACTTGTCTTTTGTTGTTCAGATAATGAATTACCAGCATCAGAATTAACACCCACTGGATCAACTTTTAATCTTTGTCTCCATAATTGATCATAAGTTGCATTATTTCTTACAATATGTTCAACATCAAATGGTAAATTTGGAAAGGTTAATTTGTCTTGCCATGTCTCAGGTAATTTCTCATTATACACCAAATTGAAAGAAGTTCCATTGTTTGGAGCAGGTATCAAATCTAACGAGTCACATATGAGGTTATAAATATTTATATTTGGAAATGGTTTTATTTTCTGAGATTTGAAATTCTCATTAAAATATGGTCCTGAGGCTAAGAATATAGCTCTCATCAAAAGATGTGAGTTATCGAACCCGTGAACTCCCTTTGGCTTGTAAACATTTCCCATTTTATCCATTTGTTCATGTGTTGTTATTGCATACCCAACATCTGGGAAAATCCAAATAGGTGCTAATCTATAGTTATATTTGTGATTATTTAATTCACCCCCATACTTGAATTTTTTAGGTATATTTTCCATTTTATAAATGTTATAGTTTTTAGATAAATTTGAATCCAATTTGTTAATGTTATTATTTATTTCATTGATTATATCATCAACATTTTCGTCTGATTTAGGACGTAATCCAATCAATGGCCAGCCATCAATATGTTCTATTTTTTTAAGATCCACCAAATCATCAAGATACACTAATCTATCATTTGCAGTAGGTGCCATTCCATGATCGCTTACCACTACCAAATTAACAATATTTTGTAAGTTCCTATTCTCTAGTTCTTGCCTCATTAACTGTATAAAATTGTCCACATAAGTTAAACTTTGAGTCAATTCAACACCCGATATCCCACACTTGTGACCATACTCATCAACTGTAGGTACATAAGTTAAAATCAATTCAGGTCTACTCTCTATATCACGATCTAACCAACCCATTACTCTATCAACTTTTAACGATAATAATTCAGATCCATTGAACCTATCAAAATCATGCTCAGGACCTACTCCAGGAACTTCAGAACCTGGCCACATGTGAACAGCACTTTTTAAATTTTGTTTCGCTGCTGTTTGCCATATTGGTTCACCACCTTTCCAAAAATCAGGATCTAATCCACCAACTTCAGGATTTGTATTGATAAATTGCTTGTTGAGTTGAGGATCCCAAAATGTGTTCCCCACAATACCATGCTCCGAGGGATACAATCCAGTAACTAAAGTCCAATGATTAGGAAAAGTCAGTGATGGGAAACTTGGAATCATATACGGAGCTCCAAAATCTTCGATCAACATGTTATGTAGTGTGGGAGTATCATGAGGATTTATATAATGAGGATGAAACCCATCTAGTGACACCACAATTGTAGTTTTGTAAAATTCATGAGTTGAATTCGAATATATTGTTTTTGATTTGTTTGTGCTTTGACTTGTAAAGTTCGTTAAGTTCTTCTTGCTAAATAGTATTATTGTTGTTACTACTATTGCCAATAGTATTAATCCTCCAAATATAGTTCTATTTCTAACTTTTCTTTCGAGTAGTTTTAATCTATAATCCTTTAGGTCTATTGGTGCTTCTTCATCTAGTTCATCAATTTCATCTTGAGCATAATATCTAGGGTCTTCCAAATTACTAACCATTTCATATTGATTTGTTCTTTTAGATTTAGTACCATTAAGTAATGACTTTAGTTTGTTTATTAAGTTTTCTGGTTTTTTGGATTCTGTATCTTCTAGTGGATCAAAGAATTCATGTATTTCATTGTTGTTTTGGTGGTTTGGTTCTTGTTCTGAGAATATTATATCATCTTCTGGATCATCCATATCTGTTATAGGCACATCTACTGCATGTGGTGCATTGTAATTGATAGACATGGTTTGAACAGTCAGTAAGTTATGTATTGATAGTAAAATGATAGTGGTTTTCTGTAAATTGGGGTTAAGTTATTATTACCCCTGATTAATAAATTTACGAAGTTTAGTATGAGATTTTAAGATTATATCAATAGATTAGATAAAAGTAACTACATCAACAACATTATTAACTCTTTATATATATAAATATAATGATCTACACAACTTACAGATCTAAAGACCAAATTTAAAGTGTAATTTAGGACATCAAATTTTTCAATCCCAATAATTGATTATAATAAACAATAATATCATCACCATTAGGTTTAGCACAATTTTGATAATACAATTTTTCATATTCCTTGATGGATGAAAATCCAATAATACCTTCCAACCAATCACAATACAACTGATTATATTGTTTGACTATAAGTTCAATAAAATGACATAAATGTTGTAAATCAACTACTCCTTTATCTATAATTGACAAACATTCATTAATTGGAGTTACTAATTTCAAGTGAATGTGTGGTATTATTGTTTCATTAGTGAAAAGAATTTGATTTTTTAATTTTTCGGTGTATAATTGATATATGGATTTTATATATGGTGAATTTGTTGTTGGTTGAGGTGATACACAATTTTGCCATAATTTAACGTATTTTAATTGTAAATTTAAAAATTCAATAAGTTGGTTACCTAAATTTTGTAATTTTTTACGAAATTGTAATAAGATTGTAACTTGATGTTGGATTGTTTGATTTTTTGTTGGTGTTTCTAGAATTGGTAATGGTGGTATTTCATCCTTTTTTATTGTGAATAATGATATTTGTTTTAATGATTTAGATCTTTTTGGTGGTTGTTCTACTTTTTCAGTGGTTGATTCATTATATACTTGGGTTTCTTCTTTTACATCATTTAATGAAAAACTTCTTTTGACAATACTGGTCTATGATCTTTTTAATGATGTTGATTTTTTAAGTTCTTTTTTTGGTGGTTCTTGATGAATTAATTTATTATCAACTGAAGTACTTAATGGTTTATTGTTAAAATCATCTGGTATACTTTTATAAGTGGAATCACAATAATCTGGAAATTTCAATTGCAATAAATTATCAACCTGACTTAAATCACTCCAGCTAGTGATAGGATTTTTATTTTTCAAAACATCAACTATTTTGAATTTTGAATTTATTGAGTTTAACTTAATAAGACAAATTTGTAAATCTTGATGATGGTGAGGGTATAAAATTTTGACATCATCATGAATCAATTTTATAAATGAAGGTAACTTAAACCAAATTTCAATTGGGACTGATAACCAATTTTGATCTAAATCGAAATTTTGACTCATTATAAAGTTTAATTTATAATAATAACTTAATAAATTAAATTTAAATTCATTTGTGAAAAAATCAACTACTAAAAAACCGATTGGGAATTGATCTAGTGATGAATTATAAACTAATTGAAAAATATTACAACTTAATAAATTTTTATCAATACATGTACTAATGGAATTTAATTTATTTAATAAGTTCATAATTAAATTCTTATACCCATTATTTAATTTAACTAAATTTAAAAACACTAAATTTCTTTCTAATGAATCATTATATAAAAATCCATTTATTTTGAGATTGTGCTCAAATTCTTTGTACTTACCAATTATAAAATTTAAAAATTCAATCAAATGTTGTTTATATTGAAATTTCAAATCGTTTGTTTTTAATTCAATTGAATCTTTTGTTTGTAATTTTTTTAATTTTTCATGAATCATATTTGATGAATTTGAATCAGTTGATGAACTTGGTTGTTGTTTTGATATTCTTCCTTCAAATGGATCATATAATTGGAATTGATTATTGGGTGCGGATGTTTGAAGCAGATTTTGTTGAGATTGATTTAAAAGTGTTCTATTATTGTATGTATCAACAAATTTTGTATTTGATAATAGATATGATGAAGTAGTTGTTGTTGGTGAAAATTGATCATGATGATTTGGATGAGCTAAGTACATATTGATGGTTGTAGTTGTGAGTTGATATAATGTAGATATGACGATGAAAATGAAAAAGTAGATTTTGACAGATTTTATAGTTATTCTAGAATATATATATATATATATATATTTAAATATAAAAATCAACATTCTAAAATATATTTTGAAATTGTTTCATGTTAAAATATTATAATTTATTAAATAATATATCACTTTATAGTTTTGTATGATGAAATAATTTTCTCTAAGTATATGAGAACAATAGAAAAAATAAATGTTTCAGATTTAAAAAATAATTTATTTTTTTTGTTTCAGATTAGAATGAGTTTCTATTGTTGTTACATTTTTTCTCTCACTCTTCTTACATTACATATTTTCAAATAATAAAACACGAATAAAATTTACAATACAACAATTATAATATTTTAAAGGGGGTTAGACTCAAGGTTCTAGAATTAAAGTTGAAAGTTACATTTGAGATATGGAACTTAAATTATTTGATGTTACAGATTTAATACAACAAAAACCAATAAACTTTTAGAATTATCAAATGATAAGCAGCTTTATTTAATTTGAGTTTTAATACTATTTAATTATATGTCAAAATATTAAAGTTTTCAGGCTTATTGATTAATTAAACTCATGAGATATTTGAAAAATGAGCTGTATTGTAAATTTTTCACGAAGAACATTCGTTTATTATATATGATTTTCTTGACCATTAAAGCAATCTATTAACCAATACAAATAAAAAGGCTTAAATCTACGTTTTTATATGAAGTATGGAGATTTTTGGTTTCAATTATGAGAAATTGAATCTTGATCTTTAGAAGTATACTCTTGTTATAGATTGAAATTCCAAATTTGAAGATAATTTTCTGGATGGTGATTTATTACACTAATTAAGTTTTGCAGCCCACCTTGCATTGTCTATGTTCCTACGATTTAAAAGTCAGAGACTAAATTGAAGAAGTTCGAAATTCATATTTGTACAACTAAATCATCATCCATCCATTACTCCTTTACCTATATACTCAGATATAACTTTAAACAGATCCTTTGAGGATTGTAAAGAATCCATAAAAAATTCAGTATTATCTTTAAAACTCTCTTGCTTTATTTCAATGGTATAACAAATTGGACATCTAAGAGTATCATTGTTCTCATCATCAACAACCAGATTCAAACATTTCTGATGCATAGAATGTTTACATTTGAAATGAACTACGGGGTAATCCAAATGTAAATGACAAACAGAACATATGCTATTCAGAATCACAAAAGTTTGAGATAATTCTGTTAAACGATATGAGCTCTTGATTGATTCCTTTTGATAAAAATCAATTAATTTTTCGTTGTTGTTAATAGATTGATCCTCAACTGTAAAGAATCTCAATAAATATTCTTTGACTACTTGAAAATCAATATACTCTTTCCCATCACTTGTAAGTAAATTTAATAAATCCAAAGGCTCCATTTGAGCGTTTTTAATAATCAATTTCAAATCATTTAAATTAACTTGTTTGTAAATTTCTTTACTAGAAATAATGTATTCAAGCATCGATTTATACAATTCTGGTCTTTCACCACCTCGGGAATTCAAAAAAACTAAACATTTTTCTAAATTTCCCTCAACTTGAAAACTTTCAATAGTTTGTAAATCATCCTGAACTGTTACTTCACCTGGCTCAAAATTATATAAATGACTTAATAACAATAATGACTTTGGATCTAATAATTTTTGATATTGAGTAACTAAGTCGGATGCTTTTTCCAACCACTCTTCATTACCAGTCGTTTTATAAATTGATAAATACATTTCCAATAATGTTATTAGCACTTCCTTTTTATCCATTATATTCCCCTGATATTTATCAAATGCTTCAATACATGCTTCTAAAAATATAACGAATTCATTTGGATGGTTTGTGAAACTTGAGTATATAAGATTGGGTTTTGGTGGTAAATAAGTTGGCTCTGTAGTTGTAATTTCTTCTTCTATTTCTTTGTCCTCAGAAGAATTGAGTGTAAGATATTTCAAAAATGATTTATAATTTGTAAGTTCTACATTTTTTTCAATATCTGCACCTTCTTCATTATTTGCTTCAACTTCTTTTGGTTTATAATGTCCAGTAAATACATTAATCAACAACTCTGTTGTTTCAATTGGACACTCATCTAATAATTTTTTGGAGTGATCTATTAGTATTATCAATAAATCGTCAATTTTTAAAGATTTTATGTAGTTCAAGGCAACTTTTGGTTTTTTTAAATCATATAATTGAATATCCACAATTAAATTAGTTTGATTCAATTTGAATAGTAGCTTCAACACTTGTTTGTAAAAACCACATTCTTTAAATAAATTGATGATCAAGGGAAAATTTAGATTTTGTAAATTATCAATGGATAAATCGAATTCATCAATGAATAAATCCAATTCTTCTAGATTTTTTAATTTGCACAAACAACAAAGTAACAAAGTAATATGATCTATATTTGCCAATGATTTCAGGTAAAGTTTTTGTAAAAATTTCACCAAGTTACTAATATTTGTTGCTTCTTTAAATTTTGTAATTATATTCATTATAAATTCATCTTCATCTTCTTCTGAAAATTCAGTAAATAATTCAAGACACTCTATGTAAATGTCAATTGCCTCATTATATTTTTGTTCGTCGTACAAGTGATCTCCATGTAATTTTTGTATTCTAAGTAATGAATCCGTAGGTAATTTTTGTTGTTTTGCTAAATTAAAAGCTACTGTAAATAATTCTCTCTGTAGTATTAATTCAATTTGTTGATTTATTGGTTTTTCGAATATTTTGTAAAGTACCCCATCGTTTGAAAGGAAAAAAATATCATCATTTAATTTGAAAACAGACTTTATAACACTATTTGGAATTAAAAGATTGAATGATATGTGGTTGTTTTTTGTATCTAGTATGACAATTCTTGTTTGAATTCTGGTTGACTTCTCATCAGTTTGTGGACAGACCATTAAAAGATATGAATTGTATCTTAAGATCTTTGATTTTGGTATTTCGAAATTAACAGTTTTGATTTTACTTGTGGGGTTATAATATTGAATTGATTCTGGTAGTCCAACTATTAATTCTTGTTTAGGGCTGGTGGTAGTACAATCCAAGTCTGCTCCAAATTTTTGGGATAACATCCTCAACGGTTTTCCTTGATTTCTACCAGTAGTTGTAACAGTCAAAATTTTTGATGTAGTAGTTAAATACAAAACTTGTTCTTCTTCATTAAATTGTATACCAGTTACAGGATCATTTGCAACAGATTCATAAATGACTCTTTGTTTTGCTCCTCTATCTCTTAGCAAGTCACCTCTTATAAGTATGACTTTACCATTTGTGTAGCCCACTGCAAGACAAGTTAAATCGTAATTAAATTTGAAACAACTTATTGGAAAAGAATTATCCCCCATTCCTTCACTTCCAACACTACTGACCACCACCTGAGTTTGGAATTTGAATTTGTATTCTGATTCTTCAACATTTTCAAGATTTTGGATTTTTGTAATATCCCAAAGTTTGATAATTGAAGGAAATCCTTGTTTTTCGGCTAATGTAATTACTAAATTACTTGAATTATATAATGGCTCAATGAAAGTTATTCTATAATCAATATCGTAAGCTTGGAATTGACATGTACATGTTATATCACTTGGATTTATAATCTTTAAAGTTGAATTATTAACTGCAATAATTATATATGATTTAGTTGCATTGATTGATGATAATGTTGGATCTGAATATAATGGATCATTAGATTGATAATTTGGATCTCTTATTGGTGTATAATCAAATAGTTGAAATTGTCTCCATGAAAGTAGAATTGACATTTGTTATGAAATACGAAAGGTTCTAGGAGAACTTGGTTGGTAAGCGTTACATAAACAGAGTTGTATATTATATTATATACATACACAATTTAGAAACAATCATGCTACCAATTCATTTGTAAAAATTTCATGATCTTTATCTTATCTTTTTTAGTTGATAATCTACAGTCTAGAGATACTATATTTAAAGGAACCTACAATCCATTGCTTTAATAACCAAACTTATAAAACTAATATAACACCTAGTACAAAACACATTACAATTTCAATAATAAAATTTTTAGAATTTGAACTTATTGATGACATTGATTTCCAAGTAAATGAAGATTTTGGTAATACAACTCCTGTAAATGAATATATTCCATTGTGATTTACATCAGAATTAGTGATTTCTTTCTCAACTTGTTTTGTTGTTTTCATGATATTGGTGGATGAATTGAAAGATGTCCTTATATCCGAGGGTGTTGTGATTATTGATGAGGAATTTAAATTCGTGGTTATATTTTGAACAGATGTATGGTTCATTAATTGATTCATGTTCTGAAGTCTTGTTCTTGTTCTAACCCTGGTCCTACTTGTTATATGTCTAATAGTTGGGAAAGAAGTTGGATTTAAAATCACAGTTGTCCCTTCAATTGGTAATATACTTACTAATCCAGTGTCCTCAGTCGAGGAAATTTCAGTTATTGAGGAATGCACTCTTTCAGTTGTTCTGCCAATTATAAAATGTCCATCTTCAAAGTCAACTAATGGACGAGTCTCAGAAATATGGGTTCTGGCATTTGGAGGATCATCAATTATAGCTGCTTCAGTAGTTTTGGAAGGTGATAAGAATTTTTCAACTTTACTTTTCCAATAATCAAACTGATCTTGCTGAATTGTACTGGTGGATGTTTTTTCTTCAATATGAGTTGTTATGTCAACATCAATTTTTGAGGTGAATGGTGGTAATGTTTCAACATCTAATACACTTGTCCAATAATGAGTATCCTGTTGATTCGGGACCTCCGCTAAAACTGAGGAGGGTACAAAATGAATTTTTGACGTGAAATCATTATCATGATCTTGCTTTGTTGATTCAGGTCCAGGCTTTGAGGTGAACCTTGGTTCATATTCAAATTCTTTATTTGATTTTTGATAAGATGATGGATGTTGATATTTACTTTTGATTTGATCTTCTTCATATGTGGTGATAGTTTCCATATATGGTAGTGTTTTGCTAGGCTTATATTTTTTGGTGAACTTCAAGCTAGGTTTTACTCTGTGTTTATTTTTCGTGGTTACAATATCCGGCTTTGATGTGACTCTAAGTTCATATTCAATATTACTTGAGGTTTCCAAGTTTGGTAAATAATTAGAATCACTTTCAATGCCATGTTTTGATTCAAAATCTTTGTAATAGGGGGTGTGTAAACTTTGTTCAGGTTTTGAATGTGAGTAACTTTTAGATCTTATCTCATTCGGAGGTGTTGAAGAGGTTGGACCACAATTTTTTTCATCAACTACGGTGGTGGTGAATGTTTCAGTAGAAGAACAAGGTGGTGCACCAGAACTAGTTCTAAGAATTATACCTGGACTTGGTTTAGATTTTAATCTGGGAATAGTGAATCTACTGGTATCATATGATGAATAATAAGATTTTGATAAAGTTGGGTATTGTAATCTGTCACCTATAAGCATGGAGTTGATTCTTGATAGCAATTGTTTTGGATGAATTGAGGTTGATCTAAATTTCGATTTAGATGAGGCTGCTGGATAGTCAGTAATTATTGGAGTTTGCCCGGTTTTTGTTGGTTTGTATTTTTCATATTCTGGAGAAGTAAATGAGTTGATTCTTGACAGAAATTTAGTTGGTGCAATTCTTGTTTTATATTTGGAAGTGGACGCAACCGTCTCAGACTCACTATAATCATCATATGGGAACTTTGTAATTTCAGAAGGTGAATAATAACTTGTTTTAGTAGGTGTCAATTCTTTGAATCCTGGACTAATAAATGAATTGATTATTGACATCACTGCTGATTGATCAATTGTTGATTTGGTTCTAGAAGTTACAAATTTGGTTTTGGATTTAGTTTCATATACAATTTCAGGTTGTTTGGTAATATTTGACTCTACTTCAAGTGTTGTTGTTGTTGGGGAAACAGTAATTAATTTGGTTACAGTAATAACACTAATAACAATATATGGATTATAAAATGAAGTTGGTTCATCAAAATCAATCATATCACTATTAATAATTTTATCAACCCAACTTTCTTTTTTAGAATTATGATCACTAATATAGTCAAATTCTTCCTTTATTTCATCTTCTGGATCATCTTCAAATTCACTTATTTCATCACTAGAATCTTGATGTCCCATTAATTTATCTAATAGTTTACTTTTTGGAAATTTTTTACCCCATTTGAATTTTATCTTGAGATTATCTGAATTCATTAGTTTTTTACCTGATACAAAAGCCTTTTTTGGTATTTTGAGTTTCCAACCAGCAAGTTTCTCCTTTGCGTTGGTGTTGATGAATTCATCTTGAAGAAAAGAAGTCTTTTCGTTAATTTCATCCTCATTATATGATCTTTTGTCTTTTTCATTATCACATTCAGCTAATTTTTGTTCTGCTTTATCTATTTGATCAATTCTTTTTGAGTCTGAACATTCGCTATCAGATGATGATAATTTATCGATTATTCGAATTACACTTTCACATTCATCTTCTTTTGGACAATCCGAATCAGTTCCACATTCAGAAATTGAACCAGAAGAAAAGTCCCAATCTGGTAAACCCAATATTCTGGAAAGTCCTAGAATTAGTTGTGCATTTAATATTGATGAGTTTAATGAATTATTCGTGGAATGATTTACTTGCAATTCTTGAGAATGATTGACAAATCGTGCAGATGTTATGGATATAATAAGAAGAATTAATAACGAATCTTTGCCTTGCATCACAGAGCTATTGTTTCAACCAGTTAATGAATTGTATTATTTCTTGTTGTTCACACTAGATACTGAATAAATTAATTATTTGAAAATTTTGAGAGCTCAGTAAATCGTAGATTAATCTCTCGAGATGATTTGCTACGTTTCATCTCCCTTTTTTGCATTCCGCTTATGAAATTAGTTACTGGATCTATGAATAACAAAATAAAGTGAAATGTGTCAAAATAGTTTTTGTGTAATAATGTGCCTCATATTGAAATTTACGAGATCTCTACTATACAATAACTGAAAATTTGAAACCTGACACCGTTAGCTACAACTAATTTGAAAACCCAGTATATAAGAAGCTGTATATTAAATGACTACAAAGTTTTTTCTCAAAAACCTTGTAAATTTAGTTATTGTCTAGCCAGTACGCAATTTACAAGTCGAAAATCAAGTAATTTTCCAAAGAAAACGTGCACGATTTTGATTTAAAGCTGTGATTGTGCTGAAGTTATAAAAATGGAGCCGGTGTAAGCCCCTTGTCTTTATTTGATTCATACCAAGGTTATATCACTATCATTTTTGGTTCTTCATTGGGGTCCAAATTTTATGAAAATAATTAAATATTTCAATTTTGTGTTACGAATTGAATCTTCAAAAAATTCAAAATTTCAAACTTCACGGACTAACAACTTATTACAAAACAACTCAATTGCAAACCACACCACCTTAAAGAGATGAAATGGGGCATATATAATTTTATATTCATTTTTACTTACTTTGTGCTATCAGTTACGGCAGACCAAAAGGCATTTAACATTTACGACTCAAATTCAAATGATTTAATGGATGATAATAACTTAAACACGAAATATTCAAGATTATCCAATAATTCCTTGTTATGGGGACCATACAGATCATCGTTATACTTTGGAATAAGACCAAGACTACCACGCTCACTACTAAACGGATTAATGTGGTTTTCCATGGATAATCATAACCAAATAGGTTCCATTAGACATTTTTATGAACAAAATGATAAAATGTCCAAGGCAAATTGGATAAATTATGATCCTAGAGTTGGTGGTCAACAGTATATAAAAGATGAAGAATTCCATTTTGATATAATTATAGATTTTGTTAAAAGTGATGATGGTTTGAGTTGGGGTGTTAAAGTTAGAGCTATTCCACATTCTGGGTTTGAAGATTCTAAACTTTCATTTATTTGGTATTCTGGATTGGAAGGTGAACGAAAAATTGAAGATTCTATTACTGAAACCGAAAGAACCGGATATTTCAATTTGGAAAATAATGAAAGTCTAGATGGGTATAATGAAGATATAAGATTCAGTGGTATTTCAGAAGAACTAGGAGCTTTTACTATTGTTATAAATGATGGACCATCAACAAATAAACATCCAAAGGGATTAAAAGAACTCAAGAATGAAATGAATCCAGCTTTGACTCATCATTATAGTCTTACAGTCCCAGATGATAATGTATGGCAAGCAAGAGATATTTTCATGACAATGTTACAAGAATCAATCAAGAATTTAAATGATAAACATAAAGGGCTAGGTTATATTCCACCAGAAAATGCATTCATAATCAAGAATTTACAAGGTTTCGAAGGAAATTTACATTTTGTTCAAAAAATTTATCAAGGTGAATGTGAATTTGATATTATCTATACAAATTCAGTAACCCCAGAATCAGAAACCATTACATTCAAAAATCTCCAGCAAAAGATTGATCAAAAATTAAAAGTCAATGATGTGAAATTTAAAGAACATTTTAAATTACAACCCCCTTTTGATACGCCAAAATACCAAAAATTTGCTCAGGAAATCATATCTGGATTATTAGGTGGTATAACATACATGTATGGAGATCATTTAGTAGATAGATTCACAGAATTTGATGAAGATACATTTGATTCATATACATTACAGGGCCAATACGAAGGACCATTTGAATTATTTACTTTAGTTCCATCAAGACCTTTCTTTCCTCGAGGTTTCTACTGGGATGAAGGATTTCATTTGCTCCCATTAATAGATTATGATTCTGATTTAGTGTTGGATATTATCAAGTCTTGGTTTAATCTTATTGATGAAAATGGATGGATTGCAAGAGAACAGATATTGGGACCAGAGGCAAGATCAAGAGTACCTAAGGAATTTAGAGTACAAAGTCCTCATATCGTCAATCCACCAACATTAACATTAGTATTAAGTAACTTACTTGAGTCAATTAAACAATTCAAAGATGTTAATGAACCAAATGAAGTTGGAGATGAATCATCAGAGATAAAATTAGGCAAGTTCACTTTGAGTAATCCGCAAGTATTGCTCAACTACACTAAACAAGTCTACCCAAATTTAAAAAATCATTTTGAAATGTTTAGACGTACCCAAAAGGGGTATATTGAAGAATTTGAAAGACCAATCGCAAACGAAGAAGTATTTAGATGGAGAGGCAGGACATACACTCATTGTTTAGCAAGTGGGTTAGATGATTATCCTAGAGCATCACCTCCAGATGTTGGAGAATTGAATATTGATTTAATTTCATGGATTGGAGTAATGGCTAGATCTTTAAGGTTAATGGCTGAAGTATTAGATATTGAGAAAGATATAACACAGTTGAAAGAAATTGAACAAAACATAATTTCAAATATAGATAAAATCCATTGGTCTACCGAACACAAAGCGTACTGTGATGTATCGGTAGATGAAGATGATGAAAATATTTATGTTTGTCATAAAGGTTATGTTTCATTATTGCCATTTTTGACACATTTGATTCCAAATGATAACCACGACAAATTAAATGATGTTATTGATTTGATTACAAGTCCAGAAGAACTTTGGTCTGATTTCGGGATTCGATCACTTTCAAAATCAGATGAGTTTTATAAAACTGGAGAAAATTATTGGAGATCACCAATTTGGATTAACATGAATTACTTAGTTTTGAAATCCATATATGATTATTTCAATAAAAATCAATATAACTTTTCTCCAGAGTTAAAATCAAAATTTGAGAATGCTTATCATGATTTAAGAATAAACCTTGTCAACAATGTATTCAATCAATGGGAAAAAACTGGTTTTGTGTGGGAACAATACGACGATGAAACAGGTCAATCAAAAGGTGCAAAAAATTTCCTAGGTTGGTCATCAACGATAGTTTTGATAATGACAATGCCAGAAAACTTATAGAAATGTTAATAAAAATTTAGATACATGTATTTTTGTTTATCTATAAAATATTTTTCTTAGAAGGATCTTCTTCAAATCTTAAATCCCAACCAATTTCTTCACCTAATTTAGGTAAGATTTCAGCTACTGATTGAACATCTTTATCACCTCTTCCCGATACATTAATAACAATGTGTTGATCTTTAGGTAAAGTTTTGGCTAATTCAACACCACCATAAATCGCATGAGAACTTTCTAAAGCTGGTATAATACCTTCCAATTGTGATAATAATTTGAAACCTAAAAGAGCTTGTGCATCAGTAGCTGCTATAAATTCAGCTCTTCCTGTTGATTTCCAGTATGCTAGTTCTGGTCCAACACCTGGATAATCTAAACCAGCTGAGACAGAATGTGTATCATGAACTTGTCCATCACTATCTTGTAATACATAAGTTCTTACACCATGAAATACACCAGGTATACCCACGGTTAAAGTAGCAGAATGACGATCTGTATCTATACCATCACCACCAGCTTCCACTCCTAACATCTTGACGTCTAAATCTTTTTCAAATGGTGAAAACAAACCGGTTGAATTTGATCCACCACCAACACAAGCTACAACTGCGTTTGGTAATTTGCCATCATTTAATTGTTTGAACTGTTCTTTTGTTTCCTGTCCAATAACACTTTGGAAAGTTCTGACTAAAGTTGGGTAAGGATGTGGCCCAATTGATGAACCTACAATATAATGAGTACTCTCCAAGTTTGAAACCCAATACCTAAAAGCTTCTGATGTAGCATCTCTTAAAGTTTGTGTACCATTTTTGACAGGTATAACAGTAGCTCCTAACAATTTCATTCTGAATACATTTAATGCTTGACGTCTGGTATCTTCAGCACCCATGAAAACAGTACATTCTAATCCAAATTTAGCACACGCAGTAGCAGTAGCAACACCATGTTGACCAGCTCCAGTTTCTGCAATAATTTTTTTCTTACCTAATCTTCTAGCTATTAAAACTTGAGCCAATGCATTATTTATCTTGTGAGATCCAGTATGATTTAAATCTTCTCTTTTCAACCAAATTGTTGCACCACCTGCATGTTCAGTTAATCTTTCGGCTTTATGTAATGATGAAGGTCTACCAATATATGAATACAAAGATCTAAATTCTTTCCAAAATTCAGGATCACTAGTTGCATCTTCAAATGCCTTTTCCAATTCTGCTAAACATGTATGTAAAGCTTCTGGAACATATTGACCTCCAAAATCTCCAAATCTTGGATTATATTTATGATTTTCTTCGAAAATAGCTTTAAATTTAGCTTCTTCAATTTCTTGTTTAATTCTTTCATAAGATTTCGGAGCATTTGATTTATAATCTTCACCCAAGATAGATTTGACATAATCGTAAGTTACTTTACCTCTTTGACCAGGTTCTGATTCTCCAATTATTGTTATAATTTTAGATCCAATAACAACACCATCAGCAACTTTACCAACAGCTAAAAAATGATCTCTTGTTGAAACACCAAAACCGACTGCAATCGGAGTATCGGACCCAATAAATTTTCTAACTCTAGCACATAACTCTTCAATACCTGCAGAAACTTTATTAGAAGCACCAGTAGTACCCATCTTGGAAACAACATATACAAATGAGTCTGCAATGGACCCCAACACTTTTAATCTTTCATCAGTAGTAGCTGGTGCAACCAAAGGAACATAACTTAAACCATGTTTTGAACAAGCTGATCTAAATTTAACAGCTTCTTCAGGTGGTAAATCAACAATTATAAATCCATTTACTCCAGATTCTTCACAATCTTGTAAAAATTTTTGTTCACCATATTTTAAAATTGGATTATAATAACCCATTAATATCAAAGGAATAGTAACACCTTCAGATCTTGCTTTTTTAACTAAATCCAAAACTTTTGGTACAGTTATACCATTTTCTAAAGCTTTTATATTTGCAGTTTGAATAGTTGGACCATCAGCAATTGGATCAGAAAATGGAATACCAATTTCAATAATATCAACTCCTGCTTCTTGCATGTTTTTTAAAATTGGGATAGTATCTTCCACGGTTGGAAAACCAGCTGTTATAAAGTTTATAAGGGCATTACGTCCTTCTTTTTTACACTTAGCAAAAGTTTCTTTTAATAATGCAGACATCTTGTTATAGTGATGATGGAATAATGATCAAGAATGTTAAATATGATTAGTTGTAAAGAATGAAATTGTTCTGATAATTTATATAATAAACCTGAAAAAGTTGAAAAATTACTTTTTGTATTTTGAAGTATGACTCAAGCTTATATACAGGAAATTATCAATTCAAAACCTTTATCGCTTAATCTTATCAATAAGATTCAAAATGTCAATTACAAACACCCCACCAAAACCAGTTTTATATAGTATGAAGAATTTATCGTTGCTCACAACTGTATAATAATCTCAGAATTTGGATCGTTTAGTAGTTATGGCTGAAACTTTAGAAAATATTAATAGATTCTAGAAATTACGCACCAAAATTCATTTAACTTCAACTTATAATAATCTGGGGAAAATTAGTAATTTTAACATGACCTGAGTGTTCTATTTTATTCTTTGATCTAGCAAACAAAGTGTACAGTATATTATCATATAAAGTATTGAGAAACAAAAGTTTTGCAACCAATTTGTAAATTCGAAACAAAGTGTCACAAGTAAAGTCTCAAGACATCAAATATCGACAGACCTAATGAGATTTGGAATATAACACAAAATGTTACCAAGTTATTCAAATGGATCAAGAAATTTTCAATTTGTATACAAATAATTCCTTCATCAACTACCGCTCACATATAAAGACTCGTATAGTGATAGTGATGAATTGATATTCATCCTAATTCAAATTTTAAACTTTATGCAAACTTTCGCAACTCAAAAATCATAATATATCATAAAATCACATAAATAAATGCTATCAAGAAACGTTCAAAGAGTATTCGTACTTCTATCATGTACATTTTTAGGTTTAATTTGTGGAACAGTATACTTATATAGCTCATATTCACCACAATTGGCTAAGAAATTAAACTATACAGCAACAGAAAGTTCCAAAATAGCATTATTTGCAACTTTAGGCACAGGGATAGCAGGTCCTGTCTCTGGATATGTTGTTGATCAAAAGGGTTATACGTCTTCATTAATTATTGGTGGGGTCTTAATAATTTCAGGTTATATTGGACTTAAATATCAATACGATACTTCATTAAGTTATGTAAATTTATCAAGTCTTTTTTTATTTAGCATTGGTTCAGGTTCAACTTTTATAAATTCAGGATGTTTAAAATGTTGTGCAGTGGGGTTTCCAAGTATTAGGGGGGTTGCTACTTCATTGCCTTTGGCGTTATATGGCTTAAGTGCTCTATTTTATTCTGTAATTGGTTCAGTTTTTTATCTGGCAAATATATCAAATTTTTTAGGATTCTTAGGTAGGTCCATAACTATTATTTTTATTATTTGTTTACCTAGTGTTTATTTGGCTGATAAGGAGCATAAATTAAAGAAAGCTGTTAATTTCAAAAATACATCTACCACTGCTGATGTTCATGAAAAAGAGGTCAACGAAGAGAATTCCAACATTTTGAAAAACTATAAATTTTGGTTTTTATTTATCATCACTGGATTATTAGCATCTTTAGGTCAAATGTACATTTACTCAGTTGGTTATGTAGTTAAATCATTAGTCAATTATGCATCCACTTCGGGCAATCTAGTACCTGAACAATCATCATCATCACTGGACACCGTATTGTCGCAAGATAAGATAGATCTCATTGTACAACAACAACAACAGATTCAAGTAGGAACAATTTCAATTGCAAATTGTATTGGAAGAATAGTATCAGGCATTCTAGGAGATATAATAGTTCAGTCGTTTCAAAAACCAAGATCATGGCTACTAGTAGTACCATCAATTGGATTAACAGCTATACAATTAATCAACTACTTCACAGAAAGCTTCAAAAGCTTATCAATCAACTCATTTATAATTGGTTTCACTTATGGCTTTACATTCTGTATCATGCCAATTATAACTGGTGATTTATTTGGTATGAAGAACTTTTCATTAAATTGGGGAATCATAAGTTTGTCGCCAATTCTTCCAACCTATATCTTTACTAATTATTTTGGAAAAGAGTATGATTTCAATTCACAAAAAGTTACTACCATGAGTACCACCAGCACCACTAATGAAGTCACTGGATGTTCAATAGGTAATCAATGTTATAACAAAATTTTCAAAGTTACTTTTTTAGCCGGTTTGCTATCACTTATTTTAATTGTAATTTTCAATTTTAAAAGTCGAAGGAAAACCAAAATGCTATCCTTACTAGATCTTAGATCAAATAATTATATAGAGAAACCTAAATAGAGTAAAATTAATATATACAAATTATAAATTAAATAATATACATAATTAATTGTTTCTTCTTAGCGACTGAACTCTAGTCATTTTACTTGATGATGCACTTGGAGGAGTTACTAAGAATTGTTGAGAGCTTTTTCTTTTAGGTCTTGGATAAGCTCTTCTATCTCCAGTGTCCAACAAACTTTCCAAATTTCTATGCGAGTCACTTTTAGTTGGTAGTGACGGTGAATTCTCAATTGGTGAATCATGCTGTTGATCATCTTCCATAACTTCAGTATCTTCATCAACTATTAACTCATCAATGTTTCTGTTGATTAAATAACGTAATGCATTATACCAAATGTTATGTCTATGCCTACTAGCACAAGTAAACTTAATTGACCTATCTGTTGTATGAACCACTATACTCTTGTAGTATAACCCAGTTGGTAGAGGATTATTGTCATCCACACTTTCCACACCCAAAATAGCAGCAGCTCTTGTTTTTCTAGATGATGGATTTGACAAGACGGGATTGTTCTCTGACCAATACAAAGTTAATGAATAAGGATGTACCCAAAAGTATCTTTCATGTCTTGTTTGAGCAATTGCACTTAAAGCTGAACCGAATTTTCTATAATATTTGAACAAGTATTCTCCAATTACAACTTGAGTTATAGCAGGTATCATTGATTTATCAGTAAAAGAGACATCAGTAGCCATTGAAAACACAGCATGAGATCTAATGGAGTCTAAGCCAACTGAACGATCGGATAAATTAGATCTTATAGATCGTGATTGTGGTAAACCTCTATGTAATGTTGGTGTAGTTGTATTTGAATTAGTGGTCCTATTTGGAGTAGTTTGAATAGTTGATGATGGTGGTGTGAATTTTTCAATCTCATCTTTTGGTGCATAGCCTTTTCTCAATGCAAATTTTTCAAATTCTTCCTTTGATATTTTATCAATTGATGTTGATTTGAATTTTAATAATTGATTGAAATATGTTGTTGGTATGACTTTAACATTTGCTAAATCTGGTGTTGGATGTGTAGTAGTTGCAATATATTGATCTTCTGGAATTGATAAAAGATTAGAACCTTCAGTAATTGGAGCTGTAACAAAATCTTTATTTGTAGATGCTGGTTCTTTTGCACTAGATAATTGATCATTTAATGAAGCAATAGTTTTTTCCAATTCTGCTTGTTTTGAAAGTAACAGTTGATTTTCAGCAATAGCTTGATCTATCAGTGAAGTATCTTTTTGAACTGGATCCAGTTTATTGTCAGCATCAACAATACTATCATTTTTGGGGAAAACCAAAGTATGAGAAGTGGGAACGTTCTCAGCTTTCGAATGTTTTTCTGCAGCTTCTCTTAGACTTTCATATTCGGTAGTTGATAGCAATTTGTATGAGTTTGAATTAGCAATTGATTGAAGTTGGTCGAAACCTGGGTTCTTCAATTGAACATAGTAATTCTTATCTAGCAATACGGTTTCAACTTCTGGACTTAATTCTGAATTATCGGTATCACCTTTAATGATACGCATTTTATCCTTGTTCAATAACATGTGTCCTTTCTCATCACTTTGATCATGTAAATAGTCCAATTCTGGCACATCAATTTGTTTAGCAAGATTTGTATTTACCACTTGCAATTCTTTATGTTTACTTTCCAATAAATCAAATTCATCTAATGGTAGAATTTTCATATTTGCTTCAGCAGCTCTTGTTGATAAAGATTTATTAGCATCAGCGTTTAATTTTAGTAATTCTCCAGCTGGCATGACTTTCAATCCTAATTTTTCAGCATATTCAACAACTTGCTCTCTTGATGGATCGGCAGCTAGGGATACAAGATTATTGAAATATGATTTATCAATAATTGTCAGATCAAAATGTTCAGCTTTTGATTTTAAAAAAATCATAGATGGATTATTTAAATTTTCAGATAATTTTGAATTCATGTTTTTCAATTCTATATTTTCAACTTCTAATTTTGAATTTTGATTAATCGAATTTTGATAATTGGTTTGTAAATTTCGTAAATCATCATTTAATGATTTATGTTTTGAGTTTTCAATTAGCACTAAACCTGAAGCTGCAGCTTTAGCATCCAAACTTTCGTTTGTTTTTGATACCAAATCATTATAATGGGATTCGTCAATGACTAATGCATTATGATTTTTAGCTTTTTCTTGAATAAATGATAATTGAGGATTTTGTAAATCTTTTTCTAAAGTATCATGTTTCTTAATAGCAAGATCTCTGTCAGATTCAACTTGAGATAATTGGTTTTTTAATTTACTAAGTTCAGAAGTAACTTCTTTATTACTTGCTTCAACAGATTGTAATTTGTTTACCATGTTATTGAAATCAGTTACGGCAACAACTTTATGATTTAATTTACTAGCATTTTCATTCAAGAATGACAAATCAGGATCATGGAAGTTACTGGTGTATTTAGCATATTCATCTTTTGGAACAACAACATGATCATTTGATTCAGCTTTGGAAGTAATGAAGTCCAATGAGGGGGATTTTTCAATTGCAGATAATGCTTCAAATCTTGATTGTGATGATAAAATATATCTATTCAGATCAATAGAAATTTCAAATGGGTTTGTTGATAAATTATTGATAAAAGTATGGTATGATGTAGTTGGAATAATAATGAAACCTGAATCTATATTATCTGTGGAATTGACCTGTTTCAAATCTTTAATATTGATGACACTGTAACCACTATTTGTAGCTTTTACTTCAAATGATTGATTTGCTAATAGTTGTAATTTTTCAAATTCTTCAACTGATAATAATTCAAAGTTTTGAGCTTTGGCAGAACTCCTCAAGTATGTTATTGTTGGTGATTTTAATGAAGCTTCTAAATCATTGTATTCATCATATGTCATTAACTTCATATTCTCTTCTTTGGCCCTTTCGGTGATTGGTTTCTTAGCTTTCTTTTCCAAATCGTCCAATATGGTAGGAGATACAACAACCATATTCAGTTCCTTAGCTAATACTTCTAATGATTTTGAAGCTTTTTCTTGAAGTTGTGAATGTTCTTCTGGGCTCAATAGAACCTTGTTATTATCTTTAGCATGATCCTCAATTGATTTCGCAGACTTGAATTTCAATTCATTAAACAATGAAGATAAAATTACAACCTTTCCATTAGATTCGGCATGTTCTTCCAATGATCTTGAAGCGTTCCTTTGTAATTCTTGATATTCAGAATTTGGTATAACTATCAGATTTTGGGCTTTGGCTAATTCGGCAATTGGAGTTTGTTCATATTTAGTCAATTCATTAAATTGTGAAATTGGTACAGTTATATGATCGTGTAATTTTGATTTAGCTTGTATATCTTGTAATGTTGGATGATTTAATTTGTTGTTTAGTTCTTCAAATTCGCTTGATTCTAATACCTTCAAATTCAATTGATCAGCTTTATTTATAATATGATTCTTACCTGGAATTTCAGCTTGATGTTTCAATTGTTTGTAACTATCAGAGTTAACCAATATAAAACCATTCAAATTAGCTTTTTCAGTCAAATACTCATTAGATGGATTATTTATTCTAGATTCCATAATTTCAAAATCGTTATTTGATAATAACGTATAATTCAAGGATTTTGATTTTTCTTTCAAATATTCAACACTTGGAGATTTTAGTTTTTTATTTAATATCAATAAATCTGGTTTTCTGATCAATGTAAGTCCTAGTTTCGATGCGTTTGTTGATAATAATTCTTCATTTGGTTCAATGAGTGAATCATATACTTTATCCTCAACTACTACCATATTTATTTTATGAGCTTGTGTTTTTAATAGATCAACTGTTGGTGTCTTAATAATTTCTTCCATTCTTTCAAATTCTTTATTATCAACTAGTACGTGATTTGTTGCAGCTGCCTTTGTTGTTAAATACTCTAGTGAAGGATTCTCAACGCTAGTTTGTAATTGTTTCAATACTGAATCTTCAATTAATACGTGACCAAGTTCAGCAGATTTTGCTTCCAAATATTCTTTACTAGGTTTTGCAATTTGTGATTTTAATGAAGTAAGCTCAGCTGATGGAATCAACACTTGCTCTAATCTCTCAGCCTTCTTCGTTAATTGATTCAAAGTAGGGGTTTCAACTTGATCTTTCAAATCTTGTAAATCGTCGACTTTAACCAATGTCAAATGATGTTTTTTAGCAGCACTAGTTAATTGTTCAACAGATGGATCATTTACTTTTGATAATAATTTCTCATGATCCAATTTTGGTACCATTATGAAACCAGCTGATTGAGCTTGCTCTTCGATATGTTCTTTTGATGGAGACTCAACTATTGTGACTAATTTATTATATTCATCAGTTTTAACAACACTATAATTTGATTTATTAGCATGATTCGAAATATATTCGATACTTGGAGCATTAATTTGTTGTTTCAATTCATTATATTCATAATCATCGACTACTGTTAAATTCAATGATTTAGCAGCTGATTCAAGGTTATATTTGGTTGGATGATCTTTGTAATTTTGTAATTCTTTAAATTCTGCAGCTGGAACAATTACACTGTCGATTCTTTGAGCATGTTCACTAAGTAACTCAATACTTGGATTTTCCTTAATTTGCACCAAATATTTGTATTCTATATCATCAACCACTGTAGAATTATACAATTTAGCTTTCTCACTCAAGTATGATAATGAAGGATGATCAATATCCTTTTTCAAATTATCTAATTCAGAGTTTCTAACAATTTCATAATCTTTAGCTTCTGCTTTATCCTTCAAGTAATCAATGGAAGGATCATTAATCTTTTGATTTAATTCATTATATTTGGAAGTAGCTAAAGTTACCAATCCCAAAGAAGTAGCATGTTTAATAACGTGATCTTTAGAAGGATCATTTGCTTTAACAACCAAGTCTGCATGTTCATTATTTGAAATTAAAATATGATCTTTTTCTGAAGCTTTTGATTTGATGAATTCAATTGATGGGTTTGATTCCATGTTTTGTAATCTTTGTAATTCTGTAGTTGGAACAATTGAACTGCTTAATTTAGATGCATGATTCTCCAAAACAGACCTCGATGGGTTTTTCAATTCTTTTAAGTCTGTTTCTGTAATGACCTCGTAACCTTTGGATTTTGCTGATGATTTTAAGTGATCAACTGATGGATCATTCGCTAATTTATCTAAATCATTATATTTGACTTGAGGAATAGTAATGTAGTCATATTTTTTAGACATTTCTTGAATATAATCAATAGTCGGTTCATAAGCTTTTGATTTCAATTCTTTCATTTCTTCATCTTTGATCAATGTATAATCCAACGTAGAAGCAGATTTTGACAAATAATCCAAGTCTGGATTTTCCAATTTAGTGGTGAGTTCTTTGTATTCTGAAACTGGACAAATATGTAAATTCAAATTGTTACAAGCTTTTGTAATATTCTCTTCAGTTGGTTCAATTAATTTTTCATAATTGGATAAATTGATAGTTACATAACCTAATTTAGCTGAACTGGACTTAATGAAATCAATCAGTGGAGATTCAGAAGTTTCTTTCAAAGTTCTGAGCTGTTCTTTTTCAACTACTTCGAAACCGACTTTATTTGCAGATGATGTGATATGTCCTAAGTCTGGTGTATTTGCTAATTTTTCCAAATTGATATAATCGTCATGTTTGACAACTTCACAACCAATTTTGTTAGAAACTGATTTAATATGATCCAAACCAGGTGTCTCAACCAATTGTTTCATCTCATTAAATTTATCATTAGATACCAAAACATGTTCTCTAGTTGATGCAAAAGTACGTAGCTGATCCAAGTCGGGATTCTCAGCTTTCGATTTCAAAACATTGTATAATTCATTTGTTATTAATTTATGGTTTTGTTTTGCTGCTGCATTGAAAAGGAAGTCCAAAGATGGTTCATTTATGACTTTCATCATTTTTTCGTGTTCTTCAATTGGTTGTAATTTATATTGATTTTTGGTGGCATGTTCTTGTAAATGATCTATTGTTGGATTATATGCTAACTCGTTAATGGCTTTAAATTCTTTAGCATCTACCAAATTGTAATTAGCTGCTAACGCTTTTTCTTTCAAGTAGTCAATAGATGGAGAATTAAGTTGATTTTGTAATGAATCATATTCTTGTTGTTTAATGACTGAAAGGTTTAATGATTTTCCTTTCGCTATTAAGTCAGCTTCAGTCGGATTTTGTAAGATGTTGAAATTTTGTTGTTGTTCGTGAGTAATTAATGAATGATTTAATGATTCCAGTTTTTGTTGCAAATATTCAATGGTTGGGGTATCATAGTTTGATTTTATTGATTTTAAAGCAATTAATTCTTCCTTCGGTATTATTTCATGATCGTGATATGCTGCATTTGATTTAAGATCTTCTACTGTTGGATTTTGATACTTGGTTAATTCTTCTTCAGTAATCGTAACATAATTATGATTTGTTAAATTGGATTTCAAATATTCAATAGTTGGATCAAATATTTGTTTCTTCAATTCAGATAATTCATTTTGATCAACTAATACAAATCCCAATTTTGAGGAATTATCCTTAAGTTCTTGTTCAGTTGGATTTGATTTGATTCTTTGTAAATCCTTTAATTCAGATTCATTTATATGAGTATAACCATGAGTTTTCAATAACTCGGTAAGATGAGATAAGTCAGGAGAATAAGCTAATGATTCTAATTTTTTCATTGCTGGAGTTGAACATAATACTTGATCATATTTTTCTGCTTGTTGTTTTAATTGATCTAAATCTGGATGTTCTAATCTTGATTTTAATGAATCCAATTCAGTATTTAATTTATCAAACTCTTTCACCGACAAAACTTTTAATCCTTTAGATTGACCTAGTTTGATAATCTTATCTTCTTCTGGGTTATCCAATTTGTTGTGATCTTCTTTTGAAATTAAAACATAATCTTTATCAGCAACTACGTTTGAAATTTGATCAATGTCATGATTATGAATAGACTCTTCTTTAAGTTTATTATATTCATCATGATGTAAAGCTATCATTTTCAATTTTTCAGAATTTGCTTTTATATCTTCAACAGTTGGTTGTTCTACTTTTTGTATCAAGTTTTGGAATTTATCATTTTCCATTACCGTGTGTCTATGAGCGAATAAATGTTTTTTTAAATAATCTAGTGTTGGATGAGTTATTAATTTTTGAGTACTATAATGTTCTTCTGCTTGTATTGCAAATAAATTATTTTTTAAAGCTAGTTCTTTAATTTTGGCATCAGTTGGATTTTTTAAAGCTTCTAAATCAGAATCTGGAATTAATTGTAAACCCAATTTATTAGCTTGAAGTTCGATTTGAGCTGGATTTGGATCTTTTAATGCATGATATTCTAGTTCTGGTAATAACTTAAGACCTAATTTTTGGGCATTTTCTTCAATTTGAGTTTGAGTTGGGTTTTGCAAAGTATTTATGTCAGAATCGGAAAGTAATCTTAAGCCTAATCTTTTAGCTTGAGTTTCAACTTGTTCTTTATTCGGTTCTTTTAATTGTTGTAATGTCTTTTTCGTAACTAATTGAGAATCGAACAAACTAGCTTTTTGTGAAAGGTATTCTAATGATGGATGATTAGCATTCTCAACTAAAGATTTGTAATCATTTGTTGATGTGACAATATATCCAATTGAGTTTGCTTTTTCAGTAAGCTCTAATAAGTCTGGCTTAATATCTGTTTTGTCACTTTTTTCATTTTGACCATCAATTAAATTTTGATAAATAGATTTTGAAACCAAATGTAAGCCTTTGCTTTCTGCAATCTCATTTAATTGATCATAAGTTAATTCATCAATTGATGGAAGTAATACCTCTTTTTGAACATGCATTGGTTTACTTGGTGAATCAATATCTGATGCATTTGATAACATGGATACTTCATGTTCAATAGTGGTATTATCATCATGATTAGTGAAATATTTTAAAAAGTTTTCAGTTTGACTTTTACCTTCTTTTGAAGGTGATGACTTATTTGATGCTTGATGTTGAATGTTATCATCTAAGAAATTTTCCCATTCTTCGTCCCCCTTTTCAATTTCGCTATTAGCATTGTCATTGAAAATAATGAATGTGGAGTCTTTTTTAAATGGGGATATTAATGAATTTCTATTTGATGGTTTTTTGTTTGACTTGACGAGAGTTTTTTTGATGATTGATGGATTTATTGGAGTACGTTGTGATTGTGACGATTGATTTGATATTTTGGACTTATTAGCATAATCTTGTTTTTTAAGATTTAATATGTTTGATCTTAACTTCACTATCGTCTTATTGGAGTGTTGTAATAATGATCTTAAAGTCTCGACTTCAATTTGAGGGTCCAATGTATTTGGATCGGGTATTTCATGAGGATTAATGTCTTTTAGTATTGAATCAAAATCAATCGATTCATCGTTATTTGTACTATCGTTTGCTAAAGATTTATCAAGCACATCTCCGACTGTACTTTCAGTTTGATCTATCAGTGCACTTTTGTCTCCGAATAATTTACCATGTAATGAATCATTCTCATCATTAAGACTATTTATTCTATTATTTAGTTCAGTGATTTGCTTTTTATAATTTTTATCAATATTTTCGATTTTACTGGATAATGAATTATTAGTTTGCTCCAAATCATCATGATTCTTATTTAATTTGTTAATCTTATTTAATAAATCAGTTTTTATAATTTTTAAATTATCATGATCACTATTTAATGTAGAAAATTCATCATTTAAATTTATCAATTGATTTTCTAATTGCCAATTTTTTTCCTTGAGCTCTAATTCATTAGATTTATAAATTTGATTATGATTTTTCAATTCAGATATTTCATCTTTAAATTTTTGTGAATCTTCAGTTGCAATTTTTAATTTCAGTTTTAATTTACTATTATCAGCATTTAATCTTCTACATTCATTCAATAGATTTTCACTTAAACCAACAACAAAATTCATATCATCTCCTTTAGATTGAGGTCCCATTGACATTGAAGTACTAGGAGATTGAGTTAAATCCAATTTTTTAGATTTTGATCCCATGGCTGAACCTAATGATCCACTAATTGATCTCTTTGTAGGTGGTAAAAATGAACCTAAATTATTTTCTTGATCATGATGGGGTGACAATAGATTTTGATCTTGTAGTTGTGACTGAGTTTGTAATGGTAAAGGTAAAGTACCAGGTTGATTTGATTCTCTTAATGCATTATGCAGTGCTTTTTTATTGAATAATCTTTTCTGTAAATCTGAAAACTGACCTCTCAACTCATCTTTAGACAGTTTCTCTTTTGAGGACATTTATGATGAATAAATTATTCGTTGAACTAACTTAAGTTGTTAGATTTTGAGGTTTTAATCAAGTCAATTTGTTATTGCACAATCTTTTTAATAACCTGATTTTATTAAATTTGTTATTTTTTTGTTTATTTGTTTTTGTTTTTGAGTTTAATGTCATAAATTATTTTAAGTTTTCATAACAATTTTGATTTGCGACATGAAGGTGATTGCAAGAATTGATCAGTCATGGAGCTTACAAGTTCAATGCTAAGTCAAAGTCAGAGAGAGGTAGAAGGAGAAAGGTTATGAGTTAGTTAAGCAGTAAATTTGTTCAATAATAATCAATTGAACCGAATTATTGATTAAGCTAAACACTCTACAAGTTCTCAGGATCTTAAATTTTTATCATAATAAGTTCACTATATTTATCCAAAGATGGAGCAAATAAAAATTCAGGATGATCATTAATTTAGTGGTTCCTTGACCTTAACTTTAAAGTTGTACCTGCAAAACCTCAACAACCATCAATTGATCGTACTGAATTCTCTTTTTACTCTCTTTCTTTATACGAATACTCGTATAAATTATTGATTCGCGTCTATGAAAAATTTCGATGTATTATCAATTTAATCAATTTAAACCATAAGACCAAAATATTAAAATCAATTGAGTTAATAATGGCAATAAAAGATAAAGAAAATATAAAATCAGTATTATTAATTGGTGGTTCAGGTTTTTTAGGATTGCATTTAATTCAACAATTCTATGAAAATATTTCAAACGTAAAAATTTCAGTATTTGATATTCGTCCATTACCTACTAAATTATCAAAATTTTTCACATTTCAACCTGAAAATATAACGTTTTATCAAGGTGATCTTACAGATGAGAAAGATGTATCAGAAGCAATAAAAAATTCCAAATGTGATGTATTAGTACATTCAGCATCACCAATGCATGGATTATCACAAGATATATATGAAAAAGTAAATATAAGGGGAACAGAAAATTTATTAAAAGTTAGTAAAAAATTAGGTTTAACATCATTTGTATATACTTCATCAGCTGGTGTAATATTCAATGGTCAAGATGTTATAAATGCTGATGAAAGTTGGCCATACCCAGAAGTTCATATGGATGGATATAATGAAACAAAAGCTATTGCAGAAACTGCAGTTATGGAAGCTAATGATCCAATAAATAATTTCAGAACTATATGTTTAAGACCTGCTGGTATATTTGGACCTGGTGATAGACAATTAGTACCTGGATTAAAAGCAAGTGCAGAATTAGGACAATCTAAATATCAATTAGGTGATAATAATAATTTATTTGATTGGACTTATGTTGGTAATGTAGCTGATGCTCATGTATTAGCAAGTATTAAATTATTTAGTGAAACTAGAGATTTAGTATGTGGACAAACTTTTTTTATAACAAATGATGCACCAACTTATTTTTGGACTTTAGCAAGAACTGTTTGGAAAAATGATGGATATATTGATAAATATTATATTAAATTAAATAAACCTGTTGCAATATGTTTAGGATATATTAGTGAATTTGTATCAAAAATGTTGGGTAAAGAACCTGGTATTACTCCTTTCAGAGTTAAAGTTGTATGTGCAACAAGATATCATAATATAAATAAAGCAAAGAAATTATTGGGGTATGAACCAAAAGTTGATTTGGAAACTGGTATAAAGAATACATTAGAATGGATTAATGAGAAATTATAGATTAATGTATCTTTATGAATATACGAAGATTTGAAAGAAGAATTATTAATTAGTAACTAAGCTATTAAAACAATACAAAAACATCAATAAGCTAAATTAAATTGAAAGCAAAAAGTAAGCAGAAATAAAGAAAACAAAAAGATTCCAATTGTTGATCAAATTGTCAGAATCTGATTTTTTAGCAGCAACCACCAAATTAGTTAAGTTTGAATTATTGGAAGTAGTAAGATTAACAAATTTTAATTTTGAAACTTCACCGTTTAAACTTTTGAATTGATCCTTATCATGATCAATAATCTTTAAGTCTTTGTTCTGAATAACATCCTGTTGTTCATCATCTTCAACATCTTTTTCAATTTCATCTTCATCTTGATCATCACCATCGATCAATAACTTAATTTTTTTACTTTTAAATGGTCTCTCAGTTAAACTTTCAACATTATAAATCTTACTTTGTAAACTAGCATCAATAACACCATCATTCAATCTCGGATCCTCATCGTTTGAACCACCATATTCATTATCTTCCACAATTGTATGTTTTCTAGGAGGTTGCGAATCTTCTTTTTTAAAAGGTAATGAGCAAGCATTTATTTTATTCATTTCTTTACAATCACTTAATAAAACAGTTAGGAAATTAGTATTTGGGTTTCCAGGACATAAATGATAACATTCTTGATTAATACTTTGTAATGCACAACATTCACATGCTAAATCATTTGGTTTACATTCATCTAATTTTGATAATATATCATTACAACATGATGATAACTTAACTAAATCATTTGGTTCACATTTTGATGATAATGAATTTTTTCTTGGGTTTGGGTTCATATATGTTCCATATTCACTTAATCTGTTTAATGATGCTCCACTAATTGTAATAGATAAGAATGATAATAATGTGATTAACAAAAATTGGATTTTATGAACAGTCATTGTTGTTTTCGTTAATAAATTGGTTAAATCGTTGATTGAAGTTGGTTTGATAAGTTTAATTAATTGGATTTTTTTAACCAATACTACTTAATATTTGTTATGAGAATTAATTATAAATTTAGCTGCAAAATTTAGAATAAGCTTCTAAACTCAAATATAAAGTGGTTTGTCCGATTTCGTTTTGTTTGAGCCTTTACTTCCCTACCCTTTCTGATCAAGTTTTGGATTGTTATTACTACACGGCAACAAATTCTACTCAACTAGAAATGCAAATTATAGCACAGTTATTTTAAATACGTAAAACATTAATGATATGCTACATTAGTTTTGTGTAACTTTTTAAAAATTTGGCTCCAGTGTCTAAAAATTTCATGTCATGATTGCGCTAGAGCTTTAAGACAATTTCGTAATTGTAAAAATCTGAATACAACATGACAATAATATTAAAATATTATATAAATTCTAAATATAAATAATTAAATAAAATTAAAAACACAACAAATATTAAGTAATAATTGTAAATAATATCTTTTTTCTGTCACATAAACTCGAAACTAACACCTAGAAAAAAAAATCTGGTTGGAATGACAGTAAGACATTGCATTATTCTACTTCGAGTAAAGCGTAAGAAGGGTTCGAATAAAATATGAAATCATAAGTTTGTAACTTCACCAAGCATTGGAATAGTAGAAAGTTTGTAGTAAGTCGTGTCGGTACTTGATCAATAATTAAGTCATCGAAAATGTCAATCGACAATAAAGTTGAAATTTACCAAGAATTATTGATTAGAGAAATCCAGTTCACTCAGCCACTTTCAAATTATTTAGGTCTAAAATTCTACTTATAGTACAGCAGCAAGTTCTCAGTAACTTTCGTGATTCAAGCGGAAAAGTAATACTAAACGAAAGTTGTCAAGTATTTTCCGTTAAGTAATGTTTTAAAAACTTTGAGAAAGAAACAGGCACAGTTTTATTAAGAAAGTAATACCATAAAATAGAATATGATTTATTCAATACCTTTGTATAAATTTTACGTTTCTGATTTTGTGTTTCAAGTAAAAAGTACGTTAATTATTTTAAATTATGTAAATAATTTAAAGTTTGAAACAACTATACAAATTTACACTACCACTAGATATAGATCAGACAAGTTGCAAAAATTGATTATACTTGTAATTATTGACAACCAAACTAATTTGAAATCTTAGACCCTCTTTATAAATAAATTCAATTCAAAGGTATTGGTAAATGAAAAACACGTTAACTGAAATTTCTCATCATTAATAAATAAATTCAAAAGAAGAAAAAATAATAATTTATTATTAAATTCTTAACTTTTTGTTTAATTTTTCTTAGCTAATAAATAATTTTTTTATTTTAAACTTAAGATCTTGTCGATTTGTTGTTTGATGATGATGATATTTTTTATTTTTTCAATCTTATTTATAATTGATTTGATTTCCTTTTTCATTTCACTTAACAAAACTTAATTACAATTTTTGTTGGTTTAATTAGTTTTGATAAATTTGGATAGATTTTTTTTTTTTTTTTGCAACCACTATTATACTGTGTTATCAAGTAACTAGTATATTAAAATTTCATAGACTACAAAACCTTTAAGTAAAGGCAAAAATCAATCACACTCGCTAAATTTAATTACAGTCATAAATTAAAATATAGAAGAAATCCTCAAAATGTTATTCAACAAATCAATCATAAAATTAATATCAGCATTAACAATAATTCCATTAACAAATGCAAAATTCGAAGATTTAACCCCACCATTAGAAATAGTAGGTAATAAATTTTTTTATTCAAATAATGGATCACAATTTTTAATGAGAGGTATAGCATATCAAGAAGATACTTCACAATTATCAAACACAAATTTAACCTACAAGGATCCATTAGCTGATATTGAAAGTTGTAAAAGAGATGTTGAATATTTTAAAGATTTAAATACAAATTGTTTAAGAGTATATGCTATTGATCCTGATTTAGATCATGATGAATGTATGGAAGTTTTAGCTGAAGCTGGAATTTATATTGTTGCTGATTTATCTCAACCTTTAACTTCAATTAATAGAAATCAACCAGATTGGAATTTAGAACATTATGAAAGGTATACTCAAGTTATTGATAAAATGAGTGATTATTCTAATGTATTGGGTTTTTTTGCAGGTAATGAAGTTACAAATAATCGATCAAATACTGATGCTTCACCATTTGTAAAAGCAGCTGTTAGAGATATGAAAAATTATATTGATACAAGTAATGGAATGAGAAAAATTCCAGTTGGTTATAGTTCAAATGATGATGAAGATACTAGAATTGCTATTGCTGATTATTTTGCATGTGGATCAGTTGAAGAAAGAGCTGATTTTTTCGGTATAAATATGTATGAATGGTGTGGAAATTCAACTTATGAAAGAAGTGGATATAAAGATAGAACAGAAGAATATGAACATTTACCTATCCCAATATTTTTTTCAGAATATGGTTGTAATGTAAATAGACCAAGATTGTTTACTGAAGTACAAGCATTATATTCACCTATAATGTCAAATATTTGGTCTGGTGGTATTGTTTATATGTATTTTGAAGAAGCTAATGAATATGGTTTAGTTACTATTTCAAATGGTAGAGTTTCAACTTTAGATGATTATAAATATTATTCATCAGAAATTAATAATATTAGTCCATCTTATGCACAAGCATCTAATGAACCAACTCAAATTTCAACTTTAACATGTCCAGCAAATACTGCATCAACATGGAGAGCTTCACCTTCATTACCACCAACTCCAAACAAGGAATTTTGTGAATGTATTGCAGATGGTTTAAGTTGTGTTGTAGCTAATAATGTAGATGAAGAAGATTATGGTGACTTATTTGGAGTTATATGTGGATTAATTGATTGTTCAGACATTAATGTTAATGGAATTGAAGGAGAGTATGGTGATTATTCGTATTGTTCAAATAAAGATAAATTATCTTATGTATTAAATTTATATTATCAAGAAAATGGATCAAATAGAGATGCTTGCGATTTTGATGGTAGTGCTTCAATAAATGGTAATGCTTTAGCTGATCAAACTTGTACTGTTGCTACAAGATCAAGAACTTCTGGTGGCTCTTCTTCAAGTAGTGGATCAGGTTCTTCTTCAACTAATGATGGTTCACGTGCTAGTTTAGGTAATTCTAATGTTGAAAAATTATCCACATATAAAGTTTTAGGATTAGTTTCAGCTATAACTTTATTTGTTGGTGGATTTTCAATCATTTTTTAAGTTTCATTATTTATTATTTATAAATATATATTAAACATATTTATTAAATAAGAAAATTATCATGTTTTTTCAATAATATGTATATTATCTATTAATCTATTTTGTAATCATGAATATTTCATTTAATGCTTTTGGATCCATTACTGATGCTCTTTTTTGTTTTATCCATTTTGATCTTGCAGAATGTCTTGATGCTAATGTTGTTGGTGTTGATGATCGTGAGTCAGTTTCTACTGAAGTTTCTTTTGAACTTGATTCTTTGGTTTTATTCTTTTTATTTTTCTTATCTTTCTTTTCCTTTTTGTCTTTAGAGTTTGAATCATCTTTGGACTTACTTTTCTTTGACTTTTTGTCTTTCTTCTCTAGTATTTCATCTTTCTCTATATTTCTCTTCTTTGACTTTTTGTCCTTCTTGTCTTTCTTCTCCTTCTTCTCCTTCTTCTCTTTTTTACTCTTCTTATCTTTTGCATCTAATTTTATCTTTTTACTTTGTCGTATATCCCCATTTATAAGTTCTTGGTCCTCACTTTCTTCCTCTATACTTCTTTTCTTAGTATTATTTTCATCATCATTTTTATACGATATTAATTTTTTACTATCTTTATCCCAAGTACTTGATAATACTTCTCCTTTAACAAATCTCATCCCCCATTTCCCATTGATAATTTCATCATTTCTTTTTAAATCCATAGCTTTATTAATTTTATCTTCTTTACCATTTAATCTACCTAAAATTCTTTGAAATGCATCTAATCCACTACATTCATCTAAATCTTTATCTTTATCTGCTTTTTTCAATTTTGCTCCTAATCCTGAATTATCTTGTTTGATATGTATCTTTAAGTGTGTTGTTATTGAATCTGGAGTAATACCTAAACCTTTACCTGATTTCCAACCCATTTTAGATAAATATTGATGTCCAAATCTTGTTGTGTCATTTGACCAATTTGTATTTCTTGGATCAAGTCCAAAATTTTGTTTTACTTTCGTTCCCGCAAGACCCATAATGTAGAATATATATTGTGTGTAGTGGAATTAAGTACTATTGATATAAAATCAAAGGTCTTAGTTTTCAATTATTAGATGCTCTTCTTCTTTACCATATTAATTTTTTTTCTAAAACACTAATAAATTATATTTTTATAGCACAAAATCAACTTTAGTATTGAATTATCAACTTCATTTTTTATAAAATAATGTTTCATATTAATTGATACGATTTAATGCAGTTTTTAAGCATTTGTATCATTCTTTTAATCAGGTCTGTGTAAATATATATACCGTAAGTTTGGATCTAAAGAACTTCTTTCCACCTTTTTTCAAAGCTCCTGAAGCTAAATTTAAATATAAATTGATCCATGCAGCACCGACACATTACAATCATAATCTAATCAATCAAATCTAATAGATTTGTAGTCGAATCTATTAGCTGTTCATAATTATTAAGTTTGTTAGATAGATTTCAAATTGTTTCCATTTAAATTTATTTGGTTGTAAAAAATAATTTTATAAGTCTAGTGTGTAGAAAAAAAAAAAAATTTAATTTACACCAACGCAAGTACAAGAATTTATATTATAATTTAATATTAACCAACCATTTTTAACATTGATTATACTTTTAATATTATAAAACAAATTGATAGTCATATAATACAACATCAAGTTACTGAACAAATACAGTATAATTGATAAACAATTAAAATCATTCATCAAGATTCAATTTTTTCATATCTGTCAAATATATAATTTAGTCCGATTTTAACTTCAACACATAATAATGCAGACATAAAAAAATCGAAATGTTTAAAAGTCCATTAAAATCAAGAAATAAGCTGCTGCTGCTGCAACAACAGCAAAACCAACAAGTACCTCAACCGATAAATTATCAACAACATCAATCAAGATCATCAATGGATCAATCAAGGCAACAACCATATATTAATACAAATCCAGATTATAATATATCAGCATATTCAACTGATCAACGTGGTTCAGGAACCATGTCACCATCAAAACAATCTTTTAATATAAGTAATAATACTGTGCCCATTTCACCAAGTCAAGCAAGTCAACATTCAAATTCCGAACAACAAAGAAAACAAATAACAGACAAGATTATATTAGATTGTTATTCTAAATTGAATCAAAATAGAGTTCCAGAAATATCATATATTGCACATATTGGAATTCAAGAATTTTCACATTATCCGAGTCAACAACCTCCTCCAAATACAGATCCTGGACCAATTAAAAGACGAATTTTAGTTCTTTGTAAAAAACAATCAGGTAGATTACAATTACAAAAGGGAAAATTTGCAGATGATAAAAATATTTTTCAAATTGGTAGAACTTGGGATTTAACTGAATTACTGGCTATTACAAGAAGTGGGTTTGATGGATTTATATTAACTTTAAATAAAGAATATTATTGGAAATGTGATGAAGATGATTCAAGAATTTGGAAATTTGTTCGTTATTTATGTCAATCTTATGGTGAAGCAAATGGTAGATATCCAAATTTAAATGGTTATAGTTTGGATGATTTAATGTTAACTGCAACTCCAAAAATGTCACCTGCTCAAGTTTCATCACCAACTTTTAATTCAATACCTCCACAACTGCCATCAAAATTACAACATCAACCATTTCAACAACAGCAACAACAACAACCACCATCTTCGCCTAAAAGATCATTGAAACAAAAATTATCAAAACCATTTTCACATGATAAATCTAGTTTTTCAAAAGAATCATCACCAGCTCCATCAAATGCAAGTGCTACTGCTTCAACACATTCTCATAAAAAATCATTGAGTGGCAGTAAAATATACAAAGATATGGACTTTACTTCAAATGGTCAATTACCTCAAAAATCAATGAAAGTAATCCAAAGAGATGCAAGTATGAATACTTCTTCACATTCATTAAATTCTTCAAACAATGATCAACAATCGTATCAATCTCAACAACCAAGACAACCAAGATATGAGTCAACACAAAGTTTGAAATCTACACCTCCTAATCAAGTTGAAAGACAACGAGATAGTGGAGGTTACAATATTGGTCAACAACAAGATCCATCAAAAAATCAAGCTTTCAAAGAAAAACCACAACATCCTTATCAAGTTAAAACAATGTTACCAGATGATACCCAAAGTGTTCATAGTGATGCTCACAGTTTTGTATTTGGGGCAAATGATTTGAATCAAGAAAAAGAATCAAAATTTCACCCTATGAAACCAGTAGATGAATTACAACCTAATTTTAAATTCAAAAATCGAGATCTGGCATCATCACAAAAATCAGGGGAGGCTATAGTACAAGAATTTCATGAATCCATACCACCACCGCCACAACTACAACTACAACAACCAAGAAAAAGTAAATTGGCAGCATCTGCATTATCACCAGATTTTGGTATTGAAGAAATCACAGATGAAAGTGATAATGAAACAAGACCAGGTAAAGGTAATAATATAAAGGAGAGAAAGAAAAGCACTACACCAGTTTATTCTCGTCCTGGATCTATTAAAAATAAATCAACTTCTCAAACTGATATAGGTCCAAAACAACAATCACATTCTCGTCGTGCTTCAGATCTTGATACTAATAAAATAATAAACGCCAACAACAAACCAACAAATCAGTATGATGTAGAACTAACAAAAAATCCATATGCTAATAATATCAATCAATTATCTCGTGGTCCATCAGATTTTGAAAATAAAAATCCATATGCTAAATCCAATTTGAACGCACCAGAACCAGAGGAAAAGGGGTCAGGTATTCATTCAGCAAACTCTTCAGGATTTATTGGAGAGTCTACCCAAATTCATCAACCACTTCAAGAATTAAACGATATGATTGATAGTCACATTGCAGGTAAAGATGAATCATTCAATTTTGATGATCAAAATATTGATTTGAATGAAGTTCAACCAACACAACAACAAATAAAATCAGCTACCAATAATAATCATTCAAGACGACCGAGTGCTACTAAAAGACGTTCTTCGGGTGCTCCAACAAAGAACGTTTACGAGCCTGAACCTCACAATTATGAAAATGAACCAGAATTAAATATATCAAGAAAAAAATCAGTACAACCATCATCAACACCATCATCTGAACCACGTACATCGCTAACAAATTTCCAAAGAGATTTTGAAACTGAAGAAATGTTTAAAGAAATTGGATGGAACCCTAAAATGAATGCAGATTCACTTTTGAAAAATTTAAATAAAGAATTAAACAAAACAAAACAAGAAACTGTTAAAAAATTAGTTAATATAGATTTAGCAAATAATTCAGTAAATGATATAGGTACAGCATCAAGTGAAATTTTAAATATGTTGCATATTTTCCAAAAAATGGATATTGGGTTTAAATTGTTGGATAATAATGTTCAAATTATAGATAAAGATTCCAAAGGTTTACAAACAAAATATTTAAATAAAAAATTATTATATAATGCAGTTGAAGGGATTATATCCAAAGTATCAATAAATTCTCAAGATTTAGCTGATATCAGTGGGTTTTTAGAATTTGATCAAATTTCACAAATTGGAATTTTGGAAACAAAATTATTAAATTTATATAATGCTATTATAACAATAAGATCAGATATTCATAATACACAAAATAAAGAAGAGGATTTAAGTTCATTAAAAGCATTGCAACAATATAAGATTAAGTATGAAGATGTTAATCAAAAATTTGTACAAAATTTTACTGCTTTCATAATCAATAAGATTAGTAAGATTGGTCGTACTTTAATGGATGATATTGATCAATTTAGTCTAACACTGATTTTCAAATCATTAATTCAATTATTGGTATTTTCGGGTTTAACATATTACATAAAAGAAGTTGGTGAACGACAATTTAATGAAATCAAATATCATTTTAATCAAACTTTTGCATCAGTCCTTACAAAAATGTTATCTACAAAATTACAAGATATGAAGGTTGCTCAAAAAGCTCATCCTCATAGTAGTAGTTCGAATACAACAACAATGTCTGCTGAATATAGTGAAGTTCCATCTACTCCAATACAATCATCTGGTAGTCGAAGTAACAGAAGAAGATCAGATAGAACTTCATTGTCACCAGGATTAGCTAATTCTTTAGATGATTTATTTGATGATGACTTAGATGATGATTTTGCTTCGTTAAGAAAATCAAGAAGTTCGAGATATTCAAGAAAAGGAGGTTCAAGATACGGTGGTAGTTCCTCAATTAGTGGTAGTACGTCAAATTATGAAAAAGATGATAGTGTAAAGAAAAAACAAAATCTTGAATCCATCAAGAGACATGTTATATCTAGAGGTCAAATTAATGATAATGAATTTGAAGATTCAAAAGCTATAATGGGATTAATTGAAGAATCAAAATTAATTATTATGGTTATACAGTACTTTTTGGTATTGTTTTTTCATTATGATGTAAACACTTTAGATTTTGGTGAATTTTTATCAAATAATCCATTTCTGAAACGTGATGAATTTGGAAGTAAAGCAAGTCCAATGACGATCAATGAATTTATAGATAATAAAAACAAGGATTATATTGTATCAAAAGAAGTTATAGATAATTTGAATTTTGTATTGGGTAAATTTATATTTGATTTTTTAAAAAATGTCATACCAATTGATTTAAATTTACCATTATTATTATTAAATTTAGAAGATTCAATTAATTATGTACAAAACAATTACAAGTATCAAGATTTCCTTATATATAATTTTATGAATAAAATTAACGAAAGATTCAATAATCAATGGATTAAGTTTATAACAAATCAAATTGATCTGATTAACAATTCAATAATAACAGCAAATAGTGGAATTTTACCACTGATTAAAAATGTCAATTTCTTAATATTAATTACCGAAAGTTCAATCGATAATCGTGATATAAAGGGTACAAAGACAAGAGATATAATAGATAAATCATATGATAAAATAACAGATTCATTAATTAATTTATTTAATAGAGTTGATCCATTAATTTCCAAATCAAGTGCAGATGATCAAAATTTAGAAATTAAAAAAGTTTCAATATTAGAAAACATTTTTGTGGTATTACAACAAGTAAATGAACTTAATTCTTATAATCAATCAACGAATAAATTAATTGAAAAATTAACATCAATATTTAATAAAGTAGAATCACAATATTTCCAAAAATTAATTCAAAAAAATTTCGGATCATTATTTGAATTTATAAACAATGAAGGAGAATTGAAAAAACCAAAATCTACCACTCAAATTCATAAACCACATTTTACTCAAAAATCAAATACTAAACTCTTGTTACAAAATTATTCAGAATCAGATATTACTAAAAAAGTAGAAGATTTACATACAAAAATATCAAAACAATTTAAAAAAACTTATGATAAATCAGGTATAAGTGGTAATGATAATTTATTTACTCGAGATTTAATTGATAAAGTATGGCAAGATTTAGAAACTTTATTTATTGATTATTTTACTAGATTATCAAAAATTTTAAGAGCTGATTCTGATGCTTTATTTGATTATAATGTTGGTAGACAAGATATTCATCATATTTTTAAATCAATTCGTGGTTGATTTTTTTACTTGAAATTGAATAGCTTTGATTACGCAATAAATGTTAAATTTTCTAATGTATTTCTTTTAATCCTGGTATTTTGTGTCTATGCTTCTACTTCATCCAATAATGCAAACTTATTATTCGATAAATCAGGTTTATCTTCTTCATCTTCTCCATTTTGTTCATCTTCTCGTTCATCTTTTTGTTTATCATCATCATCAACATTAATTTCTCTATCTTCATAAAACTTCCGTACAATTTCATCTTCTTCCAATTTCTCTATCTCTTCTTCCGTCAATTCTTTTGTAGGTTCAATTTTAAAATCATCAATCATATGATTTTTCAATTCTATATTCGAATTAGTTTTATCCCAATTTGATTTTCTTGCATTTTGAATATATGTAGCTCTTGCAATACTTGAATCAATTTTATTCGCCAATATACCTTGTAATTTCGAATTTCTTTCCACTTTGGTTTTTGTAGTTGATGATTTCCTTTTGTTTTTTTTAATTTTCAGTGATTCTAATTTTTTATTTAATAAGTTCTCATTTTTAATTTGAGTTCTAATTATTGATTTCTTAAGGCCATCATTATTTGATATAGGTTCTTTTTGTTGTTGTATTGATTTTGTTGTAGTGTCATCGGGTATTTCTCCTCTTCTTGCTGCTCTACTTCGTTTCGATACCTTTTTGGGCATTATATATGTGTGATTCTAAGTTATTGATTGTATATATTTATATATTAGATAAATCAATAATATAAATTTACTCCATAAATTATGAAAATAAATAAATTTATCTGATGAGATCAAAATGTTCCATATAAGTTTGTGTAACATGAGGCTTAATTACTTAAATTAGTAATTAATACGCATCTCTAACTTAATTTGGTAATTTTAACATTCCGCACAAATTATTATCATTAAAATCTTATAACAGCAGACACTTTTTAATAAACTTCAAAAGAATTCCCAATTTCACATTTTCTGGTAACTTTTATCAACTGACTATTTATCAACTAACTTTTTACTTATATATCTTCAAATTTTACTTTCAAATTATTTTTCTAAAATATTCCTGCTTTTAACAACCAAAGAAACGACATAAAAAATGAATTTACAATCATTTATGTCAACAAATGTAATTAATTTTAATAATAATTTAAATTATAATAATAATAATACTTCAACTACTACATCCACAACCACCTCCAAAAATACTCAACTTAACACAACAATAAAATGGCGTCTTTGACTTCGTAATCCCACCAAATTTCAATACTTTACAATATTGTTTAATTATTGAATTATTAAATTTTAAAATTTATGGTATTATTAACCACATAACAAATTCAATTACTTTAATTTTTAACAATTCTGAATTATATGATTATTTAATTCATAATAAAAATTTAATTATTGATTTATGTGATTTATTAATTGATGAATTTCAACTCACTAAAATGAATTTTTTAATTGAAAGAAATAATTTAGGTAAAGATGGTATTAAATTAAATGAATTTTTAAGTTTTTTATATGCTTTATTAAATTGTTCATTATGTTCTGATTTAAGTTTTGGTAATTTTGATAATGATGAAGTTTTTGATAAATGGAATTGGATTGGATTATCTTGTGAATTATAATTGTTGTTCAGTTAATTCATTAATTAAGACTAGAGTAGGGGTCAGTTCCAGACTATATAATTCGTACCTTTATTAAATAATTAGAAATACAATATAAATTAATTAAATTATACACGTTCAAATTCACTATTCTAAATTATATACATCTATTTCTCTGAGACGCTATTACTATTAATTTTAACAGCTTCAGTATATTTATTTAAAGCATTATCTAAACTTATTTCCATTGGTTCAAGACAAGAATTAAAATCTTTTAATACTTTATCTTTTAATTTTTCATTATTTGAAATTAAATCAATTGAATTTAAATCATTTATAGATTTGATTTTAAATTCTTTTAATGAATTTGAACAATTCTTTAATGATGTAAATATTTTTTTTAATTGATTTGAATTATTTGAATTATTTAAAAATAATTTCCAAAAATGTGATAAAAATTCTACAATTGTTATATTATATGTAATTATTTCTTGAATTAATAAATCTGGTATTATATTTGTTGGTTGTTGTATAAATGATGATGTTGTATCTTCTTTATTAATTAATTTATAAGTTTTAAAATTTTGTCTTATTAAATTTGATATTTGTAGATAAGTTTTTTCAATATCTTGATTTTTATTTTTAAAAGTATCACTTAAATTTATTTCATTTGTTTGTATTTGTTTTAAGAAATATTCATTAAGATCTAAGTCATTAACATTTTCCTTAGGTTCGTCTAGGTCCATATTTGAATCACTATTAACTTGACTATTATCATTTATAACATTATTATTCTCATTTGAAACGCTTTCATTATTTGTATTAATATTCAATGTAATATATTGGGAGTCATTAACATCATTTAAATCATGAAGATTTAAATCTTCTTCATATTCATTAACTTCATTTGCTGACAATCCATCTATAGTGGTTTCCGGTTTTGTTGGTATACCTTGAGAACTCATACTCATCATTTTAGATGATAATTTATTCATATTTTTCATTAATATAATCATTTCATTTTCTCTTTTTGATTTAGTTGTTGAAGTATCATCATTATCATCATCATATCTCATTGTCATATCTGGTCTATTACCTAATTTTTGGGAATTATCTTGTTCATTCCCTGATAAATCTAAGAATTTGTTAATATGATTCAGGTTCATTTCATCCAATTTTCTTCTTTTAGCTGATTGTTCCGTTGAATCATCACCATTCCGTTTCTCGTCATCTTTTCCATTTGCAATAACCTCCTCATTAATTAATTTATCATCCATATATAAATATTTATCCAATATAGCATCACCTCTACCACTATTCAACCCAATTTTATCTCCTCTTAACCTTCTAAATAATTTAGAATTAAAAAATCTTGACCAAAATTCACCTTCCAGTAATTTCTGAGGTACTAAATCTTGAAATGCCCTTTTTATAATAGGATAAATTTCAAATATTTCATTTATAGTATCTCTAGTAACATTAACATTTACTTGATTATCTGAAGTTGCTACTGGTTTTATAGTACTTAATACATTATATGGACCTCTATGTTGAGAAATTGTTAATGCAAATGTTCTTAATTGATTTATACGACTTGACCAAAAAATCGTGGGGGATAATTTAAAATTCATTACTGATTTTGTAAAAATATTTCGTAGATTCTTATCTTCCAATAATAATTTTTGTTGTAATTCGAAATTTTTTAACAAGTTTGAATCTGAAAGTGATAATTGTGATTGGAATGATTTTTGTGATGATGAAGATGAAGAAGAAGATGTAGGTGTAGGAGTTGCTGAGTCTTGTGAACCTTGTGGAGTTGAACTTTGTTGAGGTGTAGGAGTAGATGAACCTTCAACTCTTGTTCTTGATCTCGCTACGATTGTTTGTAATGCATCTTTTATATTATTCATTGTAGGTCGATTATTAAAATTTAATCTCATTTTAGTTGGTTCTGGTTGATTATCATCTAGTTTATAACTTATTTGTAAGATCATTTTGGGAGTTGTTTCTTTAGATGCTTGTAATGCTATTAATTTATTTAATGGTATATTTATAAAGTTTTTATCATCTTCTATTGCTTTCCATTCTAACATTGATGGTACTATATCTTCTCTAATATAAACCATTCCTCCCACTTTATCCTTGGAGCAAGCTCCCCGTATCACATCCATGTCAAACTGTTATTATGATCAATGAAAAGATTTGGTGGTAATGGTATTGATATTGAAGAAGAACTAATTAAATAAATGTTGCAAATCTAAAATAATTAAATCTTGCATACAAATTAAATTTTCCAAAGATCAACTTACTTTTTTTTCACCAAAACAATCATTAGAACATACGACTCATTGTCTAACAATATGTTATCTAGAAACTTGGTATTGAAACCGATAAGGTCATCATTACCACATAGAATAATAACATCTAGATTATTACACAATTCAATTTCACTTCTACAACAACAACGACCACAAGATCAAAAATCAACCACTATCACTACAAAAAAAATTTATAAACCACCAATAACTATAGAACGTGAACTACCTGATCCATTCACAAAAAGAGATCAAAACAGAAGATACTTTGTAGTATACGCAATAGCAATAACATTATCATGTATTTTCATTTTTAATTATGAAAAATCTTCATCACCAATAGTAAATTCAACATTATATTTTTTAAGAAGATCAACAATTGGAACTGATGCATTAGGTTCAAATATAGAATTTGCAAGTAATTGGCCTTGGATTTGGGGGAAATTAAATACTGTTCAAGGTATAATTGATATTAAATTTAAAGTTAAAGGATCTGATCAAAAAGGTTGGGTTATATTAAATGCTACAAGAGAATCTAAAATGCATCCTTTTGAAATTCATAGATTTATTTTGGAAGTTGATACTAATAATGCTAAAGTTGAATATAATTTAATGGATGATCCAGAATTTGAATTTGATTTGTAATTGAAAAACTTGATTTGATGGTGTATAAATAAAAGATTATGAATAAATTACCTGTAAATACATTGCTTTGATGACTAGGGATTTGCTCTTTGTAGTTGGATTATTTGTGAAGGATCCCATTGGCTGAGTTTGCTTTGCTTGTTATGTGTATCAGCTGCTCAAGCTCTAAAGATACTTTTAACTAAGTTGAAAGAATGTAAGATGGAATTCTGAAGTTTTCACGTACTAAATAATATAATAACAGCAATATTCAAGCTTCAATAGAGCTCGAAATGCTGTTAAGTATTTCATTTAATCAAAATTGAAAGTTTGCAAATTCTCTAACTATAATGATTGCAAAACTTTAGATCAATAGCCATGCTATAATGAATTTTATCACGTACTAAATACAAAAATGGACTCAAAGACTGCAAAATTGCCACTTTGCTTTCTGTTTTTGACTACAACTATCTTAATATACTCATACTCGCAATTTGAATTGATATCACCGTAAATATACTCAAATATATATTCAAAATTCAAAGTATGTTTCAGATGCGCGATACGATAAAGCGGCATCGACTAAAAAAGTTAAATCAGAGCCAGCACGAGCTAGTTTTGGCTGCCGTCTAAACATTAACTTGATTCTATCATCATATCAAGATCCGCTAGTCATTATTTTTATTTACCAAAAGCTTTCGTTTCCGCTAAGTAGATTTGTCATAAGGGGCATTTTTAGCATACTGCTCGCTCTACAACAGTATACCATTGATAACGACATGAAAATTGTTTATAACTATTGTGGTACGGTACTTTTACTTAGAGCGGAGAATAGTACGAGCTTGAAACGAACTAGTTGTTAATAGTCTTTTTAACAATATTATAAACGATTTTGAAGGGTATCCGCCACCAAATTGTTTGCATATATTGTAAAATTTAGTTTGAAATTAAGAAAATCAATAATAAAAATAGTTTTGATGTGTTTTATTCTTTTTACTAGTTTTTTTTTGAGATTTGCAAATCTAATAATTCATATTTTTTATTTACGTATTGGTGCAAATTATTGATATTATTAATTGTAGTTTGAAATTTTTTGTCCAACTTTACTTCATGATGTGAGTGGTGTAGCATTTCAATAGCTAAATCGATTAGTTTGAACACCTATAATTAAATACTTGTTGTACTTTTTTATTGTAACTTACTTAGTCGATCAGGCATTCTTGATTTGCATAATTGGGATTAAATAAAGTAGAAATAACCCTTGAAAATGATAAAAGCTCCTACATATCGTATAATTTAAACAACTAAGTCAACAAGGTGCAATAATTCACTATCCCTTGAAAATCTGAAACAAAATTTCTCCAGGTAAATTCGGGAATTCCATCAATTTTCTACACAAAATATTACAACTATAATATTCAAAAGTTTCAAGTAAGGTTAAAATTAACTAAATCTTATTAAGATCGACATTATATTGTTAACCAATTGATACATTCAAAAATTACAGAAAGAAATAGAATTATTGAGAAAAACATTGATTAACAAAAGTAATCGGATCAAAAACATCAAAATATTCAAATCAGAAAAAAATAAAAGAATACGGATCAAATTACGGATCAAAATATTAAAAAACAAAAATGTCAAAGTTTATTATATTCTTTATTAAAACAAACAATTAAATAATTAAAATCAACTTGCTTAATTATGTCTATCAATTAAATTTATTCTTAAAATGGAATAGTAATTAAAATTTTTTTATTTGATAAATTAAAACCTGTATATAAGCGGGTTCTGTATATCATATTATTTGGTAGTGTATTATTAACCAATTCTCTCGGCTCTAAATATTTAAATAAAATACGCCTTGTTAATTTTTATATCAATGTAAGAACGATATGAATACCATAAATTTTATAAGTTTCAAATATTCAATGTTATCGTTAATATATATGTCCAACAAATCTGTCCATAATCTAAACAGAATTATCAATATCGTCTCAATCCTAACTTCACTTAACTTTTTAGTTAATAATACTTATTTTATAAAATAATATAATAAATATTTAAGGTACACAAAATATAAAAATTCTCGAAGATGGTTTAAAAATAGAAGTTGCATTTCAATAATTTAAATGTATAATGTATTATAATGAGTTATGTAGTTGAAGTTTTAGTTCAAACTTGTATTCAATTTTATCTAATATTGTTTCTCTATTGCTACATTTTATTTGATAGTAATTAAAACTTCTAATTTGCTATTTTTCATTGAAAAGATACATTATGAGACAAAAAAATTATCAATTAAATATAAGTTTTATTTTTTGTAAATGAATGAACTAATATTCTAATTTGTATTACTTTAATTTAATACTAAAAACATTTTATATTCTCTCGATTGCTTCGCCCTAAATTTCTATAAGATATTAATTTTAAAAAGTCTATATTTATTTTCTTACATTTATTTACAGATTCTTTAAATCATCATAATAACTTTAAAATGTAAAAAAAGTTCTGTTCTAAATTCAAGAGTCTAGATGGCATAAGAAATGTTTTAGGTTATACAATCATAAGCTGTAGTACATTTTAATCAAGATCCTGAACAACTTAATTAATCCTGATTCATATACTTATATACTATAATTGTTTATCTCCCCTTTCTTTCCTTTAGTTTTTATTGTTCTTTATTTTATTTGATTTGATTTGTTTGTGTTAAAATTTAAATACACTGATTTCTTTTTGATTTCTTTTTTTTTCATATTAAATATTTATAATATAGACTAGAATAATAATTAATAATTTAAAATTTTATGTTGAAATAATTATTTGATTGATATTATTTTTATATTTTATTATCAATTAATTTAATACTCTATCAATTATCCTTCTTTTTAACTTATATTCAATTAATTGATATATTCATCTTTTATATCAATTTACATTACTCAATAGATAGTCAATACCACTCGCTTACAACATTCAAAAATTAATTGACATCTCGAAAATTTAAATTTAATCTGTTTATAATTCGTCAATTTATTTAATTCACAACCAATAAATTTTTTACAACCAAAAAATATTAAAAGCTTATCTTGAATTTGATAAACAAAATATTAATCAAATATACATTCACATTCGCTATCAAGAACTAAAAAGTAACATTTAACAATAAAAAATGGCAAATTCAAATGGATTGGCTGTTGGTTTAGCCGTTGGTATTCCGTCATTTTTAATAATTATAGTAGTTGGAATATTTTGGTATAAAAATCAAAGAAAATTACAAAAAGAAGATATAGATGATGAATTTATTGAAAAAGAATTACAAAATGATGAATCAAGTTTTAAACAATTTCATGAACAATTACATAGAAAATATGATAATCAACAATTAGATTCAAAGAATAATAAAAATGGTGATGAAATAATATACAAGGAAAATGTTATAACTGATTCTTCAAATGGAAGTTCGGAATCTGATTTTCCTTCAAATACTTCTTCATCAACCACCAACAATCAACAACAACATCCATATGGTCAACATTTAAAACTTCCACAATATCCATCAACTCAATATAGTCAAACAATTTCAAATATACAACCAACTTATAACAATAATAATAATAATAATAATTCTCAACAACCATACTCACAACCACCACCACCACAACAACAACAATCATCTTATGACTTCTATGATACTTTCATTCCAACATTTGCAAACAACAATTTACCAAATTCACCAAATACTTTCCCACAACAACAACCAGATAATCATCATCACCTGTTAAACCCATTAAATAATTTTTTCTCATCATCAAATTCAAATTCAAAAACTAATTCATACATAGATTTAACAAATACATCAGAGAATTTACCATCAACAAATCAACAACAACATCAACAACATTTACCGGAATCAAACTCAATATCATCATTACTTAATCATCACACCAATCAACAACAACAACAACAACAACAATCACAAAGCCATACAAGATCATCATCAACTGATTTAGATACATTAGCAAAACAATTAAATAATCCAATATATTTTGAAAAATTACCAAGTAAAGCAGCACAACAACAAAATAATTACTTTATAAAGCCTCGTTACCCATCAAACACATTAAAAAATAATAAATCATCATCATCAGAATTAGTAAATAACTACCTAATTGGTGAAAACTCAGCAATAAATGATCATTTTACATATGAAGCACCAATGATTGAAAACAAAGCTAATGAAATTCAACAACAACAAGAAGAAAAAATATTGCAGGAAAAAATTGAAAAAAATCCTTTAAATAATCAAATAGATAATGCTTTTGATGCTAATATAACATTAGATCCATTGCCTATAAAAGATGCAAACAATGTAACTAATAAAGAAAAAGATATAATACCGCCAGTTGTATTTCAATAATCAATTAAAGTAAAAGAGGGAATATTATAGAAGTTATAAGTTAAGTCATTTACTAATGATTTGGTACAAGGTGTTTTTAAAATTTAGGGTCAATCTTTTTTTTAATTTTTCAATAGTTTATGTTCCTTTATTTATTCAATTATTTAATTTTTTTATTCAATTATTTAATTTTTTTGTTTGGAGTTTGTAATTTACATATTCAATTTTAATAATTCAATTTTTAATACTTTTTATAATCAATATTCAACTTCTTTCTTTAATTCGAAGTCTGGTCTTATTTGTGATCTCTTTTCTTTCTACAGCAATATCTGAATTAATAGTAAAATTGATGCAAAAATTAATAAACTGATAAAATCTTAAAAACATGTTATCTAACGCAAGGGCAACAATTTTGTTCTCTATACAAACAACTTGAAAAACTTTATATCTCAAGATCATTCTTGATCAAATTTTGACTGCTTGAAGTACCTGTTAAATGCATTCTAGCAACCGATGTCGTGTATCAAATTTACAGACAAGTCAAAATTTGTGACATTCGCTTCAAAATTTAGATGCATTTAAAAACATGATTATCATTAATAATATTTGCAACACAATTATTCAACTTTAAACTAAAGAAGATATATACTTAACAGTACTACTCATTAAATCGTTAAATCCTCAAGTAGTTTTTTAAAGTACAGAAGAAGATTTCCACAATAATGTCATCAATCGAAAATCTACTACCTAATGATATCAAATTACCACCAAAAGAAATTCAAGAAACAATCGATAAAACAATAACATACATTATAAAAAATGGTAAAAGTTTTGAAGAAAGATTGACAAAGAACAACACCAAGAAGGACAATCAATTTGGATTTTTAAAGACGGATTCAGAGTATCACAAATTTTACCTAAATCAACTAGCTAAAGCATCTGAACAAACTAAAAATAAATCAATTCAAGAAGAATCAACAGTAGTTGAAGAAGAAATAACTCAAGAAATACCCAAACCTGATGAATTAACCTTTTTAATTGATGAATTTCCTGAAAATTTAACTACAAAAGATTTAAAAATCATCAAAACAACAGCATTATATATATCAATAAATAGTACATTAGAAACAGAATCTATAAAAATAACAAACTTATTATATCATGAATCAAAACGAGGTAAATCAGCACAATTTGAATTTTTAAAAAATACCCATTCATTAAATCCCATATTTAAAATCTATTTAAATCAATACAGATTACTCAACTCCATGTTCACTGAAACTTCAAAAGAACTTGAAAATTTAAATAATTTATACCAAACCCAATTAGATAATAAATTCAACTTATTAACAAAATCATATAATAGAGCACTCTACATCAAGCAAAACCATCAAAAATCAAAACAAAAAGCTAAATCCGAAAAAGAAAAATTGTTAAATTTTGCTTCAATAAATTGGCAAGATTTTTCAATTTTATCAATTATAAATTTTAATCAAATTGATAAAGTAAAAGAACTTAATGAACCAATTTCAAGAGATTCATTAATTCAAAGATCATTAACTTCTAAAACTAAAGAAATTGAATTGAAAAAATCAAAAATTCCATTAATTCAAAACCCTATTGAAAATGATAAAAATGATAAACTGAAAGATTTCACCACTTTAGATTCTCCAGAATCCTCAGAAATCAATAAACCACCACCTATAAAAGGTATGAAAATAAAATCAGCAGGTTCAACAAGATTAAAAAAACAAAAAAATTCACAAACATCATCAACTACAACTTCACAACTTTCAACAACAACAACAACCACCACAACAAGTACAAAAATAAAATGTCCAATTACTGGTAAATTAATCCCACAACAAGATTTCGATCAACATTTGAAAAACTTGTTAAGAGATCCTTCATATAAACAACAACAAGAAAATTATTTAAAAAAAAATTTTAGTTATGAATCAAATATATCAACTGATCAAGTTTTTAATAATATTAAACGGTTAATGAAGAAAAGAAATTTTGAAAATGTTAACGGTAATGATGATGAAGAAAATAATTAGTTAATCTAATGTTTAGTGTTTATAGTTGAATTAATGCATAATAACTGTCAATCACAGAGAGTTTATATCTTCAAGATAAAAGACTGAGAATTGATATTCTACAACTTGACTACTCAAATCTATTACAAATTGTTTTTTATTTATTTTATTTATTTATTTATCATTATTTCATTTATTTTTATTTCCCACCATCGTTTATTAATATACAAAATTAAAAATAAATTAAAAATAACAGAAATTCAACAACACATCATGAACACCACCACCTTTTTAAAATTCTCCTTAAGAGTAAAGCTAACTAATCTAGTTTTTTAATGATTCAGCTCTTTTCTTTTTAATTTGAACTTTTTCTTCTTTTCTTTCATGTAATCTTTTAGCTAATAATTGAGCATATTCATTAGCAGCATCTCTTTGATGTTGAGCATTTTTAACTTTTTTAGATTTTAAAGCTCTTTTTCTTTGTAAAGTTTGTGGAGTAACTAATCTTTGAATTTTTGGTGCTTTTGTGTATACTTTATCACCTTTTTTAATTTCTCTTCTAATAACATAATCTCTAACATCATCTTCTTTTGTTAAACCAAAGAATTTTCTAATATGATTAGCTCTTTTTGGTCCTAATCTTTTTGGTACTGTTGTATCAGTTAATCCTTCAATATCTGAATCACCTTGTTTAACAATTGATAATGCTAAAACTGATAAATCTTGAGCAACAATACATCCTCTAACTGATTTTCTTTTTCTTTCACCAGTTCTTCTTGGTCTATAACATGAATGTCCTTTTGCTAATAATAATCTAACTCTTGTTGGATGCATAACACCTTGTTTCATTGGGAAACCTTGTTTATCATTACCACCAGTAATTTTAAAAATATAACCTTTAAATTCATCACCAACTGAATCACCTTCAACTTCTTGTCCCATTCTTTTTTCATAAAAGACACGTAATTTGTGTTCATCATCAATATCAATACTCTTTTGAGTACCGTTAGCTGGATAAGAAATATTTAACTAAAATAAATAAAGTTAGTAATCTTTGTTGAAATTTATATGATATATTGAAATGACTCAAGATTTTAAAGAATGTGACCAGAATAAATGGGTTCTTTTGAAGTATTATTTTGACAATTGTATACTGTTCTTTTAATGATTATGAAAATTTTCTTATTTTTAAATAACTGATGAATCCGGTGAATCTTCTGTAATTTGATTATTTGAAATATGAGATATATTGTTGATTTCAATCAAATTCGTTTCATTGACATTGCTAGATGAATATTATTGACAAATGTAGTAGTTTCTCAAACATCTTTGACTTTAAATGTTCAATTCTTTATTTATTTAGTTGTATATTTATCCAATTTGGCAATGATATTCCTTTTGATGATCTCTTTTATAATCTCTCTTAATGATCTCTAGTCTATTTCTCCATTATTGCTATTTAAACATACCTTCATGATGTACCTATGGAATGTATAGTAAAGCTAAGATCTTTGAATTAAATTGAAACCCAGATTAAAATTTAACTGTTAATATTAACTTTTTTTTTTTCAGGTATGAAAATTTGTTATTGTGTTTCTCTATTAACTTTACTATTTTACTATATTACTATGTGAAGCGCAGAGGTTGTAGCCCTAATGAGTTTTATAAGTTTTTCAAGACATTGAAATAAAAAATGACACACGATATGGCTACCAGATTATGTGTCTGATTTTTATTTCACGAAGTTTTGTTTAACGTCAATATTTTTGTATAGGTCATAAAAATCAAATTACCTTGTGAAACAGTACTTAAACAATCAATAACTTATATGTATATACTATACAAACTTTGAAAAAGCTATACAAAAAAAGAAACAAAACCCGGACCCTTAGTAAAAAACTATAAAGTCAAATAAAAAATATATAATACAAAAAAATCACATTAGAATTAAAAAACCCACAAACTTCAAATAAACTTCTTAATCCTTTTTAACAACACCAATTTTTACCCCATTTCCACTATTAGCTCCAGTAATAGTAGCATTAATAGTATTCCCACCTTTAGTAGATTCATCATGACTTAATTCTTCTTCTTCTGTAATCTTACTTACATTTGAATTTGAACTCCCATTATTATTATTATAAATGATTGGTGATATGTGAGACTTATATAATGGTGTGCCACCAGTTGAAAAATTAGGTACTTGACCGGTATTATTACCACTAGCAAATTTTGGTTGTTGTTGTTGTTGCTGTTGCTGTTGTTGCTGTTGTTGTTGTTGTTGTTGTTGTTGTTGTTGTTGTTGTTGATTGAGTCCACCTGCGCTTTGTAATGGCATCATATTTAGAAAAAATTGTGGAACATTTGAAGTTGTAGGAGTAGCACCAGTATTCCAATCTTGAGCATTTAAAAAATTTGAAGGTGATGGAAATGGGAACATATCATTTATATATTTTGATGGTAGACCAGATATAGGTGTTTGTTCACCATTTTGAGGTTGGTGTTGATGAATTGAAGGGTTACGGAATCGTATTGATGATTCTGGTTGATTAATTGTTGATTGAGGAGGAAAATTTTGATGTTGTAGGGATTGATACTGTTGTGGTTGATCTTGCTGTTGTTGTTGATGTTGTTGGTGAGTAGCGGAATTTTGAATTGTGGTAGTTTGATGTTGTGAGTTATATGGCTGATATTGTTGATTGAACCCATGGATAGGAAAACTAATATAAGTATTATTTTGTGGGGATTGTTGCATTCCATAAAAATTTCCATTACCATTAGTAGTATTGTTATTATTATTATTTGAATAGAAAATATTTCCACTACTATTATTTGGAGTACTATTGTTATTATTACTCATACTACTATTATTACTTGATACAGTACTTATTGGATTATTTGGTAAACCAGGAGCAGTAGCACTTGCAGGTGAAGAAGTTTGAGATTTTGAATTTATTGGTAATGGTAATAATGGCTTTCTTGTATCTGGGGATTTAAAAGATGAAAAACCTGTAAATCTAGTTGATGGAACTGCTGATGGTAACAAATGAGTAGATGAACTAAAACCGTTGTGAGTGGTTGTACCATTTGTTGAATGAGTTCCATTAATTACACCTTGATGATGACTATTGTGAGTACTACTACTATTTATTCCTTGTGAACTACTTGTAGTTGCTGTAGTTCTACTAGAATTAGTTTGATTTATTGATGATGGTTGTAATGAAGAATTACTATTATCTATTGCTGTTATTGTCCTTGCTGTATCATTACCTGTATCACTTTTATTATCATTTATTGAAAATTGTTCGGTTTTTTTATTTCCTTTTGCATCTGTTGGAATTTGAACTCTTAATATTGGTCTTGAATTAGTTTCTTTTTTATTCATTGAAGGAGATGGAGTTCTTGAATTATTTACGCTCTCTGATGATTTTGGAACTTCAAGTTTAGGTTTTTTATATTTATTAAAAGTTGGTACGTTATTCATTGATATATGAGCTGGTGGTGGTGATGGAGCTGGTCTTTTACTATTAAAAACTTTCGGATTTCTATTCTTTTTTGTAGTTTTCAATTTCATAAAATCTTCTTCTGATATACCATCTTCATCTTCATCTTCTTCATCTTCTTCTTCATCACCATCAAAACTACTATTTTCTTCATTTGATCCAATACTTCCATTTTTAACTTCAACAATATGTCCTTTTTTAGTCATTAATGGTTCAGATAATAATTTTTTCTTTTTATAAATCAGATAATTTTCAGGAGATTTTGATTCATGTATTGATTTTTTACTTTTTAAAACATTATCATAATTATTAAAAATTTCTTTTGCATTAACTGTTGAAAATTCATATATCTTGTTATTATTCCCACATATAACTATTGATAAATCAACTTGACATAATATAGCTAATTCATATGCTTTTTTAAATAATCCTGCTTTCCTTTTAACAAAAGTAACTGTTCTATTTCTATCATCAGTCAATGGTTGAATTTCAATTTTTCTTCTTCCCATTATGATTGATGTTGTAATATTTTTAAGTTTGAGTGTAATGAGTTGTAAATTTAAGGATATATAATTGAAAGTGGTGATATATCTATAATATTTATGATTTTAGTTGAATTGAAATATTAGATTGAAAAATGAACGAATTATAATATGATAAATTTATAACATATAATTAATTTGATAGATTGTGATATTATAATATATGGTTACTGATAATCAGATGTATGAAAATGAAATTGAAATAATACTGAACTAAATGTTTAAATTGAATTAATTAAATTGTTTCACTTTAAATTATTTTAATTTAATTATTATTTTTTTTTCTTACTTTTAAATTTCTTACTTTTAAATTTTAAGGGTCGATGTTAAAAGATTATAATTCAATTTATGAACAAATTTCTCTTGAAAAAGATACGAGATTAACTTCAAATTCTTATTGAATATTAAATATAACTGTTTAAATTAAAGACGACCAATTTATAATTGGTTTAATCAAAAATTTACTAAATTCAAAAAAATCGGATAAAATTAGTGTTTATTTATAAATTACTAAATTTCAAATGGAAAAAACCCATCGAGATTTTTGATACAGCCATGTTTTAAAACATTTACAATTTAAAACTCATAATTTTCAACATTATTACAAAGAAATCACTTGTTTGGGGTATAAATCTCAAAAATTCAGATCTAAAATCTATCTTGATTACTGATACTAATTAGTCTAGATCGAATCTCGAAACTTCTTGGGAAGTTTAAAATTTTGTAAATGATGCAAAATCATATTGAATAAGACTCAAAATCGACTAGACAATAGTAAAATCTAAATTAAGTTATCTGTTCCGTAATTGAAAGTAGATTTACATCATTATTATCCGAATCTCAATAGAAATACTTCTTACTATTGTTTCATTCAAACTTTAATACTAAGAAAAAAATTGCGAAAAATTTACGATTTGAATCGAAACTTTTTTTTGTACAAAAAAATGTTTCTAAATTTATCTTTTTTTTTTAATTCTTTCTATTGTTTTATATATCAGCTTCTTTTAACTTTTGTACTTTTCATTCAAAGTTTAAATTGACTCAAAAGTAAGACGCATTTATGTTCAAGTATGCCAGGCTTAGCGTTTTTGATAATTTACTAGAGTCTCATAACCTCTAACTGAAGTTAAAGTTTTAGATGATTAAAAATAGGAGTTAGTACTAATTTAGAGCTAATCTTCAAGTTAGTCATGGTTTAAAACAAAGGACTTGCTCCGAATTTAAGCGATTACTAATCGGATGTAGTTGAAACGTTGGTAATATAGGATCAAAAATGGTACTGAATCATATTCATTGATTAAAAAGAATCTTTGCATAAATCTAGAAAAAAAAAAAAAAAGTATTTACAAAAATCTATTTTTAGAAGTTTTTCTTCAATATGACATACAAGGAACATCTTCATGAAGATATATTTCACTGAGCGAGTAATAATTTTACTAAACAACAATAATAACTTCAACTCATTATTGTTTAAATGTTGCTTGGCTAAATTGTTTCTGTGCTACGGTTCGTTAATTCTTTGTGTTTAAAATATCCTCTAATGATAGAAACTAGATTTTCAAATACATCTTAACACAAATAGAGGGGTTGAGCAAATTAATTGAATTTTCTTACTCTTAAAACGCCGCTTAACGATTTGCTCAAGAACATGGCGTGTTTAGTTAAATCTGTTGCTTAACGAAGCTTGCAATTAGTTGAAAAGATTAAATGAGCTCAAGCATGACCAGAAGACTTGGGTACGGCACCAGCAGTTTTTTTTAGCCCTCTTCTAATAATAAAATTCATTAATTATAAGAGATAGCATTAAAAAAAGGTTGGGGAGAACTGCAAGCCAAGCATTTCTAATAATGTAGCTCAAGATATTTTAGACTAGTTTACGAACGGCTATCGAAGATCTGAGATAGAAATATCTGACATGAGATAAATATTTTACAAAGGTTTCAATAATTTACTAATCCCATTGATAACCGACATCTCATCAATTACTAGTTGTAATAAGTTTCTTTTTTTAGATTTTTAAAACCTTACATATTACATATGACTAACTCAAAACATAATAAATTATAAATTTCAAACTGGTTTTGAGAAATTTGAGTTTAATTATTGTGTCAAATCTGTCAGAAACTTATTAGCTTGGCGAGTGAAAAATTTATTATTTTTGGTATTAAAATTAAAAAATTTGAGAGTTGTTTCAAAAGCCGTTAATGTGGTAAATGCATAACATCTAAAATTTGAGTCACCGTAAGTATTAAAAAAAGAAACTAAAAATAGATTTTGACAGCAGTAGTGCAAAAGTTTAAATATCTGGAAGCATAAGATGATTGTTCATAATAAATGTAGCCCATAGATAAGTTTTTTTTGCTGTAAAGCGCATAATATAAAGAAGATCGTCATGAGATCGTTAGCATTTCTTTTGTTTATTGTAACACTTAGTGAATTTTTTCTCAATTCATATGAAGAGTTTACCAACTTTTCTTGTCTAATTGCATGGATATGTATTGATTCTTATTGTCAAATTCGTTTTCCTTCGTTGACATTATCAATTTATAAAAATCATATTCAGAGTCTAGCCCCTCTCCAATTTTAAGATTCGTTTAATGTTGGCTAAAGCTTAAAAGTTATTCCAAACCATATTGCTTTGAAAATAGTATTATTATTTTGACGTTTTACAACAGGCAACAATCGAAACTTAAGCTGTGAACTATTATCAAAGTCAATTTATTAAGCATTGAATAATTACAAGTCCGTCATGATTTAAAAAGTATCTCCTCGAGCATTAATTTACATAGAGGTAGCTCGACCTTAATTTTTTTTAAGTGTGATAGTAATGGAAATATGATCGCTCATAATAGAAAAGCAAGTCTTTATTAGAAATACTACATAAACATAAAGTTAATGCTCGATAACATATTTCCGATTTTTCAGTTAAACTATTTAAGTGACTTACACTACTAACCCAAACTTAGTTTAGCAAAATGAGCTTCTGGATCCAAATGACTCTCTCTGTAATTTACATTGAAATTCAGCCAGGTTGAAGTTCCATCTATACTTCCAGATCGCAGAAACTGATCGTTTATTCAAATTGAAAAAACAAAGTCTGAAAATCACCATAACTTAATTCAAAAACGTTAGATACAATACAGTAAACATCTTAATCAAATGTGATTGAAAAATTACTCTGTAAATATAGTTTTTTTGGTTAAAGGAGTCAAAAGTCAAAATAGAAGTTTTACTAAAATTCTTAAGATTGATCTAGTCGTACGATAAAATTATTGATGACTATAAGATCAAACGATCTAACCATTTTTTTTTAAATTTGGTCCAATGATAATTTAAATTTTTGGTGTTTGAAGTACACCCTACATATTTTTTACTCAATCAAAACTTCATTTTTTTTATAGTTTTCGATTCATTTTCGATTCCATTGAACGTTTCATAAATTTGTTTCATAGTTTTTACTGAATGACATTTTTCCGAAAGGTTCATTTCCAGTTTATGGACAAAAATCTAGAATTTTCAAAAACTGGGTTTTAGTTTCCTCTTATCTAAAAATTTGTCAAGTAGTCACGAAAAAAATTAAAGGGTTTTTCGTTTCATTGTGCGTTTCAAATTAAATCATTTAATTTTCAAATAAGCTTTTTTAGTTGACAACTAACCTTCTTCAATACTAAACTTGTGGCGATGAATGAATAGTAAATTGTTTTCAATTATTGTCAATAAGGAAATACTGGTAAATCAATCATTTAAGAAATCTACATTTACGTGAAACTTTTGATTTAATTTGGTCATGATATCATCAGGAGTGCAACTTTTTATTAAGTTTGCTATAATTAGAATTCCAATCCAAATTATTTTTGGGAAAAAATATGATTTTGTACATCTGATTTACATTATAAATTTGATAAATAACGGTTATGTTTGTAATTAAACCGTTTTGTTCTACTATTTTTAATAGTATATGTTTTTAAATTTTGGACCAGAAATTTATTTGCTTGGGGTGTCAAAATTAAGTACTAATTTAAAATTATACAAATTTTTTTAATATTGCCAAATCAACCAAATATCCATGGCGTGATTGAAAAAGCCCTTTAAAATGCAACTATATAATTTAATTAAATTCCTCTGATTTTTCAAGTTATAATAATCTTATCATCTTATTATCTACTTAATAATCTGTTTGTTTGCAGAAAATTAATCATCATAAAATTTGAAATAAGCATTTGTAAGACCCATCAGTCAATACCAAGATAGACCAAACTGTTCAAAAAGAATGATTTGTAGATGTACAATTTGTGGTAAATGGTTATTATCAGAAAAAATTGCAAAAGAACATGTTACTAAAGATCATGAGATTGAAAAAGAATCAAATGACAAATTCTTTTACTCAATAGGTGTTCATTGAGGCAGTTAAAACTAAATGACTGACGGCTTTATAAAGAAATTCAATCTTCCATATAATTAGCAAGTTATGTCTTGGTCCAAATCAATCAGCAAAAGATCTTTAAATCAAAATGAATCAAATTATAACTACAAACACTGGTGGGTATTTTAGATTCAATTCGTAAATATATGATTAAAATCATTACGTCATAATATATCAAAAATTGGAAAAATAAAAAATAAATTACAAATCAAGTAATAGAATTCATTACATAATCACACTTAGTAAAATTACATAATACAACACAAAATTGGAATGATGAAAAATCTTAAGTTTAAAATTTACGAGATTTTTTATTAATTTATTAATTTAAAATCATCAAGCATAGAAAAAATTAACATCAAATAGAATTACAACTACAATCATTAGATCATCTTTATTGTCATTACAATATTATAGCATTAGTCACATCATATAAATTTCCAATACTAAATAAATCATCCATTTCATTATTCATTTGTTTCAAATTGACCAATATTTTATAAACGCAGGGGGCTTTTAAAAGATAAAGGGAAAAACAATTTTCAATTCTAATCAAATTTCATTACGAAGTTAATACCAAGAAAGTATAGCTTGTTTATAAATCTATATATATAATTCTACAAATGTATATCATTTTATAAAGGAATCTTAATTTACATCAATGAAACAAACTAAATCATATACTACAACAAGTAGATCATCAATACTAAGATTCAAAAAATCTCATAGAATAGTTATACTAATCATTTTACTATGCATACTACCAATCATTTATTTATACCAAATCAATTCACAAAATGCTTATAGTGTCAATGATTCAGATGACTCTATCACAACAAGTTCACACTTAGCTTCAGATAAATCAAATCCTGCATCATTATCCGAATTATTATCAACACCATCTAGTCTATCATTAATAGCTACACCTAGACCTACAAATTTATCAGCTGAAGAAATAGAAGCCATTAAAAACCCAAGCAAGTTTCTTGGTGATATACAAGAGATGTCCAGAAATGAAAAACCATCATACATGAATTTAAACCTAGCTAAAAATAGAGAACCAAAAAATTATTTACCATTGACTAATGACAATGAGCAAGATCTTGAATTTTTTGAAAACCCAATCAAGAAAACACAACAGAAACTTAATCATGAAAAATTAAATATTAATCTCCCAGAAATGGATCCTTCTACATCTTCATTCAATTTTAGAATTTATTCACATAATGTTAAAAATGGAAATGGATTAACTCCATTAAGAGATGGAGAATATAAATGGGAAGACAGATTAAAAGATATACTATCATCTATAAAATTTAATATTGTGGAAAATACAATTTTTACATTACAAGAACTTTATAAATTTCAAGTATTAGATATTGTTCAAAATTTGAATACTTTCAGAGATGATGAAGAAGATTGGTGGAAATATTATGGGGTTGGTAGAATTAATGGAGAAGAAATGGGAGAATTTGTTCCAATTATATATAATACTAAAGAATGGGAAGTTTTACATAGTGATTCGTTTTGGCTTAATGAAAGAGATCTTTATATGTCTTATGAAGGTTGGGATGCATTATACACTCGTATTTGTTCATTTATAATACTTAAACACAAAAAAACAGGTCATATTTTAAATTTTTTCAATACTCATTTTGATCATTTTGGTAAATTATCAAAATGGGGATCAGCTCATTTAGTTACTGAAGTTATTAGACAATTGGAAAAACAATCTAAAAATGAATGGCCAACTTTTTTAATGGGAGATTTTAATTCTGAACCAAAAGATGAAAGTAATAGCATTTTGGTTATTAAAGATTTATTACGTGATGCTACAACATTAACAGTTCCTGGTATAAACAGATATGGACATGTGAAATCAACAGTTACTGGATTTGATGGATCAGTTTTAAATGGAGGTGGACAAAATATAGATTATATATTTGCCCCAAGTTATTCCAAAAAATTAGACAATAAAGGAATTAAAATCAATTTAAGAAAAAATTGTGAATATATAAAATTAGGTACAGAATCTTCTAAATTTCAAGATAATTTTGATTTAATTTTAAAACAATTTGGTATGTTACATTCAAAATTTAATGGTAAATATATGTCAGATCATAGACCAATAGTTGCAGATTTTAGAATTTCACCAAAATGTATAAATTTAAATGAAAAATTAAAAGAGCAAGAAATACTAGAAAAACAAGAGTTTAATATTGATCAAGATACAAAACAACAGGAACAAAATAAATTAATAAATTGGTTAATTAATGGTGATTCTGTTGATAACAAAGAAAAAGTACATGATAATCAAGATAACAAAGAAAAAGTCCATGATAATCAAGATAACAAAGAAAAGGTATATGATAATCCAGATAATAAGGTAAAAGTACATGATAATCCAGATAACGAAGTTGATGAGCAAGTTGTAACTGACACCAAAAAAGAAAGTGCTAGAGCAGAGGATAACGTAGTTGAAGACAATGAACTCCAGAACCCTGATGTTAACGGTGATAAGCAATTAATTGAGTAATACATACAACTACGCGACATGAAAATTTGAAACGTGGAAATTTTTAGCATTTATTAAACTTTATAGATTATTATCATTATATACCTTTATAGAAAATATCAGTTCAATTTATTGTTCAAACAAGCAAAAAATTCAACGACATGGCACTGTTGAAATTTGACTTTTTAATTACCTTAGAAAAAATAGTAAACAATACAATAAGTTGAACAAATGAATTATTATAAGTTATCATAGTTTTCATTTCCTTTGACTGCTAAATTTCATAAGATCAACAGTTTTGCAGCAAAAAAAAAAAAAAAAAACTTATACGCAAATCAAAACTTTATTACAAACCCCCTTACATTAAACAAACAGGAAAAAGGTTTTAAATGAAATACGACCTTCTCTTTCAAGTGATTAAAGATAAATAGTCTACTTGTCATGAAATTGTTTATTTACTATTTGAACAATATGAAAGTGTACAATAAATTCTATCCTACGCCCCTAAATTGAACTTTAGTGTAAATCTAATAAAATATGGGGAATTATGGCTAAGAATAAAAATTAATGGATGACTATCGAGAACCATTTTGAATTCAGTCATTGCAAACGAATACTAGATCATGTGAATAGGTCAGTAAGTAATTGTAAAGCATATGAGCTCTCACAACTAGCTTCAACTTAAAGGATGCAATAATTATGGTGGGTTAATTCCAAAAACTACAACATTGTATTGTATTGTTTTGTATTGTATTGTATTAAAACTACGTAATTAATTTGTTCAGTTCTAAATAAAAAAAATATTAATTTTATTTTCTTAATTTTTGATCTCAATTTTGAATTCTTATTTTAACATCAACAAGATAAATTTTACAACCATAATATTTTCATTTCATTATTTTGATCCTTTCATATAATCATTTTACACAATTAAAAGTTACTAGTTTCTATTCAATTTTGACATCTTCAATATTTTTTCATCAATGATACATATTTATTTAGAACTGTTTTTCAAATTTAATAATTAAGTAGCTAAAATTAACTTTAAATCCGGTAACTAGCGTTTTACACCTTTATACTCATCATACTGTATAACCATTTAATGACAACTTCATCTTCATCATCAACTTTTCATCCATATCAATCATCATATACTTCAAAAAAGCTACCTAAACCACCACCTCCTCCACCACCAGATATAGCACCTGATCCTCCTATTCATAAACAACAACCTATTGATATTAAGAATTTACCTAACATTAGACAATCTACGACAAATTCGTCACCTTCATTGCATTCTTCTTCACCATATCAACATTTGGTACCTACTATTCAACATAGCAATCACGAAAATCGACATAATGATCAACATCAGCAATTTAGAAGTTCAATTTCTCCACCAACTGTAACATCTTCACCAGATAAGTATCATAACAAAAACCATCATCAAGAACTTAAATCAACATCAATGCAAGAATCAAGTTCGAACAATTCATTATTAAAACAAGAAGATATAAAATATTACTATATAAAAGTAATAAATTATGAATTTAGAAATTTACAATTAGATATAGATTTACAATCAAAATCATTATTTGACTTAATAGATTATTGTGAATTATTATATGAAAATTCAAATAATGGGACAGAAAATAATTTGAATAATATAAAATCATATATAAAGGGTTTTTTAATTTTTAATTATTTTATAAATGGATTTATAATGTTTCATTTTGAAGGATTTGATTCATTCATTGAATCAAATGAACAAGATTTTATTATTTATTTAAATATTTTTGCATTTTATAATACTGATCAAGTTTTTAATAATGGGAATTATACCATAAGTTCATTGGAAATTAGAAGATATATAAAAGATTATTTGACTGAGAAAAACTTATTAAGTTTTAGTATTGATGAATTATATGATTGGTTAAATCAATATATTACGTACCTTAAGGAAAAAGACTTATCATATGATCACAATGATAATGATAGTGAAAATGAATTTAGTTTTGAAAATTCAATAAAATCAGAAAATAGTGATGAACTAGAAGAAATGTCAAATTTGAAAATAGATCATACTGCCAATTCTCAAAAAAGTAGATTATCTCAACATTCAAGACAATCATCTATTGGTTCAATAGATGGGTTTAAAAATAGATATCCTTCATTACCTGTACCAAAAGATTATTCTAAAGAAAATAATAATAACAGTTTTTTATCAACAGTATCAGAACCCAAAAAGAAAGCCCCACCACCAATACCAACCAATTTACCACCACTGTTATTGAATAATTTACCATCAACTTCATCATCACCGCCAACATCAATTTCAAAACTGACTCGTAGTTTATCACCATATAAAAATGAGAAACAAAATATTTCAAGTCCATATCCAGAAAAAGATATCGTAACAACAGCAAAATTAAGTGCAGATGATCTTTATTTCACAAGTCCATCAAAACAACAAACCAACAACGATGGATATTCAAATTATAGAAGACAAACAGAACCAGTAGTTGAATCAAATACAATACATGCTCACGGATTAAATGGTCATAATAATGCTACTCACTACAATCCTACATATCAACACCAACAACCTTACCCTCCACCACAAAATTATCAATATTTACAACAACACCAAACTGCAATGCCCACATTCCCACCACCACAACAATCAAATATGTATTATCAAAACAATGGACAACCATTTATCCACCAACAACAACACCTTCAACATCCACAAACGTATCCGCCACCACAATCACATACACACTACCAATCTTACAATAATCATCATCCAATGATCCCCAATCACGTAATGGTACAACAAGAACAAATAAAATTTCAAAAATTCAATATGTTAAAAGATTTATCCGTGTGTGGATTAAGAAATTTTGGATCATCTTGTTATATCAATTCAACTATACAATTATTATTTGGAATTTATCAATTTAAATTAATTTTCAATAAAAACTATCAAAAATTAGTTAAAAACCCCAAATTTATCAAAATAATGCAAAATTCAAATTCTCACAAGAAAGATTCGGTATTATTAAGTGAAGCCATCAATGGATTACTTAAAACAATGCAACAAAATGGAGGTGTTCCAATCTCACCTACAAAATTCATTAGAGTTACATCATTACTAAAACCGGACTTTAATATCCCTCACGAACAACAAGATTCACAAGAATTTCTTTTGTTTATACTAGAAAGATTACATGAAGAATTAAACGACAATCATCAACAAGAATTTAATCCTGATTACCTCATAACAAAATGGAATATAATTATAGATTTAGAAAGTCAATCAAGTTACATAAAATGGCTTAAACAATTATACGATCATGAAGGTTCAAGTCCAATATCTGATCTTATACAAGGTCATTTACAAAATAAATTAAAATGTAATAAATGTCATTACGAATCAATATCATACTCGCCGTTTTCAATCCTAAGTTTACCAATTCCAAAACAAAAATCTCAAAATGAAGTAGTTGACTTAAGTTCTTGTTTAAGTTATTACATCCAAGATGAGATATTATCAGGTGATAACGCATGGAGATGTCCTAAATGTCATGGTGAAGTACCCACTATAGAAAACCATCCAGTTTTTGAGAAAAAGAAAGGTTTATTCAAATTAACCAAATCCAAAAAAACTGAAACAAATTCATCATCATCATCAACAAGTTCATCATCATCAACAACAACAAACATAACATCAACTAAATCAATCTCATTTGTTAAACTACCGCGTATTTTATTCATTCATTTATCTAGATTCTCAATGTTTAATCTCACAGATAAATTAAATACACCAATTAGGTATCCATTAAAATTAATTTTCAACAATTTCAAATTCCAACACGAAATAAAATACAAATTATCAGGAATAATCAACCATTTCGGAAATTTAAAATCGGGTCATTATACATCTATAATCAATAAATCAAATATAAACGAAAACAAAAATGATTTAGAAAATTTAATTCATCCCTTTTGGTGTTTATTTGATGATGAAAATGTAAAACCAAACATAAACAATGGTTCATTACGTAATGAAAATGATCCTTCTCATAATGGGTATTATGAAGAAATGATTTCGAGAGATGTTTATGTTTTATGTTATGAACGTATCGATTGAGTTTTCTTTTGACTTTTAGAAGTATAGTATGTTTTGAGCAAATAAACAATGCATAGAATCTATCAATAAATCTACTTTATTCTCTGATTATTACCTTAACATTTATATCAGTCATTACATCAGCTTGGAAATTGAAGTCAACACTTCTACTTCTTTCAAACCTCTAACGATTGTTCTTAAGGGCATGTAGATAAAGTTGAATTAAAGAGATCACCTACGAAGTCGATAATCAACAATTTAAAAATACATTATACAATATACAATTTCAAGTCACCTAATTAGTGATAGAAAAATATGAAAAAGTTGTCAAATCCATCATCTCAAAAAACAGTTGTGCTAGCGAATTAGCAGTAGGTATCGAATTTTGGCAAAAAAGGACAAAGCACGGACATGGCAATACGTATTAAGGAAATTTTAGAAAATTATACCTAGCATTGAATCATCATATTTCTATCACTATTTCTAAGTCATGACTTAAAAGAACTTATTAGCAACCAATGAGTTATCAACTTTGTATTTGATAGACACATATATGCACTAACGATTAGAAAATATGATAAAACAACTTCGTTTATTTCTAATCAATTTGCAGTTTTGAGAAATCGAGTCACGAGTGATCCAACAAGGCATGATCGATTGATTTAACTGACGCAGAAATCTTAAATTCAGTTTAAGTTCACACATATAACATATTGAAGAAAATGAAGAAAATTCATTATCAACCCTTGATTAAAACCTTTCGAAATAAACTTATTAAATCATTAGCAACTAATGAAAATATCAAATTAATTTTTGATAATCACTTAAGCACCAACAATAGCTTCTTTCAATCAATTTATCAAAGTTGACAGTTAAATAGAATTATCAAAAAAACTCCTTATTCAAAACACTAGTTCCAATTGTCAAGACTAGAAGTTACAACATTTTGAAACATTAAAAGAAATTGTTCGTCTTGTAAATACTTTAGATTTTCCTGAATCAAATAGAATTAGAGCTCTTCATCTATACTCTCTTGGAATTAACTTTGAGTTAGTCAATCTGCCCTATGTTCTTTGTCATTTTATGAATGATATAATACAGCAATTAAATATTGGAAGAACTTTGAAAATTTTTAAAACTCGCAAAAATTTAAATGAGAAATAAATGAATAAATAAATAATTTTTAAGGGGGAGAAGAGGGGTAGTGTATTTTTTGAATAATAATTCAAAATACCCCCTTATTGATTTTTACATAATTATAATATTGTAGGAAGAATAATAAAAAAACATTAATAACTAAATTCCAGTTAATTAAAGATAAAATGGTTTAATAACTATGTAATTATATATTTCAGGAACCGCCCGATCTCTTTCAATTTCAGTTAGTTTTTCATCTACAGTCTTTTCCATTTCTTTAGGTTACCCTAATTTCAATGATCAGTAATTTATTATACTTCAAAGAGGTTAGAAACTACATCAATAAAAAACAATTTACAAAGAATACATCATACAATATACATTATAATAATATAAAATGCTAGGAAAATATTCTCACATTTGGTTAGTATTTTGTGTTATGCTATATTAGCGTCAAGTATATAATCGTGAAAATTTGCGCTTATATGTGGAAATTCTCAACTTAATATCACACTGTTTGATTTCACTCTTCATTAGCAACCTATGATAAATCAACTGTTGTAGTTGTTGATTATCGCATATATGCACTAATGGTCAAACAGTATGACAAAATTTGTAGATATGGTTTCTTAATATGAACAATCTCAAAGCTAAGCAATGCAATCCTGAATACAGATCCATTGTGGTAAATTACTATTTGTAACAAATAAATGTCGGTATGATATCAGTTAAAAGAACATACAGTAAACATGTGTACTGAAATAACTCTCCACCATCTTGAAACTAATCGGAGCGGTGGATAAAAAACTATATGCTGTGATATCAAGATATATCAAATTAAAGAACAAAAATTTAACATTCTTAGAAAACTCATTAGTTATCATTCAGAAAAAGGAAATGATTATGTGTCATACCTCTTAATTTCAAAAGCTTTCATTAGCACCCTATGAATTATCAATATTTGTGACTATTTTTGATATTCACATATATGCACTAACGATGAATCTATGAACACATAATTTCGACTAAACATATTAATGTTTCCAATCAACATAGGTAATTCTAGAACATTATGCTTCCATTATCATTGACAGGGATTACAAGGGAAAAGTGCCCCACTTAATTTCAAACTATTTGATAAACAGATTAAATTCCTATTAATCAAATTGGATTATAAAACCTTATTGGCAACTAATGAATTATCAACAATTCCAAATTTGATAATCACTTAAGCACCACTAGTATTCTCTTTTGATAAACACAATTGATTTTAATAAAGCTGCAGTGTCGCAGGATATTGGTTTCACACCAAGACCTCCATATGAGGAGACAAGATTATTCCATAATGTTGTTACAAAATTACTTGGTGTGGTGAATTATTATACAATTTGTAGTGGCCCATGATAAGTAATTATTCACAATTTTCGGCCATTAAACAAAAAAGTCTTACGACAAGCGCCTCCTTATTGATTTTGCTTTAGTATAATTCCATAATAAATGAGGCATGTTTGAAAAGAAGAAGTAAAAACAAACTATAAACTTAAAAAAAAAACATCCTTTTTTATAAAAATTGATAAGATTGATATGCAGATTTACCCGGATTGAAACTTGTAATACTTTTTATTCTATTTTAACTTGCAATACTTTTTAATCTTCTTTAATTTACTGTAATTATTAATATCTTCAGCTTAATATACGAGTCAATACTACAAGAGGAAGGTAGGGAAAGACATCAAACAAGAATTGGGTTAAAAATTAAATTATGATTATTCTATCTATTCGTGACATTATAGAATCAGTTTATTTAAAACTTTTTTGGTTTTCAACTTATTTAAACTTATTTTGATAGGACCAGCGACTTTTGGTTCTTCTTTATCAATTTCTATTGATATATCTTTAGCTTTTGATTTAGCTTCCTTCTCTTCTCTTTCTTTACCAATTCTAATTTGTTCTTTTAAAAGTTTGTCACTTAAATCTTGATCTTTTTCAATTTGATTGTTCATATCTGATTGTTTTAGTTTTGAGTAATCAGATGTATCAATTAATTGAATTTCTAAATTGAAACCTTGTTGGTCATTATTTGTATCTTCACCTCCTTCATCCTCTTCATCTTCTTCTTCTTCTTCTCCACCAATTTTTGTAACTTTCACTATCCCATTAGATCCCATATATTTAATAAAAGAAGTCAAACTTTTCCACCTCGTCACATTCATATGAACATGATCTTTTTGTAAAATATATTCTTGATAAAATTTATTAGCATTTATCTTTTTATTATTGTGATTTTGTTTTAGTAGATTTATGAAATTTTTTTGAAATTCATTTGAATAATTCTGTATTATGTTAGAACTTGAATCTGATGATGTTATATTTGATATTCTACCTAAATGGGATTTGGAATTAAGATGCATTTTAAAACCGTTTGCATCTCTACATTGTTTTGAACATAATTGACAATAGTATTTTAACTTTTGTAGTCCACTTGCTTTTAGTCTTTTGGACTCGTATTTAGCTGTGCCTATTTCTGCTCTACCCATGATTTAATATAAAGCGTGATAAAGGTAGTTTTATGATGTATGTTGTAAATTGTAAAGTCTAATTAGTTAATAGATGATGTTAGATATTTCGAGTTTTGTGTTTCAAATTTTTGATTTTATTTTACAACCAAAGAATTCATCAAAACATAATGTTGATCTAATTCCTCAGAATGATGAAACATAGCTCAAGAATTGCTCAACTACTACCTCGACCGAACAATATTCATCAAACAAGACTACTATCGATACTAAAATTTAGGAGTAATAGAACTGTCACACCAAGAAACTCATATATTACAAACAAAACATATCCACAATTGATATGGAACAATTACATACCCTCAAATTTGAAGATATTTTCAGTAATAGGTACAGGAATAATAGGCTTTATTAAATTAAATCCTAATGTATGGATTACTTTGGGACCTCCAATTGCAATAGGTACTTTTTATATGAATAAATACATAAAACATAGAATATATTTGAATAATGTGTCAACAGTCCTACCAGAAGTTCATACAATTGATGATAAAGACCAAAACGTAATTATCGAAGAAAACCTCAAAGCCGAAACCGCTTTACCTAGCTTGTTCAAACCAACTGAGATAGTCAAAATCTTACCATACGACGAATCACAAATATATAATTTAAAGTATGAAATAGACAATCAGTACGATTCATTAAGAAAGCAGATTATAGACTTGATTGAGAAGAGAATAAAAGAATCTATATTGTTGAGTCAGAATAGTACAGACCAAGTTTGTAGTATAATGAACGAATTTATGGAAGACGATCAATTTAATATAAACATAAATGAAAATGAAATAGAGAGTTGGATTACAAGTAAAGTAAAATTACCATCTTCAAAAGATGAATCAAATTTAAAACAATTTATCAAGTTACTGTTTCCTTACTACTCCAGCAAAACAGTCAAAGATAGAAAAAGAATAGGTACATTAGCTATTTATTTAATAAAAATCAATGAGACTGATTGGAAAATCGATATTGAAATAAATAAACTAGGTTGGTTTAATTCAGAATCTGTATGGATCAAAGAATTGGATAACAGTGAGAACATGGAGAGTGATCTTTACAAAACATATAGGAATTCATAAATAGAGTGGCATGTAAATAAATATCAATAATCTTTGTATAATTGTATTATAAACACTATTCTATAGTCTATATGAATTTATCTTTTAAAAAAATTAGTATTAAAATTATGAAATTTCCCATACTCATAACATCCACTAGATTCACTAATTTCTCTTAAATGAGGCATCCAAGATTCAATATCATGAATTCTTTTTGTAGCAGCAGGATGAGTAGAAAACCATTCAACCATACCTGAATCACCACCACCTTGTTGTCTTGCTAATTTTTGTTCTGTTCTACCCATTCTTTGCCAAAATAAAATAGCTTGGTCGGGATTAAAACAACTAGCAGCTAATATTTCACAACCAATATGGTCGGCTTCAGTTTCCATTTCTCTAGATGCTGGCATTGTGAATATACCGTTAATTAATAAATCATTAAACCATGATATACCTGTTAGTGAGTATAAAACAGTTGATAAGAACATATATATTGGTTGAGAACTTAATTGTTCACTTGAATGTTGAGCTAATTGATGCGATAATTCGTGAGCTAATACAGTAGCTATACCATCATCATTTTCACATATAGGTAAAATCGAACTGAATATGAAGATTTTACCATTTGGTAGAATAAATGCATTTGGTGGTAATTTATCATTTTGTATAATATTAATTTCCCAATGTAAATTTTTTAGGTGTTGTTGTTGATTTTTATTTTCTTTATCATTTGCAATTGCTGTTGCTAATAATCTATTCATTATTGATGATATTCTTGCATATAAAGGGTTTGAATGTGGTAATATCATTGATCCATATTGTGCCATTATTTGATTATAAGAATAATCTCCTATTTTAGTTTCTATCCAATATGGTATCCATATAAATCTACGTCTATGAGTATACGGTGCTTCATGTAGATTATAAATATAAAATACTAATAATCCACCTCCAACGTATAAAGTCGTTCTACTTGTTAATATCTTGTAGTAAAGTTCATATATGTTAGATGATGAGTTGCTTGAACCATTAAACCTTCTATATGATGCATATTTTCTAATTTGTATCTGAAACTGAGTTTGAGGTTTGTATTTGAAATGAAAATGGGTTTTCGGTATTTGAACAAAAGTTCTAAACTGAAACTGTTTTTTGATCGGTGTAGTTGAGCTCTTGAACAACGGTAGTTGTTGCAATATCTTTGATCTAAACATTGGCAAATATAAACATTTGTAGTATAAATTGATACTATTGCTCGATATCTATTTCAATAAAACTGAAAGTAATATTTAATTTGTGTAATGTAAACTTTATCAATAGAAATTCTATAATGTACTTAAAAAAAATGCCAGGCTACCAAATTATCATCAAATTTTTAATCATCAAATATTGATTAAAATTTTGCAGCCATTCATTTTTATTTCTTGAACCTCATCTTAATCACATTTCAAGATAATTTCAAGTAGCTAATTTACTAGAAACGAATGTTTTTGGCATGATTCTTGAAAAATCAAATTCCTCCTAAATAAATTACTTGAAAAAATTTGTCAACTGGAAGCTCTCATATCGCCCTACTTTCAAAACACTAAGCTTACTTATTTTTGCAATCTGAATATCAAATAGACAAAAAAGGTTTAATTTTGGCAACTGTGTTCAACTTCCAAGCAAAGTAACATTTTGGCTATGTCTAATTAAACATACTATCTGAAACAATTCTTATGTTAGTGTCCCAAAACCGCGCATTACATCATTAATTTTTTACTAAAACTCAAACTTTTTTTTTAGTTGCAAAAATCATCTCTTCCACTAAATCAATCCAAAGTACAACCACTTACCATGCCAACGGAATTAGAGGAATTAGTAGGATTTTTGCATTCACCACAACCAGCAGTAGTCCAAATAGCATTAGATAATTTAGTACAATTTTCAACGGGGCCTAATCAAAGTATTTTCTCATATGATAATTATGAAGCTATAAAAGATTTAAAAAAATTAAGTAAAAGTGATAGTAAAACTTTAGTAAATCAGTCAGTTACTATATTGGCGAATTTATGTGAAGATGTTATAATAAGAAATTTGATAGTGGAGGATTATGAATATTTGAAATTATTAGTATCAAGAATTGTAAATATCAAAAATACAAATGCTGATATAATGTGTATATTATTAAACAACTTGGCAAAAAATGACTCAATTAATAATATACTAGATGTAAAAATAGAGTTGAACGAAGAAGAAAGAAAAACATTCACATCATCAAAAGTTATAGATTGTTTAATGGATTGTTTTGTAAAGGGAAATGATCAAAAATTAAATCCGTATGCTAATTTCGATTATTTAGCATATTTCTTTGCAGATTTATCAAGATTTCAACAAGGTAGATCATATTTTATAACAGAACAATCTTATGACAATGTAGTTCCCATATCCAAACTTTTAGTATTTACAGAAAAATATGATGATAAAATAAGAAGAGAAGGTGTTGCATCAACTATAAAAAATTCATTATTTGATACAAATGCTCATATGAAATTATTAACTGATCCAAAAATTAATATTTTACCATTTATACTATTACCATTGGCAGGTCCTGAAGAAATAGATGAAGATGAAATGTTTGATTTACCTGATGAATTACAATTATTACCACCTGATAAACAAAGAGAACCATTAAGTGGGATACAATGTATTCACTTAGAGTCATTATTATTGTTATGTACTACTAAACCAGCAAGGGAATATTTAAGAGAGAAAAGAGTTTACTCAATAGTTAGAGAATTACATAAAGTTAGTAATGTTGAAGAAGTAACTGATTTATGTGATAGAGTTGTTCAAATGTTACAAAGAGATGAAGCACCAGATGCTGCTGAAATAGAAGAATTAGAAAGTGATGAAGATGATGATAAAATTGTTGAAATTGTATAGACTAGTTTTAATATATATACTCATTTATTCCTTGAGTACTAATTTTCCATCAACTAACTTCAAATTTTGTTTAACAATAGATATAATACGTTGCTTATTCTCTGGATGAGCACTGACTCTACTTTTTAATCCAACTAATAATTCCTTTGTAGTTATTGGACGATCTTTAACTATATCAAGAACATCTTTTATTGTAACCAATAATGAATCTGGACCTGCGTCATTTAAGTCATCTGACACGGGAGCACTTGAAGATGGTGGAGCTGGAGCTGGTGATGGTGAAGCTTCTCTAGATGGTGTTTGTTCTAATTTGATTCTTTTATTAGGTACTGATAAATCTGGTTTTCTACCATTTGGTAACCATTCCCCAGGTGGTAAAGTAGTCAAGAAGTCTTTTGGTGCTTTAACGATGACAAAACCATCACCTACATTAGTTGCTATTATATTCCTTTTGTATGTTGGTTGAATTAACGCTTCATCGGTTGGTTCAGCTTTAACTTTTATTTCAGACTCACTTTCTTCATCACTTTCTAAATCTGATTTTGATAAATAGGGCTGACCGTTTTGTTCATCTTCATCACTGTCATATATGCCACCTTCTCTTTTATTTAATACTTTTCTTAATTTTTTACCTTCTTTATCAACTTTTCTTTCTTTTTCAGTCTCAAATAAGTCATCTAAATCATCATCTGCTTCTTCTTCAGCATTAAAATGAGCAGCTTTTAACATTTCCTTTTTAACTTTTCTTTCCGATAATTTATTTTCTTCTTCATCTCCATCCATAATTGGTGCTTCTTCATCATCTGCAAATTCTTCATCATAATCTAAATCATCATGATCTGAATCTCTTTCATTTACTGCTCCACCTGTCACTGTCCTCATATTATTACTTGCTGTACGAAAACTTTTTTTAAATCTTTGATCTGGTGTACCTTCTTGTATCGAATCTTCTTCCATATGTTTCATTAGCCAACGTGGAATATTACTTTGACTCATTTTAGCCTCTGCTTCTTCTATTGTCAAAGTGGCGTATCTATTTCTTGGTGCAAATCTGTATGATTTTTCAACTGGTATTAATTTGAAACCATTTTTATCAAATACAAATAATGCTTGTTCAGATGATGGGGCTTCATAACTTGATGTAAATACATTATCACCAGTATAATCTTCTAGTATCCAGGGAAAATGTTCTTCATAACGTAGTTTCCTTTTAGCTTCATCCATTAAATTTATTTGTTTAGTTTTACGTTTAAATAAACTCTTTTTGTTTTTACGTGCTCCTCCATCTGGTGCTACTTTATTTAATTCTGAATCAGAACTTGATAATTTGGGTTTTGATTGTTCTTCTTGTGGTTGATCTTGTTGAGCTTCCTCTTGTTCTCTTTTTCTGGCTTCTTCCTCTTCTTGTCTTTCCTTCTTACGTTGTTCCTGTTCTTTTCTTGATAGATGAAAACTTATATTTCTAGGATCTTTCCTACTCATATATACTGGTCTTTGGAATTTATCAAATGTAATCTCATTTTTTGAACTAAACTTGAAAATATGAGTTCTAACATCTTTTAAATCTTCTTCAGTTGGTGCAAATAAAGGTATTTCTTTCCAAGATTCTGAATCACTCATAATATTGAGTATCTATAAAAAGTCTATTTGATGAATCTATCTAAAAGGAATGTGATTGAGAAGATTTTGATAAGTTAATTAAAGATGATTAGTTGTTGCAATTGAATCTAACAAGTTTTATAATATTTTTTTTGTGTTTAAATTTTGAATTTTATAAAATTGTATGACAAAAAATACAAAAATGTAAAACATTAAAATATATCAAATCAAGTAGAAATCTTGTAACCATAGGTTCCTGAAGTGGCCAAGTTGATTAATTCTTTTGATAAACTTGTCTTGCATTGACTTTGCACCAATGTAGGTTGTAATTAGGACTATTTACTTCATATTGTTTTGCTAAAATTAAAGTTTATGACAATAGCCCTGAGTTGTTTTATTGATAATTAAATGAAGTAATCAAATAGATCAATAACTCTAATAAAACGTGTTGAAAAATCGAATAACCAAAATGTTGTAAAATGTAAAAATGAAATTAATAAAATATTCTAAGACAAAAAAAAATCATTAAATTCTTAATATAATAACAAAATTATTATACCCCCTTATTAATTTTACAACCAATACTTAAAATTACAACATGTGTACAAAGAAATAACCAATTGAACTCCAGTTTAAGTATCTTTCAACTGACTATACATAAAACTCATTTTTCATTGTTCAAATCATAACCAGAAGGTGTTAAATTGGCTATCACGTGGGGATCAATCATATAAATAAATGTTGAAATCACCGAAAACCAAACAGTTGAATATATGACAACAGACTCAAAATGGTATCATTCTCCAAAACTTTGAATTCAAATTTACTATTAGTAGCTCAATCAATATTCCAAGATTTAGCAACTCCACAACAAGCTTCAAATGATCAATATAATATTATAAATTTCTTAGGTGGTTCTGGTCCTTATAAACATGGTTCAAGATATGGTATAAGTACAGATATACCTCAAGGTTGTGTCGTAGAACAAGTACAAATGATATCTAGACATGGTGAGCGATTTCCATCAAAAGGTGATGGTGCTTATTTTGATACTGTTATGGAAGTTTTCAATAGTTATAAAAAGAATAATCAATTCAAAGGTGATCTATATTTTTTGAATGATTATAAATATTTTGTTACTGATAAAGCATCTTATGAAAAAGAAACATCTCCAACAAATTCAGAGGGAACTTATGCAGGTACTTCTAATGCATTAAGACATGGAGCTTATTTCAGACAAAGATATGGTTCTTTGTATTCAAATGATACAACATTTACTATATTTACAACTAATTCAGGTAGATGTTATCAAACTGCCAATTATTTTGCAAGAGGATTTTTAGGTGATGAATATTCAGAAGATAATGTTGAGTATGTTGTTGTTGATGAAGATAAAAAAATGGGTGGTAATTCAATAACTCCAAGATATGCATGTCAGTCATTAGATAATGTTAATAATGATCATATAAGTAATCAGTTTGATAAGAGTTATTTACAAGGTATATTGGATAGATGGTTAGTGGATAATCCTGGATTAAATTTAACTACTAATCAAGTGTCTTCATTGTTTTTATGGATTGCTTTTGAGCTTAACGTTAAAGGTTCATCACCGTTCGCTCCATTGTTTACAAATGAGGAATATATTAAAAATGGATATAGAAATGATTTGGTAAATTATTATTCAATAGGTCAGGGTAATAATTTAAGTATAGTCGTTGGTTCACCAATGGTCAAAGCATCATTAAAATTATTACAAGATCAAGATCAAAAAATCATTATAATGTTTACTCACGATACAGATATGGAATTCTACTTATCATCAATGGGATTAATCAATCCACCACAAGATTTGCCAACAGATCATATACCATTCCCAAATCCTTATAACGCAGCAGAATTATTCCCACAAGGTGGTAGAACATATTTAGAAAAATTAAAATGTGGGTCAAATGAATACGTTAGATTTATAATGAATGATGCAGTAGTTCCATTACCAGGTTGTCAAAATGGTGTTGGGTTCAGTTGTGAATTTCAAAATTTTACAAATTTGATTAATAAAAGATTGAACGGTGTTGATTATAAAACACAATGCAATGTTACTGGTCCTTCTGATTTGACTTTCTTTTGGGATTACAAAGAAAATAAATATGACGCTCCTTTAATAGATCAATAAATAATATAATCTGGTATTAAGTTTATACATTATTTTCGTTATCTGCTTCTATTTCTTTTACTTTTTCTTCTTTTTCTCCATCATCTTTTGATTTCTCCCAAGGTTTGACTCTTTGTTCCTTATTAGATTCAGATCCCTGATCTTTTAATACAGTATCTGGTATTTCTTTAATTCCAGGCACTGGTTTTCCCGACATGATTAATTCAGCTAATTCTTGATAATTTGATGAATATGGAGGATCATCTTTTACAGAAACATCCAGAATTTCTTCAATTTTATTATTTTTACTAAACTTATCACCATTATGTAGTTTCCAATCTTGAAAATCTTCTAAATTCAAAATATGACCCGTTTGTTGACAAAAAAAGAATGATTTTGCTTGGTTTATTAGTTGAGTTTGATCTAGTGATGATATTGTTGCTTGTGGATCTTGCTCTTTTAGGGTTTCTTTGTAAGACTCGAGGATTTCTGATAGACCTTGTTGAAATTCTGTGTTTGAGGCCCAATCATAATTTAAGTATTGTTTGTATACATCTTCTTGTGGATTTGACATTTTTTGATTAATATGGGGTAAATTCTATTAAAAAGTTTTGTTTACGTTTTTTTAATTTTTCATTTCATTTGATCTACAAATAATGCTAAATATTACAACAATTATCGTACTAGCGATACTACTACGTATTGGGTTCTTTCTATTTGGATTATATCAAGATGAATACATGCCTGTGAAATATACGGATATTGATTATATGGTTTTTACAGATGCTTCTAAATATGTTTATAATGGGGAATCGCCATACTTGAGGGAGACTTACAGATATACTCCTATACTAGCATGGATGATATTGCCTATCAATTGGGGTGGTCTGTGGTTTCATTTCGGTAAGATATTATTTATGTTGGGGGATTTAGTAACTGGGGTTATTATAATCAAATTGTTACAAAAGAGTAAGATTAGTAAAAATAAAGTGTTGATTTTAAGTTCTATATGGTTATTGAATCCAATGGTTATAACTATCAGTACTAGAGGATCATCAGAAAGTATATTGACTGTGATGATAATGTTATCGCTTAATTATTTAGCTGAGGAACGATTCAATTTAGCTGGGTTTTGGTTAGGTTTAGCTATTCACTTCAAGATTTATCCAATAATATATTTACCATCAGTTGCGTTATACTTGACAAAATATCAACCAACAATAAACAAACCAGTATTGAAGTTAATCACTTATAAAAATTTACAATTCATATTAGTGACCTTGCTAACTTTTGCAAGTCTAAATGGAATAATGTACTATATATATGGATATGAATTTATAGAACATTCATATTTATACCATATTACAAGAATAGATCATAGACATAATTTTTCAGTATACAACATTTTATTATATTATAAATCTGCATTACCTACATCAACAAATTTAGATATTGAAAAATTAGCATTTTTACCACAATTAATAATTTCAGCTATAATTATTCCATTATTGTTAGCTAAAAAAGATTTATTATCATGTTTATTTATTCAAACTTTTGCGTTCGTTACTTTTAATAAAGTTATTACATCTCAATATTTTATTTGGTTTTTGATCTTCTTACCACATTTTATATCTAGATCAAAATTAAGTTGGTACAATGGTTTATTCATATTAGGATTATGGGTGATGACTCAAGGTATTTGGTTATACAATGCTTATCAATTGGAATTTTTGGGTATAAATACTTTTGATTATAATTTACTTTATTCTTCAATTGTATTCTTTTTGAGTAATTGTTGGTGTATAAATCAATTCATAAGTAATTTGTAATATAGATAGGACAATATGTATATATTGTATAATAGACAGTATTGATAAGTTTTATGTTATGTTGCAAAATTTCGATCCATTTGGTAGTACTTTCGTCTGGGAATTTATTTCAGAAACATCGCGATATCAGTTTCATTTTTACAACCAAATTGAACTCATAAAAACTAAACACAACGAGTTAACCACAATTATGTCAAGACTAGAATTATACTCACCAGAAGGACTAAGGGTAGACGGAAGAAGATGGAATGAAATACGTCGATTCGAATGTAGAATAAATACACATCCAAATTCATCAGATGGTTCATCATATATTGAACAAGGTAATACAAAAGTAATATGTACAGTACAAGGACCTCAAGAACCAACAACAAGATCACAAAGAAACGAAGACAGAGCCACCATAGAAGTCAATCTTACAATAGCAAATTTTGCTACATTTGAAAGAAAGAAAAGATCTAAAAGTGAAAGAAGATTAATTGAATTAAAAACTACATTAGAAAGAACTTTTGAACAACTGATATTATTACATTTATATCCAAGAACTACAATAATAATAAATGTACAAGTACTAAGTCAAGATGGTGGAATGTTAGCAGCAATAACAAATTCAATAACATTAGCATTAGTTGATGCAGGAATATCAATGTATGATTATGTTAGTAGTATAAATTGTGGATTATATGATCAATCACCTATTTTAGATTTAAATAATTTAGAAGAAAATGATATGAGTAGTTTAACAATTGGAGTAATTGGGAAAAGTGAAAAATTAGCTTTATTATTACTAGAAGATAAAATGCCATTAGATAATTTGGAAAAAGTATTAAGTATTGGTATTGCTGGTGCTCATAGAATAAAAGATTTAATGGATATGGAAGTTAGAAAACATGGTAATTTAAGAGCTTCAAAATTGGTGAAATAAATGGAAAATGACCTAAAATTGTCACTAAGATAAAGTTATAAATATTATATTTCCGTAGCATGAATAAAAATAGCATATGAGCCACTAATAAAAGGCTTTTAAACTAAAATTAAAAAACGATATACTGTTGATCTTCTTAAATTGTGTTGATTAGTTTATACGAAGAGACCAAACCAAAGTTAATTCAAAATTCTGTCAAATGTCTAAAATTATAATTAAACATCTTATGGTAAATTGACTTTATTGACTTTATTATAATATTTATGTTCAATTTACCACATTTGGTAAGTAAAGAGAAAATTATTTGTTACACTTAAATTGAAAAATTTAATTATGTGTCCTTTTTTTTTAATTCTTTTTTTTTGACTTAATAATATTTGATCTGAAAAAATAATTTATAATTTAAATCAATTTATACTCCAAGTTTGATTTCATTTTCAACACACATCTTTTAATAATAACTATAAACTACTAATATAACCATCAATTAATTAAATCAAATAATAGCTATGTCGTATCGTGGACCAAATCAATTTCAAAATCAATTTCCACATCAACAAATACCACCTCATGCAAATATAGGACCAATATCATCAACAAAAACACCATATGAACAATTTGAATTATATAGTAAAAAAATAGAAGATTTAATTGATGAATATTTTAAACATTTAAAACCTTATGTACCAGCTATTGGTAGAGCATTTTTAGTTGCTACTTTTTATGAAGATACTATAAGAATTTTTACTCAATGGAATGAACAAGTTTATTATTTACATAATTATAGACATTATTGGAGATGGTTAACTATTGTTTTTTTAATTAATAATATGTTAATTATGTCGATTGGTTCAACTTTAGTTATAATTAGAAAAAAAATTAATATTGCTACTATTGCATTAATTGTTGTTGTTATTATTCAAGGTATTGCTTATGGTTTATTATTTGATACTCAATTTATATTAAGAAATTTAAGTGTTGTTGGTGGGTTGGTGTTGGCTTTTTCAGATACTATTATAAGAGATAAAAGATCATTAAATATGCCTGGTTTACCAATGTTGGATAATCAAGATAATAAAAAATATTTCTTATTAGCTGGTAGATTATTATTAGTATTATTGTTTTTAGGATTTGTTTTTTCATCAGATTGGTCAATTGGTAGATTATTTATTATATTAGTTGGATTTGTATCATGTACTTCAATAATTGTTGGTTATAAGACTAAATTTTCAGCAGCAATAATGTTAACTTTATTATTTATTTATAATTTATTCACTAATCAATTTTGGTTATATGATTCGAGAGATGCAAGAAGAGATTTCTTAAGATATGAATTTTTCCAAGTATTATCTATAGTTGGTGGATTATTATTGGTTGTTAATGCAGGTGCTGGTGAATTTTCAATTGACGAAAAAAAGAAAATCTACTAGATTAGTTTTTTATCGGAACTTGTATAAAATAAGATAAACTAAAAAGTATTAAAAAATTTATCAAATAATTCGAAGATTGTTTGGTTCGACGTAGATATCATTTAATGATTCTTCTCGAATAATCACTGTGAAATTAAATTGAAAAAACTCTGAAACATAATTCCGCTTGAACCGCTACCAAACTGCTTGTAGTGTCGCAGTAATTTTCAAGTGTCATTTTTTTCTCTTTTATCAAAATCCAAAAGTGAACAAAAAGTCAAAATCAACAATTTTCAGAACACAACTAATAATAATCCGAAATCAATCACTTTATAAATATCAATTCCTTCCAACCAACTCAATTACACACAAATCTCAATGGCAGATAAATTTCCAGAAATAGATACACCAGAACACAACGAAGATTTTGAATCTTCAGATTTTCTTTCAAGAGAAAAAGAATTGGTCGGTGATGAATTTAAAACTGATCAAGATAAAGTTTTAGAAGAAAGTGAAGATGAAGAAATAAATGAATTTAAAGAACAATTTCCCGAAGTTGAATCATCAAATAATCAAGATCAACTCCCTCAAAAGGATGAAAATTTAGAAGATGAAATTGAATTTGAAGGATTTGAATCAACACAACCATCAAAAGATTTATCACAATCTACTTCAATAAAAGAATGGAAACAAAGAAGAGATTTAGAAATTGAAGAAAGAGAAAAAATTAATTCACAAAAAAAGAAAGATATCATAAATAAAGCTAAACAAACAATAGATGATTTTTATGAAAATTATAATTCTAAAAAGGAAACAAGTTTTAAAAATATTGAAAAAGATCAAGAAAATTTTTTAAAGAAAAGGGATGAATTTTTAAAAAATGGTACTTTATGGGATAGAGTTAATGAATTGATTTCAAAAGTTGATAATATAAGTATTGAAGATAATAATAGAGATAAAACTAGATTTAAAGAGATTTTAACTAAATTGAAAGGAAAAGAAAACGTACCAGGAGCAGGTGGATATCAAGAATAAGAATATAAAAAAGTTATTAGTTTTATCAAATAGAGGTTATTAATACAAAACAATTATATTTCTTTTCAATCCATAACGAATTTAGCTAATTTTATAGCATAATCTTGTGATATTCTATCTTTATCAATATGACTTCTTTTTATAAAATCATAAAGATTCATCATTTTCCAAAATCCAAAACACATTAATAAAGTCTCTAATTGATTCCATACCGATAAATTGAGTTGTGAAAATATAGGATGATGAGATTTTGTTATCCTCCATTTTTGTAATACTATTGTTTTGAATAAGTAAATATTTAAATCATTAAAGAATTGTTTAGATAAGTATCGTACATGAGGTACTTCTTCTTCATAATCCTCTTGTTGTTTTGCGACTGTTTTGTTGTACCCAATATCTGGTATTACCTTTTTGGCATTTAGTATCATTGTAACTAATCCGGCTATGAATCCAATTAATTTAATGTAATTTTTAAATAATTGTTTTTGATTATTCAAATAAAAGAAATGTAGTTTCAAATTAGGTGTAGTATTCAAAATTTTAAAGATTGGTGAAGTTAAGCCTATTAATCCCATAGATATCAAATTTGGTAGATAAATGAAATTTATAATTGCATTAGATTTGTGGAAAATATAAACCAAGTAATTTTGAATTATTGCAGATTCTGTCTCTTTGTCTCTTTTTCCATATTTGATCTCATAAAATTTATCTAGTATTAATTCTTTAAATGACATGCCTGCTATTACTAATGCCATGACTAGATTTTGTAATGAACAAGTAACTAATAAATTCAACCAATTTAGATTTTTATAGTTGAACCCCAAAGTGAAATTTATCCATATCGGATTAAGTATATTTCGTTTAATAAATGGTGAAATATAACGTTGATTTAATTTATATTTAGTAGGTGTCAAATAATTACTTAGAATCTGAGCAAAAGTGCAGGAAATATAACAAATTCTTTATTATCATAAATTGTTCTTAACCACTTGTAATATGGTTTATTTTTATAATATGAAATTTTAAAGTATTTTGAAACATTAGGAACAACTAAAATTTGAGATTTTGAAGGAGGATTTAATTCACCATGATAATTTATTAAGAAAGATATTAATGCATAATCTTTTGGTATTGAATCATTCCCAACACTTGCAAAATATAAAAAAGTACATGTAATTAAATTTGATATCCTATCTATCGATAGTGAATTTTTGAAATAATGTGATGTCTTGTTTAAATGAGTTAAAATCTGTCGTATTGGTTTATTTAAACATATGAAGTTTGACCATTGTAATGGGTTAGGAACTCTCAAGATATAGAATATCACAGTCCATTTAATCCATTTTGTTAATGATGGATGTCTTTTTATAGTTTGTAAAAGTGTGGTTGGTATTTCTTTTTGAAGTTTTTCTTCTTCTTTTAATTCCAAATGTTCTAGATAATTGTATATACTATTTGACATTAAATCATTGATTGACATACTGAATCGAGTTTTGTTTTATACTTTTAACTTTTTCTGTTATTTTTATTGAGTTGTAATTATAATAAATTATTATTTTCTTATCATATGATTTGTTTATTATTTTTGTTTATCTTTTTTATAAAGATCTTCTAGAAAAATTGTTAGGGGGGAATTATTATTTGACAGATCTTTAAGCGGCTTTCATATGGTAGTTCTTACAATTAAATTAAAAGAGGAAACAAGAGAATAAAATAAAATAAACTATAAATTATTGAATTGATAACTTATCTTACTTTGAAACAAGATTAAAAATTATACTTTCCAACGATCAAATAATAATTTTTCACATTTATAATAAAGCTAAATCTTATCTTTGTATCAATCCAAACAATTGAAGCCATAATTAATAATATTGAATCAAAATGAGTGGGATAAATTCCTCCATTAACAACAATAATATTCAAAATACAACTACCAACAATCTCAATAAAACACCATCACCTGCAAAAGATACGGGTATACAGAGAAACAAAAGTATTCGTAATGGAACAGGACCAATTCAATTTAAAGTAAGAAGACCATCATCTACAAGTACACAAGAAAATAACACAAATGAATCAATTAAACCAAAAACAACCCCAGCCAAAGGTTTGAATATATTTGCAGTATCGCCAATAGGACAGAACAGTACAACTCCAAAAAATATAACAAACTCAAATTCAATCACAGAAAAAGTATCAGCACCAACTACTGTCCACCAAAATAACACCAACATAAACACTAGATCTAAATCACCAGATTCAAGATTTGACGTAATACTACCTTCAAAAGAAGAATTAAAAACAATGCACATAGATGATCAATTAAGAATATTAGCATTAAAAGAAATGATAATAGTACAAATAAAAGATGAAATATCTAATTTAAATTCAAATTTGAAAAAAAATGAAAATGAATTACATGAATTACGAGAAATTGTTCAAAAATCATTATATCAAGAAATAAGTGGAGCAGCAAGTAATAAAACCCTTAGTAGACAAAGAACAAACTCGAACCCTCGTGATCAAGCTATAGAAAGTATTAAAAATAAAAGAAGATCAAGTTCAAATGGATCTATACCTATTTATGAAGAAATTAAATCACAACAAGAACAACAACAAGAATCTCAAAAATCAAAATTATGGAGTGGATTATCTAAACCTTTTAATTTATTACAACAATTTGATACATTATTACAAAATGAATTTGAAAGATCATTAACTTTAGATTCTCGTACCAATTATAATGCAGAACAACAACAACAACAACAAAGACAACATAATTCTAGAAAATCAGAAGATTCAATAAATAGTATAGGTTCAATTACTTCACCACTACGATCCAAAAGTCAAACTTTGTCAGAATATAGAAATAGTCATGATAGAAAATCAGATGATATGATTCAAACTGTGTCTTCTTCAATATGGTCATTTGTAAATGATGTAAAAGCAAACGTACTATCTTCTCTTAATGAAGAAGAAAATTATCAAGATTTTTCAGATATTATTGATGATACTAATGAAGATGATGAAAAAATAGATTTATCTATATATAAAAATTAATAAATCTAATATTAATATTTTATTATCAAATTTATAGATTTTTCAATCCCTTTATAATATCTTTTTGATTTTCATTTATTTCTTTATTATCACCACCATCAATCATTCTTAAATCTTTTAACATTATATCTTTTAATTTATCAAAATAAACATCTTGTAAAATATTTCTAATATTATATTCTGATTTTTCAACTAATTGGCCAATATTAATTAAATGATTAGTTTCTAAATTAATACCACCGTTTAAATCAATACTTATAAAATTTTCAAATTGACGAGTTAAATTCCCACTTAAATTTAATGATGTTTGGGATGATAAATCTAATATAACTGATGTTGTTAATTTATAATTTATTTTGGTGGTGGTTTCTGGTATAACTTCTAATACATGAATTGAATCCCATTTACCTGATTTATCATTTGTTTGTTTTTTAAATAATATAACTCCTGCAAATCCATCTTCTAAATCCCCCACTTCATCTGATGTATCCCAAAAATATACAGAAGATAATCCAGAACCTTCATAATATAAATCTCTATATATATCAAATGCATCGTTAGCTTTTATTTCTAATTGTCTTAAAATGGAACTCGGAAATGGTTGATCATCATCTTCTTCTTCTGTTTCGGGATAATATTTATTTGACCAAGGTGATCGATAACTATCACCATCTCTATTATAATCACAACATAAATATTCTTTTCCTGTACTACTACATTTATTTATAGTAAGTGGTACATCAACTGATGATAATAAATCTTCAACAATTTCTGTATCTTCATCTAATTGTGATGATTGTAGGATTGAACATATGTTTGTTAGGTTTTGTTGAATCAATTGAGGATCTAACCTTCTTAATAAGTTTAATGATGCATCGAATTTATTATCTGACATTTTTTGAAATTGTGGTAGGTTAGTTTCTAATTCGATATTCGATTTGAGTTGTCAATTTTGTTCGATCAATATTCGTAATTTAATTTATTACGTTTGTTACGCAAAACCGATGCTACCAACTATATTTTAGTTCCGGATATTGAATAAATCTTTTGCAGCAATTTAAAGTTTACTATCAAAGATATATTTTTAAGGAGAATTTCATACTTGCAATTCAAAACTACAGGAATCTACAAATTAAGAAAGTACTTAAATTTTTTACTGAAAAATGTCTATTAAAATCAAACCACACTATAAAAAAAAAATCAATAATATCATTGAAAAAAAGATCAAATTGACTAAATTCAAAAAATATTAAATAATTTTCAAACTTATAAAAAAATAATAAAAAAATATAAAAAATAATGAACTAGATTAATGATAAATTATAAAAAAAATATTAAATGTAAATGCTTTCCGTGAATATTAAAAAAATGAAGAAAAATCTAAAATCATGAAATCACCCTTTTGAAAAAAAATTTCTAACTCATAGTATAAGTAACACCTTTTGAAGGAGCATATAATATAATACCATTTAATAAACCAGCAATTAATCCAGCCATTGGTAATGTAAAAATCCAACCTAAATAACACCAAGCAACCATTCTCCAATTAACAGTTTTCCATTCTTTATTACATAAACCAACAAAAACAGTAGCACCAACTGCTGATTGAGTTGTTGAAACTGGAATAGCTAATTGAGTAGCCATTACAGTTGTTACAGCAGCACCTAATTCAATTGAAAAACCTCTTGCTGGTGATTGTAAAATTAATTTATTACCTAAATTAGCCATAATTCTATAACCAAAAGTCCATAAACCAATAACTAATGCTGATGCAGCATAACAAAGAACCCAAACTGGAACTTCAGCTTTTTTTGCAGTTGTATTTGTAGTCCAAACTAAATAAACAGTAGCTAATGGACCAGTAGCATTAGCAATATCATTAGCACCATGAGCAAAAGACATAGTACATGCAGTAATAACTTGTAATAATGAATACATGAATTCAATTTTATTATCATAATATTTTGAAGCAGTATGCATTTTATGTAAATCACCAGCTAACATATCTTTTGAATTTGCTTGATCTGAAATAATATCTTGTCTAACACCATGAGTTGCAATTAAAAATATACATAATGGCCAATTTTTTGGTGATGCTTTTATTAATTTTCCATATTCTTTAAAAGTTTTTGGTAATTTTTCAAATGATGATCTATTATCTTTAATTTCTGATTCAGTTTTAACTAATTTATTATCTTGAACATTAATTGATTGTGATTTTTCAATATCTGAATTATCATCAGTTTTTCTATCAACAGAATCTGAATCATTAACATTATTAGTTGTAGTATTAGTATTAATAGCGTTTCCATCTCTATCAAGAACATTTCCTGATTCATCATATCTTCTACCTTCATAATAATCTAAAGTTAAATTATGACCTTCAGGCATTGGTGGAATATTATCAGTTGATTTAAACCAATAAATTGGACCTCTAAAAATATCATACCATTTTAATGTCCAATCTTCATGAACTAATTTTCTTCTATAATATGGGAATGCAAAAATTACATATACAGCAAATGCAACAGCACCAGTACCAAATATAGCTCCACAAATAGTTCTAGTACCTAAAGAACCTAAACCTAATTTTGGTGAACCTTTCCAAACAATTAACATAGTTAAAATTGAAAAAGCAACATAAACTAAAATTGGAACTAATAACATAGCATTTCTTAAAGAAGTTCTTGGATTTTTAACTTCTAAAACAACAAATTTTGAAATTAAAAATACAGCAGATGCAAATATACCTGCAATACATGGTGCAATAAACCATGAAGCAATAATTTGTGAAACACCATTCCAACCCCAATGAATATTTTGACCACCTTTAGCAGCAATAGCAGCACCAATAACAGCACCAACAATAGAATGAGTAGTTGAAACTGGCATACCAATTGAAGTAGCAATAGTTAACCAAGTTGATGAACCAACTAATGCAGTAGCCATAGTTAACATTAAAACTGCAGGTTCACCAGAAAATACATCAATATCAACAATTTTATTTCTAATAGTATCTGAAACTCTTGAACCAACTAATACTGCACCTAAAAATTCCATAATAGCAGCTAAAATCATTGCTTGCCAATATTTTAAAGATCTTGATGATACTGATGTAGAAAAAGAATTTGCAACATCATTTGCACCAATATTCCAAGCATCTAAAAATGCAAAAATCATCGCAATTGCGAAAATATAATCAAATTGATGTAAAGCCATTTTTTGTAGTGAGGGATTTGTTGTTTGTAAAAAGGTTTTAGCTTTTTAATATGAATATATGACTTTGTTGTTGTAATTTGATTTAATTGATGATTAATAAACAATGAAGAAATAAAAAAGGAAAGAAAAGAATTATGAAAAATTAAATTTTAAAAGATAATTAATGATATATTTATAATGATGTTGAAAAATTTAATAAAATAAAATAAAATCAATATTATTTTAAATTGTTGCAAAATAATATTTTATCAATACGGAACATTAAAAATTAAGTTAGAAATAAAAAAAAAAAGAAAAAAATAAAAAAATAAAAATTTAAAATACCAAGACTTTTTAAATTATTATAATTAATTATTTTTTATTTATATGAGTATACAATCAATAGATTATAGAATTGAAAGGTTAGATAGTTAAAGTTCAATTGATGGGGTATTTTTGATTGTTATCTTGAAATTGAATGATTACTTATTAAAATATTACATCAAAAACTTCAAATATTACATTATTAAAGAATTGGTAGTGGTTATTCAATCAATGTTTCATATATTTAATATTTCTGTTACGAAACATAAAATTAATTTTCGCAGTCAAAATGAAAAAAATAAAAATAAAAAAATAAAAAAATAAAAAAATGCCAAGTAAACAAAAATAAATATCAAAAATTATAATTATTTTCTTGGATTGAAGTTTAAAATAAATAATTAAAGAAAGTAGCCCACGATGTCAAAACTGCAAACTAAGCATTAAAGGACCATTATTCCTTTAAGCAATTTCATCTTCTTGATCTAAAGTTTTTTTTTATAAATCGAATCGATAATCAAACTACATTAATTTTGACAAGAAAAAAAAAGCATGAAATCTTACTCTCACAAGTTAATAACCTTTTGATCTTAAAAAGGTGACGTTTGATTAAATTTTTTATACAATATATAAACCTGTCATTTGAGATAAAACTATTATAGAAAAAAAAGTTGTAGTAAAATAAAAAGAGGAAACCGTATAGAAAATTTCAATGTCACAGTAAGACATCAATATATTGCTGGAAAAAATGAATTTAAGAATAGATCGTAAGACTATAACCTGTCAATAAATTGAAGGCTTAAACATTATTAAATTTTTCAAATAATTTTAAATTACGGGGTAAAAAAGAATCCAAAATCTATAATCTATGTGTATTCAAACGATACTAGATTTTAGAAAAAGGCTAAACAAACAATCATTAAAGTAATTGCAGATACGTTTAAAACTTAAGATTTTTTAAAATAGATTTTAGTATAGTAAATTAAAATTTAATTAAAGGGATAAAAAGATTGTTATGTTACTAATGATAAAATATTTTTAATTGTTTGATAATTAATATTTTAATTGTGAAAATCTGAGACCCACGTTTATGGTAGTCACACTACTTTTTTATAAATTTTCAAATTTTAAAATTTGCAACCATTTTTTTTTTAATTTTTAATAATTTTTATTTTTTAATTTTATTTTGTGTCAATTTTTTATTATTTTAAAGATCTATCATTTAAATAAAATAAAAAATTATAACTACAATAATCACCAAACTTATGATTAATTATATAATTCTTATAATTTGTACCTTAATTATTATAATTTTGACTGTCATATTACACGTTTTACTATTCTATTAATTAAGAAAAAAATAATAATTAATTACTTAGTAGTGATCCATTAAGCCTTTCAAGTGTTGCCTTTTAATTAAGAGAAAAAAACAATCTGAAATATAATAATTGCGAAACATGATTTATACAATTAGAATAAATTGAAACACAACTAGCTTAAAGGCATGATTAGATTGCAACCATAATTAAATCTTAACAATTTGACTCTTTAATCCTACATTTGCAAAACCTTTACTACTTTAAAGAAGTAGAAATAAATCGATTATTAATTTTACTAAAGTCAAGTTTTACATTCCTTTTGACATTTTAAATATTAATAACTAAAGTTTCGTATATACTAAATAATTTATTTACAAATTTTTAAAAAACCTTAAATCCAATTTATAAGTTTTTAATTCACAAAGATAAAGGCGTATAAGCCATTTTATTGTTTAATTCAAGCTTAACATACTCTGTTATAGATTTCATAAAGTTAATTGATCGTAAGACCAATTAACTAATCAAGTAAAATTTTAAACTAAATTATAACGTTTTTTAGATTTAAGATTTTGGAGATTATATAAAAAAGTTCTACCGTAAATTTACAACATTATGAAACTTTAAAACTTTAAAGCCAAAAAAGAAAAGTACCAGCTAATTTGAAACTTGACAAGATAATATTCAATTTGAATTAACTTGATTGATTGAAATCTTGTAAATTAAGGTTGATCCCGTTAAGAATTTTACAAATTTTTTGAAAGATTATTTTTGCGTTTGATATTCTTTTTCTTTTTTTTTCTTGGTTTTAGCCACATGGGTTGAACAAAATCTTGAGGGAAAAAAAAAACACCAGAAACATGTGTTTTATTCTTTGGTGATTTAATCATGCATTGACGGGAACTCAACTTACATTAACACCAAAAGCATAAACGATTGTAACTCTAGAATATAGAACTAATCAATCAATTGTTTTGTTTTTTTTTACAATATTTTTGCTTGTATAACTTCATAAAACCTTAAATTTCATTAAATTTTTTGCGTAATTGTTTTAGATTATCAACTAAACATAGTAAAACCTAAAAAAGTATAAACTATCAATTTAATTGTGAAGAGTTCATGAAAATGAGAAGGCTGAACAACAAAATACACTAAAACTCGAATTTTGTTTTCAAATATTCTGTAATTCAATCTCTCAAAAGATTTGTATCGCAAAGAGCTTTGAATTCTTTGTTACCCTAGTACAACTTTTGCAACTAGTTGTACTTTTTGTGAACTATATTAAAATGAATATCAACAACGTGAGACCAATTTATCACCACGTTCTTCAACCTGCTTTTCAAATCATTTGCGCTGAGAAAGTTCAAAACTAAGAAAAAGATATTAAATATCACCATCATCTTACCCCGCCTCTTTCACTAATCTTTCTTCCTATTGTCTTACGTAGAAATTTACACTTATACACCCACATCAACCACATTGTTTGATTGTCTATTGTTTTATTGAATGAATGCAATTAATTTATATTCTTTCGTTTAGGTTTGAATTTTCTATTGTTTCTTTTTTTTCATAGCTTTTCTTGGAATTTTGTAAATCTCATATTTCCAAAACATAAGAGATTTATTAAAACCCTTGGTGCATGCGTTTTGCAAGGCTTTGAAATTCAAGATCACAGAATGATTTCATATTCAGAAGGTTTCTCATATAAAATAATATAGAGTTTGGGAAGACATTAAATTCCTTGGAAATTAACTGATTGATGAGTTGTAGATGAATAGCGTAAGATGAGGTGTAATTTCAAAAGAGCTCTATGATGTTAACTTCGTAATAGTAGAAAGTTATTGTTCTATACGTTTTTGAGTAGTTCATTACTATACGTTTTTACCAATTACGAAACCTTAATCAGTTCTCAGAGAATAGTTATCGAAAAAGAAAAGGACTTTGTAAAAATAAAGAATATTAAAAAAACTCAGAAATTCTCTTGGAGAGTGATATTGTTCACGAGCTAGATATATGTTGTCATTCAAATTTAATGCTTAAAATGTTATATAGGATTCCTTTTTTTCTATCAAATCTTTTTCTAAAAATTTTGTTAAAAAATTTTGTTGAAAACTTTTGTTACAAAATTCCTACCAAATTCTCGAAAATTTTAAATTACTATTTTATCTGATGCACATGGTCTGTGTTGGGATACGTTAAAGGGCTGGTAAATTTCTCCTAGTTAATTGTGATTCTGTTGAATATTTAAATTGAACAATTTTTATTTCATAACTGTTTTTCCAACTAGAAGACCCAAATTCAGTCGTTAATTACTTTCAATTAATTATCAATTAATTTCGCTTAGTTAAATAAAAGTTATGTATAGACTTGTGTGACTTGTGTTTGTGTAAAAATTATTATAATTTAGTTTAATTTCTCGTAAATTTAAAATAAGGTTTTGTGTCAATGAACACAAAAATGTGTCAAAAAAAAAAAAAATAATTAATTAAGAAAAATAAGAGAGCGGAAAATAAAAACTAGAAAAGCTATTACTAAATGTAACATTTATGAGTTTACATTTGATTTTTCAATTCAGTTTACAATCTTTTTGAATCTAGTAATGAGACCTCTACTTTTGTCCATGAGGCAATTTAAAGTTTGTAAATTTTATACTAAATCTTAATTATAAGTCGGAATAACCATTTAAGAATTTCTTTTCTTTGATCGGATAAACTCGTTAGCTTAAAGTTTTAGATCTTTCTCACGTCTCAGTTAAACTTATCACACTTTTCAAGTAATTTTCTTGATAAAATGCTCTATATGTTTTTCGAAATAAGTCTATATTGATTATTTTCCGTTTTCTTAGTGACCAAGACTTTAACACCGTGTCTAAATAACGCTAGAAGTCGAGGAGTTGACAAGTTTGACAAATTCAATAAAATTTCTTCAAATTTTTCACTATTTTTGAAAACGAAATTTTAAAGAAAAGATAGACAAAAACGTAATTTTAATGGATATGAGTGAGTTACGAATATTTTTGAGTTAATCAAAAGGATACTTAAACTTGAGATAAGAAACTCTCTCATATTGAAATAATTTGTTGATTATAAAAAATAATTACATCATAGTTGAATTCACATACTTACAAAAAATTAATGTTAAGCAAATTAATTTCAAAGCAACAGAAAAAAAAAAGATATCGCATGAACAAAAATAATAGATTACCAAGCTACAAATATCATAGATTATACACAAGATACACATACCACTTAGACATTAAGAAATAGTCACGTTCGCTTTATGTTTTATAGACTAAATATTACATTATGATCACTCGAAGTTTAAGAAGAACACTAGCAACAACTACCACTACAACCTCATCATCATCAACACCATCCAGACTCAGACCAACTCCACCGAAAAAGACATCAAAATCACAGGCCAAAAAATATTCATTTTATGACTTAGTATTAAGAACCCCATCACATCCTCAACATCCAATAGAAGCCTCATTAATGACTACAGATGAATTAAGTAAATTAAAAGCTCATACTAAAACTCGTTTTGAAGGTAATTATTCAATAGATACTTCAATAACACCAGAAGAAAGAATACGTAAAGTATTTGGAGGTAGGATAAAGGGAGAAGATCGTAAATCATCAAGTAGAATTATTCGTGGAGAACCTCGTATAATTGCAGGAATAACAGTACCTTCAAGACCACCAGAACCTGATAATTGTTGTATGAGTGGTTGTATAAATTGTGTATGGGAATTATTTGAAGAAGATTTAAAAGAATGGAATGAAAAAAGACAAAAAGCTGCTTCATTACTCAAGAAAAATGGTGGTAGATGGCCTGAAAATTTTAATCCACCTTTAAAATATTTAAATAAAGAAAATTATCCAAAACTGTTAGCTAATAAATCTCAATATGAAGATGCTTTAAAAACTGATGAAGATGAAAGTTGGGGTGATGTACCTGTTTCTATTCGAGTATTTACTGAAGTTGAGAAAAAATTAAAAATGAAACATAAACAGCAACAACAACAACAACAAGAATCAAATAATTAGATTAAATTTAGAATTACATTTAAAAGAATTGGATACTTAACTTATTTATTAAAATAAAAAACCTATATTACAACCCGTTCTTCACTCCTTCTCTTTTTAATCAATATCAATCCCCTTAGATTTATAAAATGCCTTAGCTTCTTCAATTTGAATTTTCAATTCTTCATATTTTTCTTTCTTATCTTTAAATGTGAATATGCCCCAACCTAAAGTAAATAAAGCATAAGAACCAAACGAAACTAATGCCCAAAATGGTAAAAATGGTAAAATTTCATAATAAAATATTGTAGGTGATGGAATTAATTGAGTGTATAAAGCAAAATAAATTGATGATAATGCAAATATTGTTAATGCTGTTTCTGATGCTTTTGTCATTGTGAAATGAATATATATAATTGATGTGGTTCAATGAATTGGTTAATTGATGATGTATGTTTTGTAATACGTTTCGATTTTTCAAATAATTTGACGTGTATTTTTTTAAATCATTTGTGTCACTTTTATTATCTTGATGACACGACAATAATTTTTTATACAATACAACTAAAAATCAGCATAATGTTACAGGAACCGTCTACAATCTCAAATCTTTTGTCTAAAAACTAACTTGTATATTAACTTTTCTATTCAAATAATTTTTCCCCATTTTTTAGTCCTAAAATATATCTTACATCAATACATAAACTTAAACTATACAATAATGGTAATAAATTTAATAAATCACGATCATTTGAATCATTTATCCAACCTTCTATACTTACTGCATTTTCTTCATGTAATGCATAACTAATTGGTGAATTATCTAATATCATTACATTTTTCAATTCATCATCTTTAATATACTTGCTTAAATCTTTGATGTAACCTACCCCTGGTCTATATGAACAATCTGATCTATAGTATCTCTTAGTGAATATTGTTGGTTTTGAGTAATTGGAAGATGTTAATTCTTTAGGAGATTGTGATATATCATATTTTTGTTTTTTAAGTTGATCTAATATTTCTTCTTCTAACCAATTTATAATTGGATCTGCGTATTCCTTAACACTTGCTGTAAATATTTGTAATTCAAACCATTTAAAAATTTCACTTAAAAAATAATCACAGTAAGGACGTTTGTGAACGTAATATAATGATGATATGTTATTCAATCTTATTTCTATCATTTTAGATTGTGTTGCTGGATTAAATGACCTTGGTGAACCTCTTGATAATGAATGAATTAAAGTTTCATCAAGATCTAATATAAGAATTTTCTTTTTACGTTTCTTTTGTGGATTTCTTGATAATGGATATAATCTTTGAGGTGGTGGAATCATATATTTTGTAAATGAAGTTGGTGATTTTATTTCATTTGCTATTATATTATCTTGTTTAATTTGTAATATTTTTTCATCTTCATAATCATTATATTGGTCATTACTTTTAGGTGATTCTGGTGTTGATTGTTTTTGATTTTGTTGTTTTGTTTCTTTTGATGGTTTTTCTCTAGTTACTAATGGATCATCTTCTACGTCACTTGAATCAAATTCTCCGATTTTTTCATCATATATTGGATTTTGTATATTTGATTTTGTTCCAAATCCTAAAGAATTTTTTAATAATGTGAATGGAAATATTATGATATTAATTATTATGATTATTGGTTTTATTATAAGGTAATTTGGGAAGAAATATATGATTTTCCAAATTGTTAAAAAGAATGATAAAATTGTTGATTGTGATGTTGTGGTTTGTGAAGTTTGAGTATCGTCTACTTCATCTTGATCTGTTAGATTTACTTCATCTTTATTTTCTCCGTCTAGTTCCTCTAATTCTTCATCAACATTTATCTCCGTTGATTTTGGTAATTTACATGGTCCTTTTATTGTATTATTCTCTACAATTTTCTGAGTATCTTCATCTATATTGTCTATAAGTGAATCTTGATTACTTTGTGATTGTGGTTGTAGTGATTCCTCTATTTTTTCAGGTTGTTGTTCATCATCTTGTAATTGATCATCAGTTGATGTTAACTCAAAATCTGATTTACCAGGTAGTATATTATCAAAAGAATTTACAATTAGCCTGATTGAATTCATTTTTTAAGAATTTCAATGTTTATAATTGTCTTACTGTTATTCTAAAAATCTGTAATCTAATAAGTTTTTGTTGTATAACGAATTATATATTGAACATGTGGGTTTAAATCAATTTTGCTATGCTTAATAATTTTGAGTTATTAAAAAATATGTGATGTAATAAATAAAATAAATATAAACAATGAATACAGAAATCAAATGAAACTTTTTTTAAATGAAATTAATGTTATGTGAATGATGAATGAAAAGATGTTGTTGTTGTTGTTGTTGTCGTTGTTGTTGTAAAATATCTAAATATAATTGATGAGAATTTACGAAATATTTAAATATAAGTAATAATAAAATTAATTGCTGCTTATTGTTTTTCTAAATTCTGATTAATTATTATTTTATTTTCTCTCGCTTTCTCTCTTTATTTTTATTAATAAATGAATTAGTGCTTTGTTACTAATGATTGAATGAATTTGTATGTTAATAAATGAATGAATTAAGTAAGAACGAATGTCAATTCAAATTGAAAAATTAATCACTGAAACCAAGTTCACCTTTGAATGACTTATAACATAAATTTTCTAAATAATTACATCCAACAAAATAAATTATTTTTTTGTTGGAGATAATCACACAAAATTATATACCTTTGACAAATAGGAATTATCCAGTTTTAAAAGGTTTTGGTAGCTGCCAAATAAATTAAAAGTAATACCCCTTCTGTTTAACTGAGACTATTTATAACCAGAACGGATCTTTGGCTCAAGCTAACTATTTGTTAATTGACTTAATTTTATAAAGCAAATTATTTGCTACACTGGTCAATAGACAAAACAGCTAGGTGCTTTTTTTGAATCTTAAGGGGAGGGGTATTAAAAAGGATATGGTAGCATAACCAAGATCCTTGTTTCAAAGGCTGAAAAGCACTTCTATACATTAAAAAATAATTTTTTAAACGAGAGGTTGTTAATTATGTTGGGACAAAATATAATAAATTTAGTATCTGGTTGTAATTTACAACATTAACAAACATTTTGAATTAAAGAAATTATAATAATTTCTAAAATCTTTTACTTTAAAGATCTCATCTCGTTTTAAGCCAGCTGTTCTTGTTTTTTCAACCTCAATGAAACACTTTGGAAACCTAAAAAATTAATGCACAGTGTTAAACGGTCCTGATTATTAACTTAAATGACTGCGGAAATTGGTGATCATTTTGATTTTTTTTTGGGACGTCATTATTTGTTGAACCGCTTGATTCCAGATTTATGTATCAATGAAAACTCTGAAGTGGGTTACTTTAGAAGATCTAATCAGCTTATATCAAACTTTGAAAAAGCTGTGAGAACTTCATAGATTGAAAACTTATCCAATTACTAAGAGCTGATCTCTGTTAAATCAATATTGACTTCACCATTAATTAAACTTAAACTCGATCAAAAATTCGTAAACTCGATAATAAATCAATAAACACATCTATAGTATCAGAGATAAACTCTCACAATCTGGAAATCAAAACAGTCATCAAAAGCAAAATTTAAAAAAACTGATCAATTAAAAAACGTTTTCTATAGGTTAGTTCTGGAACGTGGGGAAATCAAAAAAAAAATAAAGTTACTATTTAAGGCTAGTGAGTAATAAATTCTCGGAAAATTATTTTATACCAATTCGATGTTCGATGGTTACGCGACCGCCAGGCTCAGTAACCATTACATAACTCATGGTTATATAAAAGAAGCTTTTTTAGTAATGTGGGGTCGAAAAAGTATTGATTCAACTAATACTTTTTATTAGTTATGTAATTTTCAGATCTTGTAAACTCAACGGATTACAGATCTCGCAAAAAGAAGTAGTTTCTATTTTTAGGTTTGGTTTTGACAGGTTGTTCAATTTTGTGTTACATTTGGGATTTTTTACTTCATTGGGATTATGGTTGCAAAATCAACAAATGTACAAAACAGCTAAAGTGAAAAACCAACAGAATTCTTTTTCTGTTAATTCGCTTGGTTCCTTACTTTATTCTTCATAATTTTGTATTTCATTATTTGAACTATATATAACTAATCAAAGACCAGCGAAAGTGAGTTGTACTTGACCACCCCAGAACATTTCTTGACATGGTATTTCTTTCTCTAATTCTTTTAAATCTTCCTTTTTAGCAGGTGATATAATTACTAAACCTTGAGATAATGTTAATGTTTTACCTGTTAAATTTGTAGTTCCAGCAACATGAGAAATTCTAGAATTCATAAAAGCAGCTTCATTAGTTAACATTCTATTTACCCAAGAATCATTCATTGCATGATTTACATCATAATAATATCTCATAAATCTCCATGTTTGAGTTTGGATATTTAAAACTGCTATTCTCATTGTATTCGTGTTGTTTGTAATTAATGGTAATTTACTGAATCTAGAAACATCATATTTATCTGATACGTAAGGAGTTTTATCTAAAAATCTTAAATGATCTTGTTTAACACCACCAACAAAGAATAAATATCCTCTTTCTTCATTTTGATAATATAAACATGTATGATGACAACATCTTAATTCTGCTTCTTTTAATTCTGGGTCAGCAACAACATTATCCATCGTAAATTCAGTTGCATCTTCATCTTCCCCTGGTTTTATTGGTTTATTAAAATAATCATATGTATATGTAGTAACTTTTTCCCATTTACAAGTTTCAAAAATAAATCTATAGAAATCACTGAAAAATTCATTATTTTCATTACAACCTCCCTGAATCATCATTGTTCTTTTTTTGAAAAAAGATTGAATTTGTAATGGTTCTTCTTCTTGCATTATAACACTTGGAGCTCCACCGATTTGAAATGAGCCCGAACTTCCACTAATACTTAAATCTGGAGATGCTGCTCTTGGTGGAATTTGTTGTTCATCAAGTCCTGATACATCCAACAAGCAACCTTCATCTAATCCTCTTGTATAATCTATCATTATATGTGCAAAATATCCTCTTGGACTTGGCCAATATTCATCTTCTTGTAAAATTATATCACAAGTTTCTGGATTTGATCCAACTCTTGAAACTATACCAGTTGATAAAAATGATATAATATTTATTATTGTATGTTCTTCTTTTGTTGAGATATCTATTTTCAATAAATCATTATTTGCTTTAAAATGGCGTATACCTTTTTCATCTGGTATTTCATCTAATACGAATCCACCAAATACGAAAACTGATACACCAGATAGTGAATTTGAATCAACAAATAATGGATTGGGTGATTTTGACCTTGTTGTAAAACTATCTTCAAGTGGTTGATCTTCATTATGTGGTGAATGATTTTTGGATTCATTTGCATGATCTGTTTTAACAAATTCTATAACATCTTTATTTGGTGAAGATCTTCCACTATTGTCTTGTCTGAATTTATTTTGATTATAAAGTAATGGTGTAATTGGTCTTGCTGAGAAAACTGGTGAAGTAATAGGTGATTGAGCAGCCAAAGTTGGTGTGGGAACGATTGGTGTAGTTAAATTGTTATTATTATTACTACCAGTAGTAGATACAGATGGTTGTTGTGAATGTGAATGAGGTGTTGGATGAGCGGTTGTTGTTGTGCTAGTTGTACCTTGAGATATGACTGAAGCACCACCAGAATTATTATAGTTTGATTGTGTTGGAGCTGGTGCAGCATTTAAAACAGGCGATACAGCTCTACTACTTCCACCAGAGCTATTATTAGTTGAATTTGATCTTTTTTCTCTAACTTTTTGGGAGTATGTGTTTTTCAAATTTGTTCGATGAAACTTATTCTTAAATTTATCCATTTTGGAGGAACTTGATGATGATGAAGTTTTAGGTTCAGGAAAAGAACCAGTAGATTGTGATGTAACAATTTTATGCAATTTGGGTTTGATTTTTTCATCATCAGTAGGTTGTTGTGATTGTGGGGGTATATGTTGTGATTGAGAATCTTCTTCTCTACTAAAAATTGGTGAATCTCTACCAGCTTTATTTCTATTTGTTGTTTGTTTTGTTATGGGTGAGTTATTTGATTGATCTCGTGAATTATTTGATTGATCTCTTGCTTCTGAATTTGATGGCAGGGAAACTCTTTGATCAAATATTTTTTCCTTTTCAGCATTTTGTAAATCATAAATATTAGAACATATTCCCAGTCCAATTCTACCTACATTATTAATTTTTTCACTTTTTTCTAATGCTATTTTAGTAAATTTCAAAGTTATTGTATCTAATATATAACCATCTTCATTCATTACTATTTTTTTCTTAATTATCCATTTATCTATATTTCGATGATATTTTTTTGATATATCTTCAATATGAAATCCACCATAAAAGAAATAATGTCTTGGAGATATTTGTGTTGATATCATTGACAATAAATGGCCAGGAAAATCACCTAAATTTGAGGTATCCATATATGTTACTGTACCTCTTATAGCATTATAAGTAATAAAATGAGGATTTGGTTGTAAAAAGGGACTAGTTAACATTTTAGAATCAACAAATGGTGGTACTTTATATGGAAAATATATTGATAACTTTTTAAGGTGTGTTTCAGAAGTTATACCAAGATGATTAAAAGTTGAAAATTTTGTTACAAATAATCCTCCAAATATATAACTTACTTCATCAATTGCAAAAAGATTTTGGAAACAAACTTTTGGAACATCAGACATTAATTTTAATTTCCTTTTATCATTTCTTATTGAATTTGGTATATTAAATGAAACTTTTGGTGTAGTAATATAACCAGAAAATGCATCAATTTTTTCTTCAGCAGCTGATAATAATTGTTTTTTTTTAATTTTTAATTCTTCTGTTTCAATTGGTGGTATAATTTCTGAAACATTTAAATCTATTCTACCGAAAGCTGAATGTTCAATTTCTCTTAAGTTAAAATTTGGTCGAAATACAAATTGTGAATCTCTTTCATTTTCATTAAAATTTATTTTTGTTGATGTTTCAGTTGATAAACTATAATTTATGAGACTATAAGGTACTGCATAATCATTCAACCAACCTTTTCCATCAGTTTGTTCTAATGAGAAGTAATCATCGATATTACCTTCTATATTATCATATTGTTGAGTATTATTTATTTTATTTGAAGTATTTGGTGATATTGGAGCTGAATAATTTAGTGATGGTTGTAGTCGTTCTTCATTTTGGTAATTATTATTATTAGTATTATTATTATTATTATCGTTATATTGAAATGAATCAGTAGAAGTTGTTTCTACATTTGATAATATTGATGTCATTGGTTATTTAAGTATTAAACATTTTTATATATGTTGTTAAAGTCATGTAATAATAAATTTAACGTTTTACAACCAAAAATTTAAAAATTATAATAATATTTGTAAACAATATTTTTTATCATAGAAGAAAAAAAGAAAGATTATGATACTCTAAATTGGGAATATTTGGGGTAATACGAGAGAAAGTCAATAGTTACAATTAATCTTTAGATCGAATGAATTAAAAAGTAATGTAACATAATTTTATTGATTATTGATGATATATAACAATTTACCAAGTTCAAGTATAATCAAAGTTAGTCATTGCTAAGAATACTTTGATTTATAATAAAAGTTAAAAATTATTAAACTTAATTTAATATTGAATAAATTTTAAAATCTCTTCATAAATTTATTATATATGTAAATGTTGTCACATTTGTAATTTTTAAGACACGGCATACAGAATCATATATTTTTTACGAGTATGTATTACTAAAATAATTATTAATTTGTACATAATTATAATAATAATAATAATAATATTTTAAAATTGCAACCATCTTTATCTTTTATCTATAAGAACATATGATGAATGATAATATAACTTTACATAATGAATTAGAAGGATCAGTTAAAATAATAGATGATGATTTAGAAGATGATGAATTTACAATAGATTTAGATAAAGTTGGTCGACTAAATTTTTTAGATAAATTCAATTTTAATTTACCAAATTTATCAAATTTACCAAACCTACCCAACCTTACAAATATATCAAATTTATCAAGTATTTCTAATTTCTCCAATATTACAAACTTATCAAATGAAATTGGGAAACAATTGGATAAGTATAAATCCATATATAGAAGTTATGCAGATGATGAAGAAAGTAGATTACATATGTTAGATTCACTTAAATCAATACTAGAAACCAAAATCCAATTAAAACAATTTTCAAATGATTTAACTGAAGTTGTTCATAGAGCAGTAACATTACCAGCTGAAGATATAAGTGATTTTGAAGAAGATGATGAAAGTATAGAAACTTTAATTGAACCAGAAATTAAAAAATTTATTGAATCAATTGGTATAAATGAATTTCTTAAAAATTTTAGTTCAAATATTTTAAAACAAATATCAGGAAAAGATGAAGAAGAAGTATTGGAATTAGAAGAAGATATAGACGATTTACAAGAACTAGATCCAGAATTAATAAAATTAACTCATTTAAACCCAGAAGATTTTCAAAATGAAGAATTATTAAGATCAAAATTAAAAACCATTCAAGATTTATCAATTGATCAAAAATTAAAAAACAAATTACAAACAAAATTAATGATGTCAAATTATTATAAATATATAGATAATCAATTACAAAAAGAAAATGAAAGATTAAGTAATATTTTAGATGAACAAAAAGCAATGATGGATGAAGAAGTAGTTATAACAGAAGAAGATCAAAAACCTTCTTATTATGACAAATTAAATAATATACTAGGTTGTTCACATTATCAACGTAATTGTAAATTAGAATGTCCAACATGTCATAAATGGTATTCTTGTCCATTTTGTCATGATTCTGAAATAAAAGATCATAAATTAATAAGAAATAAAGTCAAACATATATTATGTATGCATTGTAAAACTCCACAAGTAACAGATACAAATTATTGTGTAAATTGTGAAAAGGAATTATCTAATTATTTTTGTCGAAAATGTGTCTTGTATGATAATGATCCAACAAAAGATATATATCATTGTGATAAATGTGGAATATGTCGTTTAGGTTTAGGATTAGATAAAGATTATTTTCATTGTGATGAATGTAATATTTGTTTATCTATTGATTTAAGAGATAAACATAAATGTGTAACCAACAGTACCCATTGTAATTGTACAATATGTAATGAATATTTATTTACATCAATTGAAAAAGTAGTATTTATGAAATGTGGTCATTCAATACATCAATCATGTTTTGCTGAATTAGTAAAACATTCATATAAATGTCCATTATGTAAAAAAACAATTATAAATGTTGAAAATCAATTTCGTTTATTAGATCAAGAAATCCAGCAATCACCTATGCCTGATCCTTATGATCAATGGAAATGTATAATTAGTTGTAATGATTGTAAAGGAAAATCAAACGTTGCTTATCATGTATTAGGTTTAAAATGTAAATATTGTAAGAGTTATAATACAAATAAACTTAAATTTAAAAAACCTAATGATGAAGAAGTACTTAGTGATGATAATGAAGAAGTTGAACATATTCATGATTTTGATGCTAATATTATGAGATTAGTTTCTACTAATTTACAAAACAATTTTGAAATTGATTTACAACAAAATTAAGTTTTTAAAGGTATGTAGATTTAGAATAGAGATATAATGGTTTTAATGAATAAGGTAATGTTAAAGTAATTTATTTAAAACAGATTGTAAGGTAATATTAAATTTACTTTAAATTATCTTCAATTTGAAGATAAATTCAAATGTTTTAGTAATCACGCGACTCTAAAGATCTGGACCAAGTCCTTAGATAAATTTAAAGATTTTTCTATCAGCAGTAAGGAGTTTGTAACATTTGCTTTGTAAATTATTACAACTTTGTTCTAATTCAGAATTGTATAGAGTTATTCTAGCTTGAAGCTATAAAATAATAGTTTTTGCACCCTTTCCCACCCAATAAATAAATAAATAAATAAATAAATAAATGTATATAATTTGTAGCAACCAATTACTAATCACCTTTATCAAATAAACCTACCCTACCAAAATTACTTCTTTGATGACCCTGAAATTTTTGTTCAACTCTATTCAAAATACGTATCAATGTCTAACACAATACCTCCAATTTTCATTTTTAGAATTATAAATATCTTTTAAATCATTTTCAACTTTAATCCAATGTTTATATTTATTTTTTGATTTAAGATCTAAATCATATATATTACAAGTGATTAAATATTTATTTTTAATAATTTCTTCATTATCAATAGTAGATTCTTTGTCTATGGAATTATCTTCTAAAGTGATTATATTATCTATATTGTTATGTGAATTATGAATATTATTGAATTTATTAAATTTTTCAAATTTTATGAAAATTCCAACGTCTCTTAATGTCATTACTAAAGATAAGTTTCTGGAAACGTCGTTACTATTTGATATGTTTTCTAATAAATCATTTTTATTATTTATCTTTTGATATTTTTTCAATTTGAGAAAAATGTTTTTTGATTCATTCTCTAGAAAAATTTTAAATAACGTTTTAATGGGGAAATTGTTTTGTTCTTCTATTAGGCTTAGTATTTCTGGTGGAATTTCTGAAAAAATATCTGTTATGGCTTGATTGTAAGTTTCTGGGTAAAGTAAATCTAATGGACAAAAATGTCTTTTGTAATTTTTGAGTTGGTTTAATGAACATGTTCTGCAGTAATTTTGTGATTTATTGTCGTAAAGCCATTTTGGTTTTATTTCAAAAATAATTGAATTGATCGTGTTTGATGTTGATGATAATGATGGTTGTTGTAGTATTAGAGGATTGTAATTCGTTATTCTTCCGTTTTCGTCATTACTATTATGCAGATTTAGTATGTTATTGTTTTGTATACTATTTTGGTGTTGGTGTTGTTGTTGTTGTTGTTGGTGTTGTTCTTCTTGTTGTTGCAGTATGAGGTTGTTATCATTAAAATATAATTGACAATGTTTCAGTAATGAAATTTTAGTATAATTTCCATCCAATATATTAGGTAATAACAAACCATACCTTTCATTAAGATTTAAATTATAATTCAAATTTTCCAAATTATTTAATTTGTTTAAATCATTTATAAATTCAAAAGTTAAAACTATCAATTGTATGTCTATAATTAACGTGGGGAATAATTTTTTACATTTTAATTCAATAAAATCATATAATTCACAAGTACTTATATATTCCTCATCCTTTTTAAATAATCTTAGTCTTAATAATTTATGTCTTAAATAATCATTACTTCCTGTGTATTTGAATAGTATATTAGCTGCTCCTTTTGCGAAATATTTCCATTCTTTTGGTGACGTTATTTTATATATCTCCATATTATTTTAATATTGATTGTATACTAATTTTTATTTTATAGAATATTAAGTTTTTTGATCTAATAAAAGATTTGTTGATTCGGAAGATCGAACTTGAGTCTTATTTTAATAATTATTATAAAAACAAACGCCTCTCTCGTAAATACTCAAATTTGAATGAATGATATGTATGAATTCTTGAAGATCAATTTGAAATATATCAAAAAAATCTATTTTATTGCTATAATGATTAAATGAAATAATGGAAGTGATGGAAAGGAATTTTTGTTGACTTCAGGCTAAATTATATGAGATTTAGGTCCAATATGATGAGAGCCTATACAGATGTCAAAGTAATTCTCTCGATTAATTAATTTGAAATTTGAATTGAATGAAATTGATTTAAAAAAATTGTGAAAAAAGAAAAGAATTTATAAATAAATTAAATAAATTAAATAAAAAAATAAAAAAAATAAAAAAATAAAAAATACTTCTTTTTTTCGTAAATCTTAAATTTAGTTCAATTATTACATAATCACAGCTAGTTAACATTACGTAATAATTAAGTAAATAAAAAAGAATCTGATTCTATAATTAGATCTAATAAATCTAATAATATCAATGGATCTGACCTATTTTTAATTGAGATCAATTAGATTAGTCTTGAATGCACGAATAAGCTGAAGGCTTTGCTCTTGTTACGAAGCTTGTGAGTAAAGAATCCTTAATTTGTTTTCGTTGTCATATTTGATTTAAATTTAAATAAACATTTAATTTGTAACAGAGTCTAGAATGTAATTTATGCATATTTCAATTTTTGTTGATTTTTTTATTATTCAATTGAATGCATACACAGAACAATATTTGTGATAATTGATCGTGGATATCGTTAATAATTTGTACCTGATAGACAGATATATATTTATATTCTGTAAAAATCATTAAAATTTCAAACCATTTTTATAGTAAATTAATAGGGCTAATTTAATTATAATGATGTAATTAATAGAATAAATTTTCAAATCTAGATGGAATTGGACCCCTTCTTAATTCAAATAATTAAAGTTTTAAACTTTTTAGAATAATTCTTTTGAAACTAAAAATTTGAAATTTCTACTTAAAAGAATCAAATTTACTCACTTTATAGAAATTGAATATTATTTAATTTATTCAATATCGATAAATAAGTGTTATCTATGATCAGAATATCATAGTCATAGATTTTTTAAGACAACGTACCTATGTTTGATTGTAGATCAATTCGATGATCTTTAAAACTGATAATTTATAACAGAAAAACCCTCAGAAAAAAATAACTTTTCTAATAAAATGTTTCTATTAAAACAATAGGAATTTTTTCTTCCAAAATTATACGGCATTTGAAAGTTCATTTACATATTGATCTTATTGTTCAGTAATTCAAGAAGATAAACGTATAATACTTTGATTTAGTTTTCTTCTTAAATGCCGTTATATTGAACAATAGCCTCAATTATTCAAGTTCATTTTTTACAGTAATCTATTTATAATGTCTCTTTGAATGATTGAACAAAGCACACGATAGATTCGTGTTTGATAAGTTTTCTTATCTATTTCATAATTTAGATTATATAATAAATTATTTTTTCAACTTATCCTTTAATCTTGACCTTTGGATTCAGGTACAAGCACTAAAGTTCAAATTATATAACATTGTTGACATATTAAATTCATGTCAAACTACTTAAACTCGTTGACTTTTTTTAGACACGTCTTAATTTGTTTGATGATGATAAATGTGAATGAATCCTCAATTGCGTATATTGGTGAATCTATAGGGATTACGTAAACCGTTACACGAGTCACAAAGTACCTCTGTTGTGTATAAGATTAATAGTCATTAAGAATATGTTATACTTAGCATGATAAAACAGATTAAGCTGTAAGTAGATATAAACAATTCTATAAATTGAGAGATACAAATATCAACCAACAATTGAGATGGATGATCTTGGTGGCATCTCTTAAATTAACTCACGAACTAAGGATAAGAAAAATACAATTGCTATTAATTGATATTTGAGACAACTTTAAAAACATGTTGTTTCAGTACAATTCTTTGTAGCTCATAATTTTTCCCAAAAAATGCTAATCTTAGCTCTTTACTTTCAGGGCTAAAAGTATTCAGACTACGTTATTAAATGAAAACTAAAGTTCTATTCTCTGAACCCGCCATATAATGATAATTTAAATAGCGATAACGGTGTCGGACTTATTTTTCAAAGTTGACTAAAATATGATTTCTTACTCATTAATGGAAAGTAGTTTTACTAAGGACTCTTGCTGAATGAGTCGGGATTATTTGCAAATAAGTCCATCATTAAAGATCAATAGTGGTGGCTTACACTCGCACACACGTTTTTTCTTAAGTTAGTAGTTTTTGTTAGTTGATTAGATTTCATAAAGGTCGGAGATAAAAGAAATAATGAAAAATTACAAAATTACCGGACATATAATTCTTATAAATTTACATTAATTTTTCTAAATCAGAGCTCAATTGATTAAAGAAAACCCAATCAATTAATACAATTCAACAACAATGGCAAGTAATCCACCAGGAGAATGCTGTGTCACTGCAACTTTACATGAAGGTACCCCAATTGGTTCACATGAACAATTATACGGTTTAAAAACTTACGTTGTTGGAGAAAGTGAAAGTGTTATAGTTATATTAACAGATATTTATGGTAATGAATTTAATAACGTCTTATTGATTGCAGATGAATTTTCAAAAATTGGTTATAAAGTCCTTATACCAGATATTTTAAAAGGTGATCCATTAAAACCTGGTGAACAATTACAAAAATGGATTCCTCAACATACTCCAGATATAACAAATCCAATAGTTGAAAATTTTGTTAAACAAGTTAAAACAGATTTAAAACCTAAATTTTTAGCTGGGGTTGGATTTTGTTTTGGTGCTAAATATGCTATTTTAAATGGTTCAAATAAAAGTTCATTACTTGATGTAATTGGAATTTCTCATCCTTCTTTTGTTGCATTAGAAGAAGTTGAAGATATTAATGGTATGTACAACCACATCCTTTTATTTTTTGGTTTCGAATTTAAAATTACTAACTTATTTTTAGTCCCAATAACAATCCAAGCAGCAGAAACAGATCCAGTTTTCACAAGAGATTTAAGACATAAATCCGAAGAACAACTTTTTAATATTAAAGCAAGATATGAAATAGATTTATTTTCTCATGTTGTTCATGGTTGGGTTGTTAAGGGATCAATTGATGATTTAATTGTTAAATATGCTAAGGAAAGAGCTATTTCTAATAAAATTGCATTTTTTAAAAATGTTGAATTGATTAAATCAAAATCTTGAAGTTTTGATTTGAGTTTTGATTTAAGTAGATCAAAATATTAGAAGTTACTATGGCTTACTTTAATTGTTGTTTTTTGTTATAGAGTTTTACTAGATATATTTAAAATTGTTTTACATATATGAATACATGAAAATTTTGAACAGTATCAAGATAAAATAAGTATTTATAGAATTTCATTTAATTTGTATATTCCACTTTATATTTGACTATTATAGTTCATCTCTTCTTCAAAACTCTTAAAAAAATGAACTTGATCCAAAATAGTTTTATTCTTAGCATATCTAACAGCAGGTTTTCTAATATCACCACGAAGTGCATAACCATGTTCACATTGTGAAAAAATAGTTACTTCATATACTACATTTTGCTCTTGAGCTAATTTTTTAAGTTCTTCTTCTGTTTCAACTCTTAAATGTGGTGGATGATATGGATCAGTTTCTGCTAAACTCAATAATAACCAAGTATTTTGAAGTTTTGATATTTGTTCTTTATCTATAAATGCTGGATGTGCAATTGCACCAGCTGATAGAAGTTTTTTACCATTGGCTGTTTCATTCATTAAATTCTCTAAAATAAATCTAGCACCAAAACAATAACCTATTCCAAACACATTACTAGGTTTAAGTTCCAATTGAATTTTTTGTAAAAAATTTGAAATTATTGGAGAAGTAATTTCAGGTGTATGATTAATCAACCATTTAGATAAATCACCACCCCATTCAATAGGATCACCATTTAAAATATCAGGTACAAGTACTTTATATCCATGTGATGCCAATTCATCAGCTACTAATAATGTATTATTGAATTTATGTCCATGTACATCTGTTAAAATTACTATTACATTATCTGAATCTCCAACTACATATGTATCTAATTCACCTATTTCTTGGTATTGGCCCAAGGGTTGACCTGTTTGGAAGTACCCGTGAGCGCAGCACTGACCTGGTGGTAAGAATAATGACATCTTGAATTGAAGAGTTCCTACTTCGTTATAAATTTGAATTTTTGAATTTTTCACTTTATTAAATATAATTTTGTGGGTCTAAAATGATTAAAGCCGCTAACTAAAATAAACTTTATTACACAAAATCAAACTTTTGAAACACGTAAAAAAATAGTTAATTATATTTTAAAACTGAAAATTCAATTTTCCATGGAAAAGAATCTCGAATACACAAAAATCACAGACAAAAATAACTACAGGTTTAGTTTGTCTCTGTTACTATTACTTTCTTTTAAATGCTAAAGACCTACATAATCTTCAACATCTTCAATTCTGATCCCTTCAGCTTCTTCATGAATATCTAACCAAGTAACATTATTATATTTCTCAGGATTTGTTGAAGTTTCTGATTTAATTTCATCTACATACTCACTTAAAACTAGTAAAGCAATAGCATCGTATCCACCAGCACCTGGAACTGTTCCTCCAATACAGCCTTTTAGTAAACTCAAGTTATCTAATAGATGAGTTTGAATTGGTGGTTCTACTGGAACATCTGCCATTTGGGTAAGGTTAGATAGTCCTTTCCTTATTTGTTTGAGGGATTCGTTGATTTGTGGTATGTTTACCTCGGTGATTGCTTTTATGAAATTTGAATTTGCAGTGTTTAATTGGTTATAAATTTCACTACTTTCTTTTGGTTGATCTTTTTTCCATTGTAAGATTTTAGAAACCATTTTTGGAGTTTCAGAACCACCTTTAATATCACCCATTAGCAATTTAGTTTGTGGAGGTAATGCACATGATTCATGATTGAATTCCCATTTTTGTTCAACTACGGTTTTTAATAATTTAGGTTCCAAATTTGATTCTAGTACTTGATTAACTAATTGCGGTTGAAATCTACGGTATTGTATTGATCCATATATTGCTGCTGCTACGTCAAATCCCGATCCAATTTTCTTTTGAGCTAAACAATGAGCTATTTGTGAAAGGTTATGTAGTATATCTATTGAACTACCAGGTTTGAAATGTGACATTAATGCAGTTGTTATTACGGAGACTAAACCAGCTGATGATCCAAGTCCTGTTTTCGGTACTTCGCCAATTGGAGTGTTGTGATAGTAGAACGTTCTTTTACCATTATGTGATTCCTTTCTTATAGTGTCTTCATTTGAATGATAACCTGGATCTGAATATATAGTAATTTGTAAATTATAGTTGGTGGTTGGTCTCACATATGCTAACACTGTTTTAATTGATGCTTCAACAAATGGATTTTTTCTATCGTTTATTTCATTTGTTCCCAAATATTGCCATTCACCATCAAATTGTGGTGATTTTACAACTATTGATGAATATTTTTGAATTGGTTGTGATTCAATGACCGCGTGCATTCTTGAAGATAATGCAATAACGTAAGCATTATAAATTGGATCTAATACTAAATAGCCACCAGCTAAAAGGGCTTTACCTGGAGCACTAAATGCTTGTGACATTACGTTGTAGATTTTTAAAACTTGGTCTTACTCTATTTTTTTAGGAAATTTTTGAAAAAATAAAAAAGTATGTATCGTAAATTATTATAATCTACAAAACACACAAAATATTATGCAACCACTTCACTTCAATATCAAAACAATATGACCAAAATTGGAATAATTGGATTGGGAGATATGGGTCTTCTATATGCCAGAAGATTCAGTGAAGCTGGTTGGTCAGTAATAGGGTGTGATCGTGAAGAAAATTACAATTCATTACTTGAAAAGTATCAAAATGAATCATTTGAAATTAGAAAGAATGGTCATTTAGTATCTCGAGAAGCTGATTATATAATATATAGCGTTGAAGCAGAAAATATAGATAAGATTGTTTCTATATATGGTCCCTCCACAAAATATGGTGCAATTGTAGGTGGTCAAACTTCATGTAAAGCACCAGAAATTCAAGCATTTGAAAAATATTTACCACAAGATACTGAAATTATATCAATACATTCATTACATGGACCAAAAGTCAATACAACGGGTCAACCATTAGTTTTAATACCTCATAGATCATCACCACAGTCATTAGAATTGGTGAAAGATATAGTATCTTGTTTAAATTCCAAAATGGTTGTATTAACTGCAAAAGAACATGATCGTATAACAGCAGATACACAAGCAGTCACTCATGCTGCGTTTTTATCAATGGGAGTAGCATGGAAATCGATGTATCAATACCCATGGGAAACTCCCAAATGGATTGGTGGTATAGAGAATGCAAAAATAAACATATCATTAAGAATATTTTCTAATAAGTGGCATGTATATGCTGGTTTAGCCATAACAAATCCATCAGCTCATGATCAAGTATTACAATATTCTAAATCTACTACTGAATTATTCACATTAATGATACAAGGTAAAAAACAAGAATTAAATGAACGTATGCAAAAAGTTAAAAAATTTGTATTTAAACATATAAATAATCATAATTTATTATTAGATGATAATATTTTAGAAAAATTTTCATTAAGTAAAACTCCACCAGAAGGTAAACAACCAAATTCTCATTTATCATTATTAGCAATAGCAGATAGTTGGTATAATTTAGGAATAGTTCCTTATGATCATATAATATGTTCAACTCCATTATTTAGAATATTTTTAGGTGTTACTGAATATGTATTTTGTACTCCTGGATTATTAGAAGAAAGTATTCATGTTGCTGCAACAGATGCAACTTTTAGACAAGATGATTTACATTTTACATTAGCTGCTGAATTATGGGCTAAAATTATAAAATTTGGTAATTTTTCATTATATAAAGATGAATTTGAAAAAACTCAAGTTTTTTTTCAACCAATGTTTCAAGAAGCTAATACTATTGGTAATGAAATGATAAAAACTATATTAGAAAGAGTTAAAGAAAGAGAAAAATAATGAATAACCAAGAAGAAAAAAATGTATTATTAAAATTTTAATTATAATTTTTGACCTTTCTTTTTTAGTAGTAGTACTATATTACAACATTTGTTCATCTTTTATTACATCCATTAACCAATCTAAACCTTCATTTAAACCTTCTCCCTTTATAGCACTTGATGCAACAATACTCCAACTTCTATCTTTTAAATCAGTTAGACTTAATGCTTGTGATACTTCAGCTGCTGTCATTGCACCAGGTTGATCTTGTTTATTTGCAAATACCAATAAAGCAGATTCTTGTAATTCTTCTTCTTTTAACATTGTATGTAATTCTTTACATGCAGTATCTATACGATCTTTATCAGTAGAATCAACCACAAATATTACAGCTGAAGTATTTGAATAATAACATCTCCAATATGGTCTTATTGAAGTTTGACCACCTAAATCCCATATATTTAAAGTTATATTTTTATATTTTAAAGTTTCAACATTAAAACCAATTGTAGGTTTTGTTGTTACTACTTCACCCATTTGTAATCGATATAATATTGTTGTTTTTCCTGCACCATCTAATCCTAATATAAGTATTCTTATTTCTTTTTGTATACCCCACAATTTCCCAAATATATTTGCAAAACTAAATGCTTGTCCCATTGTAATTATTATGTATATGAATTAAATAAAGGAATGTGTTAGTTTGTGATTATTTTTGATGGTTGATTATTTGAATCAATGAATCTAGGGCTATATATTAATGAATTTGATTTAGATCAGATAAATAGTATGTATTAATAATAATGCTAATACAATAATAATAATTGATTTGCATTTTTAAAACCTTTCAAAAAGACAGAAAGAAAGAAAAAATATTAACACTTAATTAAATTTACATAATGTTAATTTATTGTCACATGATCTAAATGACCATTTGTCTGAAGAATTAAAAACACGTCATTTATGAATTTATGACATAGAACACTTTTGTACTATTCATTCAATACTTTAATTAGATCATACAAATAAAACAAATTTACTATTATCAAAAAAAGGCAACCCCCATATCAAATAACTTAAACCAATTTTACAAAATTACCACAACAACAAAATGTCAGAACAACATCCAAAAGGTATATTAAGAAACAATTCCATTTCAGAATCACAACAACAATTACAAGATAAATTAGATAGAAAAGAAGTTATAAAAAATACACAATTAAATGCAAAATTAAATTCTGATACTTCAAAAGGTGATGAAATTAGAGCTAAAATTGCTCAAAAAAAAAAGGAATTAGGTATAGATGATGAAGATCAGGCAAAAGAACATGAACATTTAAAATGGGATGAATTAAATATTTATAAAAATGAACAAGAAAAATCAGCTACTATGAAAATAGATGAACCAAAAACTCCTTATGAAGGTGGGTTTAATCCTGAAGGAGAATATTATAAAGATGATGATGATAATGATGATAATGAAATACCTGAATTTGAATTAGGTGAAGGAGAATATGATAAATTAAATGAAAATGAAAATAAATCTTCTTTACATGGTAGTGAAGTTTTAAAAGATAATCAACAAGAAGAACCAGAAGAAGAAGATGAAGATGAAGATGGAGAAGGAGAAGAACCATTAACAGCTGAAGAAAGACACAAGAGATTTGAGGAAAAAAGAAAAGAACATTATCATTTGAAAGCATTACCTTTAAAACAAAAAATAGATATACCAGATGATGATGAATAGCTCCACCACTAATAAATATTGTAATAAATTTGTATCACCCGTTAAAATAAAATTGTATAAAAAAATGTTATAATAAATGAAACTATTTGTTCGTTGTATTAGTCTACTTAATTAAAATATTTCAAATAACTAGCTTGTAAAGAACCACCATTTATTAATTCTTTAGCTGCATCATTTATTATGTTTTTAGCAGATAATGCATCACTATCTTTTAATCTATTTGCAACTTCTCCTAATTTAACATCATCAAATTTTTCAATAATTAATTCTAAATCAGAATCAATTTCAGCTTGTTTAGAAGAATCACCAAAATAATCATTATCTTTAGCAGCAGCTCTAATATTTCTTTTATTTTTCTTTTTAGCGGCTTTAGCAGCTTCTTTTGCCTTTTTAGAATCTGCTTTAGCTGAAGCAGCTTCTTCTGCTGCTTTTTTTGCTGCTGCTTCTTCTGCTGCTTTTTTTGCAGCAGCTTCTTCAGCAGCTTTTCTTGAATCAGCTTCTTTATCCCATTTTTTAGCAGCTTTTGCTTTTTTAGCTTCTTCTTTAAACTTTTTAATTCTTGGATCTTCTGCATATGCTCTTTCAACTAATTCAATAACTCTTTTATTATCTTCTTGTTTAAATTTTTTTCTTGCTGCTATATTTTTTCTTTCTATATAACGTTTATGATCTCTATTTGCAGTATCATCTGGAACATCTTCATCTTTAAATTCAAAAGTTTTCCATGAATCAAATTTACCCCAAAAATTATAAAATTTATCAACTTCTTCCTTTGATGCATCGGGTTTACCTAATAATGGAACTGGTTGTTTTGTTGAAAATCTACTTTCACTTTCAAAAATCGGTGTCCATACTTCAAAAAAATCGTATTTGGATTTAGCAGATGGTGGTTGTGGATCTTTTAAAGTATCAACTGAATCATATTGTTTTCTTTTAATTGGATCTAACATAATTTCAAATGCCTTTTGAATAATTTTGAAAAAAGAGTCATGTTCTAATCCACCACTCGCAGATTTCTTATCTGGATGATGCTTAAGGACTTGTTTTCTATGAGCTCTTCTAATTTGATCTTCATTTGCTTTATATCTTAAATGTGATAATCCTAATACCGCATATAAATCAGCAGTTTTCCATTCTCTTGGATCATGATCTAATAATTCTTCACTTTGTTCTTCATCTCCTAAATCTTCATCTTCATTTGTTTCTATTTGTTTAACATTTTTTTCTGCTTCTAATTTTTCAAATTCTGACCATGTATGACCTCTAAGAGTTCTTGATGCATGAGCTAAAAAATAACGACCAACTGGTTCAATTGGACGACGGTTTGGAGTTGAATATTTTCCAACGGCTTTGAATCTTTCAACACTTCCTGATGGTAAAACTATTGACATTTTGTAGTGTTTATGTGGTTGTAATGATTGTTAAAATTATAACTTCATCAATTTTTATTTTTTTTTTTTTCAATTTTTCATTAAAAGAAGAAGATTTGAGAAACAGAACACAAAATCGTAGTATAGTAAGAAGAGATAGATTTAAACAAGATAAGACATAATACAATCATTACTACTTCTCTATTGATTATTTCTATTCTTTTATAGCAGACATATCTAAAACTTCTATTGATCCTTCATTTTTCATATCTTTTTCTTCCAATAAATTCACAATAGCTCTATAATTTATAGGATCAATTATTCCAATAATTTCATAATTTTTACCATTATTTTCCAATTCTTCTAAATGATCAATTTTAGGTTTGATTTCTTCTTCATATAATTTTGTATAAGCTTTTTTTGTTAATAAGAGTTTAATTTTCATTTGTGCTCTTGCTATTGGGATGATTTGTTTCTCTACAAGTAACTTTATTGCATCTAATGCCTGGATTTTGGTAGTTTTTGTTGGATTTAGATGGAATTTTAATTCGTTAAGAGCTTTATCTATCATTGATGGTGTGTATCTCTTTTTTGACCTTGGGTTTATACATTTAGTAGATATTATTGTTAGGAATTCATTTTGCTTTTGTTGTAAATTTGCATTACGTTCTTTTTCATGTAATTGAATCTCACCTTTGTTTAAAATTTCCATTATGATTTCATCTTGATTTGTTGTACCAAAACTCTTTTGTAAGTCGTCATTGTTTGCTACTTGACCCTTTGATACGTTTATGAACACTTGTGGGATTTGTAATACTTCATCTAAATCTTTTTCTATTTTGGAACGATAATCTTGTACTTTATTTTGATAACATGCTATTTCAAATCTTTTTTTGCCCTTTTTCATTCGGACTAGGGAAACGTTTGTTAGTTTGATTTGACTACTTGGTTGATTTATTACGGCCATAGTAAGTTGTTGATATAGTAAATTGTAATTATAAGAGTGGTTACTTAAAAGGAGTATTAAAAATTATTATTAAATATCATTTCTCGCAATGTATTTTCTTATATGGAAGAATGTTAAGGATATTTATCATTCACTACAAATTCTTGAATTGTTAAATAACATCGATGTATATTATCTATTCAACATGATTATAACCTCGCCCCAAACAATTGCCCAGGCATACTTTTTTTTCTCTTATTTCTTATTAAATTTATTCATCATCGTCTTCATCACCATCATTTTCTATAAATTTAGTCTTTACTGTGGACCATAATTTAGCATGATTATGAGCATTCCACCAAGAATTTATAGCAGAATCAAAAAAACCTTGAAAAGCAAAAGCGCCAACGAAAATTGTACCTACAAAAATTGAATTTCTTTCTAATAAACGACCAAGTATTGACTGGCAAAATCGTTAGTATATGGTTCCAAAAGAACTAAATCATGACTAGTTTCAGACAATCTCTATCTTATTTCTTAATTGTCTTTCCAATTTGACTAATAATTATTTAATTGAACATACCATTTGTGCGTTGTTGTATATGTATTAAAAGGTGTTTGTTAATCAATATAACTTTATATAACTTTTTTTCTCACTTAATAATAATTTTCATTTTTAAATTGATTGGTTTAATTATTTATGTATGAGAGTGATGCTACCAGATTCAAGGTAGTGAAATTCTATACCATTTATCATTTACTTTTATAAACTATATAAACATTTATTAATTTATAAACTATTTACTCTATTTTAACTTCATCTAATTTATTTGTAGCTTCTTCAACACTCTCAACAGTTTTACCAATTTCTGCTTCTTCTTTTGCATTATTATTATTATTATTATTATTATTATTATTATTAGTAATACTAGTAGTAGCTGTAGAACCACCTGGATATTTACTACCTTTATTTTTTGGTTTTTTAACTTTTTTCTCTTCTTTTGGTTTATCAACTGGATAACCCTCTTTTTGAGCTAATTGAAATTCTTTATTATTTTCAAATTCTTCTCTTATTGGTTTTAATAATTCATTAATCTTATCTGCTACTCCGGTTTTCAAATCTGGTGGTGATAATTTTCCATCAACATAATCTTTCTTTAATTGTTCTATAGAGTCATATTGAATTGGACCTCCGAATTTTTCAGGTCTATCAATGAACAAACTAAATGATCCATTTTTCCCAGTCTTTAATTCATCTATTGGTTGTATTACGAATTCTGTAAATGCAATAAGACCATTATCTTTTAATTCACCAGGTGCACAATAAGCACTATTTATTTTTTTTTTAACAATTTTTGGATCTTCTATTATATCTATTTTAGAGTTTGGATCAGATGCACTCATTTTACCACCTTGTCCCAAACCAGGTACCATTGGATTCATTAAATGACCTCTTTTTTTATAACCTAAACTTGGTAAATTTTCTTCTGCTAATACAAAAATTTTTCTTTGATCTACACCTCCAAATTGTGCATCTACTTTTAAATGTTCTTCATCAATTGCTTGCATTAATGGATAAATTAAACCAGATAATAAAGGATTTGCAACTTGTTTAACAACATCTGCACCGGCTCTCTTGGCATCATTTTGACTAACAACATTAGATAATTTAAATAAATCCATTATATATTCTCCACTTTGTTGATAACTTGATCCAACAACAAATTTTAATTTATCAATAGGTACACCAATAGATTTTAATATAGATTTTACAATAAATTCATAATATTTTGAACGATATTGAACAACTTCCAAAGGTGCTTTCATATTATCTAAAAATGCATGTAAATCAGCCATTAATACAGTAACTTCACATCCAGCTTTTAAAAAATGAGCTAATTTAATCATTGGTACAAAATATCCACAATGTGGTTTACCAGTTGGTGCTGTACCCCAATAAATTTTTAATGGTCTTTTTTCTTTTTCTAAAACATCTTTTATAATTTGAGCATTTAATACTTCTTGTAAACCTTTTGTTATTAAATCATATTGATCTTGAGGTGATAGTTCAGTTGTCATTTTTAATAATGAAAAATTTACTTAAATTAAATTTGATCTGATTATTTTAATACTTTTGTTTCATAATTTGGAAAGTTTTTTCGCTGTTAAGAAATTAAATATTTTTAGTTAGTCATTTTTTGATCTTTAAGGACTAACGAGAAATCGACCTATCTGTAGTTGTAAACTTGGGTCGATATTTGTGAACTCTTGTAGCGATAAGCAAATCAATTAAGTCGAGAATCATCTATCATCTACAAAAAAAAATATGATTTATAATAAATAAATTTAATTTACTATAATATTTTTAGTTATCGATTAGGATTAGGATTATCAAATTAATTTTTTACAACCAATTCTATTTATTTATATATAACTTTTCAATTCAAGTATAATGTCTGATGAGAATAAGGATAAATTAAAGCGGTTTTTAGTAGAACTACCTTCACAATTAGAATTTACAAATTCATCATCAATTCAATCATATTTATATAAAATTTTATATTTTACATCTACAAGTAATGGCAAATATTTAAACAATTTATTTCCTGGATTTCCTAGTTTTACAACAAATGATGAAAATCTTATTAATAATCTCAAAAATCAAGATTTTAATATTACAACATTGGATGAATTAAGTAGATTTTATTATCAAGAAAAAAGACATTCTAATTATTCACATCCTCAAAAAAAACCATGTGCAAGATTATTTAAATCCGGTGATGCAGTTTATAGATGTGAAGATTGTGGATTTGATGATACTTGTGTCTTATGTTCATTTTGTTTTAATCCTCAAGATCATATAGATCATAATGTTTCAATGTATACGTCACAAGGTCTTTCTGGTGGAGTTTGTGATTGTGGAGATCCTGAAGCTTTCATAAATCCTTTACATTGTAAATGTGCAACTACTACAAAAAAAGAAGATGAAAATATGGATTTTGTATTTGAAAGTTTATATCAGACTATTAAAATTTGTCTAAAATATATTTTAGATGTTACGAATTCAACTGTTTCAACGTTACCATTAATTCACAGTGTTTTGAAAAGATCAGATACAACACTAGATGCAAAAACCTTATCTAATTATTTTTCATTACCATTTGGTCATTATGGAGGAGCAAGAGATGACAATTCAGCAGATAAATGGTATTTGATACTATGGAATGATGAATTTCATGATTTAGGACAAGCTGTGAGATCAATAAAGTTAGGTACTGGATTCAATGATCCAAAAGCAACTGGAGTTGCTCAAAAAATAGATAAAGAAGGTTATTGTATACTCAAAGAAGGTAAATCAGTCAATGAATTATTATCATCAAAATTCTATGTTGAACAAGATGGTTTAATAGCAACAATAGTATCAGCTCGTGATTTTCAAAGAGAAATTATTGTTAAAAACATTTTCCTTTGGTTTGAAGATATATTAAATTCAACAAATGAATCTTTTAAAAATTTAAGTAGAGATGCTTTAACCCTGTTATTAATTGATAGAGATTTTACTTTTTCAAAAGTATTTCCAGCAGAATTTATAGCAAGTATATCAATGGTTTCAGAAACTAAAGAAATTGGATGTTATAACAATGGAATCCCTCAAGATGGTAAATTTGTCAACTTATCAGGTTTACCAAGAACAGAACCACTTTCAAGATTTCAAATACTAATATTATATCAAATTAGATTCCCTAAAAGTGTTCGAAAAAAATTGGTATCAATACTTATACCCATCTTAGTATCAAATGTAGAATTAAAACTGGAATTTGCAAAACAATTTACTGAATTATATCCATCATTACTAGCAATTTATACAAGTTCAGATCGTGAAGATCATTTAAATTTGATTAGTGAAATTACTTCTCAATTGTATACTTGTCCATTAACTATGAAAGTATTATTACAAGATTTGGGTGGGAAGTATATTTTAAATGGATTAACAAATGTTATACGAGATCATTGTTCTACTTGTGATGTTGAAGGTCATTATTTATTTGAAGACCTTGGTGAAGACACCCAAAGAGAAAGAAGAGTTAAAAGAGCAGTTATGAGGGGTATTCATGATTTAGAACATTTTACTTCGAAAAATTTAGATTTGAGTTCTTACATGAATCAAGATAATTTACCGTCTTTATTAAATTTTTTGAACTTATTCCAGGGGTACTTACCATTTACAAGAAAAAGTGGAGATCATGTTGAACATGAACTGATGCACTTTAGGTATCATTCTGCATTTTCAATACCTATTTTATCAGCTGCTAGAAATATTGCAAATAGTTCATGCACCAAAAGTGAAAGAAGTAATGCCATTACATCAATACTATCCGACTTAAATTCCACGTTGACAAAAGTCAGTGAGTCATCAAACGCTTTTGTTCATGCATTAACTACATTTTTATCATATTTACTACAACATGGTGTACCTTCAACTGTTGACAAGAACAAATTATTAATTGCCACTGAAACCTCACTTCGTACAATAGTTTTAGCCTCACAAATAAAAGTTGGTTTTTGGATTAGAAATGGATATTCGGTATCAAGACAAGCATCAATGTACTTTGGATCTGATATGTCAGAGTTTACTTATTCACAAGACTTTTATCTACAACAACTTTCTACACTTCTTGGAAATCCAAATGATTTAGTTCATAGATTTATCAAAGTTTGGGAATTTGATGATTGGTTTACACATGATAAAGAAACAGTATATGAAGATAGATTTTATTCAATGGTTGAAAGATTTGTTTCTTTTACATATAACTTATTGACAGATCGATCAGCATTTACTAAATTACCAACAAGAGATAAAGCTTTAAGAGAAGCCAAAAAAAATATGGCGTATTATTTATGTGAAAATGCAAGAAGATATTCCGTTATAAAATCAAAGTTTGATCCGGAAGTTGCTTCATTAGCTGAATTTGATGAAATATTATATGAAATTGCAGATTATCAACCACCTTCTACTTTATTAGATACTGGATTATACAGATTAAAAGAAAGTGTAAGTTTGGAATTAGATCCTATAAGTTTATTTTTAGATCCTTCAAAATTTCAAGTTATTTCAGATGTTTTAATTAAAAATACTTCCAAACTGAAAAAGATTAAAGAAGATGAAGTAATTTTAAAACCAATTATAATACCTTCCAATGACGATTCCGTGAATCGAAAAATTGGAGAATTTGCTAAAACCACAATTTTTTTCAAATTAATTTATAAACTTTTACGTGTTGCAATAGATTCCTCAAATGAATCGTATCTTCCACAACTTTTACATTTGATTCATGCAATAGTTTTAGATGATGAAATCAATTTTGGTCCAAACTATCTAAATCAAAAATTTCTTGATATTCCAATATGTGATCTTTTATTATCAATAGTAGATTCCAAAATGTCCAAGTCAATAGTTCGAAAAGCAGATTATTTAGTTGAACAATTGATAAAAAAAGATGATCAAATTATAGAAAATTTAGTCAGTTGTTTCGGAGAGGAATTTGTACAAAAATTTAAAAAACGTAAAACTGAGATATTTGAATCAAATGAAGAAAGAGCTAAAAGAAAAGCTGAAGAACGTAAAAACAAAATTTTGAAAAAATATTCAAAACGTCAAGAAAAATTTTTGAGTAAAAATAAAGAATTTACAGAAGAAGTCCATGACGATCATACTGAAAATTCAAGAACTTGTGTACTTTGTGGGGAAAAAGAAAGTTCAGACAAGGCATTTGGAATATTATGTGCAACAACTGTACCTGGAATATTCTGGCAATTAGATTATCATAAAGTTAATAAAAGAGATACAGATTTATGGTCTCAAGATTTATATGCTTACCAGGATGAAAATGAATATGGTGAAGGTTATGATCATGATAATTTTCTGGAAGAATGTGAAAGAACAGTATATTCAACATGTGGTCATGGAATACATTATGATTGTTTTAAAGGAGCTGGTGGTAATATGAAATTTTATCCATGTTCATTATGCCATAATTATTATCAATTTTTCATTCCTTCCTTTGCAAAGAATCTTGTTGATGAGGACTCCGACCTTTTATATAAAACTACAAGTCTCAATGGAGAGAAGAAACGATTATTACTTGATTCATTTATACCTGAAAAACGTAATGTGAAATTAGATATTTATAACAATGTAAGTCATGAAAAAGAACCATATAAAGATTGGATCAATATTTTAGCAAATAGTATACAAATGAATGAAATGACAACTCGTTTAAATGGTTTGGACGGTTACTCACAATTTTTAAAACAAATTCCAAAATATAGTAAAGTTTTAATGAAGTCATTAGTTCAAGCTATCATTTTGATTCCAGAGTTAAAATCCAAAAAATTCTTCAAGATATTGGAAGGCAATAAGGAAGTTGTATGGAATGGCCCCGGTGGTGAACTTATTGATATTTTTAATGAGACAATATATTCTTTTTTCACTACTGAAGGATCTTTATCTACAATAGTTCAAGAAAATGTTGAAAATTTATTATGGACAATAGTTATGTCCTACATAGATATGGATGTTGATGCGCCAATGGGCCTTACTATAAGTCATCCTGATTTTACCAACAGCTGGAAAGATGATCCTTGTTTTGAGGTGTTCCATGAGTTATGGACCCGCTGGTTTAACAGTAAAGAATTTGAAGAAGACAATAATCATATCCATTGTTACTATGTTTATCAAATAGCTCAACAAGTTATTGGAATTTATTTAAGACAAGTGGTTATTTTTCAAGATGTTTTACTTTCTTTACAAGTTGGAGATGACGTTATTAGCAACTCAATATACCTGGATATGGAGCAAGAGATCGAAAGCCAAAAAAATATAGTTGGTATTGAACCATTTTTCAAAGTTTTAAAATTGACTCCTTTACATGATATCATTAGTAAAATGAGAGCTGAACGTCCAGATTCTGAATTAAAAGCGTACAAAGTAAATTTTCCAGGTCAAATTAAATTAACTACATTACCAAAAGATTATCAACAATGTTTATTATCATTAACTGAATTGAATGCTGTCAACAAAGTAAAATGTTTATTATGTGGTGATTGGTTTACAACTCAAGCTTCTCATCTGCAAAAATGTGCAACCAAAATATTGGTATTGTTCGATCCAAAAAAGAATATTTTTAGAACTACTTTATCACTTGGAACTCATCCTATTACTATAGATATACCAGCTGCTTATTTAACAAAACATGGTGAACCAAAATCTATTAGATATAAAGGTAAAGCCACTTTAAATGAATTTAGATTTAAAGAATTTACTAAATTATGGTTAAATCAAACATTATCAAGTTTTGTAACTAGGAACTTATTTGGTCATGCTCATACTTTTCTTAATGGTACACCTGCTTTTACAGTTCCAACGAATGATATGATGGATGAAGAAGATGATGATGAGGAATGGATGGATGAAGATGAATTTATGGTATTTTAATTTACTATATAGAATATGTAACGAGTTTTAATGAAAATGATTAATGATTAATGAAAATAGTGGTTTGTGTATTTCTTCAATTCTATCAAAGAATTTTTTTTAAATCTATAAACTATTCCAACCACCAGCGTCTGCAGAAGAATCTAATGTTCTAGCAATATAATTAGAAATATCATGTTGTAACCAAACATTTCTAATAAAATCATCATATCGGGGTTCCATTAAATGTAAAGCTTTTCCCTTTTTATTTTCATCAGCTAATGCTCCTTGTTCATCTAAAAATGGTGCATTATAAAATGAACCTCCATTCTTATGTAAAAGCAAAATTGTTCTATCTTTTGGTAGAAGAAACATTCCAACATCACTTGTACATTCTCGTAAGTAGTGAGTAGTACATTGACCGTCATCACAACCAATAGCTTGTTTTTGTAAGTCAACTACTTTTGCACAAAATAAACATATAGCTGGATCTTCAATAAATTGATGGGGATTATTATATCGATCTGAATAATAATATTTGGAAAAAAATAAATCTAATCTATTTGGTAAATCGATTAATCTTATAATTCCAGGATATTCTAATTGTTTTTTAACAGTTATTCCCTCGTAGTTCATATGAACGAAATTATAAAATAATTGTGAATTCATGTAGAATTGTAATAATTGTGATACTGTGGGGATATTCAAGAATGAACATAATGAATCAGCTTCTAAATCCGTTTTACTAGTTTTGATGTTGATTTTTTCTATATTTGCACATTGAACAAATGCATATATTGCGGCTCTTCTTAAGAATGGGGTTACCGATTTGACCAACATTGTATATATGATTTCTCCATCAATGTGTTTGGGATTGATCAAATTGAAACAAACTGAGGCAGCATGTGATATCTCGGGTTTAATATTTGGTAATTTTGGTATATCTTGAATTGTAAAACTCCATTCATGATGTAATTCTTTAGCCAATATGTTTAAACATTGAATTAGATGACAAGCAAAAATTCGTTTTAAGATTGCATTAAATGAAAATCCTAATGATGGAACTGGAACCATATCAACAAGCAACTCAAAAAAATCGGCTTCTAAAATTGTAGAACTAACATCACCTGATAATAGTAGTACATTTGATAATACTTTAGCTTGAGCATCTTCTTCTTGCATCTTCTCAAATTTTAGTTTCAAACTAGCTAATCTGAACTCATTGAGAGTTCTTAAATTAATTAATGTATTATTTGAGAGTTGTTCAACAACTAAATAACCTCTTGATGAAACACCTCTTAATGCAATTTCTGAAGATTTTATTGAATTTGATAAAATAAATGATGAGTCTGGCTCATAAAACTTTGGAAATGCAATTGATGTAATAGTTTGTGAAAAATTTCTTAATACTTTACCATAATCCTTGGCATGAATTGTTGGTGAGTCTTGAAGTAATTGATCTTTATTCAATTTTGTTAAAACTTCTTCATTTAATATAAAATCTTGGAATGGATTATCATTTGATGGTGTTAAATAATTGAACAAACTCTTATCATTGTACTTGCTAAACACTGGAATGAAAATATTGCTAGCTGATTTACATAATGGACACAAGATATCTTTCAGGTTTGAATTTTCTGGTGCATTTCTAGTAATTTGATTTTGTCTTGATCTATTATTATCCATATAATTTAAATAACATTGGAAATGCATCCCATGACCACAACTCAGTGATACTAATTTACTTTCAACTGCTTCATCTGCGTTAAACCCAGGTCCAAAAGTAAAATCATCCTTGATATTATTCATAAAATATTCCCATTTCTTGGTTTTATATTCATTATCATTTGAACTATTGGTGTTTAAATTCGCAGGATCTGAAAATGCTTTTAAAAACCAATAATCATTATTAAATGGAACATTACGGAAAGTAGTTGATTGTCCGACATATGCTATTATTCCAAATGGACCTAATTCTTCACCGACATTTTGACATAACATACAATGAGCTTCTGGAAATTTCCACCCAGATTTTAGTTCATAATCTTCCATTTCAATATCACTACCTTCAGTTGATTCATTTTGATTGTTTTTCAAAAATTTTGATTGTTGTTTTTTGAATTTAGCCATCAATTGTTCTTGTTTCTTTTTTGCGATAAGTCTTTTTTTGGCCATTTCATCATTAGCAACAGATTTATGATTGTTAAGCATAATAAATTCAAAATCCAAATTGTTGATCAGTTCATGCATATCTGATTTAAATGTGGAATGCTTCAAGATTAAATCCGCGTATATAGCACGAATCTTGCAATGACCTAATTTATATTTTTCATCTTTTAAAAAACCATACAAAAGCTGATTTAGAGATGTATTGTAGTTTGAATTAAATGACATAAAATGACGATAAAATGCATCTTGTCCAGCACCGCAACAAATATGAATTAAATGTAAAGTAGTTTCAAATAGACATTCATGCTCATGAAGTTCATGCAATTGAGCATAAATTAATGTCTTTAAAACAAATGTAATAAAATGTATTGATGTTGCAAAACTTCCAATATTTCTATATATTGGTAATATGTCCGGATCTGGTTGTTTAGGTTTTATGATTATTTCAGATAATGGTTCACCGGTCTTTGCTCTGATCCTGTCTTTAACAAATTTTAATGCATCATCTCTAGTATTAGCTGTATAACTAAAATAATAAGGATCAACTTCGTCCATGTATTTTTCTTTTAATTGGAAGATTCCAGAATCACTAGCACCTGTAGGCTTTTTATAAGTTGTCATTTCACTCAAAATTATATCAAATCTTTTATCTGCAATTACCCTATCTGGCATTTGAGAACTTAATTTTTTGTAACCCAACGGACCAAAACATAAATTATGAATTATCTCCCTCTTCACTTTAACTTTTGTAACTTCAGATTCAGTCATTCCTTTTAAATGAAGATCTTCTGATATAGCATGTATGAAAAAATTTACACACTCCTCAATCATATACGGTAAAGTCTTTTCGTCATATATTGACTCTTGATGTAAATCCCAATTCAGTCCTAGCGACCATCTATCAAGTATTAAAAAAGTTGCAAAATCTGGTTTACAAATACTAAGAAAAATTTGAATCAAATAATAATCTCTAATGAATCCATTATCTCTCAAACCAGTGTTTTTATACAAATGTAATTGTGATTTAACATTAAATCCATTTCTCACCCAAAATCCAGCTTTTATTTGAGACATCAAAACTATTGTTTTTATAGGATAATCAAATATTAAGCTCTCAATACTTACTCCTGGAAATTTCTTTGCATTTATTTCTTGGAAAATTTTCTTTAATCTATCAAGATTTGTAAATTTAGCGTATTCAATTAAACAACTTAAAAATGAATGAATAGGATGTAAAAAACTAACTGAAACTTCAGAAACTTTTGAACTTTTTATAGTTAACTTTGTAACTGGATCTTGTAGAAAATCACCATTTGAATGAATATCGGTATTTTCATAAATTATACCAGGAATTGAGTGAGCCTCTAAATTTATTAGGTAGTTTAAAACATAATGAATAGCAGTCAATGCTCTTTCTTGTTTTTGTAAATTATCCATTTCCGTATAATCAACAGTTTCTGCACTCATTTCAGCAAACTTATATATAACGGGTATTGAATGGAAAAAAGTTGAATAATCAGGACTTTCATATTCTACGTGATTAGTTTTCTCTCTTTTCATTGCTGGTCTACCTTGAAATAAATCTAAAACATCACATATTGCTGCAACACTCTCTTTATCAAGTACATCATATGATTTTTTACCCCTACTTATAATGAAACTTATATCAAAAAATAAATGACCCCATCTTCTGTTTTTTAAACTTTTTAAGGACATTTCATGAACTGAATGATCGTTGAATTGAATTCTTTCGCTCGTTAAAAATGAATGAACTGATGCTAAGATGGAAATAAAATCTCCATGATGAATAATCGATTTTGAATTACCTGGACTTGTGAAAAGTTGTGTTGAAAGTTTTGACATAATATTCAATTCTGGCTCTCTATCAATTGAAAGAAACATATCAGCAACAACCGCATAAATTTCGATATATTGACTTGATATTATATGTTTGTATTTTAAACTTGTGATTAATGAAGTAGAATACATATCATGCAACAATGACCTTGCTGCTTTCCAAAATCTTATATCTAGAAAAATCATATATTGTAGTCGTGATCCATGAATATCTATCTCAAATGTATCATTTTCACCACAATTATTACAATGAATATTTTCATGTACTTCATCAATCCATAAAGTATCATAATGCTTGGTTGATATTTGAGGTATACTTAAGTTTGGTTGTAGATGACCAACATTGTATTGTTCAGTATAATCACCTTTATTTTGTAATCCACATCTCCATTTTGAACAAAATGCTCTATCAAATAACTGTTTTACTGTTGTATTAATTTTAAAAAATTCACTTTCTGTAAACTCATTTAACCAAACAATCATCTCATGACACATATCTTCTCGAAATACATCTCTAGTACTTCTAATACTAGTTGTTAATCCCGTCGAACTAAGTAATTTTTGTCTTTCCAATAATGTACTAATATCTCCCGAAATTATAACTTCTGCTTTACCAAAAGTTTGTACTTGATCAGTAATCATAATTGCAAAATCTTTAAATTTTTTACTTGCTAAATAAACTCTTTGAACTGCATCTCTATAATGCCGTATTTGATCATTGTATAATATTAAACAATATTTATCATTATGTTCATCTTCAAATCCACAATCATCATATTTGTGAGCGTTAAGACTACTAAATTTAGTATTATCTAAAACTTTTTCAACATTCATTTCTTCAATTTCATCTAAATGTAAATCACTATGAATCATAACATCAATTATAAAATCTAATGCATTTCCTATAGTTTTTAATATTGAATCATAAAATTCATCAGGTAATATTTGATCTTGAAAATTTAATTCATTTAACGCGTATGGACATTTAAAATCTCGGACCCAAGCTTCAGGATCTCCACAATCGCATACACCACCATTTTCTCTTAAACAAATTCCAATATGAACATCATGACCTTCATGTTCAGAAGGTTGATAACAATGAGAACATAAAGCACAAGTTTCATCGTATGAACAAGTTAAACACCTAAATATAGGTTCTCCTTTATGAAAAATTCTTGAACATGGTTGATGAGGATGGAAAGCATTATGTGAATGAGTATCTTGAACACCTCTTTTTATAGCTAAAGATTTTGAATAATTTGAATATTTCCAATTAAATTCATTTTCTAGTTTATCATTTAAATTTTCAACATCTGGGAATAACCAATCTAAATACTTTGTTTTAGTTATTGATAAAAATAATTGTTTTCTAATTTGTTTTTTAATATTTTCATTTATTTCAAAATTTGATTCTTGTGGTAAACGTAGTAGGAACTTTTTTAAATTATAATCCATGTGTGAAAAAGATTGAGATGACGAATGCTATAAATTGTTTAATTGACTGTTTCAATTCATAAGTTTTATTATTTGGTTGCAAATTTTATTATAATCTTTGGTCTTGAATATTTAAATTTCTACTAAAATTAGAATGGCAAAATATTCTAAAACAAAAACAAAAAATACAATTAAAAATCGGTTAAAAAAAAATATACGAACTTTTGAAACAACAAATTTTTTAATTCATCAACATCAACATAAATTTTCAGTAAAGTCAACTCAATTGGGTTACAGTTGAATCACTTACACGTCATTGAACAATGTCAACTACCTCCAACAAGCTTTATAGCCAATCAAACATAAACATAAACAAACAAAAACTACAACATATTCACGATGTTTCATCATTAGTTCTTGGAATAGTTGCCGGTATAATGTCATTAGAATCACTATATGGTTTTGGTTTCTTTATTATTGGTAACTTTGTGACGAATATATTATTTTATATCATTTGTGGTCAAGGTAATATAAATAAATTTTTTAAAAATCCAATACAAGAAATTTTCATAGAAGGAATTGCAACTAATATAGCTGGGTATATTATGATGTGGTGTTTGATCTACGCATTGGTGAAATCAAGTTCATAATTGAATAATTGGAGCAATCAATTGTTATAGTTGTGAAATAGAGTAAAGATAAAATCCGTTAAATGGGCTTTTAGTAAGTAAATCTGATCTACAGATCAAGAATCAGTTTAGTTGACATCTGGAATGTCAATGATTTTATAAATATAGAGTTTGGCTAGAGTTAATAGAAGGTAATAAAAATACAACATGTAAATAAATAAAGTAATAATACTTCAATTTTGAAACCCATACCTGAAATTTGATTTGACTTAAACCCCGAAAATATTGGTAGCGTTAGATCACCACTATTTAATTATTAATTATATGGTGGCTATTAACCAAAAACGTTGAAATTTCAAATAATCTAACCATTTTAAATTTAGCAACAAAAATAATTAGCATTGGCTAGTCAACCCACTCAATTACTCAATTACTCAATTACTCATTTACTCAATTGTCTTTACAACTACTTAAAAGATGGAAAAAATTGATACTTCAACCAATTCCAAAAGAATTCAAGAACCATATAATAAAGTAGTAAGAGGAGATCCAAGTATTTCATATGTTGTTTATTCAGTTGATAAAAATGCAACTTTAGATGTTTTAGAAACAGGTTCTGGTGATTTAAATGAATTTGTTGAAAATTTTACAGATGGACAAGTACAATTTGGATTAGCAAGAGTTACAGTACCTGGATCTGATGTTTTTAAAAATTTACTTTTAGGTTGGTGTCCAGATAATGCACCTGCAAAATTAAGATTATCTTTTGCTAATAATTTTGCTGAAATATCTAAAATTTTCAGTGGATATCATATTCAAATTACTGCAAGAGATCAAGATGATTTAGATGTTGATGAATTTTTAAACCGTGTTGGTGCTGCTGCTGGTGCAAGATACTCTACAACTCCAAGTAGTTCAAAAAATTCTACTGGTGGTTCATCATCCACTAGTGCAAAACCAACAGTTTCAAAACCAATTCAATCCAAACCTACAACCACTAGTAGTAAACCATCATTTATTCCAAAATCAACTGGATTTGGAGCATCACAAAAACCAAAAAATTCCTCTGATGATGGATGGGGAGATGCACAAGATGTTGAAGAAAGAGATTTTGATGAAAAACCATTAGAAAATGTTCCATCAACTTATAAACCAACAAAAGTAAATATTAATGATTTAAGAAAACAAAAATCAGATACAATAAGTTCAACTCCAAAATCAAAACCTACACCTACAAAAGAAGAAGAAAAAGATGATAATAAACCAAAACCATTAAGTGAACGTATGAAAGCATACGATCATCATGACGATGGTAGATTAACTTCATTACCAAAACCCAAAATAGGACATTCAGTAGCTGATAAATATAAAGCTAGTACTAAAACATCATCAAATACTCCAACATTTGGAGCAAAACCTTCATTTGGTTCTAATCACACCACAAAAGAAAAACCTTCTGGTGGATTATCAAGAGATTTTGGTGCTGAAAATGGTAAAACTCCTGCACAAATTTGGGCTGAAAAAAGAGGTAAATATAAAACTGTTGCTCCTGGCGAAGAAGAAGAAGAAGAAGAAAATGATCATGACAACAAAGAATCTCAAAGTCATGCTTCTGAATTAGCTCATAAATTTGAACAGCATAAAATAGATGATGATGAAGAACAACCAGAGCAAGAAGAAGAAGAAGAAAAACCAGCTCCTTTACCAGCTAGAAATTTCCCACCACCACCAAAAAGACAACCTGAACCTGAACCAGAAGATGAAGACGACGAGGAAGAAGACGAAGCACCAGTGAAATTACCGGCTAGAAATTTACCTCCTCCTCCACCAAGACAACCAGAACCAGAAGAAGATGAAGATGAAGAAGAAGAAGACGAAAAACCAGCAAAATTACCAGCAAGAAACATTCCACCACCACCTTCATTTGATCAAGACGACGATGACGAAGAAGAAGATGACGAAGCACCAGTAAAACTCCCAGCAAGAAATATTCCACAACCACCACAAGCACAAGCACAATCTGAACCAGAACAAGAACAGGAACACGAATCTGAATCCAAAGGTACCACAGCAGTAGCAGAGTACGATTATGAAAAAGATGAAGATAATGAAATTGGATTTGAAGAAGGTGATCTTATTATTGAAATTGAATTTGTTGATGAAGATTGGTGGTCTGGAAAACATTCTAAAACTGGAGAAATTGGACTTTTCCCTGCTAATTATGTTTCTTTAAATTAGAGTTCATTGGTTGGTTTACGTAGTCCCTTAAAAAAGAAAGGGAAAAAAGTAATTGTATAGTAAAGTAGAATAAAAGAAAATTTGATTTATTAAGTTAACTTTAGTAAGTAGGTACTGGAATCATTGTAGTTGTAAAAGTAAAAAGTGCAAAAAAAGATTAAACTATTAAAAAAAGAATCATTGACAATTAATAAACGACCAGAGGGAGGATTGAACTCCCGATCTTGTGATTAACAGTCACACGCCTTAACCAGCTTGGCCATCCAGTCTATTAAGTCCAAGTGCGCCAAGTCACTTGTTTTCTGGCAATCACAACTCCGGGGTTTCTAACATGTATAATTTTTGGGCGCGATTTCTACACAATTTTTTGATTTTTTTGCTGATTATTTGACTTTTTTGTTTCAGTATTTGAAGCCATTTTATTCCAAGTTTGATTAATTTTAATTGGACAGTAACAATCTATGATATTATGTCTCTAGGCTATAGATAGTTTTTTTTGACAATATAGTTTAACTTCGATCAGTTTATGTTAAAAAATTTCGAAAAATTTGTGTTTATTCAGTTTGTTTATTTTTTGGTATCATTTTGCAACTAAAATACATAAAATTTGATAACTTCAACTAAAATTGAACCAAATCAAACACGCATTACTTCACATAAATAAGAATTCTTAATTGATTTTTAGTTAAAGTTATTAGTAAAGGTCATTAAATGAGTCAAAGAGTAAATCATGTCAGTATTTTTCAAAATAAATTAATTAAATATAATATTAATCTATTTCCAAACTTTTTTTATATAATAGCAAAACATAAAATTATAAACAGTACAAAGTACCCGGCAATTTCATTACGTATCATAAGACCATTATTTTCAGCTTGTGAAGCTGATGCGGTAGTGGAAGCAGATCTTGTAGTTGTAGAATCTGACGTGATTGATGAAGTAGTAGACGAAGTAGCAGATGAAGATGAAGATGATGTTGGTAGATTGGTTGATGTTGATACTACTCCACTACCTACTGATACTAGTCTTGATTGATTGTTTGATGTAGGTGATTGTGGTGGTGGTGATGATGATATTGTAGTTAGGTTTATTGATGATGATTGTGAGGTTGTTAAACCTGAGGATAATGTGCTTGATGTGGTTGAAGATAAAGAAGATGTTGAAGTTGATGAACTTGAACTTGATGAAGACGATTGACTAGATGATTGACTAGATGATTGACTAGATGATCCACTATTATCAACTGCTTTACCACTTTTAATATTTACTATATCTTGTTGAGCTTGTTGGAATCTACCATTAATTTGACCACCATTTGCAACAATAGATTGTAAATTTCCAGATTGATCATTATAAGAATATGAATTACCAGTAGAATAATCAACCGCAATAATTGATTTTATATGCATAGTAAAAGGAACTTGACTATAATCAGTATATCCACCAGCCCATTCAACAGTACCAATTTCATTTGAAGGATCACCACCTGCCCATATACCTGAATAAATTCTACAAGGAGATTGGATTTTTGCAGTCGTTAAAGATCTTACAATTTGACCATCAATTAACCAATCTACTTTTGATTCAGTCCAATTTATTGCATATTTATGATAAGTTTGTAATGGACTTGGTTGTAATGGATGATATTCTCCTCTATCATAAGTTGTTGTATCTCCTTTTAAAAAATAATTAGATTGCCATTCATAAGGATCACCACCAAAAAATTCTATATCAATTTCATCTAAATCATCACTTTGTAAATAAAAACTTGATATTATACCTTTACCTTCAGCTGCTTGCATTTCAACTTCAACATAACCAAACATTATATAAAAATTTGAAATAAATGAAGGATTATCAAATCTTTTATTTATAACTAATGAAATTCCATCTGAACCAAAATTTAAATCACCTTGTCTATTTCTTGAAGTAAAATATGATCCTAACCCATTATTAAAAGTTTCATGTATGGATCCACTTAATGCTGGATTTGGAGAACAATTCAGTTGTTTTAATGGATTACATGATAAGTCAGCTAATGATAATGTTATAATTGATAATATTGTTAAACATAGTGATGATATTAGTACCATAATATTATTGTGAATGTTGTGAAAATTGAAAATTCAAAATTAAATTTGAAACAAATGAATGAATGTATGTTTATGTAAAATTATGAGGAAGAAATAAGATTAACTTTAATTACTTTTTGTTTCTTGAAGTAGTAGTAATATTTTTATATGAAGATGAATAATTACAAAATTTGAAATCAATTTTGAAAAGAAGTTGTACTTTATATATAATTTTTACAAATTAAAGTTGAATCAATTGGAATCATAAGTTTGATGTCATTGATAATGTAAAGTGAAATAAAATAAATTAATTTATTATAATTAATATATTTTTTAAAATACTTGTTTCACAATACTAAATAAGTAAAATTATTTTAAGTAATATTACATTACATATATTTCTTTAATTGATCTCGGTTTAATTTTACTAAAAAATCAAATCAAAATCAAAGACCAAATATTTTAGTGAGATTCCAACAGAGTCCATGGAATAAATAGATATTACTTACTACTCATATACTCCGATATAAATATATGAACTAATCTCTTTCATAGCTTTACTTTTTGGTGCAATCATTTAAATGAATTAAATATCACAAAAATAATTATTAACTAATCATTACTTAATTACTATCTCCTTTCGTTTAATTAATATTATTATTATGATTATAAGATTATGTACATCAAGTTATTTTTAGTAACTAAGTAACAATAAATAAATACATAAATACACGATAGAAAAAAATAATTTATTTTCACCACCAAAGATTACTGAATCGAGGCTATGAACAGCAGTATGATTACTTCATTTGAATCAGCATTAGCTTGACCTTTTCAGAAGTAGAAATAAAATAATTTTCCGATCTTTCGTCTGAGTATTGATTGAAATTAATCTTTTCTTTTTTTAATTATTTTTGACTTTACTACCAAAAAATTGCTGGCTGATTCTCAAATCAAGAAAGTTACATTAAAAGATTGATTTTGTAGCACATTTAATGATCTGATGGTAAGATAAAAAATGATTTACAAAATTCTTATTCAACTAAGACCCCACATTAAGATCATTTGACAATGACTCGTTATTGGCTAAATATTTTGCAATTATAATCATTGGTATATTCAATAAAAATTAAAGAATCACATCGCTACCAAAAATTTTGATTGTCTTGAAAGCTCAATGTGTCATAAAATGAACAAGTAAGACAATTAGAAAATTTTAATACCGCTCAAGTCGTAATTTTTGTACGACTTCGTTACAACTAACTATATATCAGCTAGGACCAAATACATTTATGAACAAGACGCTTTCATTATTAAAAAAACTTAGTTCTTCTTACTTTTAGGGATTTTTTTTTACTCATACATCTAGGTTTTGATGTTTATCTTTCTTCGGCTAATGATGAACCAGTGTATTTTACTAGCAGTTTCCCCTGATCAGAACGACATTTATACACTCATTTTAAATTAAATTAATAAATTTATTTTAGTACAAAATAGAAAAAATAGAAGATTGCACAAACCGTCATTTTTTAATTTATCATCTTATCTAATATCTGATATCTAGTACTAATTTACAACTTACAAGTCAAGATTTTAATTCAACAACACCCTTATATAACTTATCATATCACCTATTTATTAGAAGTTTGCATTACTCAACTACTCTACTATTTATTATTTTAGAATATAACCTTATTTATTAATTTAACTATACAACCACATCGATATTTGCCCCACTACATTATTATAATACAACAAAGATGTTTATAAAAGATCAACCAGATATAATACCGCCTTATAATAGAAACAACCCACAATCAAATACAGTATACGAAGTATTACTAATATCATTTATTACAACATTATCAATAATAGGAGTATTAACAATAACGGGACTAATAGTATATTGTGTTCGTAGAAATAGAAATATTTCAGAAGATGAGTTAAGAAGAGAAGAAGAAAATCAAGCATATTTAGAATTAAATAGTGATGAACAAGAATTATATTTCCAATCAAAAGATTATTTAGCTAATAATCCTATGATTTGTGGTGATTTAACATTATCTCAAAATTTATCAATACAAGAAAAGGGTATATCAGCATTTGAATTTATAAAAGATTCAATATTAACAAATAATGATTTATTAATTTTAAATAAATATGAATTAAATTTTTTTAAAAATTTTGAATGTTCATCACAAACAAATTTACCAATTCCATTAAAAAATGAAGTTTATTACTTCGAATCTAAAATATATTCATTACCAAAACCAGAAGACACTTTGATATCCATAGGTTTAGCAATAAAACCATATCCTTGGTTTAGATTACCAGGTAGACATATACATTCAATAAGTTATGATTCTAATGGGTATAGAAGGTACAATCAACCTTTTAAATTCCAAACTGAACCTCCATTTCCTTCTTTAGCAGAAGGTGACGTTATTGGTGTTGGTTATAGAACTAGATCAGGTACTGTATTTTTCACAAGAAATGGTAAAAAAATAAGTGAATCAAAATTAGGTGGTCATATAAAAAATTTTAAATTTTTAACAAAAGCTCAAATTTTTCCTATTGTTGGTGCTAATGATATATGTTCAGTTCATGTAAATTTGGGTCAAAGAGGATTTGTATTTATTGAAGGAAATGTTAAAAATTGGGGGTATGCACCTATTGAAGGAACTGGTCCATCACCACCTGCTTATAATAAATTTAATTCTGATATTTTGTTAGAAAGAAGTGAAATAGATGATGATGATTTACAAGATAGAATAAATGATTTTCCTCCTGATTTTTTTCAGTCTAATTATAAGAATGAAACCAATGGTAATGAAGAAAATAAATTAATACAAAGTTCAAGTAATGAGAATGAAAGATTTAGTTATAATGCTTATTCTGAAGTTAATTCACAAGATGAAAGAATTACTTTAAATAGTCTAGCACCTCCTAATCGACCTCCATCTTATAATGAAGATGAAGGTGAAGAAGAAATCGATAATGAAGCAGAGCAAGTAAATGAATCACAAGATGCAGAACAAGTAAATGAAATACAAGATGCAGAGCCCGAAAATAGGATAGAAGAAGTGGAAGAAGAATTGGAGGAGGTGCAGGACACAAATGATGTTGAGGACGTTAGAAGTGAACATTCAAATACATAATATAATTTTTTAAGTTATTTAATTATTAGTGATTTTTTTAACTGTAGAATAAACCTCTCTATTTCATTATTTTTGACTAATACTTTTGCTTTTCACTCATAATACATTAAGTTAACAGTTCAAAACCTAAGAAGTTTAATTAAAGTACTGAAAAAATAGTAGATTTAATAAACTAAAAATCAATGTAACCAAAGATTGAATAAATCTAGATCTTAAATACTAAGTAATATATTTACCGAAATTGTGACATGAAATTAAAAATTTACAAACCTTATACTATCAAATCTGAAAAAATCTTAGATTCGAGATACTCTTGTTCTATACCTCAATTTTATAACATACAAAAATACGTTACTGAAAAAAAAAGACTTGAATCCAGAAGTACTAAAAATTTAGAGAAAATGATGACTCTTAGGTTTTACAGTATGCTTTTAATTTAATAATGGTTATGAATTTTATGAATTAAACTACGAAATATTTGAAAACATAAGTAGCATAAAGTTTAAATAAATCAATTTTAGTAAAAAATTCAAATTAAGTTAATGGTCGTCTGACTTTAAAAAATTAGTTTTGTTTTGTGTTATTTTTTTCAAAATCTCGTAAAATTTATAAAATACGTTTCTATTAATCTTTTTATTATTTTAAACTTCCAGTTTTTCTGATACTTTTGTCAAAATATAGGAAAACTCTCAAAAACTACATAGCTACAATTTACAAAGTTTGCTTCATCAAAGATGTAAAGGAACAGAGAAGGATTTGTTTCAAAATATTCAAATGAGAAGTTTTTGAAAGATTTAAGTTTTTTTTTAATTTCTTTTTATTTTTTAGTTTTAAATTCAAAGTTTATAAATTATTTAAGTCCAATTGATAATAGAGTTTAGTGAATATTTCGTAGTTCAAAAAACTAATCTAAAGAATTTAACTCTAGAATCTTCACTACGAGTTGGTTAAAATTTAGTCTTAATTCTTCCAAAAATCGAGAATTGTACTAGAAAAATTCGAATAAAATTAAACTTTGTATCTAAATATAACCAAGAATCAGAAATTCCAAATTTAATAAACTCTAAAAATTTTCAAAAATAAAAGGTCACACTACAATTTACCTAAAATGAATATTCTCAAATTTCATATGCAATTAATACACCACAAGAAAACTCTTTTACCTTAACTTTCTTTTGTAACTTTAGAGAATTGGTCTAATTAATACTTTTTTGTGTTCTTTAACGACTAAAGTACAAAATCAAATTGAAAGAATTATTACACGACTACTAAATGAATTACATTAAACTCTTCTTTAGCTTGTGTTAATTTAGTTCGTAAAAAATTGGAACTTGTGAAGTTATTCCAAAGGCTCTAAAAAAGTGCGCAAATTAGAAAGTTTAAAAAATCAGATAATTGACAGCGATAATCTACAATACGTTATTATTATTTATAATTATCGTCAATTCTTTTGTCTATATAAAATAAATCGAGGAATGTTGATTATATATACATTAGTAAACCATTTAAAGTCAAGTAAAACCTACTATTAAATCATCTTTGCAAGAAGTCTTCTTAACCTGGTGGTAATTGAGAAGCATCAACAATATCAGCAGCATCAACAGCAGCTTCATCTTCTTCATTAACTCCATCAAGAGGAGTTCTAGGTAAAGCCATCATTCCTGATCTTGCTAATTCCAATATCCCAAAAGGTTGTAATAATGTAATAAAACTTGAAACTCTACTTGGTTTTGCAGATAATTCAACAACAACATTTCTATCACTTATATCAACAACTTTACCACCAAATTGTTTTGTTATAGTTGAAATATGATCTAAATGAATATGTTTTTGTCTAAGGGCTTCACTTGGAGCTAAATTTGATGGATGATATGCTGATTCACATGCTGATAAATCTGGAATTGATGATCCATCATCTATATGTAATTGATGAGTTGCTATTAATTCTTGAAAATATTCTGGTCCTAATAATGAAACTCTTGCTAATAATAATTCTCTTTTTATAATTTCAGCATTTGTATAATCTAATACAGCATATACTGGAACAAGATCTTCAATTTGTCTTCTTGCTTGTTCAACAACTCCATCTAAACCTTTTAAAACAATAGTCATTCTTGATAAATCTTTTACTTCAGTATTACAAACAACTAATGAATCAATATTAAATCCTCTAGCAGCTAATGTTCCTGATACCGAACTTAATACACCAGGTTCATTTTGTACTAAACAATTTAAAACATGTTGTTTTGGAGGTGCTTTTGATGCAACTGGGGTTTCATATAATATTGAAGATACTGCTGTATCAGCTGACCAATTTGGAGTTTCTAATGTTGGTAATGGTGGTCTTTTTTGATTACGATGTAATGTTTTATAAGCTAATGCTGATGTTGAACTTGATGATCTTGTCCTTATTGATTGATAAAGTATTGAAGATCTTTTAAGCATTTTTTTTGGGTTGGTTAGTGAAGCTAAGATCTGATAAAGTAAGTATTTATGAATTGAACTTATACGATTTGAAGTGAAAAATTTATGATTCACATTTTTTTTATGTTTTGAAAAAAAAAAAAAAAATTTAATTTTTTCTTCCCCGGTGAAATGGATTTTTTTATCGTTTGTGGTTTTGGACCAACAAAATAATTATGGGTCGAGAAAAAATATTCCTTGACTTAATGCTCGTATGAGTACTTTCGCTAAATTCTGATTATTATAGTTTTAAATTCTGACCTGAACAGGCCATATATATGAATTTACGACTTATTATAATTCAGGAATTAAAAAGCATGAAAATGTATAAGAATTTTGTCGAAAATAGAAGAAAATAATACGAGGGAAACCTGACATATTTTATCTTGAATTATATAATTAAATGTACTTGAATAAAATTAAACTGATAAGGAATTGATTATTGTTACTCTGTATATAATTGCGATCATTCAAATTTTAGTGAACGTGGGGAATATTTTTGCATATAATGATACGTATTGTTCGTTTTAGGTTTTCATTTTCTTCGTGGTATTCTCGCTCAAGAAATTAAAAAAATAAATTTAAGGAGATAATGATGAGGCATCAAAAAATTGATTGATTCATTAATAAATTTTTACAACTCAATTGATGTTACAACTCCTTAAACTGATCTACAGTATGAATGATAAGTAATATCTGATATAAAAAATTTTATATATTAAATTAATTAAAGATAAAAAGTGTTTTATAAGGAATAAAAATTGAATATAAATATTTCAAAAACTTGTAGCATAAGTCTTAAAAATTATTTACATCAGAACATTCCTAATGTTTTTTTGAGTAAACTTATTGGTAATAAAAAAAGGCAAAAAAATTAAATTAATTAATGAAACAACAATGTTAAAAAATAGCAAACTAATTCAATTGTTAAATACTCATTAAATTTATAATAATAAACCTAAAGCCATTAATAATGGACCACCAACAGCAGCAGCTTGAACAGCTTCAGCACCACCAGTTTTAGTAATTGAATAAGTTTTAGTTTTGGTCCAATAAGAAGTAGAACCATGTTTATCAGTAGTAGTATGAGTTTTTTCTGAATGAGTAGCAGTAGTAATTTTTGTAGTTGAATGACTTGATGATGATGATGAAGTAGTTTTTGAATGAGATGATGATGAAGTTTTAGTTAATGATGAAAAAAAAGATTTAACTGATGAAGTTTTTGAATTTTTTTTACCTTGTTCTTCGACTTCATTATCTTCTTCTTTTAAATTAACAATAGTTGGATAACCATATTCAGAATCTTGAATAATTAATTCATTATCATTAATTAATCTAATTTGTTCTAAATTTAAAGCTAAAGCAACTGAAGCGAATGTAACTAATGTAGTAAATTTCATTATAATTAATTAATTAATATATATAAATTGATAATATATCTGTAAATAGAATTCAAAATTGAGAAAAGGATATATATATAACAAGAATGTAAATTTATATAAAAATTAGAAAAGTGAAGGAAAATCCCCTTTATTTTATACTTATAACAATTATTGAATTAAAATGCAAATTTAACGAAAATTAATTAAAAAAAGAATTATACAGAAATGTACAAACCATACCAATTTCTACTAATATTAACTTTTTAATTAGATACTATTAAAATACCACACTAATTTAATTCTAATTTGGATATTGTAACTCATAACTTATAAGAAGTTACATCGTCTTAAATTTAAAATTGCTAAAAGATATAAAATTAAAATTAACCTTTTTTTAATTATAATTTATTACACAAAAAATAAATAATTATTTCTGATAAAGTTGCACTACTTGTTTTGAAATGTTTTATAGCTACCATATGAGATACAAAAAAACTATGTCTGTCTTTTTGTTATTATTAATGTCACAAAATATTTATATATATGGAATATTAATAATGCTACTTTTTGATTCTGTAATTATATATTAAAACATCTCATTAAAATATATAGTATTCATTTGATCTTAACAATTGAACTTTAAAAGTTCAATTAAAGTTTTAGATTCATTTATTTTATCTAATCTTTTCATAGGTCCCAATTTTTTTGTACTAACAAATATTAAATTGAATAGACTAATTAAATTTCTTATACATAATACTATCTAATTAATCATATAATAAATTATTATATATTACATTTAAGATTGAATGGACATTCATTTTACTATTGAATTTAAAAAACTTGAAATTATCTTGAGATTTATATAAACTTTAGTTGAACAATTCAGATATTCTTCACTTGATTTTAAAATAGACTCGACATTTAATTATTCTTTTTAAACAAAATATAAAAAATTCTATAAATAATTTCATTATCATAACTATTTTAGATCTTGTACTACATATTTTACAAAATAATAACCTTATTATAATTAAATTTTATTCATTTACGAATTATTATAAGACCAAACGAATTAGTACCAAAAATATACGAAATACAACAAATATATATCTATATATGATTATAACCAATATATAATTATCTGGCAATTTAAAGCAAAGATTAAATGCAAAATAACAAGAACCACATACCAATAAATCAGCCACCAAATCCAATACAGCAGCCATTAAATCAACAATCAATACCCCAACCACATCAACAACCACTTCAACAACAACCTTATTATGTACAGACTCAACCACCACCAAATAATGGATACTATCAGAATCAACCACCAGCACCAAATCCCCCTATACAACCTCAACAATCATCAAATTTAAATCTACATCCACCACCTTTTGTAAATTCATACCCAAATTATCCACCTCAAAATTATCAATACTCTCAATATCCTCAACAACAACAATCACAATCAATAAATACTTCAAATCAACCATCACTGTCTATTTCTTCAGATTCTCCAAATCAACATAGTCATTATTCAAATCAAAATCATTTATCTATACATTCAATAAATAATAACACTCAAGTACCTCAACCTCAACCAAGATTAAAACTGCCAGTAAATAATATAGCACCACCTAACAATACTTCATTAACTCCACAAAATCAACCACCACTAAAGTCTCAAAGCCCAGCAAGTATAGAAACCACCAATCAAAAAAATCCTAAAAAACGACCTCATACATCATCTCAACCATTATCAAGAGCAACTGTAACATATCCAAGAAAAAGAGCAGTAACAGCATGTCAGGTATGTAGATTGAAAAAGACCAAATGTGATAATGTTAGACCACAATGTGGTTCATGTGAAAGATCAAATGTTAAATGTCAATACTTAACTGATCAGAATCAAAAAGATTATTCAAGTTATGATCCTGCTTCTTTAAGTATATTAAGTAAATTAGATATTATTTTAAAAGATTTAAAACATATTAAAGGTGAAGAAAACGAGGAATTAAAAAGTAATGATAATAAAAAACAAAATGCACAAAAATTTGAAGAATTTGATAAATGTATTTGGGATATGTCAGTAACTTCCATATTTGATTGGCATTGTTTTCAAAAGGAAATCAAAGAAGATGAGGAGTATTTACAAGAAATTAAATCCGATTTGATATCAAATTATGATAAGAATTTAAGAATTGGAAATAATCAATCATTTATTGATCAATTAAAAGAATTTGAAAATTTAGATAAATTAATTAATAATAATTTTTCAAATATTATTAATTCATTTTTTGTTAATATTTATACTAAATTACCTATAATTGATGTTTATGAATTTTTTGAATTATTGGAATTTTATCAATTTTTAAATAATCAAATAGACGATTTTACATTTGTCAAATTTATTGAATATTTCAACGATGATTTCAAAATATCACCAATTATTGAAAAAGTCTATGAAGATAATAATTTAGCAATTAATATGGGCAAAATTCAAGAATTAATTCATTCAATCCCATTAATTTTACTTATATGTGCACTTGGGATATCTAGTACACCAGTCAATTTGGATAATTTAAATACATTTGAAGATTCACTAGAGGAATCATCATCAATAGATATAGGATGTCTAAGTAATGCAGAATCTTTCAAAAATATACCACCACATTTCAGTAAAAATCGAACAGAAATAGCATTTAAACTCAAGAAATATGCGGAAGTTATAATAACATTATTTCCAGAAGTTCTACCTACAAATTCAATGTTATCAACTCAATATTATATAATGCAACATCAACTATATATACAAAACAATTATCCATTATTAGCTCATGAATCTATATTAACTGCAAGTAAGAATATAATGTACTATTTACAAAAGTTCCCAGAAAAAAACTATGATATAAAAGGTATATTATTTTGGACATGTTTAAAATTAGAATGTGAATCTAATACTGAATTATCTCCATTGGTCCCATTATCAGGTATAAACTTGTTCACACCACCAATAAATTTTCCTCGCATTCCTGAACCACCTAGAAAGAATCTTTATAATGAAAATATAATGAAACTAGCAAATAAATATGATGATGAATATACTTGGTATTTTTTTTTAACGGAAATAGCTATTCGAAAAATAGATAATAAAATGTTTGATGATTTTTATTCATTACTGTCAAAGAATTTATGGGATAATGAACACTTCATCAAGGAAGAATTTTTTAAAAAATTTATAAAATATATTAACCAATATAATGGTGTAATAAATTCATTAACTCCAGAAATAAGAAACTTTGTACTTCAGGAAATAAACGTTGATCAAATTTATCGTCGAATGAAAATCAGATATGAGAAAAAACACAACAACAAAACCAAGAGAGGAGAATCTGTTTCAGATTCAGAATATAATATAAATCAAGATCAAATATTTGACTCATTAGATGATTTTCTAATAGATGATGATTTATTACTCAAAGCACAATCTGAATCAATAATGTATATCAAAACAAGAGTTATTGCATCAAAATTAATGTTGTTTAGACCAATAATTTATTTATTCCTAGAAGATAAAATATCCTACTTGGAAATATTTGAAGCAATAGCAACAATATTACAACATAATCTCACATCACAAATACCTATATTGGATTCACCTAATTCAACTTCATCATCAACAATTTCAACTAATCAAGAATCAGATTTCCAAAATTTAAATTTTTTTAATTTAAGAAAAGCACCATTAATTTATCAAAAACATTACCCCGATGAAGATTTTTCTAATTTGGTGGAATATAATGAAGGAGAAGAAGATATAGTAATAAAAGATTTTACAAAGACTAAACAAAAAATTTTAATAATTTTTATTCAAAATTTAATATCAATTCCAAAATTAAATATTCCCAAATTATCATCACATAGACATCCAGGATCTTGGTATTTTATAAGAAATATGTTTATTGCAACAATTTATCAATTTTTAATCTATAAGAAATTTATAAAAATCATAGAAGAAATTAATCATACCCCCATAATTCAACAAAATATAGTTGGTAAATTCTTTGCAGGTAGTAAAACTTGGGATGAAATTAAAACACTTTTAAATCTTATAATTGATAAAACTAGTGTATTAGCATTTTTAGAACATTCTTTAATTGTATTTCAATATTGGAAATTAGAAATGAGAGATTGTGAAATTTATCAAGTCTTTGTGAAAAAAATGATTAATAATTTATAGTTCCATAGTTAATGTATTAATTACAAGATATTCAACTTCGTTACATTTAATTGAGTAAGATCAAAAAGTATATGAATGTAAGTAAATAAAATATAGACTATTTAACTAGCCGTACCAAATTATTGTTGTTGTCGTGTTGTATGCAGTACTGATCTTTTAGATAACTTTAAAACATTTTTTTTTTATTTTTTTAATTAAGATCGAAAATCGGGATTTGAAATTTAAATTAATAAAAAAACAAAACAAAACATACAAAAAAAAACAAGTCCATCCCAATTATCTATTCTAATCTCAATTTATATGAAAATAATCCAAGTCTTAATTGAATAATAAATGCCATTAAATAAATTAATTAATATAACATCATCAACAACCACTCAACCATCACTAGATTCAATAAACGAAAATTCAAAAGAACCAATAGATAAAAATTGGAATAATTGCGATTATGAAATAAAAGAACAAGATAGATTTTTACCAATTGCAAACGGTACGTATTTTATTCAACAATAGTAAAAATTCCTTTAGTATTTTTATATACTAACTTGTTCCCACCACCAGTTGGTAGAGTAATGAAAAAGGCACTTCCATCACATGCAAAATTATCAAAAGAAAGTAAAGAATGTATACAAGAATGTGTATCTGAATTTATACTGTTTATAACTTCTCAATCTTCAGATAAGTGTAAATTAGAGAAAAGAAAAACATTAAATGGTGAAGATATTTTATGGAGTTTATATTGTTTAGGATTTGAAAATTATTCAGAAACTTTAAAAATTTATTTAGCAAAGTATAGACAAGTATGTTTTTTTACTTATTTTGTAAAAAATAATTGTTCAATTTAATAACAATTTTAACTCAATTTAATGATACTAACTTTTAACTAGTATGAGCAAGAACAAGCTATGATTAAACCACCTAGGAAAAAACCTAAAAGAAGTAGGAAAATAAAACAAGAAACAATAGAAGAAGAGGAAGATGAAGATGAAGAAACAGATCAACAATTAATATTAGGTCAAGTAGATAGTTATGAACAAGACGAAGAGTTTGATGAAGAAGAAGAAGATGAGATTGATGAGATTGATGAGGAAAATAATAGCGATAATAATCAATTATTAAGTAATGAGTATATTGACGCGAATTATTTGCAACAACCACAACTACCACAAATAATACCAAATAACGAATTACAGAATGATCCGGAGTATCAACAATATATACAAAATCAATTAAATTTGCAACAACAACAAAACCAACAAAATCTACAACAACTTCAAAATTTCCAAAATCACCAAAATCTGTACGTTCCTAATCAACCAATACAGCCTAATTTCCCAATTCTACATCAACAGCCAGCACAAATACAACAACAACAGCAATATATTCAACCACTTCAGCAACATTTTAATCAATCTAATATTGTAACACCACCAACTACAAATGATGTAGAAATAACTCAAATTGGTACAAATATAGAATTTATTTTAAAAAGTTCACCATCTTCAAATTTTACAAAATAGATCAAGTGAAAAGTGAATAGCATCTTTTTTAATAATGACAAGACATATGCTACTTTTGTTTTTGACTATGTAGTTCATTAACATTTTCTATTTCTATTTTTGGTGTTTTTTTGCAGCTAAATTTAGTACAAAAAAAATAAATTTTATTCTTACATTGCACGTAAAATTATATTGTAATTTTGATTAAAGTTTCAAAAAAAACTAATTGAAAATTATTTCAATTATTTTAAAATAAGTCAATTGTAATCGCACTTATTGGTAGGAAATTTTAATAAACCTTCTTTAAATAATATTTTTCAATTGTTCAAATTAAATTGGTCCTTAACTAAGAATTTGAAACTAAAACTAAAAATTAAAAAAATAAAAAATTTAGAGCCACTTTTAAATTTCCAGAACCCTTTGTTCAAAATGTATATTATTTAAAATCAAACGACCCTTTCGAATAAGTATAATTTATTAAAATAAGAAATGCAATTAAAACATAATAATATAACGTTTAATTAGACGTGAAATGTACAAAAGATGTGGTAGTTAATTATTGTCTTTAAATACATTTAGTCAAGTATCTGTAGTGATATTTAATTTAACTCTTTTAGGTAATTTTATTAACCAGTTTACACTACCTTTAGATTTACGAGAGAAAAAAATTAAATTGTTATATACAGTACTTCAATTATTGGTGTGATTTTTTATTATTAATTTGTTTTCTATTTATAATTTTTTTACAACCAAAATTTGCATAATTTAAATTTAAAATCAAATTTAAAATTAAAGAAGCTCAAGACGATATACAATTGTAATAGAGTCACCATTCATCGTTGAATAAATTAAAAATTCATAGACCATTTAATTAATACATTTAATACATTTCTATTTTTAAATCAAATTTAAACGATTGTCCACAAAACCATTATTTTCAAAACGGATAAATTTTTTTTTTTTTTTTTTCACAATATTTGATAAAGAAGATTTACACTAAAGATACTATATTGTTTCAGGGTTTATATAAAGAGATTGAGGTTCTAGAGTAATTATAGTCATCAACTAAATCATCAATTGAAACACTTACATAACACAATTCAACAATGATAAAATCATTTAGGAAAAGTAAAAGAACGTCGAGTTCATCAAGTTCACCAAAAAGAAATATATCAAGAATTTCATCAACTTCAAATAATGATGCAGAAAATATACTACAATCACCTAAAAAAGTTATAAAAGCATTATATGATTATGAACCTCAAGGACCAGGAGAATTAAAATTTAAAGTTGGAGACTTTTTTCATGTTTTAAATATAAGTGATGATCCAAAACATAAAGAAGCAGAAGAAAATGGTTGGTATGAAGCAACTAATCCAATGACTCATGCTAAAGGTATGGTACCTATAAATTATTTTGAAGTATTTGATAGATCAAGACCCAATGCTGCAACTAATAATCAAATACAGAATAATCATCAAAGTCATCATCAATTACAAAATCAACAATATTCAAATAATAATAATAATACTAATAATAATAACCATCACCATCACCAAATACAACAACAACAACAACAGCGGACTTCTAATCAAACATTATACGCAGTTACATTATACGAATTCAAAGCAGAAAGAGAAGATGAATTAGATGTATCACCAGGAGAAAATTTAATAATATGTGCTCATCATGATTATGAATGGTTCATAGCAAAGCCAATTAATAGATTAGGGGGACCAGGTTTAGTTCCAGTAGCATATGTGAAAATAATAGATTTAATGAACCCAAATTCAGCATCATCAAATTCATCAATTGCTTCAATAGATACAACAAATAGAGAACAAGTTATGAAAATAATATCAGGTTTCAAAATCCCTACAGTTGAACAATGGAAAGATCAAACTGCAAAATATCAAGCATCATCAATAGCATTAGGACAAATATCAAGAACCAAAACTCCACCAATGTCATCAACATCACAATTTTTCGATGGTACAACAACAACATCAAATAGATCATCATTGATATCAACTCAAATTATAGAAGCAAGTGTTGATTCTTATCAATTAGATCATGGAAGATATCAATACCTCATAACTGCAAAATTATCAAATGGGAAAATAAGACATTTATATAGATATTATCAAGATTTTTATGATTTACAAGTAAAATTATTAGAATTGTTCCCTTATGAAGCAGGTAAAATAGAAAATAGTAAAAGAACAATTCCATCAATACCAGGTCCCCTTATTAATGTCAACGACTCAATATCGAAATTAAGAAGAGAAAAATTAGATATTTATTTATCACAATTAATAGCATTACCATCACATATATCAAGATCGGAAGAAGTTTTACAACTATTTGAAATTTTAAACAATGGATTTGATAAAGAAATTGAATCAACCCGTAGAGTTTCAAAACCAATAAGTCAAAAATCAAATTCTCATCAAGATAGAATGTCACAATATTCAAATTTTGGTATACAACCAAGAATATCAGATCCTTCAAATTCAAATGAATCACAAACTCAAAGATCAAGAGAATCTTCAACTACGAGTTATCACAACAATAACAATAACAATAATATCAATAACAATAATAATATCAACCAACAAATTCCACCAACGTCAGCATCATCATCTACAGACCTAGAAAAATCACCAAAAGTAAAAGTAAAATTCTATTATGAAGATGATATTTTTGCATTATTACTTCCATCAAATTTAAGATTACAAGATCTAAAAACAAAATTATATAAAAGATTAGAATTAGATGATTTACAACAACATAATTTTACATCACCAAAAACAATAAATTCAATTAAATTATTTTTAAAAAATGATTATGAAGATTTTTGTAAAGAATTTAAAATTGATTCTAATGTTGAAAATTTAGATTTTATAACTTATGGAAATAAATTAATTGAATTTGAAATTGATGAAGATTCTAAATTTCATGAGATTTTATATGATAAATGTAAATTAATTATTGTTATTGTTTAAAATTTGGGGTGGGGTTTCATGGTTTTAGTTTAATTGAGAATAGATATTTTCTAATTATTGCATGATATGTTTTTGTTTAATGTTGTTATTTAATGAGAAAGATTTTTAATGTATAAATATTTATGACATTTCACACAACTAACTAAACTCTATTTTCATTCAACAGTTTATTAATAAAATTTAGTAGATAAAATTATATATGATGATCTTAAGTTTATTGCATGATAAGCTGCAAAAACAAGATCCAAAAAAAAGTCTGTGGTAGCCTTTTCATGAGATTATTTTTCTAGTCTACTAAGAAACTATAGAAAATTAATTTTGTGTACAAACTTCTCTGATTTTGTAAATAAATAAAGATATACATAAACAAGAAATATACATCAAGGTTTATATACTTGAATTTACCACAATCAAAACTCGAAGTAATCGTTAAAAAGTCGAATTTATTTAACTCAATAATATGCTTTAAAATCAGTTGAATAACTATAAAATAATGAGCATATTTGGATTCAAAAAACCCAAACATCAAACCCAAAACTCAAATCAAAATCAGAATAAACAATCACTAATATCAACAATCTACAATTATGCATTTGGAGAACAAGATAACTTTGACGAAGATGCAGATGATGATGAATTTTTAAATCAATATGAAACATCACAAGAATATCAATCACAAGAAGAACAACTCACTCCTATAAAAACTCCACAAGTGAAGATTTTGAAACTTAATAATACTCCAGTTTTAGTTAAAAGTAGACAATCTCCTTTAATTAATTCATCTAAAATATTGAAACCAAGAGTTAAATCATTGAAGAGAGAAAGTATTTTAAAACGTCATTTGAATGAAATTAATACGTCTTTTAAAAATGATTCCGATTTGGATGTAAGTAGAGAAATTAGTGACAATGAATTGGATGGAAACAAAAGTAAATTATCAAGTAGTAAAAATGAAAAAGTATTAAATTCTCCACCTGAAAAATCAAACTTATCAAAACCTACAACTAAATCAACTCAATCAACCAAGAAACCTATTGCATTAACTCAAACTTCTGAAGAATCTACTGCATCAACTCCGTCTAAAAAGTCAAAAGTATTAACCAAAAATGAGAAAGCCGAATCAAAAGCGACAGCAACGCCAAAACAATCAGTAGCAGAACTGAAATCAACACCATTGAAGAAAAACAATGTTAATAAATCAAAGACAACTAGTCTAAAAAAATCAAATTTACCAACCACAACAATTTCCAAAGTTCCAAGCACTCAAGCTACCTCGACACCTTCGGAAACACAACCAAAAGTCAACCCAACCATCAAAAAACCGTCACCACAAGATATTTATAACTTAATGCATAAAGTTGGATCAATCCCACCAACTAGAACTAATAAACTTATAGATTTAGCTCCCAAGTTTTCTGATAATACAAATTCGAATAATGTATCAGGTCCTGCAATTTCATCAAATAAAACTTCAATCGAACTGACTTCAATTGAACCAATACCATATAAATCAAAACCAACAAGTTCAACTCCAAAAAAATCTTCCTCAATTAAATTAAAGTACGGCAAATCACAAACTCCCGTTGAATCCTCTCCTCAAATGTCAGATCACTCACCTCATTCAATAATATTTGATCAACTACAAAACTCAAGTAAAATACAAACTCCAAAAAAACTACAACAACCTAGAGAATCTCAACCACAAGCTAAAACTCAACCTCCACCAAAAAGATCAAGAAGGGAAGTTCCAAGGATCTCAGCATCTCCAGAAGATTCAAGTAATGATACCTCAATGAAAACAGCTCCAAATGAAGTACAAACTCCACAACCTAAAAGAGCTCAACCAAAAAGACCAATTCCTTCAAAAACTCCACAAAAACTACAAGCCAAAATTACAAATTCAAAACCTACAACTAAAAGTAAAAAGAAGAAACAAGAATCATCACCCCCATATGAAAACGATACAACTTCTACAATTTTTATATCATCTGATTCATCTACTTCATCACTTGATCAAACTTTGAAACAATCACCAACTGCACAGAATATAGTAACTACACCAACTGAACAAAGTCCTGAAAATTCACCAATTGAAAAAGATTTAGAAAATGACATTTTATCATTAGCAGGTCATAATGAAGATCAAGATGAACAATTTTTCTCAACAAAAGAATCCCCTGAAGATGAAATAGATGAAGATATAGAAGCAGCTGTTGAAAATGAAGTACTGAATCATTTCTTTTTAAAAACTAGAGATTATGAAATATCACAATCACCAATGCCTCAAACTCATGTATCATCAATCAATCCTCAATTAACTGATATTTCACAGTTCAATCATGATGAAGATGATGATCAACCACCAGTATACACTACTTCTCAAGAAAATCCATTTTTGGAAACTCATGATTCAATTAGTGACGAGGAAGAAGAAGTTAAAGGTGTAGCATTAACAAGTCCGTTTGAATCTAACCCAAAGCTTAAAGCCAAATCAATTATTGAATTACAAGAAGACTCACCTAAAAAGAGTAAAGGTTTAAGTCAATTATTCCAAAAGACATATAAGCAGACACCATTACCTGCACCAAAACAATCATCAAAATTAGACCAAGAAGATGAATCACTAAGTAGCTACGACCATGATACTGAACAAGCCCCAACTGCATTCATCATAATCCCAGCAGATAAAGTTGATGATTACAAACCAATTGATCATGCAACAAACCCATTTTCACCAAAGCAAAGCATATTATCACCAAGTAACAACACTAACAAAATAATTACACCAACAATATCAACTACTGCCAACTTAGTTACATCGAAATCGAGTTCAATCGAACCAAAACACGTCTCAATAGCGGAACAAATAAAAAAATTAAATCAACTTCGTCAACATAGCAAGAAATCTCAAACTCCAGAGCTTAATTCATTACCTTTAAATTTTGATGGTGTTGTTGAAAATTCACCAAAATTAGGTAAATCATTTTCCAGATTATTAAATAGGTCAAAAATTGAGAAACCAAATTCAAAATTTTCAAGAACACTACCAGCGGGTAAATCAACAACTAAACCGGAAGATGCTTCATCTCCCAAGCAAACAGAGGTTATGCATCAACCAACTGAACCAAATTATACATCATCACCTAGAAATCTTCTAGAGTTTGGAGATGCTTCAAATCTAGAAAAAACTAGCGTCGATTTACCTTTATACGATACCAAAGAATCAGAAAATGAACAAGCTACAAAAACTAAGGAAGATAACGAAGGTAAAGAAGTTGAACAAGAAGATTCGATAATTTGCACACCAACAACAGTAATAATAGAAGATGGTATAAAAGGTATAACTCAATCAATAACTCAAGTACCAAAACCTTTAAATAATACTGAAATTTTAAAAAATGAATCTAAAAGTTTCCAAAAAGATGGTACAAAAAATGATGAAAATCAAGGTGATCAATTAGCTAATGATGAAGATGAAAATATTGCTGAAGTTACAGAAGCTGAATTTAGTCATAATGTTATTGTATCTGCATATGAAGAGGATAGACAAAGAGCTTTAAAATTACAACAACAACAAAATCAAAAAGAAAATGCAACTACAGAGTTATCCCGTGAAAAAGATAGGCAGAACTCTTTAATGTTGTTACAACAGATTCAAAATGAGAGTGAAACTGATGATTTACTACTCGAAGAAGATAGACGAAAAGCCTTGACTTTACAAAAACAAGTTCAAAAAGATAGAGCTAAGGTTAGAACTTCACCAAGAATTGAAAATCTTACTAATCCTATCGATGTACCAACTCATAAATTAGCGAGTGAGAAAAATGAACAAGAATTAGTACAGGATTTGGAAGAGGACGAAAATTCTTCGGAGATAATTAATGTGTTAAAAAACCTACAATCAGCTCCGAAGAAAAGAGTATCAGAAGTACAAACCCCAAACACCAACAAAAGAAGAAAAAGAGTCAGTATAAAAAGAGGTAAATACATTTCCATCATAAATTCTTCAGATGATGAAGATGACGCAGATGAAATAATTGAAGAAGATTTCACCAATGTTGTTGAAGAAGAAAACATATCAGATGGTTCAGATGATATTTATCAAGCTTGGAATAGTGATAGAGAAATCCCAGATGAATCTGAAATTTCAATTCTGAGAAATTCAAGTTTCGCATCATCTATGAATGAACAAAAGGATAATGATATGGTAACATCAACTCAAGAAAATTCAACCGAAAAAGATCTGCTGGGTTTAAATGCAAATGAAACTCAAATTAATAATTCAATAGAAAGACCTTTGAGTCAATGGGAATTAATTTATAGATCAAATTCATCAATTGAAAAATCTTCATTATCACAAAATGGCATATTAGGATCAAAGCAAAATTCTCAAGAGAAACAAAGTTCATTAAATCATGGCTTTACAACTCATTCACAACCTGAACTTTGGCATTCGAGAAGTTCACAACCCAAACCACAACCACCACATTCTCAAGGTTTTAAAATTTATTCACATCAAGAACTTTTATCATTAAGTCCCAACCAAAAAAATTCAGTTGAATTATCGGATCTTACAAATAATTTTACTCCAGGAACTAAAGGGGATGTTCAAATAGATAAAACAAATTCACAAATAGAATCATCAAAATCAAGCAATACTAATAAAACTCAAAACGAAAAAATAAACTCAAGTCAATCAATCCACTCACCAGTAAACAAAATCACAGATAAATTAGAAAATAATGAAGAACAACAAAAACCAACAACAACAACAGAATTTATGACAAATATACCACATATTGATGGACCAAATTCAGATTCTCCAACGAAACCTCAAAAGGAAAATTTCGTAACTTCAAAAAACAAGAGAAAACAAGCTCAACAAAGAAAGAAATTTAGGTCATTAATTCGTGAAAATGTAATATAATATATAAAAAATACTTTGGCATTTAAATTGAAGTCTTATAAAGTTGTAGAATTTTTTGCACTCTTATCTAAAAAATCTCAAACAAGCCACAATATTAGAAACCCCTTAACTTTAAAATCAGAATTATAAAAAAGCAATTAATTTTTAAACAATTTCCTTAACTTCCTTCATCTACAAACATCAAAACATGATTTCGCCAAAGTACTCATTAACTCACTATTACTTAGGTACAAAAACCTTATCAACAGCAAAACAAGCACCTCATGTAGTAAATTTATATCTTGATTATAATTGTCCATTTAGTGCAAAATTATTCTTAAAATTATATTCAAAAGTTATTCCACAATTACAATCTCAAAAACCAGATCAATTTCAATTCGTTTATGTCAATGTAATTCAACCTTGGCATACTAATTCTACATTATTGAATGAGTTCTCATTGGCTTATTCTAAATTGTTGAGGGAACAACATCAAGGAAATGAACAAGAGAAATTTTGGAATTTAAGTAAAGTCTTGTTTGAAAATAAGGAGAAATTTTATGATAATTCAAACATTGATTTGAATAGAAATGAGATTTATAAACAAATATATGATGTTGTTTCATCTAAATTGGATTTAGGAGTTGGAAAAGATGAATTATTGAATGAATTAATAATTAAAGCTGGTGGTGAACCTTCAAATAGTGGGAATGGAGCTACTACAGATGTAAAATATTTTACTAGATATTTAAGAACTGTTGGAGTTCATGTTACACCTACCGTTACCGTTGATGGGATAGTTGATGATTCTGTATCTAGTGGATCAAGTGAAGATGAATTAGTTAGAGTATTTGAAAATAAACTTTAAGTTTCTATTTTTCATGCAAATTAAGATTCTATACAGATAAATATACAGTTTAGTCTTCTTCTTCCTCATATTCACCAATTTCTTCATCGTCTTCTTCTTCAGATTCATCATCTTTACCACCTTCAGCTTCTAGTATAGTATCATTATAATCTTGTTGATATTTTCTTGCAATTCTTGAAGCTCTACCAGATAATTTAGCTTCTTCTCTTGCTTTTATTTGTAAATTACGTAATTCATCTTTAAATCCATTTTTAACTGATCTATTTGAAAAAGTATCCCACATTTTTAATCCACCCGTTACTCCACCAATTACTAAATTTCCAGCAACTTCAATATCATTAGCGTAAGATGTAGTTAATACATTACCTACACCAAAATCTCGAGATAATATCATTGATGGGCCTGTACCACTTGTTTCTGGAGCTTTCCATAATTTTACAGATTTATCTCCCATTGCACTCGTTACTAACATTCCTGATATATAATTATTTATATCTAATGAAGAAATACCAGCATCGTGAGCATGTAATGTCCACAATGGCTTTGATTCATTTTTGATATCAAAACAATAAACATTACCTTGATCAGTTCCAACATAAAAAATTTCAGGATTTGAGCTCCACCTTATATTCTCAACATCTTCACCTTTTGCAACTGAGTAATATTTTGACATTTGTGATTCATCAGATATTCTTACATCCGTTATTGCTGCTTTTGAATCATATCCACCAGTTAATAATATAGAAGCTTCATGAGAATGCCATTGTGATGATGATACAGTTCTACCATGATGTATTTGTGATAATGAACGTACTGCTGTACCATTATTTAAATCCCATAATTTGACTGTAGTATCTGCTGATGTTGATGCTAATATTGATCTATGAATTCTATTGTGAGATAATGATAATACTGCATCTGTATGATGAGTAGTGATATGACCTGATTTTTTCTTTTTCTTGGTTTTCTTAGTGGTTGATGCTTCTCCTAATATTACATCTGGGAATGCTTTATCAACAAAATCCAAATTCCATAATTCAATTTGTGGATCAAATGTCCCTACAGCTGCGAAATTCCCAATATTTGAACCTTCAACTTGTTCTTGACCTGGTGTATAATTTATCCATTCAACACAAAGTGGAAATGCAGGTAACATAATATCATGATGTACATATAATGTTGAATCTCTAACCAAACCATTTGCAACATCAGCATCTAATTTATCTTCTTCTTCCTCTTCGGCTCCATTTGGTGCTCCTGCTCCATCATCATAAATATATATATCTAACCAAGAAATATCATCTTCTGTTCTTGTAGCTAACACAAGGTTATCAGTGGGGTAAATTTGATTTTCCTTCTTCTCTTCCTGTTCGTCAATTTCATTAGGTAATGTCAAATAAACATCATTGGATTCATCGTTTTCTCCGTCCCCATTTTCATTATCATGAATTTTGGCACTAGTGTTGGATAATCCAGGAAACATTGTGATTTTTTCTCCAGTTTCATCAATTTCATCATTATCATAATTCTCCAAGTCATATTCTTTTAAGTCATCATCAATTTCAATTTGATCTTTTAATTTTGATGTCTTTTTGGCTTCTTCTAAATCTTCTTTTGCATCATTTAATTCTAAATTTGCCATTTGATTTATTCTTTCCATTTCTTCATCATTCAATTCATATTTTTCGGGGAACTCTGAAGCATAACCTCTTGGAACCCAAGTACTTGATGATATCATTATGTTGTTGATTGATATACAAAAGAATATTGAATTGAATCAAAAGAGATGAGATCTTCTAAGTACAAAACTAATTTTTTTTTGTGGAAAGAATTGTGCGGCTTGTTTCATAATTTTATTTTTACAAAATAATTATACCAATTAATTTTATGTACAGATTATTTTATTAATTTGTTATGGAACTTACTTATAATAAAACTACACCTACTCCACTTGATTTATCATCTATAACTTGTTTAGTTTCTTTATCAATACCACCATTCATTGGGAAAGTTTTATAATTGAATAAATAATAATTTAAATAACCATCACCACTACCAAATTTACAATCTTTTAAGAAAAATGAATTATCTTGACATGTTAAACAATTAAATACATCAACATTAAATTTTTTCGAAGTTATTAATGCATCTGTTATTAAGTCATTTAATCTTGTTTTGTAATTTTCTTCAGCATCTGTTGCGTAATAGAATAAATATGCAATTCCTAAATCATCATGATGTGTGTTTTCTAATACTGTGAATGGCAATAAATAGTATGAATAAAAATCAGTTATTTTTCCCTGCGAATCCTCTACAACATATGATTTTATAACATTTGATTCCCCACTTTGTCCCAACATCCAATGTTTAAATTCTTCTTCCTTAAATAATTGTACAATTTCAAATCTTTCTTGATATTTATGTAATAACTCCAATACTTCTTTAACATCTTTCTCTTCCATTTTCCTTAACCCTTTTAATTTTGGTTCATTTGGTAATGCATAATGTGCTAACATACTTGATTTTGTTTGATTTGCAGGTAAATGACTGAACCCTACATCATGTAATTTTGACCAATTTAATGGACGATGTTGATAACGACATGTGGCTAAAGGAGTTGGTAATATTGATCCCCCAGTATATAAAGCTTGCCATATATCCTGTTTATTTACTCTTCTTGTAATTTCTTTAATCATTACAGGTGCTAATCTTTTATTTCTTAATTTTTTGTGAATACATAAGAAATTTATTTCAACACAATCTATTATCGTTTTAGATTTATTTAATTTGATTGTTACGGGAGTAGCAGCAATAAATGCAACTAATTTACCGGTTTCTTTAACTCTAACACCAGTATGCCAATCTTTTCTCCAACCAGGTGGTTTTAAAGCCCATTTAAAAAATTCATGACTATATTTAAATCTAAAAGTAGCATCAGTATCTTCAACATAATTGTCATATAATAATTTATATAATTCATCTAATTCTTTATCATTTTCAACATCAACTGTACACCATTCAAATTGATCGATCAAAGGTAATGGATTATTTGGAACTTGATCCGGTGTTTTAATCTTATCAATTGGTCCTTCTGCTGCTATTTTTGAAGCTTCTTCATATTTAACAGTCGGTTGAGTCAGCCAAAACTTATGTTTTTCTGTATTTTGAGGATCTTCTTGTTTTTCTTCCCCTCCCATAGCTAAAAGCTTTAAAAGTTCTTCGATTGATTTCTTGTCAGACATTGTCTATAATTAGATACGTAATGAGGTCTAATAATTTTAATAACAAGTAAGATTAATACCAGTTCTTAGCACCTTGGCTTAATTAACAGATCTATTAATAATAAAATATTGAACTTGATTGAATCGATTGTAGAATCAAAATTTGAAAAAAAAAATTTAGTCTCGAAGATTTTTACATGCATTTATTTAATTTAGGTGGTAATTAATTGAAATATCTTAACAAATCTATTTTCAACAATATTCAACATTCTACATGGTATTAAAGAACTCGAAATGGGACAAGAAAGCCAAATATAAGTTCATGAAAAAGCATGGATTATCAAACAAACCACCAACAGATCAACTGCAGATTGTAACTCCAAAGTGGTCTACAAAGAAACAAGGAACGTCTGATAAAAATAAAATTCAATTAGAAGATTCTGATGATGAATGGGATTCTGATGTCGATGAAGCTTTAATCAATCATTTTTATCCACAATTAAACACAGATGAAGAGTTGAGTCTAGAACATAAGATCAAAATTAAACAACAAATATTGAGAGATTTGGAAAATGAAGATCAATCTGGTGATGAAGAAATTGACGATGACGAAGAAAACGAGGAGGAGGAGGAGTTAGATGGTATATATTTAGGAGAAAAAAAAGAAGCTGTGAAGGAGAAAGCACCTAAGTTCAATCTTGAAGAGTTTATTAACAATATAGACAGAAAACCGAAAAACAAGAAACTTCTAAAGAATAAAATGTCGGATAATTTTTTAGAAGAATATGGATTAGAAAGTTATGATCAATTATCGAGGAAAAAAGATGACTACAATGATATTTACAATGAAAAAATCAAAAAAAAGCAGAATGAAAAAATGTTCCTGAAGCTAAACGAATTTCAAGAATTTGAACTAGGTAAAGAAAAACCAAAAGAGTCAAATATACGGACATTAACAGAGGATGAAAAACAGGAAGATTTGAAAAGAGCAAAACTAATAGAAGAAAATAAATTTTACCAGGAAATTAAACGAAAATTTGAAGATAAGAAACCACAAAGGAATAAAATTTTAGATATAAATAATTTTAGAGGTGATGAAAGTCAATTGAGCTATTTAAATGAAAAAATAGCTAGAGAGGAAGGTAAGGATACATTTGAAGATGATATTGACCAATTATTGGGTCGTGACACTGATCAAAAGGAAATTAACATTAATGATGATGATGATGATGTTACAGAGATGTTGAATAATTTAAATATGAAACTGAAACCAAAACAACAAAACCAACTAAAACAAAATCAACCACAACAAAAACCAAATTTAACGAATAATAATGATATAGATTTTTTAGATAGCTTAATATAAAGTTGTTAAGCACTGACTGCAAATTGATTTGATAAGAATTTGGTAGCCTTTATCGCTTAGATATTATTGTAAATCTTAATCAGATCTTTAAGATATAATAGAAGACACTCATTAGTCTATCATTCATTTTAAATACGTCAACATCCACTCTAATATCTTCATTGGCTTTATCAATCATTTGATGCATGGCAACATTATTTGCATAACAATTATAAGTACAACAATACCCCTTTATAAAATATGACAACTGTGGCTAGCAATGTTACTACAAATCCCATATCATCAATAGATCATGAAGCAATAGCTTTATTTGAAAAGGCAATAGAGAAAGAAAGTCAAGGGCTAATGTCAGATGCGGTTGAGAATTATAGAAAAGCTTTTAAATTGAATGAAAAAATAGATTCATTGTACAGATCAGTTAAAGTTCCAACTAACATAAAGAAAATCGTTGATGAAAGAGGTAAAAATGTAATGACTAGAGTTGATGATAAGATTGTGGCTAGAATTAATGTTGACAAGTTAATTGCAAGTTTTGCTGATATTGAAGTTCAAGCTGGAGGATTAGATTTAGCTTTCTCGAATTTATCAATAGACCATGCACAACCTCCCTCACCATTAACTCATCTACCTACGGACATATGGTTGTACATACTAGAAATTTTGGTGCTAACGAATCCAGAGTCATGGTTTATGATGTCAATCACATGTAAGAAATTTGCATATTTGGGATTCAACACAAGTGTATGGAGAACTCTATGTAATACAATATATCCTGCACAAATTTATGAAGAAAATCTAATATATCTAGCAAGTCAAACTTCATCACAAACGATTGAACTACCCATTCCCAAAAATCAACTAGAAATCCTACCACAATATGATAATTCTTGGAAAAAAATGCTACATGAAAGACCATTTATCAAATTTCATGGATGTTATATATCGATTGTTAATTATTATAGTGAAGGTGGTAAAAGTGAGTTTTCACTATCTTGGACAAATCCAGTAAAGACAATAACATACTATAGATACATTAGATTTTACCCCGATGGAACAATGATAAAAGTATTATCTGTACTACCCCCAAATCAGGTTGTTTCATGGTTATCAAAAGAAAGAAAATCAATACCACACGAGGACACTCATGATAAAGAAAGTCACAAGATTTATTCAGGTAAATGGAAAATAAATTCAGCTGGAGAAGTTCATGTACAAATAGACAATGGATCAACTTCATATTTAACATTCCATTATTATTTTCAAGTAAAAAATTTAGGTCACTTTAAACATGGTAAAATGAATTGGATCAAATATTTTGCAGTCAGAAAATCTACTGGTGATGATGATGATAGAGTTGGTGAAATAATGGAATATTCTATTAGAAATGAAAAACCATTCAAATTTTCAAAAGTACGTAGTTACAAAATATAGATAGTTTCATAGAATTAGAGACAATGTCAAGAAGAAAATCAAAATTATAGTAGTTGAGACGGGATTTTCAAACTAGAATTGAACCAAACTCACTTGATAGTCTAAAACTATTCTCCATAATCATCTTTCACATTAGTATATGGATACCATCGTTGACAATCAATAGGTTCACTTATTTACTAACTTATTGTGATCTCTTATTTAAATTTTTACACGACTTTTCATTTTGTATTGAAAATTTTTTTGATTTGAATAATTTTTTTTTTTCAAGTAAATTTTACAATCAAACCCAATTAATCAACCAATTCATAAACAATAGATCGTGATCATGTCTCGTTTCTTTGTTTCAGGGTATAACTCAGAATCTTCATCAGAAGAAGAGGATTTATTAAGTACTTCCGAAGAAGAAGAATTAGTATCATCTTCTGAAGAACAATCAGATGATGATTTTTTTGAAAATGATGATGATGAAGAAAGTAGTTCAGATGAAGAAGGTGGAAGACCAACAGGACCAGCTTATTTTTTGAAAAAATCATTTTTAAAAGGTGGGGATTCTGACGATGAAAGTGATGACGAAGTAAGAACTGCAGTTAGAAGTACAAAAGATAAATTATTAGATGATATGAAAGCATCAATTGAAATTATAAATATAAATAAAAGAAGTAATAATTGGATTGTTGCTTTAAGTGAATTCGAAAAATTAGGAAGATATTTGAATAGAGCAAATCAACAAAATTTTGGTACACCTAAATTTTATATTAAATTATTATCAAGTTTAGATGATTCTATAACTGAAACTGGAAATAATGAAAAAGATGATAAAACAATGAAAGCTGATGAGGCAAGAGCTTTTAATACTTTAAGACAAAGAGTTAAAAAACAAATCAAAGAATATCAAACTTATTTTGACTTGTATAAAGATGTTCCAGAAAATTTTGAACAAGAAGATGAACCATTAGATGCAGGTTCAAGAACCGAAGAAAAACAAGATGAAAGTAAATCATTAAGTCCAGTATTTCAAACTTTAAAGCAAGTTAGTGAAAGTAGAGGTAAGAAAAATATTGATAAGGCTGAACAAATTACAAGTTTGGAAAGTTTAATTTCAAATGATCTTAGTACTTTTGAATTAATTTCAATTTATCAAATGTTATTATCGTTAAGATTTGATGCTTCATCTTCACAATTTTTACCAATTCAAGACTGGCAAAAGAATAATGATGATATAAATAAATTGTTGGATATTTTATTTGCTTCTAAGGAATATCAAGTTAATGAAAATGGTGAATCTACTGACGAAATTGATATTGAACCAACTCCAGTTGATGGTGTTAAAATTATATATGGTTCAATAACATCATTAATTGATAGATTGGATGATGAATTTACAAAATCATTACAGAACACCGACCCCCATTCAATGGATTATGTTGAAAGATTAAAAGATGAAAGTAGAATTTATAATTTGATAGTAAGAGGTCAAGCTTATATTGAGTCAATAACACCATCGCTTGCTAGTGAACAATTAGCTAGAATTGTATTAAGAAGATTAGAACATATTTATTATAAACCAAATCAATTAATTCAAGGTAATGAAGTTGAAACTCAAATCGGGAAAGGAAGTTCTGATGAAATAATTGATTCATTAAGTGAATATTTGAGAAACAATGACAATAGAATATTTGGTAAACATGCCATACTATACTCCATCTACTATTATGCTGTCAATAATCAATATAAAAAAGCCAAAGATTTGTTCTTATCTGCACAATTTGGTAACATCAATTCATTAGAATCATCATTACAAGTTCAATATAACAGAGCATTAGTTCAACTAGGTTTAAGTGCTTTCAGATCTGGTGAAATTGAAGAATCTCATAGAATTTTAAATGAAATTGTAAATTCTCAAAGATCAAAAGAATTATTAGGTCAAGGTTTTAATAGCAAATTTCCAAATCAAGCTACTTTAGTTGAAAGACAAAAATTATTACCATTCCATCAACATATTAATTTGGAATTATTAGAATGTGTTTACATGACATGTTCATTATTAATTGAAATTCCAGCATTAGCAGCAGCATCAAATACAAAAGATAAAAGAAAGAACACATCCTTAAAATCATTCAAGAGTAAACTTGAGTTTCATGATAGACAATTTTTCACAGGTCCACCTGAAAGTATTAAAGATCATATAGTTCATGCATCAATTGCATTACAAAAGGGAGATTGGTTAAAAGCATATGATTTATTATCATCAATCAAAATATGGAGATTATTCCCAGATAATGATGATCTTTTAGCGATGATGAAAAATCAATTACAAATCGAAGGGTTGAGAACTTATATCTTCACTTACAAGCCAGTTTATTCAAAATTATCAATTTCAAAATTAAGTACAATTTTTAAATTATCAGATGATAAAGTTATAGAAATTTTGAGTAACATGGGTGAACAAGTTGTTGATGGATTTGTCAATTTTTCAAATACTCCACAAAGATCAAAATTACAAGAATTAGCTATATTAATGAATGAAAAAATACAATTACTTACTGAAAAGAATGAAAAAACTTCTTCAAATGGTTATGGTAAAAAACAAACTACTCAAACTCAACAACAAAATCAAGGTCAACAAAATCAACAACAACAACAACAACAACTGCAACAAAATCAACAATCAGGTCAACAATCAGGTCAACAACAAACTCAACAAGGTCAAGCACAGCAACAACAACAACAAGCTCAAGGACAACAACAACAACAACAACAACAATCTCAATCTCAACAAACACATCAATCATCTCATCAACAACATCAACAATCTCAACAATCACAAAATGAAGAAAATAAATTTAGATATGCTAATGTCAATTCAAATAATGACGAATTTCAAGTCACTGCATAATTAATTTAAATAAGTTTTCATAGAAGTTTATAAAAAACTCATGTAATGTAATGTACATTTATCCCAAGACATTATCAATCTCAAGACTATATGTAATTGAGTATGTTTAGATTCTATAAGTTTCTCTTCAAGTTTATGATATATTTTTATGTTGATAGTAAAGTTTCGTAAGCATCTGGTAGTTTTATCAATCTGAGATGAATTTATGATTTTGTGTTTCAAAAAAATTTATTCTGTTTCATTATCACTTATAATCAAGTATCTAACCAAGTTCCTATACAACTACTACAAAATGACTGTGGATAAAAAGAAAATCAAAGTATCAGCATTATGCGAGCTATGTCATGCAAGAAAAGCAGTAATGAAAAGACCGAAAAACCTAATGAAATTATGTAAAGAATGTTTCTACAAGGTATTTGAAACAGAAATCCATAATACTATAGTCTCAAACAACTTGTTTCAACCAGGTGATAAGATTGCTATAGGTGCTTCAGGTGGGAAAGATTCAACTGTGTTAGCATCTATTTTAAAGACTTTAAATGAGAGATATAATTATGGTTTAACTTTAGTTTTATTATCTATAGATGAAGGTATAAAAGGATATCGTGATGATTCATTAGCCACAGTGAAAAGAAACCAACAACAATATGAAATGGAATTAGAGATAGTATCATACAAAGAGTTATATAATTGGGATATGGATGAAATTGTGAGTTGTGCAGGTATAAGATCATCATGTACTTATTGTGGAGTCTTGCGAAGACAAGCTCTTGACAGAGGTGCAGCAAAATTAGGTATTAATCATGTGGTAACTGGTCATAATGCAGATGATATGGCAGAAACTGTATTGATGAATTTGTTACGTGGTGATGCTAATAGATTAGAAGGAAGTACTAGAATAATGACTCAATCTGCTGAATCACCAATCAAGAGATCAAAACCATTTAAGTATACTTATCAAAAGGAAATAGTATTGTATGCTCATTACAAGCAATTGGATTATTTCTCAACCGAATGTTCTTATGCACCTGAAGCGTTTAGAGGTACAGCTAGAGAATTACTCAAGAGTTTGGAAAGTATACGACCTTCATGTATTATGGATATTATATATAGTGGAGAACATTTAGTATTAGCTAAAAAACAAAAAAAGAAAACAGTTGCATACAAGAACAAGAAACCTGAAGAATTGGAAATAAATAAAGATGGATCAGTATCTATAAAAACTTCAAGATGTGAAAAATGTGGGTATTTATCTTCAAATAAAATATGTAAAGCATGTATGTTATTACAAGGATTAGAAATGAATAGACCAAAAGTTAGTATAGACACAGGATCAACTGAAGGGGCAGCTAAAATGACGAAAGTACTAGAGGGTTTAAGTTTTTAAAGTAAATATTTATTAATTAAAACATTTTCTTTTTTTATTCAATTTAATCTTTTGTTCTATAATAATGGAAAGGAGAAGCTTGATGATTAGGAAAAACCAAAGTTTCAGCAATAACCACATTTTGTCTTCTTGTAATTGCAAACACCAAGGATTCAGCAATATCAGTAGCTGTTAATGGTTCGGTATTATCATACACGGCATCAGATTTAGCTTGATCACCTTTAAATCTAACCATTGAAAAATCAGTCTTGACCGCACCAGGACTGTTTAATATCACTCTAATTTTGGTCGAAATTAATTCTTTTCTTAATGAATCACTGAATGATTTAATGGCTGCTTTTGATGCACAATAAATTGAACCTTTGTCATATGGTACTATACCTGCAATACTTCCAATAAATACTATAGTACCTGAGTTTTTCTTTTTTAAAATTGGTAAAACCTTTTTAGTGACTGCGATAGATCCAATAACGTTAGTTTGGAATACAGTTTCTGCATCTTCTACTTCAGTGTTTACAAATTCATCTTGTCCAATAGCCAAACCTGCATTGTTGACTAATACATCAATATCTGAAAATTCACTTGGTAAGTTGGCAAAAAATTTATCAATTGATTTTAAATCTGATACGTCCAAACTTTCTGATAAAACTTTTATTCCAACATATTCTTTTTCTAATTTAGCTTTTAATTCATCTAACTTATCTTTTCTTCTTGCTGTTATAATTAATTTAATATTTGGATTGGTTTCTGCTAATTCTAAACATGTTGCTTGTCCAATCCCTGATGAACACCCTGTAATAAGAAATGTTTGGTTTGCTATTCTTTCAGCTGCTGCTTTACCGTAACTCATTTTTATTGGTGAATATGGGAAGGAAGTGTTGATAGTAAAGTTGTTGAAATATCAAATTTAGATTAATCAGTGCGGTTTCGGGTTCTCATTTTTCAACTGTGGGTTTAACGATCTCTGACTGATAAGATATTATTACACGACCTAATTAAGCAGTACCCGCTATGAGGGCCCTTTCAGAGTTAAACTAGGTAGGTAAGTGAATAGATATACAAAGCTAAAAGATTACGAAGCTGAGACTTATATAGAACTAATGTGTTATTTTTAATCTTGTAGAAGTAGTGTGTATTTTGTTATATATATATTATTGACATACACAAGATAAATCTCCTCTTTAAAATACCGTCATGAATGATTTTATTATTGGTTTTTTTTAATTATCCCAAGTATTAATTATTTAATATACAATAATGTAATGAAAGGTTGAAATTTGTTTAATAGAAAGTTGATGGTCTGTGACTGTAGTATAAAGCTTTTGTTTTTTGAACTCTGTGTGGTAATGGGAATTTTAAATCTTTAGTAAGATATTGTTTAACATATTGTCTTTTAACATCATCAGCTTTTTGTAATTCAACAACTTTTAAAATGTGAATATTTCTAAATCTTGCTCTATGTCTAGCAGCTAAATCTTGGTACATAGTTTCAACAGCACCAACTCTAGTAACATCTCTATATTCTTTATACATATTATGGATACCTGATCTTGATTCATATCTAATCCAAACACCAAAAGTTTTAACTTTAGTTGGTTTAGCTTCACTAATAATATTTACTGAAACAATTTCACCTAAAGTTTTTTTAACTTTATGTAATTTTTGTAAGAAATACCAATATCTTGATTTAGCAACAACAGTATTTGGAGCAAAAATTCTCATACGGAATAATTTTGGTTCTGGTGCTGATTCAGTAGGTAATCTTCTACCAATGACTTGATATTCGTTTAATCTTGACATCTAAAATTTGAGGCTGTTAGTAATTTGTTGACAATTTACAAACTTTTGAATATCTTATATGACGGCAGGTAGGTTGAAGTGATTTGTCAAAATATTTAGTTTCTTTTTCAGTGGTTGTAAAAATATAAAATGGTGATGGCCCAAATTCAATTATTTATATTATATCTCTTCTCCAATTTTTATACATTCCCTGGTTGACTTATATCATTCATGTGTTTCCTCTCTAGTCATATAAAACTCCAATCCATTTAATCATTCGTATTTGAACATACTTTTTACTATATTGGTTTGAATATACTCTTCTATATCAAAGACCTGAAAATTAAATTCTGAAATTTTTTTAGTTTTTGTTTTTCTCACTATACAAAATCTTATTATTGTCACTCTATATTAGTTGGGAATATTTCCTCTTAACTATGTAGGCAGTTGGTAGCTAAAAAATAAAACAAAGTAATAGGGTTAAAGCCCTAAAATATGAAACAACCCTTGCTACCAAATCATTCCAAATTTTGATAGTACTACATTTACGTTTAACGTCAAGTTATGAACATAAAGGCAGTTAAAGAGGAAGAAAGTACAGAATAGGTCAGTTAAAATGATAAGGTATTGTCTCTTTACTGTTCTGTTGTTACCTATTTTTTCTATGTAATTCTTCACTCCTAGAATTTGCTAATTTCTCCCTTCTCTGTTTAGCTAAAGTACCACATTCAGTACTTAATAACCAATCCCAAAAAGTAAAACTAGATGCATAATTTCCAATAAAATAATGATGATGCTCATCATGATGTGCTGCTCCTGCCCAAAGTGGGAAAAGTTTGTTTAAACTCCAAGGAAAATCATAACCTGAATGAGAATCAACTGCTTGAAATAATCTTAATATAATCCAACATGTAATTGTGAATAAATGAATAGATGGTAAATTTGGATTTTTTGTAGCTGCAAAAGCGTACAAGATTGGAAAACCCACTGTTCCTACACCTAAAGCTGCTACTTCTGCTGGATGTGCATATTCAGCAGCTAATCCAAATGGAGCTGCATATTTATGATGAATCTTATGAATATTCTTATAGAACCATCCATAATGAAACAATCTATGAAATGAATAATGCCATAAATCTTCACAAATGAAAAAAAACACTATTTGTCCTAATTGAATTTTCCAATTTGGGAAAGGAACATCATAAGTAATATTTAATTTTGCACACAAGGGATGAAATAACCAAATAGGTAATGCTTCAACTAAAAAATGAGATTTTAAAACTGATTTAAAACATTCCCATTGTTCTTGATTTGATGGTAAACTATTTGGTTGGATCTTATACTTATTGAAAAATGAAATTTGATCTATTATAAACCATGGTAAACATCTACCAAAATACATTATTTCATGAGTTAAAAAAAATAAAAGACCAGTTGCTACAATATCATTACCAATGTACGTGTACCATTTTGCCCATAATTGTTCTATAAAATTTAAATTCTCGAGTGGTACATCTTTAAAAATTGATGTTGTGTTTAATGAAGGTGGATGTAAAATGTCCATGATATTATTATATGCGAAGTGTTTGAGATATATTCAATACATAAGAAATAATAACTAAGTAACTACGATTGTTTATATATAAAAATTTCGATTTGACGTATTATTTTTATTATCATTCTACATTTGTTGTGTGTTTATCAAATCGTATGATTTTGCAGCCCGATTTAAAAATTTTTAAACACAAATAAAAATTTGAAACGAGAGTTTTGAAAAATTTTAAGATAAATTTCAAAACTTTAAACGAGAGGAACGGTATGGATCTACTTACACTAAATATGAAATATTATAATTACGGATTACAGATTACTAGTGGTGATGGTTTCTAAATATTTTCTTATATTTATTCTATTAACTAAACTTGAACCCTTTCGTTTAAAAAAAAAATTATATTTATCTTCTAAATTACTTTATTTATTCTACTCTTTCAGTTGGTAAAATATCAACTAATAAACTACCTTCAACACTTGGTAAATTTAATCCATTAGTCTTTTTGTACTCACCAATGTTATCGAAAAATTTATCAAATAAATATGCAGTATCTTGAGGACCACCTTTTGCTTCTGGATGGAATTGAGTTGAAAAAACCGGATTTTTTCTATGAATCATTCCTTCATTACTTAAATCATTAAGATTTATAAAAAATTGTTGCCAATCTTCACCTAAAGTTGTTGAATCAACTGCATACCCATGATTTTGTGATGTTATATGACATTTACCACTTACTAAATCTAATGTTGGAATATTATGAGCTCTATTACCATATTTTAATTTTATAGTTTTAGCACCACTTGCTAATGCTAATAATTGATGACCTAAACATATTCCAAAAATAGGTAAATTTGGGTATTTATCCATTATTTTGCTTAAATTGTCAACAGTAGTTGAACAATGAGTTGGATCACCGGGACCATTAGATATAAATACGCCATCGAATTTATTTGCAATTTTATCGATTGGATAATCATAAGGGAAAACAGTTATTGAAGCACCTCTTTCAACTAAACAACGTAAAATATTTTCTTTTGCCCCACAATCTAATACGGCAATATGAATATCTTTTGAATGTTCTTTTGGACAAGCAACATGGAATGGTTGTTTTGTAGTGACTTTATGAACTAAATTTACAGCTCCTGGATCTTCAAATGCTGCATCTTCATCTGCATCATATTCTTCACCAATTGTAATTTTACCTAAACTTGAACCTTTATCTCTCAAATATGAAACTAATTGTCTTGTATCTACTCCAGTAATAGCTGCAACTCCATTTCTTTTACACCATTGTTGTAAACTTTCAACAGCAGTCCAATGACTATATTCTAATGCAACATCCCCAACAACAATACCAATACATTGAATCTTTGGACTTTCCATATATTTTAATAAATTAAATTCATCTTTTAATGTCGATGAAGGTACTCCATAATTTCCAATTAATGGTTGTGTAAAACATAAAATTTGTCCCTTATATGATGGATCAGTCATACTTTCTGGATATCCAACTAATGAAGTTGTGAAAACTGCTTCACCACTAACATTTCTATTTGCACCAAATGAATAACCACTGAATACTGGACCATTTTTTATTGTTAATGTGGCTCTATCTAATTGTGATTTATTGTTGGTGAATGATTTACTAGCAGTAGCTAGAAATCGTTTAAATTGAAACATTGTGAATGGTTGAGTTATGAAATGAAGTTTTGATATTAGTTGATGTTAAGTATTGAAAAAAAAATTTTAATAAATTGAAAAGACTCATTTCTAATTTACCGCGTTACCTAATTTAGAAAGAGGTGAGGCTCTTATGTAATTACGTCAACGTAATCACGTGATTCATTTATTTCATTTCGTGTATTAATATTTAACCTACCAAGACAGGTACATCTAACTTAACAGTATTATGAGCAAACTCATTTTGTTCATTATTTGTACCTTTAAATTTACACATGACTTGTAAGCAATATAATCTACCAACTAAACAACTTTGGAAAGTTGGTAATAAATTTATATAGTTTTTATTTTCAACATCTAAATAAATTTTGATTTTTTTGGACCACTGGAATTTGTTATTTGGTAATTGTTTGATTGACCAATCTTCATTATCTTTTATTGAAGTTTTAAAATAATGTTGAATTGTGTCTTTCTTTATACCTAATTTTTGTATTGATTTTAAATACATGAAAGAATCTTTACTTACATAAATTGAATTTGTTTTAATAAAATTTATATAATTCGAAACTTGATCTTTTATATATTGTAAATTTTTTTGTGTTGTTTCTACCGGATCATTTGGCAATCTATCATGACTTTTGTAAAAAAAATCGTACCCCATTTCAAAAGGTAAGGGGTACTCGGTCTTGTATGACCATATTATAATATTTGTATCTATTGTCATTGGTGGTGGTTTTGTATCGTGTTCACTTTCGAAAATTAATTGAACGTCTAAATAATCCAAAAGATCTTCTTCTTTTCTGTTGTATAATTCTTCCATATTACTTGTCACTGGTTTTAAAGAGTTATCTTCACCAGCATTATACTTCATTATTAATCTAGGTGCGGAATATGCAATAACTTTATCTGGAAATTTTATGGACATTTTCAGTTCTCCTACCTTGACTAATGATGAAAGAATCATTTTCTTCTTTTTACCAAATATTTCAACAGGATGATCAGTTGAAACTAAAGCATCTTCTTTATTCTTTTTGACAAATTCATCATCATCATAATTCAACGTTAAATTTTTCAACTTCAACATGTCTGGAGTTAATTCATCTTTTGTTAATTTTTGATCTATTTCTCTTTCAATTTTCTCATTTTCTAAATTGATGGACTTCCATGTAAGATTGTAATTTAGCTGTTCCAAAAATTTACCACCAACTCCTATATTTGGATAATTCCCTACATTATGAAACTTACAATATTCAACTTGTTCTTTTAGGTCAGGTATAAATCTCAAAAAATATTGAGTACTTTTAGATATAACATATTCATTTTTAGCATCATTAATTTCTTGATGTGAAACGGCATCTTTTGAATTAACATTATCAATAAATTTAGCTTCAATAGTATATGCAATACTTAAATCATCAAAACTATAATCTTTTGTTAAAATGGGAGTACCTCTTAAATTCAATGATCCGTACCCCAATGCTTTGTTCATAGTTATACTTTCACCTCTATTGAAAAAACTTGTTTTATCTACTCCCATTGAAGGTGGTGGTAGAATATGTTGTAAAATAGAATTCATACAAACATTATCTAATAACCTATGTGGGAATTTGAAAGTGAAAAATTTCTTATATTTAATTCTAGGCTGTAAAATTCGGTTATCTGGTATTCCCAACACTGTACCATCAACTTTATCTCTTGAGAGTGGTTCATATTCTATACCTGCACTATTGGGTATATAACCATATCCATAGCTTGCATTTAAATCATACATTTTTAGAAATTTCTTCATTAAAATCTTGCTATATTTATGTTGAAAATCAAATGCATTGGGGTTCCGTTCTGTTGTTTTGACAGTACCTTCTAATGAAACTGTGAATAATCCAAATCTTAGTGGCGCGTCTGAATTATTAATCACCGTGACATACCCATTGACATGATCACCACTAGTATACTCCTTCAATCTCAGTTCCAACTCATGCTCAACATTTGGGTACGGTATTTCCTTTGTTACATATATTTGAATCTCAATGGGGGAATTAGTTGAACGATTTAATCTATCTATATTATCTAGAACTGAATGACCATAAGTATCTTGGGTAACTGCCATATTTTCATTATGTACTTCAGTATTTTGATTAGTAGAACTCATTACTGGTGATATCCCCACAGGATCTTCTTCAAAATTATATTCTTGATTATTATTTCTTTCATGTTCTCTTTCTAGTCCGTATTCGTTTAAATTTTGATCAATTGATTGTTGTGGAGTCATTCGAGGCGATGAAGATGTTGTTGTAGTGGTATCTCCATAAACTGGTGGAATAGTTGACAAATCTTCTCTGAATTGTCTATCATCCCTTTTTAGTATACTTTGAAACATTTCAAAAGAAGGTAACAAATCAAAATAATTCGTCTCTGTTGAAGTTGAAGTTGTATGTAATGTATTTACTTGCTCTGAAGGTCTCCTACTTGATGTAGTCCCAGATAAAATATCAATTTGTCTTTGTTGATCTTTTGATGGTCGATAAGGTACATTTTTAGTTTGAGGTATTCTTGAACGAGATGATGAAGATCTTGATGAAATCGGTGTTAAGTGTGGTGGTGATGTTGTTTCTGATTGTTGATATGATGGTGGCGGTTCTATTTTATTATCATTTTCATTGGTGAGACCTTCTTTCGTCATATCAATTTCATCTATAACTTTTGTTTGATAAGGAAATTGTAAAATCTAAACTTTCATATTTGAAATATTTTTTGTTTTGTTACATTTTGATGATAAAAATGTGAGTTTTTTACTTTTAATAAAATGACAACTTGACACTCATTGCAAAACCACGTACTTGACTTCCTGTTATTGGCTCAAGGTTGGAGATAAAAAAAAAGCTTCAATTAAGTCTCCATTTCTTATTCAATATGTCAAATTATGGAAGTACTATTTGACTATTGCCGTATCTTCAAATACCCCTTAACATTAAAACCCAAAAAGTAAAACTAAAAAATAACATCTCAATTTCGAACCAAACTACATCAAACTCAATCAAACAAATGTCACAAACAAATCAAGACCTAACATTTTTCAAAGACCATACCCTAATATCAGAGAAGATACTAACAGGTAGAAACTCATATCTAACAACTATAACACATACTCAAGGTACATCACCCAACTGGTTAGTCAACTCGTTAATTGAAAATTGTTTAATAGGAACTGCATCGTTAATAAATCAGGAATTGAAAAATACAACCAAGAGTAAAGTTGTGTTTATTAGCTTTTTGCATAACAAAGACTACTACATAAAAAATTGTCGAAAGAATGGACTTGATTTAACTGATTCGAATTTCATATTCGTTGATTATTTTACTACGTTATTTTCAGAAAAGATTAAGAATACTTCAAATGCAATAGAAGATACTAATAAATTATTTGATTTACAAATACCTGAAAAGTCAGTAGTTTTTATTGAATCACCAGAAGTATTATTATACTCCACGAATATAATAAGTGACGATTTATTATTTAATTTAATCAAATTAAATAGAAAGACAACTCAATTAATAATTATAAGTTCTAAAGATTCAAATTTAGTGGATTACAATGTAAATGAAATAGATAATCCAACTTATAAAATCACTGATTTTTTAACAAAACTATTATTCAGATCACAACTTAACATTTCATTATTACCTTTAGTAACAGGTAGAGCAAAAGATATTACAGGGAGTATAAAAATCTCAAAGGGATGTTTACCATATTTCGACAATTTAGTAGTTGATGAAAAAGAATACGTCTACAACATTACAAAAGACTCAAATATAAAAATATATTACCGTTAAAACTTTTTTAATCAAGACCTTTTCCTATGTAAATTATATAAATCATCTAATGCAAATTCAATAGCACATCTTGTCCATAATAATGGAAATAAAGGCCAAACTGATCGTTCACCTACTAAAACCCAATAAGGGATATTTTCCATTGTTCTATGAACATCAAATACTCTACCGAAATCTTTTACTAAGTAACGAACTTCAGGAACGATAGTTACTTCTCTTATTGATGCTAGATATTGCATTTGTGTTGGTTTTTCATCAATAAATAATCTTTTCATTACTTCTGTTAATAAACCAAGTTTGTTCAATACTACAATTCTATGTTGAATTTCCATACCTATGATGTTCTTCAATCTTTTCATAAAATTAAAACCTGTATCTTTTGTATATTTTTCAATATCTTTCTTAGACATTTCTCCATCATAACAATTTTTCTTTTTATCGTATTTGACTTTACCATAAGATGCATGATAATGTTTCAAATCATTACTAATCAAAGGTGCAAGATATGGACGTGCTAAACTTATTACAAAGTGATTAACATTAAATAATTCAGTTAATTTAGTATATGGTGATTGATGTTGAATATTATTCGATATGTTACTTTGGAAATATGAAGTTTGATAACTAACATCTTGAGGTTTTAAAAATTTGACATCGATATCAGGAGTTTGTAAAACTATTTCATTATTAAAATCTTTGACATATAATGCAATATCATCTGATAATACTCCAGTTCCAATTGATGCATAAATCGCGGTCCAAATTATAACATTTGGAGCAGTTATATAATTTAATAATGATGGTACACTTCTATTTGTTGGATGGATAACAATGTTTAATATTTTACCTGTTTTCATATATGCTTCTTCAAAAGTTACATCACCAATTGTATCTCTAACAAATTTTAAGAACAACAAGATATCTTGACTATAACCCTTTTTAACAACATTCTCAATAACATTCCCATATCGTTCATCAATTTCATGATTTAAAACATCTATATTTTTCATCAATTCTTCAATATTAACTAATATTGGTATTAATTCATCATCAGTTAAAGTACACACAAGAGAAGCAACTGCTGCACCGACAGCACTACCACCGATAACTCTAGGTAATAATCTTCTAAAATACAATGCTTTAACAACACCTAAATGACATAATCCAAATAATGAACCACCTTGTAATAATAAAGCAGTTGATCCAAAACTTTGTCTTGCATCATGGAAAAAATCCAATTTTAATTGTTTTGAATTCATAACATAATCATCACCATTTGAACTACTTAAACTTTCATTTAAAAATTCTAAACAATTTAAAATTTCATTTATATATTCTTCAATTTTAAATTTTGTACCCATATAAGATTTTAAATATAATCTTTTTTGAGCAATTCCTCCAAAATTCCTAATTAATCCTGACCTTAGCAAAGACATAATTTGTTGAAAATCTTGATTTTCTCTTGCTTCAACTAATAATTTTATACGTTCATTAATTAAAACATAATCATAATGTTTACTTATAAAATTTTGTCTCCATAAATCCATATTTGTAAGTTTATCAATTTCAAATGCAATTTCTTTCCATTCATTATAATTCGAAACATTAGTTAAATCCTTAATATGATCTTTTAATGGATCTTTTCTATAATATATATGATATAAATGTTTAACCCAAAAGAAACATATATCTATTATAAATTCAATTATAGCCCATATAAAACTTGGAGTATTGTTTATTATAAATGCAACAATTGGTAAGACCGTATTGTTGATTATATATTTGATCATATTAAATTCATGCTAATGTTGTAATGTAAATTAAGTTGGTTGTAAGGTGGATCAGGAACTAAGATGTTTAAAGCTGGCTTAAAAATGGTTGCATTAAATGTTTAATAATAGTAACAAAAATAGAATTTAGCGTGTGATATTTTGATTTATTATGCATAGTTATAAATTTATACAAGAACAAAAAGTTGCAAAAAATTACCAATATTCATTAAACAAATCATACAATTACATAACTAAGACATAATACAAAATACATAAATGTACAATATAAATAGTATCTAGCTCTTAAATTTATTTATCACCACCTCCAGATATAAATTTTTTACTTTTACCAAATAATTTCTTACCAAAACTAGTAGCAGTTGATCCAGTACCTTCAACTTTATCTTTCATTACATTGACTTTAGATCTAAAAGATCCATACCTTCTTAAATCATTATGAGGAGCATTTTCATAAGCTTGAGATGCTATTCGTCCAATATGAATTTGATTACTAAAATCAGAACTTTGTTTTAAACTTAAATGTAACCAATTTTGTAAACCTGAATCGTAATTTGATTCTTTTTCTAATGCTTTTTTAAAAGCATTTATTCTATCTATTGGTTGTGATATTGTAACTATTGATTTCCAATCCGATACTGGATATTTATCTGGGGTAAAATTTATAGTTGATTGTGGAGTTGTTATTAATGTGGTTGAATCACTTGTTTCTCTATTTAACTTAAGTGGTGGAGTTTTACTTTGATTTGGAGTTAGTGAAGTAGAAGGTGATTTTGATGTAGATAATTCAATTGATCCATCCGATGCTTTTCTTGGTTGTGTTGGTATTAAACTATTATATTTTTGTGGTAATGATTCTTTTGATGGTGCTGGTGTCATTTTTTCTTCGCCAAAAACTGGTTTTAAATATGGTTTATTGTCTAAGATTGAATCTTGTGTCCTAATTGTATCTAATTTACTTGACGCTGTGTCATCTGCATGTGAATGTATTTCGTGATCATCATCTTGTTCATCTTCTTGAATATTTGGCATTACATCTATCGTATCAGGTACTGATAATGAACTTGCATTTGAATGTTCTTCACTTAATCCTGATAAATTTCTACTTTTGGTAAATTTATCATATTTTGATTTAACCTCTGAATCAAAATTTATTGTTGAATCATTATCATTATCATTTATAAATTGATTTCTAAAAGAATCAGTATTTGGAGCCCAATTACCCATATTGAAAGTATCTTGAGATATTCTTCTTGATGATCTATCTACATCTGGTGGTTTAAATGTAGAATCCATTGATAATTTACCAGTTGATAATGAGCCTGATGACATAACTGGCTGTAAATCTGGTGGTGGTAAATCCAAACTCTCACGTTTATTGCTAGTTTCTTCATCGACGTTTTCATTAATTGATGATTGTTCCCCTTCAGAACCATAACCACTTACAATTTGTGAATAATCACCAGAATCCTTTTTAGGTGGTTTTCTAACTGAATCTCTTCTTCTTGCAGCATAATCATCTAAATATGTTTTATGTTGTTGTGCTATTGTTAGAGGTGCAACTGGACTTATATCTGGATGATCTAATTCTTGATGATCTATATTACTTGTATCAATTTGCATTTTTTCAAATTCATTTGAATGATTATTATTTAATTCATCAATAAATGAATCAATATCATGTTTTGGTTCTATTGGTTGTTTTAATCCTTGCTCTTCCTCGTCTGAAGAATCTGCTCCGTTATATCCCCAGTCATCATCAGTACTATCATCATCATCATGATTCTCATTTTTCTTATCAGTTGACAAAATCAATTTTTCAGGTTGATGTTTTATAGTCTTCTCCTTTTCCAAAATTAAATCATCATCATTTTCATCAAATGAATTATCAATACTATTCATACGATTATGAGTAGAATCTTTAAGACTTAGATTCACTGGTTCTCGTTGTATTGAAGAATCAGATTGGAAACTTGCTTCTGATGGTGTACCCAATTGTTCATGATTTGAAGATTCACTATATGTTGGAGTTGGTGGGACTACAAATTCATCGAGATTGGTTTGTGGTTGTTTGATATTGTCAGGTTTAGGTAATGATGTAGTTGATAAATCTGGTTGTAATCTAATGTCATCTTTAAATGCTCCAGGCACAGCCTCGTGATTATGATGTGGTTCTGGTTCTTGACTTATTTCTCGTTTTTCAGTAGGCTGTAAAGCAGGACTATTTACTTCATGTGCTACTTCATTTCTACTATCATCAAATTGATCATCATCATCGCTACTATCATCTGTATCTCTATTGTATGTATTTTTCCTATCAATTGATAAAACTAAATCATTTTGTGGAGGAGGCACTGATGTTTCGCTAGCGTCATTTTTTCGTATTGAGTCATTATACTGGTCTAGTATGCCATGAGGTAATGACGGTACTTTGTTTGTGTTAGATTCATTAATTGTTGTATTTGTAGTTGTTGCATTAGTATTTTGATTTATATTGTTGTCATTTGTCTCATAATCATAATCATATTCATCTTCATCTCCCCAACCTCCATAAGTTGGTACTTCCTTGACCCATCTAGTAGACTTTTGTCTCTCTACGTTATCTGTCATTAGATTCGTTAATTGAATTCTTGTTTTGGTTGTAACTTTTAAATCAATATTAAAATCAATAATTTTTATTTTTTCCTTATTAATTTTTATTTCTCATACATTTTTTTTTGATTGTACCTTAAATTATAATATTTTAGATTTTGACTTATTATGTCATAGCTTAAATTAGACAGAATTGATTATACTATTATAATTAAACATTGTCACTACATAATTACAATAAAACTGACATAGTGGACGAAAAAAAACATTAGATCAAAAGGTACCATGACCTCACACCTTACAACGCTAAATCAATCTTTAGGGGCATTGTATCAATCCTCCTGATTCCGATAAAGGTGAGGTGATAAATTCACTGATTTATGAAGTAATTTGTAAAGTGAATTCTAATTCTTATCTTTGCAGTATCAAATTTGAAAATAGAAAAAGATTACAAGTTTCTAACGTTTGTAACCCGAAGATATGAAAAAATTTGAAGAGGTGGATGAATCTGGAGCTGTTGTGATCGATGTTTATAGTGTAATAAGTTTTTTCAATTTTTAGAAGGGTAAAAATAAAAAATATGGACGCCAATAGCGAAGTAGTTGATATTTTAAATGTCAATTCATGCTTGTATTCCATGATTCTGATTGATCCTGTTCATCAATAGGAGAAACTGCGAAGGGAAAATATGTCTGGAAGGTTGTATATTTTTATTCGACGATATATCCGTTTATCAATTGTCTCAATGGGTAAAAATCTGTTCAAACTTTGAAAATATTAGATCTTACTGTGAATCTCGTATATGCTTGACTTATCGAAAGTCTCGAATTTTACGGTATCAAATTGGATCTAAGATTGAAGCTTTTTAAAATGTGCCTTATTGGTAACTACTTAGTCATAGCTAATAAGTTAAAAGTAGAATTTATGACCACAATTTCTCATGTTTTCTAAACAAGCTATATCCAGTAGTATTAAATTTGTTATTATCAACTAATACATTAATATATGCAATACATTCTATACTTTGAAAGAATATATTTAGGTAAAATTATAGAGAAAAACAATTATAGACGAAGATTTACCTGTAAGATTCAAATCTGCCAATTCAAAAATCGTATTATTCGATCGACTAATTTCTTAGATTTGATAACAGATGAATCTGTCATGTCAAGTTTTGAAATTGACGAACCACTAATTTGTGTAACATTAAATTTATCGAAAAATCATATGAAACATTTATTTTATTGTTAGCCATATTAAAGTATAAGATTTGGTAGCATAAGATATCCCCACATTTTAAAAAGTAAAATATTTAATTTTTTAATTCCGATTTATGCATTAGAATTTTAAAATTTAGTTTTATTTTTATTTTTATAATTATGTCAAAAATATTTACATAAAATTATTAATATAATAATCATAAGGGTTCAACAATTGATCAAAAGACACTGTTAAATAAATACATAAATATATGATTAAATTTATGAAATTACAATTTCTATAGAATTTATAACCTTTATCTAAAGATTGTTTAATACATGAATTTAAACAATAAAATTTAGATTACAACGTATTTTTTTAAAGTTAATAAAATTTTAAAGTTCTGTTAATTAATCCGGTAGTATGAGATTAGAATTTGAAACGATATTATGCGTATAAAATTTAAGCCAAATCTAATGCTAGATCAGACTAAATTCCATGTAGTAGATAATTGATAGGCTTGATTGGATTATATTAGTAAATTGGTCAGTTCTTAGTATGTAAAAAAAGGGGAAAACGGTTCTATAATTTAATTTGATCACTAAAATTATATCAAATTTTGATGCAAAAAAATTAACCCAAATAATTCTTATAAAAAATAGTCATGACAATCTCTGTAAAAGTATAGAAAAGACTAATATAATTGACTATTGAACGTTTGAGAGATTGATCATTATATTTATAATAAAATTGATGGTTTCATGTTCATTAATTTAAAAATGTAATATCTAGAATTATCATATGACAATTTACTAATTTTATTACTTTTCTATTGTATTTCATTGTTACAAATATTAAATATTAAAATTTCATTAATCTGCACCAATTAAATTTTTTTTTTCAAATAATTAATGCGAATAATTTTTAAATTTAAACGAATTGAAATGTAAAATGACAATTATAATCATAACCCTTCAGTTTAATAGAGATAATGAATCAACTTTTAGATCATTAAATCTATAACTAGATTCAAAAGATTAATTTATTGAAAGTTGCAATATTCTATAACTCAATATACTTCTGAATAAAGTAAGTAAATTAGTATTAAATATTTATGCCCCACCTTTTAAATAAATAAAAGTTTAACTCCATACTTCTTTGTTTATTCGTATAATTTTAACTTAATAAAAATATTAATACTCCGAATCAAAATTTTAATTTTTCCTTATGAAAAATTTCAAATTTCTTAAATCAACATTTTTAATATCTAATAAAAATTATTAAACATAATACAATATTACAATATTACAATATTAAATTTTTTTTTTTTTACTACCTTAGTCTTTAATACAAAATTTTGACAACACTTTCTTTTTTGGTTATTTTGCTTTTCATTTAATTCAATCTTACTATACTTTCAATTGATATTTACTTTACAAAAAACCATGGCATTAGATTCATTAGATTTATATGTTGTTATTATATTAGTTGTTGCAGTTGCAGCTTATTTTGGTAAAAATCAATTTATAACAAAACCAGAAACAACTGGATTTTTATCAAATGATTCAAATGGTGGTACTAATTCAAGAAATATATTGGAAACACTAAAGAAGAATAATAAAAATGCTTTATTAGTATTTGGTTCACAAACTGGTACTGCTGAAGATTATTCAAATAAAATGTCAAGAGAATTAAGTTCAAGATTTGGTTTAAAAACAATGGTTGCTGATTTTGCAGATTATGAATGGGATAATTTAGGTGATATTAATGATGATATATTAGTATTTTTCATTTTAGCTACTTATGGTGAAGGTGAACCAACTGATAATGCTATTGATTTTATTGAATTTTTAGATAATGAAGCTGATACTTTAAGTACTTTAAGATTTACTGTTTTTGGTTTAGGTAATTCAACTTATGAATTTTATAATGCTATTGGTAGAAAAGTTGATTTAAAATTAGAGGAAAAGGGAGCAGAAAGATTTGCAGAATATGGTGAAGGTGATGATGGCAAAGGTACATTAGATGAAGATTTTTTAAGTTGGAAAGATGGTGTATTTGATTCTTTAAGAAATAATTTAAATTTTGAAGAAAAAGAATTAAAATATGAACCAAGTTTAAAATTAATTCCAAGAGATGATTTAACTATTGATGATTTATCAGTATCATTAGGTGAACCAAATAAAAAATATATAGATACTAAAGCAAGTGTCGATTTAACAAAAGGTCCATTTGATAATACTCATCCATATTTAGCTCCAATTACTAAAATTAAAGAATTATTTAATTCAAAGGAAAGATCATGTGTTCATGTTGAATTTGATATAAGTAATTCAAATTTAAAATATTCAACTGGTGATCATTTAGCTGTATGGCCACAAAATAGTAATGAAAAAATTGATTTATTTTTAAAAACATTTGATTTAACAAATAAAAAAGATGAAGTATTTGAATTAAAATCATTGGATTCAACTTATCATATCCCATTCCCAACTCCAATAACTTATGAAGCAGTTATAAGACATCATTTAGAAATTAGTGGTCCAGTATCAAGACAATTTTTCCTTTCTATTGCAGCTTTTGCTCCTAATGAAGAAACTAAAACTAAATTAACTACTATAGCAAATGATAAATCAAAATATGCTGAAGAAATAACTGCAAAAAAATTCAATATTGCTGATGCTTTATTATATTTATCTTCAGGAAAACCATGGAATAAAGTACCATTTGAATTTTTAATTGAAAATGTTCAACATTTAACTCCTCGTTATTATTCAATTTCATCATCATCAATGAGAGAAAAAACAACTATAAATATAACAGCAGTAGTTGAAACTGAAATAGAACCAGATAATAGAATTGTTTCTGGTGTTGTTACAAATTTATTAAAAGATATTGAAATTAGTAAAAATAAATCAACTGAAAAACCTTTAGTTACTTATGATTTAAAAGGTCCTCGTTCAAAATATGATAATTATAAATTACCAGTCCATGTAAGAAGATCAACTTTCAAATTACCTTCAAGTTCTAAAACTCCAATAATTTTAGTTGGACCAGGTACTGGAGTAGCACCATTAAGAGGATTTATAAGAGAAAGAATTACACAACAAGAAAATGATGTAAATATTGGATCATCATTATTATTTTATGGATGTAGAAATGAAAATGAAGATTATTTATATAAAGATGAATGGTCAGAATATGCTAAAAAATTAGGTGATAAATTTGAAATAATAACTGCTTTTTCAAGATCAACTTCAAAAAAAGTTTATGTTCAACATAAAATTTTGGAGAACTCTACAAAAATAAATGATTTATTACAACAAGGTGCAATAATATATGTATGTGGTGATGCCTCACATATGGCAAGAGATGTTCAACAAGCTTTTATTAAAATAATCTCTCAAGAAAGAAAAATTGATTTGGAAAAAGCAAGTGAATTAGTTAGAAGTTTGAAAGTTCAAAATAGATATCAAGAAGATGTTTGGTAGATAAGAGAACATAGGTTAAAAGGAGATGTTTGATGTTGATGAAGAAATGAACATTTTGCTAATTTAAATGATAAGATAAATTAGCTTGTAAATTTTTAAATTATTGTTTTATGTTGCTGTAATAGTTAAATCAGGTTTTATAATTGGTATGATAGATTAATTAAATTGATTGAAGTTATATAAAAGGGTTTTTTGCAATAATCATAAATGTATAAAATTTTAAATAAATTTGAAAAACTTGTAGTTCACTAATTTATCTTTATATTGAATGTAAAAAAATCGATTATATAATTTACCAAACTAAAAAAAAAAAAAATTATGTAATTTTGCAACACTACATCTAAAAATATGTCAAATGAAGATCAACCAAAATGTCCTGTAGATCATTCTACAAGACAGAGTTGGCTACAGAAACTAACAGGATCCAATAAAGAACCAACACCACCGACAACAAATCCCTCACAGTCACAACCACAACCACAACCACAACATGATCAACCAGTATGTCCAATAAATAATGAAGCAAGGTCAAACTGGTTAAATAAAGTATCAGTAACTATACCAGAAGATATAGAAACAACAAAAACATGTGGTTCTACAAATATTACAAATACATTACAAGATCAAACCACCACCAAAATAAATTTACCAACTCAAAGAGAAATAAGTTCTATACCTCGTACATCATCAAATTCAAATTGGATTTACCCAAGTCAGAAACAATTTTTCGAAGCTATGCAACGAAAAAATTGGAATCCCGATTCTTCAGATATGAAAGTAATCGTTCCAATACATAATTTAGTAAATGAAAGAGCATGGAAACATATTATAATGTGGGAAGGTATCAATTACAAAAAAGCTCTTGAACAATGTGGTGGAATAACTTTAACTTCATTTAGTGGAGATTCCACCAAAAAAACACCAAGAGCATGGTTCAAAACTATAATAGGTCAACAGCCACCATTTGATAGACATGATTGGAAAATCAATAGGTGTGGTTTAGAAATTGAATATGTTATTGATTTTTATAATGGTGAAAATAATCAAGTTTGGCTTGATGTTAGACCTAAACTTAATCTGTTTGAAGGGATTAAATTAAGATTACAAAAAGCTTTTGGATTAAACTAAATGTGATTTCTGTATATATACAAGTTTCTTATATTAAATTAAATAAAAAAAATTTCTAATTATATTATCTTCTACCCATAAATTGACCACTTTGACCTAATTTTTGCATATTCTCACCAACTTGAACATTAGTTTCAAAATATTTAGCAACACATCTATCTAAACATAATGATTCTTGTTTTGTTATATCTGATTCATTATATGTTTTTGAAATACATTTTTGATGACATTGAGATACTAATGAATTAAACATTCCTGTAACCATATCTAATTCTGCTTCTGCTGCTTGTAATTTCGCTTGGGAGCTGATTTGTGGGGCTGATGATCCTCCTAATCCGAACATTGTTTTGATTTTGTTGTGTTTTTTGGTGATTAATTTAATGGCGATTTGGAATAAGTTTTTAATATTTGCTGCAATTTTTTTTTTTATTTTTTTGCTTTTCTGGTAAAAAATTGTATGTCGTGGATTTTACAAAACATTTAAGGTGTTGCAAAGTTTCAATTGAAGATAAAAATTTGGAGTTGGCTAGGTCTCATTGCTGTAAAGTTTAGAGAATTTGCAGATAAATAGTATTTACTGTTTTTTGTCCTAACCAATGAGTTGCTAAGAAATATCTACAAGCTTAAAATTTTTCATAAGTCATTGATTATATTGAATCTAATAGATACTCTATAAACTAATCAAGATCGAGATTATCTTGTTTTATGAAACCTACTAAATGACTCAATTGTTGATAATTTTCAGGATTTAATTTTTTAATTATTGCAATAACATCTTCTTCATTAACATTAGTCAATTCATCATCTACATCTTCTTCTATTTCTTCATCACCATCTCCGATTTCATTATTTATAACAGTATCATCAATAGGTTCATCTTCAAGTTCTTCATTTTCTTTTTCAGTTGTATCTTCTTTATTAAAATTCAAAGTTGTAAATTTATATATCTTATTTTGATCTATTGGTTGTTCATTTACTAAACAATTTAATTTATACCTCATAATTTTTCTAATTAGGTCCATAGTTTGTTTATTTACCCATCCAGAATAAACATCTGGTGCATCTTTTAAAAAATCATTACCCATATTTTGTTTATGATTAGTTATAACTGATGTTATGTCCATATCTATAATATCACCAATTTGAAATGTTATTGCACTTGGTAAATTTACTCCATCAAAAAATTCATGTTGTGATATAGAAATTTTATATTTTAAATCTTCTAATGTTTTGGGGATTATTTTTTTAGAATTTTCGTTTTCTTCTGATTTTCTACCAATAACTCTAAAATATTCAGTTTGATAAATCCAATATTTAGAATCTAATCTTGGATCAATTCCAATTTTAATATTACAAAATCTCCAAGGTCCACTTCGATATAAATAAGTAACATAAGGTAATGCTAATTTAAGATGTCTTTTAAATTCTTCGGGTATTATATCAACTAATTGACGTCTTAACCAAATTGGTTTTATTTCGAATATTTCTTTTACCCATTCTATACATCTTATTAAAATATCATCATGACTACCTCTTGGTGGATGGTTTTTTATCAATTCTTCGTAATTCTTGGTTAATAAACTTGGTGGTTGTTTTGGTGGTTCTGTTTCATATGGAATAAGTATAGTATGTAATTTTATAGATGATTTTTTAGAAACAACTTTTAAATCACCACTTTTTTCATCTTTTACCACGGCAGTTACTGGATTTTTTTGATATTTATAATTGTATGGGTAATTAATATGTGAAAATAATGGAGGTGGTGGTAACATATGATCTCTATTTTCAAAATATTCATTATTTAAATCTGATTTATTATTAAAATAATTATGATCAGCTACGTAATCCTTGACGGTTTGATAATTTGTTGCGTCTAATACATTTTTCTTCAAATCTTGTAACATTTTATTGTGCTTAGTACTTATTTGAAAATCACTCATTGCTCTAAATCTATAAGTCTTATCTATTATGGCAACTGGTTGGATTTTAGGTTTTACTTCATTTAATTGTAATAATTCTTGAATTGATTTAGTTGGATTTTGTTTAACTATATCTTTCTTGATTTGAATTTTTAAAACTACTCTTTCATTTGCAGAATATGCAGCTTTTATAGGATGTTGGAAAGGATCTTTTCTTAATTTTAATTCTATTGGTATTGCTGAATCTTTAATTGAATCAGATATTTTATTTTTTCCACCAAGTGCATCAATTGCCTTTTGTTCATTTTTAACACGTAACGGTAGTTCAACTGCTGCTATGTGCGGTATGTCCATTGAATATAGTGGGACTTCTTGTGGTGTTTCATCCATTGTTTTGTTATGATTGATTGTTATTGTTTGTTACTTGTTTCAAAATCACTACTCTAAGTTATAAATATATTTTTTTATAAGAAATGAAAACAACACTAAAAAAAGTAATTGATGCGGCTCAAGATATGAAACATTACTTATTAAAATATAGACCGTTTTATTGTCAAATCAACTTTCTAAAAATCGCCTCTTCAGCAACAGTTTAAATTTATGGATAATACTCCTCCAGCACTATCATTTTTAATATTTGCTTGTTTGACTAATCAGTAGAGGAACTTCAAAGCTCGTATTGAAATACATTCACATCAGTTCAACCTTCAACTTTATTTGTATGGTAGACAGGAAACAGAATCCCAGGTTGGTTTTATTCTATGTGTTATAGTTCAAATTGATGAAGATACGTTTCTACCTTCACAACTTTTTCCAAAAAAATATTAGCTCTACTAGAAACTCCGAATAATTTAATTGTTCGTAAATTTGCAATCTAATTTTTGTGTATTGTTTTGATATTTTTCAAAAGCAACTATACCTAATTTTAGATTCTTATTTGACAGTTATATTATGTCATAGATTTGAAAAATGAATCAATTGATTCGTAATTTCTTCAGTTATAAATTAAAGTTGTTATCACTTCATTTTTTTTCTAATTCAACCTCAAACTAAATAAGTAAAAACAAAATATCATGAGTTCAGACGAAATCAAATCATATTGTAATCCAGAATTAGGTCCATTACCAACTAAATATACTCCACCAAATAAAGGTATTCTTGATTTATTTTCATTAAAAGGTAAAGTAGCATCAATCTCGGGAGGTTCAGCTGGCTTGGGTTTTGCAATTGCCGAGGGTTATTGTCAAGCGGGATCTGATGTAGCTATATGGTATAACTCGACGCCTGCAGATGACAAAGCCAAGTATTTAGAAGAAAAATATGGAGTTAAAGCAAAAGCTTATAAGGCAGATATAACTAATGCAGATGATGTTAAAGAAGTAATTAATGAAATTAAAAAAGATTTTGGTAAAATTGATATTTTTGTTGCTAATGCCGGAATAATTTGGGAAAGTGGTCCATTAATTGATGAATTAGATTTAAGTAAATGGCAAAAACTTATAGATGTAAATGTTAATGCTGTATTTTATTGTGCACATGCAATTGGACAAATTTTTAAACAACAAGGATTTGGTAATTTAATTATAACTTCATCAATGTCAGGTAGTATAGTTAATATTCCGCAACCATTAGCTGCATATAATACTTCAAAAGCTGCAGTTAAGCATTTAGCAAAATCATTAGCTGTTGAATGGGCTCCTTTCGCAAGGGTTAATTCAGTTTCTCCTGGCTATATAAGTACAAAAATGGTGGAGTATGCTGATAAAGACTTAGTTGGAAAATGGTGCCAACTAACACCACTAGGTAGATTAGCGAATGTTTCTGAAATTGTGGGAGTGTATGTATATCTCGCGTCAGATGCAGCTTCTTATACTACAGCAGCTGATATTGCAGTGGACGGTGGATATACGGCTGTTTAAAAATTTGTTCAACAATTGGTTAATTATTTTTTTTTTGAGTTGTCCGTAAGTTTAGTGAAGAAGACTAGTAGTTAATATAAGCATTATAGATTCTTTTATACGTCTAGAGACATATGTTAATAAAGTAAGTGAACTCGTTAGATAATGTAGTCCAGTTTTCGTAGAATAAAGATTTCCACTATAAACATGATGTTACAAATTGGTTTTGTGTTCTGTTTCATAAATTACATAAAGTTACATAGAATCAGATATTTTTTGATTTGTAAATTCATAAACAAAGTATTTTCTTAAAAGAGAATGTCTTGGTTGTAAGAGAGGCTAGGGATATTTTTCTCTTAAAGAGTTTGAAGAATTATTCAACTTCTTCCATTATTCTCTAGACCAGTGACTGGTACAAATCAATTATCAACAATTAAGTAAAAGCTAAGTTTAGCCTAATTTTTTTATCAATCGGTATTGAAAACTCTATATTTTTTGTGTGGTTGTCCTTCTAGATGAAATTTATAGATCCTACATTGATTTCAACTCGAAAACTTCATAGACACAGAATATTTAGTTCATTTTCATTGTGGACCCATTTCGTTTACATTAAGTACATGACATAACCTTTTAAAGAGTGAAGAGAATCAAACGTAATATTGCTGGTTCAAAATTACGAAATAGGACGACAATGAGTGCTTCCATCAATATACATATTGATAAAAAGAAACTTGAATTGAACTGACTAGTAATTCTCCTGAACTTAGACATCTGGCTTATTGAAGGTAGAAAAGGTAGAGTTTCCATCTACTAATGATTTAATAAACGTACAGATACATAAATACATATATTCATCAAATAAGAAAAATAAGATACAAATCTGCAATTTTGGATTCTGACGCAACATTAATTTCAAGGATTAAAACGAAATTACAATCTGGAATCTCAAGGATCAACATATAATTATTAAATTATCGTTAACCGTTACTGTATTCCATAAAAAACCCCTCTTTCTCAATTAGTACTAAAACCTAATGCAACAACTGCTTTATTTACTTCGTTCAAAAAGAAATCCTTCTTTCAACACTTTATATATTTTGAAAAATCGTTGCGACAATTTAGATGTTTGTGGTTTAGGGATTTGTGACTTGGACCCATATAATAAATTAATAAATTATGGTTTGGTTTTTAAAAATATAAAATATTCCAGGAAAGGATATACTTCAAGTACAAAAAGCATATTCAACCAATCAAAAAATTATCAAAATTTTCAATCATTGAAACAATATCGAGTTAGACTATTTGACATTTCGAAAAGAAGATAGCTTTTTCACCTTTGTAATTGATTATACCCAATCCAGTGCTGAGCTATGTCAGAGTCTATATAGTAAAAAGCTTAGCCCAAAAGATTTTACCCAATACTTTTAAGAACTGATGAGCTGTCAATCCACAAAATCTGATTCGTTATTTCAATAACTAATAAATTCAAAAATCAATCTATGATTTATTTGATTAAATTCAAAAGAAACCGGCAAAATCAAATTTGTGGAGATAAACAATCTAAACTTTTATACAAATAACCATGTAATACCGATTATATATATAAAAACATGTTCTCTCTGATTATAACGAATGAAAGATTAAGACGGACATCATGAACATATATCAAGACTCAATAGTTTTCAACAATTTAATCGAAAGCTTGCATTCCAACACCAAATGTAACTTTGTAATGCTATTTTGGTTGTGGTCGACGCTGTAACAAAATAAAAATTTTCCAAACAAAAAACTAGCATTAAGTCGTGCAAATTTGACACTTTATGTCAAAAATTTTAAATACAACTAAATAAATTACAACTAAATAGAAACTTATTGAGTTAATTTACAAAAGCTCATGAAAAACATCTTCGAATAGCTCAATTATGAATTCTGAGCTCTAACCAATTAATATGACTATATGACTAAGCATGTGGAAAATTCACAGTCGTTTCTTTGATTAAATATGTCATGAATTTGAATTTAAGTAAGTTGTAATACTTTTACTTTAGATGTAGCAAATGTAGGTGCTTGTTCAAACATCAACCAGTCTTCTATAAATAATGCTTTACCGGATCATTGCATTGCATTTTTCAAAAAGTCTCGAAATTGGAGATTTAAATATGTTAGATGTAATGATTTTTTCAACCTGAATTTTTTGCAGCCAAATTCACTAAAAAAATTCACTTTGTAGAATTTAGAGAATTATTTTAAAATAATGTGAATCGAGACCGATTGACTTAAAAACAGACGTAGAGGTAGACATACATCGCTTTTAAAAAAATTTGAAATACAGATACATAAATACGTTTATTTAATCATTTTAATAGTATACACATCAACCCAGATACAAATATCATTAACAGAATGAAGGAATTCAACAAAAAATATTGGACTTTGATCAGATTCTATTGAAGTATTACTAAATTGTGCTGATATTAGTGGTGACAGTTTATAATTTTTTTCATACTTAAACCTTTCTAAACTATTCGAAATAAACAAAACATTCATTTAGACACAGGTGCTACTAAACACATTGTGAATGATAAAGAACTATTCATGATGCTTTCATTCAACATTTTGAAAAACTAAATCTAAGTCGTAATCAGACAGGATAATTCAAGTACAAAAAATCAATTCAACTAATCAAAAAAATTCAACTAAAATAAATTTGACATTTCGAAAAGAAGCTTGATTTTCCCACTTTGTAATTGAATAACATTCTTTTTTCAAGGTTTAAAAAATGATGCCAAGAGTGCCTATCTGAACGCCCAATAGCAGACGAAGTCTAATTATGTAAAAGACAAAATTTGTCCTGACGGCTCTGTTAATAAAATCAAATTATTAATTGCCTGGCAGAAACAAAACATTAAAGTCAGAAAAAATTGATTTATTAAATATATCAATAACTAATGAATTAAATAATCAAATGTGAGTTTATTTGATCAAATCCAAAAAAAACTGACAAATCAAAAATCTCAATGCAAAATGTTCTTAAATACCAGTTCGATCATTTTGCCCAACCTACTAAAAAATGGAGGGTATTCCAAATCTAATTAGAAGATAATGATATGATTGACCTATTTGATTTCATTCATCTATTTATCTACCTCTTTGTCGAGATCGTCCTTACTTCTAAAAATTAAAAAGTAATCAAATAATTATAAATCATGAAAAAATTGAACATTATTGAAAAATTAATAATTGAAGAAATGTGTTAGATAAAGAATTTATTAAAAGTAAAAATTTTATTATTAATAAATTAAACACTTGAAATTAGTCGTGTTAATTGGCTAATATTTTAATTAATTCAAATTCTCAAGTTAATTGATCTCGAAGTAGCTTACAATCTTCAAAACTATATATAACTTTGTATCCTATGCTATATGATTTTATTTAAATAGATATAGAGGCGTATACAAATTAGATTTATTCAATTCAGTGAATTCCACCTCAAAATGCAATGGTTAATATGCATATTTAGCCAAACTAGATTAATTCGATTGCTTGATGTTTTGGCAGCTTGATCATTATAGTACGGGTACTCTATACCATAATTTTGGTACTTTCTGAACGCTGAATCAAAATTTATCACACTATAGTTCAATTTTTGCAACTGAAAATCTGAAATCTGGGGTAGTATTATTAACAAAAAAATTGGTAGCATACAACTTAGAAAAATATTTAATAATAAATTTTAATTGGTTAATTTTTAATTAATAAAATTCTCTCGGTAATTAAATTTTTATATTTAGTATCAAAAATTATTATTAGTTAGTACAATACACAGTTTTTTAATATTGTGAAAAATATTTAAAAATGAGTGAAATTTAATTCTATTGTACCGTTCAATTTTTCAATCCTCTTTGTATACTCTTTTTTTTTATTCTTTTTAATCTTCTTCAATTCAATCAAACTCAATTGATTATATACATATCAAAATAAAAATGTTTTCAAAAGTTGCTACAAGATCATTTTCATCATCTGCTTCAAATGCTTATAAAGTTGCCGTTTTAGGAGCTGGTGGAGGTATTGGACAACCATTATCATTATTATTAAAATTAAATCATAAAGTTACTGATTTAGCTTTATATGATATTAAAGGTGCACCTGGTGTTGCTGCAGATGTTAGTCATGTACCAACTAATTCAACTGTTAAAGGTTATAATCCAGATCAATTAAAAGAAGCTTTAACTGATGCTGATGTTATTGTTATACCAGCTGGTGTACCAAGAAAACCAGGTATGACAAGAGATGATTTATTTAATACTAATGCATCAATTGTTAGAGATTTAGCCAAAGCTGCTGCTGATTATGCTCCAAATGCTGCTTTAGCTATTATTTCAAATCCTGTTAATTCAACAGTTCCAATTGTTGCTGAAGTTTTTAAATCAAAAGGAGTTTATAATCCAAAAAAATTATTTGGTGTTACTACTTTAGATGTTTTAAGAGCTGCAAGATTTGTTTCTGAAGTTGCTCATACTAATCCAGTTAATGAACATGTTCCAGTTGTTGGTGGTCATTCAGGTATTACTATTATTCCATTATTATCACAAACTACTCATAAAGATTTACCAACTGATGTAAGAGATTCTTTAGTAAATAGAATTCAATTTGGTGGTGATGAAGTTGTTAAAGCTAAAGATGGTGCTGGATCAGCTACTTTATCAATGGCTCAAGCAGGTGCAAGATTCACTGGTTCTTTATTAAATGGTTTAGCTGGTGAAAAAGATATTATTGAATGTACTTTTGTTGATTCACCATTATTTAAAGATGAAGGTGTTGAATTTTTCTCATCAAAAGTTACTTTAGGTCCAGAAGGTGTTCAAAAAGTTCATCCATTAGGTGAATTATCTGATTATGAAGAAGGTTTAGTTAAAACTGCTAAAGATACTTTAATTGGTAATATTAAAAAAGGTGTTGACTTTGTTGATCAAAACCCATAGAGGAATTAAAAAAATTTGCTAATAATTTAGTTAAGAATATAGTTTTTTCAATATACATTTACATATAAATACATACAAAGAAGAATATGGAATTGAATTTTTTTAACTCTTCCTCGACCCCAGTTCAATCAATTGTAACCAATTGGGCCCTTGAACATTGAAATGAATAATTTTTTAGAGTTATGTATTCCTTTTCAACCGGTTTTAAACGTGTATAAAAATATATATAACCGAATTACTCCTGGGCGTAGATTTCCGAAAAGAGTTATTAAAACCTTAATTTTCAAAATGAATTCTACAACCAGTAAAGACTTGTTAACAAATTCTAGCTTGAAGGGTTTAATACTCGGTTAAGTTCTAATTTATTGAGTACGCTCGACTATTAACTCAATTTTAACTAAAGTGTCTTGAATATTTGACATTTATAAATCGCCACTAATTGAAGTGACAAATAATAACTCGGCTTCGGCTTCTCATGTCAACTTCAGATCTACACTGCTAATAGAATCTTAGTCATCATAATCATTATTAAGACTTCTTATAAAATTATTCAATTCAAGCAAAACATTTTTATAAATTACATGCATTAATTATATATGCTTTAAATAGTATATTAATAACATACGTACGTAATTAATCAAATTAAACTTTTTTTTTTGCTATTTTGCACCCAAAACAAAACGCTACCTTTTGCAACACAAAAATGAAACAAAAAAAAATTGTCTGTGTGTCAGAAATCATGAGACTTGATTAACAACAGACACTGAAATATATACTCAACAGCAAATACAATTAGTAGAATAAATAGGATTATCCCAATTCATCGTAATAGAAATTCCCTAAAGTTCCGCATATTTAGCTTATTGACTTTCTTGAAACAAGGATAGAGTTTTTTCTAATACATTTCGAAAATTACTTTTTATCTCGTATGAAAAAACTAGAAAGTATCAACATGTAAAAAAAACTTCTAAAATTAGTAACAGTAAATATTGATTGGTTATGTTATAATTATGTAATTAAAAAAAAAAAAATAGAAGAAAAGAAGAGTCGGGTATCAAATCAAAGTATATGCACAGTTGCGAATCAATGAAAAATTCAAAGTACTACAAAAAAATTGGTTAATGGATGTAACGGAAAAAGGACAAAATCTTGGACAGCAAAAGAAATAATTAAAGACATCAAGGAATTATGAGGAATTGTGCTCAATTTATCATGAGATGCCACCTAAGTTTACTAAAATAAGAAATTGTTCTTGTAAGCGGAGTTAATTACATGAAATTCTTTGCATTAAAAAAATAGAGTGTTTTATATTGTTTGATCTTGAAATTAAGAGTATAACTTATGATGTCACAAGAATTCAATAATTTTTTTTGGGGAAAAAGACTGAATTTATTAAAGTCTAATATAATCAGATGTCATATATATGCTTGAGTTGTGAATATCGTTGATTAATTTATGAAACTGTATATTGCAATTGTACTCACTCTCTTAATTTGTTCCAATTGGTTTTTTTTACATAAAATATTAATTACAAATCAAAGTATTATTAAGACATAAACTTTCGTAAATTTGTGTACCTACAAAAATAAATTAACTAGCCTATAATTAAAAATAAAGTAAATAATCTTCAATTAGAGATACCTTAGAATTGAATTAACGAAACTCAAATCTAGAATGTAAACTACATCGCTTAATCAGTAATTAGAAGCTTCTACCAATCTACAGTTTCATATGAAAATGTTTAAGGCTAATTAATTAAAAAGTATTGGTAAATTAGTAGGTTTTTGTGAATAGAGGCTATGGAAATTTCGAGGCAAATAGAAAAAAAAAATAAAAAATTTTTCTGTTTGCTTGACAATTTTGTGAAGATTAGTATTTACAATCGAGAGGGAAAAAAAAGTTTTTATTGAATGAAACGTATGATTGTTGTTGTAGTTGTTAATTGATCAATACTTAAAGAGTATGAATATATAAAACATTGTAATATAAGATTATACTTACGAGATATAAATTTATTGATAAGATTATAAAACATTTTTAAAACAATACGCGTCTCAGATTCTTTATTTTTTTATTTTCTTAAATTATTTTTTACGCATTTTGTGTAACTTTTTGAATTGTCTATTCAACCCAGACCAAAGTTACACAAAGACAATTTACTTAAATTCAATTAACAATAGCCTCTATAATAATTACTTGCAATTGGATTTCAAGATCGATTGATTATTAAATGAATAAATTTGATCAATATGAGTTAATGGAATATTCAATTAATTCCTCTAATTTAATCGTAAAAAATTTATTGAATTTTTTGTCCGAATTAAATTTCACAATATTAATTAAATTATTTCTTTTAATAGCAAATAATTTATAAAGTACTAAAAAACAAAAAAAAGTTCTATTTATTTTAGTAAATTTGATCTCTCTTTAACTAATTGAAGTATAAACGAAGGCTTATAACATTTGGTTGGATCCTTCTTCTTTAATCTTCAATTGATTACAAAGACTGTCTTACATTAATTCGTTCTTTATTCATTACTTTATAAATTTAACTAAGATTAGAAAAATACCTAAGCATTTAATTTTTTTATTTATTGTAAAGTAACACTATTAAAATTATTACTTAATAAAATAAATAAATTAAATAAATTTATTATTTTTTTTTTTTACAACCAAATTTTTCTTTCATTTTCATTCAATCATCTTTTTGCTTTTCAACCAACTCAACTTACTTATAGTCTATTTTTATTAATCATTTACTTAAATCTTATCAAAGCATCTAAGAATAATCAATCAACTATTTTTTGAAAAAAATTTCAAAATTTAAAATTATCTCCAATATTAAATCATTCGCTTAATCTTTATAAAAACAATATTAATTTAATATTCTAAAAAAATCATAAATTTACAATCAAACCAAATAATATTCATGAAAACCTAACTCCATTTTAATAATTGTCAATTTAATCTATCGTTTAACTTATTAACAAGTTATTTTACTAAAACCATTTCTTTAATTTAAAAAATTCAGATCAAGTAATCACTAAAATAGACTTTTCCGAATCAATTATACTACAAATCCTAATTACAACCATTTCACAACAATTTCTCGAGATATTATTGATTGAAACTCATAATGGATAAATTTTTATTAAGTTCACCAACTCAATTAGCACAACAATATGATGAATCTACTTTAAATTTTGATATTTATGATCAAACTGTAAATTTACAACATAATCAATATCAACAACAATTTATAAATAATAATAATAGTATTAATAATACACACTTTAATAGTCATAATAATAATCAATTTGGTGGTAATTTGAATCGAAATGATGATTTAATTGCATTGACTTTGAATAATAGTCAAAATTTCAATTCCCAAAATCAACTACAACAACACGAACAACAACAACAACAACAACAACAATCAACACAACAGATACCACCGTTATATTCACAAAATATAAATTTACAAGAAAAACAAAATTATTATACCTCTGGAGGAAATAATAATAACAATAAACAAATCTACAATAATAATGATACACCCATGCTTGAAAATGAAGTAGTACCGATTTCTACAAATTTACCAGATAATAAATTTTTCATAACTGATGATTCAGGTTTAGGAATTAATGTACTTGATACTTCAAATATGGATAGTACCAATTTAAAATTCAATCATTCAAGAAATATTTCATTAGATGAAACTATGTCAAATTTTAATCATTCAAACTATCGACAAAATAAATATAATCATCAACATAATCATTCAATTGTATCTATAAACCAAGATGCTCCAATTAATGATGGTTCAAATCTTATACCCAATTCATTTTCATCTAATACAATTTATTCATTAGATTCTATACCATCATTTGAATCTCCAAATCAACAATATCAACAGCAAATTCAAAATTCTTTGCCGTATCAACAACAACAGCAATACCAACAAAACCAGACGTATCAACAGCAGCATCATCATCAACAACAGCATAGTTTCACTTCTACACCTAGAAGAGCAGGAAGAAATAAATCTATGTCGGTATCATCATACAACACACCAATGAGAAATTGTGCACCATCATTTTCACCTATTAATTTAGCAACTACTGCATTCAATAAAGTTTCCAAAACACCAGCAAAATTAACAAAAGGTCATGCAAGATCAAGATCAAAAGTTTCATTAGATGCAGCGGCTGCGGCATTAGCTTCTAAAACAAATTCTGCACTGTCATATAACTCATCAGCATTAAATCCATTTTATACTCCATCACAATTGATTTCTTCATTTGATGATGAAAATGAAGATGATGTTAATTCAACACCATTATTAACACCAGGTTCATATAAATTAAAATCTTCACAATCAACTTTTTTCAGTCCTTATAAACAAAACACTGATAATTCATATTTAAACCCTAATAATATAGATAATCAAGAAAATGATGCAGTTAAACAACTAAAAAAGGCTAAATCTTATTCAAATTTATTTAGAAAACAGAAAAAGGAACAACAATTACAACAGCAACAACAACAACAACAATTTACAATGCAAAGACCACAACCTGTAAATAGTTTTAGTGAAGCCTCAATTAGTGGGATGTTATCACGACCAGCTCCTAAGATAGATTTATTACTGCCTGAGTTTAAGCAAGAATTAGACTCTACTACTTTCGAAAATGATGATAAACTGATTCAAACATTTAATCCATCAATTACATCGCCTTTCAATAACTATGTAACTCAAAATAATTCCAAAAAATCATTTTCAAATAGTGTTGAATATTCACAAATTTCTTTGAATCTAGATAATTCAATTGAATTTGATCAACAGCAACAGGATGATGAATATGATCAAGAGCAACAAACTGATCATCATACTGAATTTACTTCATCAACTTCCACTTCAAACACAACTCCAAGTTTATTACCACCAATGGTTACTTTCTCAACTAAAGATCATCGTCAAACTCAACCAGCACAAGAAGAAGAAATTAAAAAGGAATCAATATCATCTAAACCCAAATCAAAACCCACAAAATCAAAACGTAAATCACCAAAATCTAAAACACAAGATTCAGAAGAAGAAAAATCAAATACATCTCTCCAATCCTCAGAAGAATCTACTACAACCACAACAACAACAGCAAATGAAGACGACACAGTAACGATCCCGATCCCAGAAAACTTGAATGTAACAAGACCAAAAGTTCGTAATAATAGATCAGATAAAGAACATAATAAAACTGATCCAAAAAAGAAACATAAATGTCCTATATGTGAATCAAGATTTCAAAGACCTGAACACGTCAAGAGACATTTAAAATCTCATTCACTGGAAAAACCTTTCCAATGTGAAGAAATTAATTGTGGGAAATGTTTTAATAGGAAAGATAATTTAAAGGCTCATTTAAAAAAAATTCATGGGAAATTGAATGTTTAGAAACAGGGGAACTTGTTCAAGATTTGGATTTGTAATTTGGAGTTATTGTTAGTTTGATTTTAAAGTACTTTCATTTTCATTAATTGAATATATACTTTTATTATTTATTAATTAATTTTAGCATTTTTTTTATACATCATTATTTATATAATTTTCATTAATATATATACATACATTAAAAACCGATTAGTAAAAACTTTTATTAAACCCAATACTATATACTTTTTAAGTTGATCTAACAACATCATCAATAGCACAACAAAAATACTCAATATTATTATCATTTAACCCAGCAACATTAACTCTTCCCATAGTAGTAGCATAAACGTGATGTTTTTGTGCAAGTAATTCAATTTGATTTTCATTTAAACCAGAGTACCAAAATAATCCAGTTTGTTCAATTACATTTGACCAAATTCCGGGTGTTTTTAACTCAGTAAGTTGTTGAAGAATTTTGGATCTTAATTTAATTAATCTGATTGTACTTTCATAAACTTCATTTTCCCACTGTTTTCTTAATTCTGATGATTCGAATATTTTTGAAGCTAATCTTGCTCCAAAAGCAGGTGCAAATGAACATTCATTTCTGAAAAGTTTCACTAGATTAGATTGAACTGTTGGGATTTTATTTGTATCTTGAACAATTACATGTAATGCACCACATCTTTCTGAATATAATCCCATGTTTTTTGAAAATGATTGACATACTAAAAATTCTAAATTGTTGTTGTAAAATAATTTAATTGGCCATACGTCATCTTCTAATTTACCTGTTTTAAAACCTTGGTATGCTGTATCTAATATACATATTAATTTTTGGGTTTTAACAATCTTGACTATCTGTTCCCATTGATCTCTAGAAAAATCTGCTCCAGTTGGATTATGACAACATGTTTGAAACAAGAAAATGGAATGTGGTGGTGCTGATTTTAAAGTGTTGACAATTTCATTGAAATTTATAGCTTTTTTTGATTCATCATAGTAATTATAAGTAGTTACATGACCTCCAATATGTTCAATCATAGGTATATAATTTTGCCAACTAGGTAAACCCACATAATAATTGATTAAACCAGATTCTTTTAGTAATACCATTGCCATATGTAATGAACCAGTACCTGAAATAGTTTGTAATGATGCAATTTTCCCCTGGTTTAAAATCTCTTCACCAAATATTATATCTTGTGCTCCTTTGATAAAAGATGGAATACCCGCCATATTAGTATAATTATGACCAGGATCATTCTTGTATAATAATTGTTTTGCTTTTGTTATTGATGGAAATTCGTAACATGAACCGTTAGAATCTTTGTAGACTCCAATTGATACATCCAATTTTTGAGGGTGTTGATCTTGTGTAAATTGTTGCATTGTCTTAATTATTGGGTCTGGCTCTTCCCTAACTAAGTCTGCAAAGATTGTTTCAACTGTCATATTTTCTTGGCCCTATTCTATTAAATGATGATGTTAAACTGAAAAGATAGATTTGATATTTAATTTGCAAATAAATACGTCAAAATAAAATTCCGGAAATTTGAATTATTATATCTATGCTAAATTAAGGAAGGACTCTCCTCAAAACTTTGACTAATATAATCCACAATTTTCCACATCATATACCTAAAATTTTTTCAATTTTGTTTCAAGTAACCGTGCGGCTCAGATCTTTTTTATTCGAGTCAAAAAAATTTAACCGACGCGACTCTTATCAATTTGATCTATTATTAAAAATATTAGTTAATTAACGCTAACCTTCAATTGCCGTCCAAATTTAGATTTTTTCGTTTTTCACTACCATTAGTAGATTGATCTTGGATCAATTCATAACCAAATTTTTTTCATCTTTGACGCCTACATTACCTATGGCTAATAATACTATGGCATAATTTAATTAATCCTTGATCTTTTTCCACAAATTCTAAACACACAACTTGTTTGGTTGATGCAGCAATAAATTTTAAATTATTTATAAAAGATTTTTGATCCCATGTGTCTTGTTGTAAATTAAATGAGTGTTGCTGTAATTCAGTTAATAAGGCTTTAAGTTTTGATAAGTAGTTTTCAGTATCTATTATTATTTTCTTTTGCATTATATGATTGTTTATTATTGCAATAGTTTTCAATTGTTCTAGTACATTTAAATTATCAATTTTGGAAACTGAATCATCTATCAATATTTCTAGTATGTCTTGATTTGAATCAACATCGAAACTTATTTTTTGTATTATGATATACTCAAGACTCAAACGTTCTGGCATATCAAGACGAACAATTTGTTTTAGCAAATCATTCGGAATGTTTTGCGTGGATGTGTTCAACAATTTTATGAGGAACTTGAAGTGTAATGTAGCTATTTCTTTATAGTAATTTGCATTATCAAACACTAGTTGATTCAAACCGATCAATCTACTACTATGATTTTCCAACATTCTATTCGAAATCGATTCATTCATCAAATTTGTCCATAAATGAATAGCTTGTACTTGAACAATATCAGTGATATTTGTGCCCTGGAAAAATTGGTCAATCAATCTATTCACTCCATATTCTGAATCGATTGTATTAAATATTTCAACACTCGATTCTCTATTATGTATTTGGTTCCCCAAAATTATACAGCAAGCAGCGAAAATATACGTATTTGGAGACTCTAGTGAAGTAAATAGCAATTGCATAGCATTAGTAGTATTTGGAAATACATCAGTTGCAATCACCAATAATTTCCTACTAAATTTAGTAGTTTTCACTTCATACATAAGCTCAATTACCTTATCAAATAAACCAAACAGTGGTTCTGCATACGTCAAAATATCTAAAACTTTATCTTGTGATTCTTCATCTTCTTCAGTTCCATACGGAATAAAAAAATTGATTGATGTGTTTATGAAATCTTTGTCCTCAGTATCTAATCTATCAGAATTTGCAGTGATTAGTTCATATATAATTTGAATATCAAATTCTTCTGTAAAATTCCTATATATTGAACTATGCATATTCGCATCATGAAAGTATCGCATGTAGTCTTTAGTTTTCTCAGATTCATAGATGAATTGTTGTAAGAATAAATAAATTAAAGTCTTATTAGGTGATGACCAAACAATTTCCCAATATTTATTAATCGCCTCCGAGTTCCTTGTGAGAAATGATCGATTGTAATCATTTTTCGCCATTAAATTGATGTTGACTTTGATAATTTCTTCATTTAGTTGTGAGTTCTTTAAACTTGTATTACAATAATTGACCCAATTTAAAAGATTATCTCTAATCAAACTCGATGATCTAACTGACTCTTCTCTCAATTGTTGTCGAAGATACTCCAAATCTGCTAGTGATGCATTTTTGAACTTGATTTTATTTATAATTTCTTCCATAACACTGGAGCTTGAATCAAATAGATGGATAACATTTTGATGTTGCACAAAAAAATTGATCTTGGAGGAGACAATATCAAATTTCAATAAATTATAATATTACAGTCTATTCAATTAAATATGTTTTTATCAATACTATATACTCTTACTGATGTGTCTTTACTACCAACACCTAACATTAGCTTGTTATTGACTATTTTTTTACTAAAGCTTAATTTTTCAATTCTATCAGCTGGTGTTATTGATTCATTAAATGATACAATATGTTTAAATTCATTATTATCGATTGTGTAAATTGATATATCTCCGTTCTCAAGTCCAACAGAAACTATTCTTGAGTCTGATGCTTCCCCTTTAAAAATTGATACTGAGGTAATTGGTTCATCTAGTTTCAAGCTTGTAATTAATTCAACTTTCTCATCATTAACTTTCCATAATTTGAGTTGTTTATCACGAGAAACAGTTACAAATGAATAATTGGAAGCCCAAGAACAATCCCATATAATTCTTGAATGAGCTTTTGTATTTAATTCAACTAATTTAAATTCTGCAGTTGTTTCATCTATTAATTCCCATAAACTAAATTGTCTATCTCTTGAAACAGCTAATAAATATTGACCATTTGGCGAGAATTTTAAACTTGATATTGTTAAATTATGCCCTGATAATACTTGTGGTGATTGTTGATAATCGTTCTTTACGTTGAAGATCCTTATTACTGCATGTTTTGGATTATTTGATTTACATGCTGTCGCTATCAATGATCCATTTGGTGAAGTTGAACAACAACTTATTTCATAACCATGACCATATAATTTTTCATTTTCGGTGGCCAAACTATTTCTTTGTAAATATGATTCTGTTGGTGGAGTGTTTATTTGTTCTATATGGTGGTCTTGAATTTCAACAGATTCATCATTCTTGGTTTCTTCTTGTATTTGTGAGTCAGCCTTGTTTGATAATCCTAATACGGGTAAAGATGCAAATTCAGGTAATTCTGAGTTATTTTCATTAATTTCAATATTTCCTAATGATTTTAATGCTTCACTTATTGATTTGGTAAGTTCAAAAACACGTAAAATTTTTTCATCACCACCTGATACGAATTTTGTCTTGGTGATATTATCACAACAGATCATATCATAACCGTGAATTTGAGGTCTAGCAATTTCATGCCACGTTATTATATTATCTCTCTTCCATGGTGCATATAATCTAGTAGTTTGATCCAATGAAGTAGCCAAAAAATAATCACCATCTATTGACCATCTTAAATCTGTTATGGCATTAACTGCACCTGTGATTCCCAAAACAGCGTCAAAATATTTATCATCTGCTGCCGGTGACTTATATGCTCTTATTGAACCAGTTTTACCAATAGCTAACACGTAATTATCTTTCGTGTTATCATCAATGAACCATAAACATGACCAAAATCCACCTGAGGCACCTGTAGCTGTTGATGCACCTTTAATTGACATTTCCCCTAATCTACTAGTGCATACCCAAATTCCTGAATCTGTATCCATTTCCCATATCATTAGTGCAGTATCTGCAGTACAAGTCAATAATTGTAGATTTTTATCTTCGTTTTCAACTTCATTTTTACATGATGGATGCCATTGTAAACCACTTATCCAATCATCATGACCCATTATTAAAGCTTCAAAACTGAATGCAGCTCTTTGATTTTTACCATAATCAAATTTATATTGTTTATTTGATAACAATGTTAACTTGTTTGGATCCTCGTCTGAATCATCAATAGAATCGTTTAGTTTTAGTCTCCATAATCTTACATATCGGTCTTGTGAACCACTTGCTAGTATATAGTCTTGATTTTTCTTTTTCGTCACAAATTGTAAACATTTTATCCAATCTTCATGACCTGTTAATTCTGCTGCTTTTTCGAAGCTAATTATTTTCTCTCCCTCTTCGTCAAATGAGTATATATAAATGTTGTTTGTGGTACCTCCAATTGCTAGCACATAACTAGTCTCACTTATATTCTGTATGGATAACGTTAATGGATAAAAATTATGTTTGACTTGAAATTTATGACCCATTTTAAATGAAGTTCCGTCATAGACCCAAACAATTATTTGATGATCTGCACCACCTGTTACAAATATTTTCTCATTAATTTCTGCAATACATGTAACGGAATGTTCATGTTCTTCTAATGATTGGATATGTTTATATACATTGTTATCTTGTTTCCAGACATTTACCATATGATCTTCTCCTATTGATATTAAAAATTCACTATTTGGTAAGAATTTGACTCCTGTAACGTCTTGTGTATGTTTTTTCAAAGTATAGTAAACTCCTTTATGAGATTTTTCTAATGGTGACCATAATGCTATTGTCTTTGCAGCACCAAAAGCTATTATTTTATTTTTAGGATTATAATCTGCAACATAATTTTGTCTATTAGAGCCAATAAAGACTCCCTCTTGAATTACGCCCGAGCTTGTCATTTTTCAACGAGCCTCGTATTACTAAGTCTTGATCTTGATGTTTCAGTTCTTGTATTTAAATGATGAGCTTCTCTCATACTTAATTTTAATTTTTTTAGTGAAAAATCACAAAACTGAAAAATTCAAAATATGTAAATCCAAAATCAACAATCTAAAAACAACCAACAATCGATCAATATCTGTCCGCAAATTCAAGATAAAATGGTGTCTGCGTATGTAGTTTAGCTATGAAAAGTAATGAAATAGCTCAATTGAATCAGTCTTACTAACAAGTTTAGAGTAATATTGGTACAGAATGCTACACCAGAGACGCTAATACAATTTCAAGATCAATTATCAAATGATCTACCGACAAGGAAAGGTAAATGGAGTTTTGTGTTTAAAATATTTAGAAACAATCTGTATGCAATTCCAAAAGAATTAGCTCAAGTAGTTGAACAAAATCCAGAATCAAAATTTATGTACACCTTATCCCCTACGTACGTACCTGGAACCACAATCTCACTAATAGATGGTAAATCTGTTGGAGTGTTTACCAATCCAATACGGGAAGAAATGGTAGAGTTAGGTCACCTGACTGAATTATGTATACCAGATAATCATCTTAGATTAGGTGCAACTATGGGATTAAATGATAGTTTCGATATATTTACAAATTCAAAATTACAAAGTTTATGGGTTCAAAAGCAAATGATAAAGGGAGATGGAGGACAAATATATGAGTTAGAGAATGGGAATCTTTATATAAGGACGTCAAATATTTTTTTACATGGTAATTTTAGAGGTTTATTGATACAAATTGAAATTGATGATCAATCTCCTAGTTATAAAAATCAAGACATCAAGAAAATTATACATCACATTACTCAAAAATATGGAATATCAGACGATAATCTAAGCTGCGATGTCTTGAGTCCCTCATACCCAGATAAATATGGTGACTTATGTTTACAATATTCAAAGATACTAGATTTTTAAATAGGCTTTTAATGCATATAAACGAGGTAACATCAAGCTGAACATGTAAGCTTCTCTCTATTAATTAAGCTTGCAACATTTGAGTAGTACGACTATTCTCATTATTGAAGTTGCAAAATATAGCATCGCATTTGACCTGTATATAATTCAATTTTTTTTTGTACCATTACTTGTATAATAAATTTATAGAGATGGGACAGATTAATTAGAACTTCAATCATAACTAAGCTATTACCTACCACAACTAAAATGGTGAAAAGGTCAAAGACTGGCAATAAGAAAGGTCAAAAGGTAGAAGAAAGAAAAGAAAAACGTCAAAATGAAAAACAGGAATTGAAAGAATTACAGGAAAGAATTCAAAACTACGATCCAAAAGTTGATGAATCTAATTTACAACAGTTTAGTGATCTACCTATAACAAAGAATACCCTCCGAGGATTAAAAGAATCAGCATTTGTATCACTAACGGATATTCAGAAAAAGACCATACCCATAGCATTACAAGGACATGATTTAATGGGTACAGCTAGAACTGGATCAGGTAAAACTTTAGCATTTTTAATACCAGTTATTGAAATATTAATCAAAAATGATATTACAGAATTTGATGGATTAGCAGCATTAATAGTGTCACCGACGAGAGAACTCGCAGTACAAATCTTTGAAGTTTTAGCCAAAATTGGTAAGTATAATTCTTTTTCAGCTGGTTTAGTTACTGGTGGGAAAGATGTACAATTTGAAAAAGAAAGAATTTCAAGAATGAATATATTAGTGGGGACACCTGGTCGTATTTCACAACATTTGAATGAATCAGTAGGAATGGAAACTTCAAATTTACAAGTTTTGGTGCTAGATGAAGCAGATAGATGTCTTGACATGGGGTTCAAAAAACAAATTGATAATATAGTGAGTCACTTACCAACATCTAGACAAACTTTATTATTCTCAGCAACCACAAGTGATAGTGTTCAAGATTTAGCAAGATTATCATTGACAAACCCAAAGAGAATTGGTACTTCATCAGACAATGATGTTTCAGCTATACCCGAATCATTGGATCAATACTATGTCAATATTCCACTAAATGAAAAACTAGATGTGTTATGGTCATTTATAAAATCACATTTAAAATCTAAAATTCTTGTCTTTTTCTCATCATCTAAACAAGTTCAATATGCATATGAAACATTTCGTACACTTCAACCAGGTATATCATTATTAAAATTGTATGGACGTCATAAACAGACATCAAGATTAGAAACAACAATGAAATTCTCACAAGCTCAACACGCATGTTTATTTGCGACAGACATAGTGGCTAGAGGATTAGATTTTCCAGCGATTGATTGGGTTATTCAAATGGATTGTCCTGAAGATGTGGCTACATATGTTCATAGAGTGGGGCGATCAGCAAGATTTGGAAGACAAGGTAAGTCTTTGCTAATGCTTTTACCATCAGAAAAGGAATTTTTAAATAAACTAGAACAAAATAAAATAGCTCCAAAATTAATGAACATTAAAGAAAAAAGCAAGAAATCAATAAGACCTCAATTACAATCATTATGTTTCAAAGATCCAATCATAAAAAATTTAGGACAAAGAGCATTTATTGCATATTTCAAATCAATCTATATACAGAAGGACAAAGATGTATTTAAAGTTGATGAATTACCAGTAGAAGCATATGCTGCATCTTTGGGTTTACCAGGTGCACCAAAAATTAAAATCAAAGGTGGAGAATCCAGCAAAGAAAAGAAAAATGAATCAAGAAAATTACAAGAGTTAAGAAAAGCTGATGTTGATGGAGAAATAAAAGAAGAAAATGGTAAGGTTAGAACAAAATACGATCGTATGTTTGATAGAAAAAATCAAACTATTTTATCTGACCATTATTTGAATATGACAAACAGTAAAGCTGATAAAGACGATGATGAAGATGAAGAAGATTTCATGACTGTCAAACGTCAAGACCATGATTTACAAGATGAAGATTTACCAGATCTTCTGTTACCTGTTTCAAAAAGACAAGCTAAAAAGGCACTTTCCAAAAAAGCTACATTAACATCTAAGGGAAATCCAACTAAACTCAGGTTCGATGATGATGGAGTTGCTCATGCCTTATATGAATTAGAAGATGAGGAAGATTTTATCAAAGCTGGTGATGCTAAACAACAAAAGCAAGATTTTGTTAATAAAGAAAAAGAAGCTATGAAAGTTACTGATATGACAGATAAAGAAGTTGAAAGACAAAAGAGACAAGAAAAGAAAAGAAAAAGAAAAGAAGTCGAAAGAAGAATGAGAGAAGAAGAAGAAGAGGAAAGTGATTATGATGATAATGAAGCACCTGATTTAGAACGTGATATGGAGGAAAAACCTAAAACTAATAACAAATCAACTTGGTTCAAAGATGATGAACCAGATCACAAAAAACAAAAATCTAACAAGTTTGTTGAAATTGAAGAACCTGAAACTTTGGAAGATCTTGAATCATTAGCAGCTAAATTAATAGGTAATTAATAGATCAATTAAAATAACTCTTCAAATTTTGATAAATTGACAGTTCTATCACTATCTTCGGCAAAATCAAAATCTAAAAATTTCATAACTTTATCTCTAGTAGAACTGTAATTTAGTTCTTCTTCATCAGTTAATAATGTCATTTCATTAACAAGATCTTTACCTTCTTCTAATTTTTCTGCAAAATATTCTGCTCGTTCAATTATTGATTCTGGTATACCACAAACTTTTGCGCAATAAATTCCAAAACTTTCTTGCGTAATACCAGGTTTGACTTTATATAAATATGTGATGTCTTGTATTTTATTATCTTCTTTTTTCAATTCAATATCGGTAGTCACAAATTTGGCTTTAGTGGTTGCTAGTTTTTCTGATATTCCATCATTATTAAATAATTCATGAAAATGAGTTGACATAACACATCTTGGACAATTAGTCATGTTAGAAAAATAAGCTAAAGCACCACCAAACAATGCAGGAGAATCAATTGAATCACTGCCCTTGCCAAATTCATCAATTACAATTAAAGATCTCTCAGTACAAAGTGAAGTACATTTTGAAAGTTGATTTATATCAATTGCAAACGTACTTAGTTGTTTCTCTAAAGATTCTCTTGACGAAATTCTTGTTAATAATTTATCGACAACTCCTATATATGCAGATTTAGCAGGAATCGCACAACCTAATTGAGCCAAGACAGCAATTAAAGCTACTTGAGTGATGTATACTGATTTACCAGAAAAATTAGCACCAGTTATAATTGTAATTTTTTCATCTTTATAATTTATATCATTGGGGATAAATAAATTTTGATAAGTTTCAATCAATGGATGTCTACCAGCTTCTATGGCTAAATCTAATCCATCTGTCAAGATTGGGAAGTTATAATCTGGTAATTGTGAAACTTGACTTAAAGATAATAAACAGTCTAATTCAGTTAAAGCTTCAATTACTTGTTCCGTAATAGGTTCATATTTTGATACTTCTTCTTGTAATATTTGAATCACTTCTATTTCTCTGTCATTGATTAAGGTATGCACATCACCATATTGATCATCTAATTCCTCAACTTCTGGAGCTTTGTAATACGAATTTGTTGGTGTTGCAAAAACTTGTTGCCATTCTTGTGGAGTATCACCTTCAATTTCTTCAAATGTTTTTGAAATTAAGAAGCCAAGTTGTGGTATATATATTGTATTAAACTCTTGTTCTGGAGATTTTTGTTTCAAAGCATATGTACAATTTTTAAGAATCTCTTCCATATTATTGTTGATGGTTCTTAGTCTATCAATTTCACCATCAACACCATTCAATATTTTAACTCTTCCTTCCTCAGCTGACGATTGAGGTTCAATAACATCTAATAAAAAGTTATGCAATTTTTGGAATTCAAAAACATCATTAATAAATAAAGTCACAATTTTTAAAGATTCTCCAATTTGAACTGAATTTGTGAGGAAAAACTGTTTCAATATTTTTGCAATCTGCACTGAATTTGATAAAAATGTGAGCAACGCTTTCCAATTGTTCCAGGAAAGTTCATTACTTTTTAATCTTTTAATTTTAGTGAACAGACCTTTGACTTGCTTTAATAATTTGAATATTTGTTTTCTATTATCTTCAAAATGAGTGGAAGATATAATTTGAACAATTTCTTGACGATCCAAGATTAAATCTAACTTAGCTAGTGGTTTTCTTACCCAATCTAAGAGTAAAAAATATCCTTCACGTGTAACTGTATAATTTACTAAATCAAACAATGAAACTTTTTGAGATTTCGAATGAGCTTTTAATTTCTCATGTGGATCTGGTAAAATTTGAAGTGCATATAACAGATCTACATCAATAAATAAATGATTTTTAAAATTACAAAATTCAATTGTATCAACCATTTCTGCAATGAATAATTCTGATACATGATCTGAAATACCAAGATATAATGCATTCAAAGTACCAACACTTAATTTGAAAAAAGGTGAGGTAATTGCAGTTTCTGTAAAATACTTCACATTAATGCCACTTAAATATTTATCAAAGGATTTTGCCAAATGTTCAATATCAAATTTTGTATAATCAGCAACAATTTTAATGAACATTTGCATTTCATAATCTGACTCCAAATTCTTAATAAAAGTAATTGCTGCTTCCGGTAATCTACTCGAAACAAAAACAACATTTGGTTTTAAATCATCAATGATAGCTTCAATATACGAATTTGGGTTGCAAATTTGAAAGTCTTCATAAATGTATAGTTTTCTATTTTCAACGTCAAGACAAGTGACTCCTAGGCTATAGCTTTGAAAATCAATTGATAAGATCTTTTTATCAATAACATTAAATGTAGTCTCTTCAACGTCTTCATTCGATTCTTCCATGTTTGGTTGTAAGTTTATCTTTAGGGGGTAAAAAAATCAAAAAAAAAATTTGGTTGCCAAATATTTTATATGTTTTGTTTTGTACCTACAACAACGATTTAAAATTCCACAAATGACCAAAATTGCATGGATTTATTGGTTTACTCTATACAAGGTGTTGCTATAATTTTATCATTGACTGTACCTAATCGTATTAATTTACCTAATAATTCTCTCCCATCATCATCAACCATTTGAATATCTTCATCATCATTTGAATTTTGATTTAAATCAAGGACAGCTAATTCTTGCAAAAAGTCAGTGGACGACCCCTTTGTAACATTTAATCTAATACCTTTGCCTAAATCTATTGTAATTTTACCTGATTGATGAATATTAACTTTACCAATTTCCCCTTTTAAAGTATTGTCATCCTCTTCTTCCTCCTTTTCTAGTTTTACTTTACTTTCTTTTCTTTTATATTCTGGTAAATGCTGTGGTAGCTGAAATAATACATATTTTTCATCATCATCAGTCGATAAACTTTTCATACCTCCGGTTAACAAATTAATAATTTGTTCATGATCTGTAATTAATTTACTTTTCTCATCCGTTATGATTGAATCATTTTGAGTAATTTTACTTTCTAGTTTGGCTTTGTTTTCTTTAATTAATTCAATTTTATCTTCAATAGCTTCAGTATTTTCTCTCGTTAGTGACATTGCTGGTGTTGGTGTATTTGTATTTGAGTCTAATTGCTCAATTTTGACTGGTGGTTTTTCATCTTTATCTAGCTCTTCTCTCTGTATACCATCATCTCTAAATGGTCTATATGGGAATAATTCTGTTTCATTATCTTCAAATCTATATTGTTCTGTCATATTAATTTTTGTAGGATCATCTTCATCATCTGATTCACTTACACCTGGAGTTAGCGATTTCAGTTTTTTATCTTTGATTTTAAGGTTACTTATAAATTCAGGAGTTGATAAATTTTCACCATTACTATTGTATATTAAATCTGATGTTAATCCTAATTTTGAACTTGTTGGATTTCCAATTGCAACTGATCCTGCTGATAATGGACCTGAAGTGACTAAATGAGTTCCTGCGTAATTGTTTCTACCACCCCTGCCTCTTCCACCTCTTGCACCACCTCGTCCTCTTGTAGGTAGACTTTTTGGTTGTTCCTGTTTTACTTGTGGTGCTACTTTAGCTCTTTCTTCTTTTGATTTTCTTTGGACAACCTTTGGTTTGAATTTTAAACCAGGTTTGGCTGGAGTTGACGGTTTCTTAGAGTTCAAGGACTCCAATCTATTAGACATGTTATGGTGGTGGTGGTGGTGATTAAAGTTGTTATTACTAGTCAGATCAGATATTATGTACTGTATCTAATAATATGTTTAAAAATAAATTATAAGATGAGTGTGCGTATTATATTTTTGCAACTTTATTCAGTCAAATATCATCAAATTACGAACCTAAAGATATGGTTCCTCGAAGAAAAGAAGTCGAAGAAGACTCTGACTTAGATGAAGTGGATGCATTTAATTCTAATAGATCCAAAGTACTATTGAATGAAGCAGGAGAATATGGTCGTGAAAGACAAAACGATGATGAAGAATCAGAAGAAGAAGTTATGGGAATAGAAGATGATGATAGTGAAGATGATGAAGAATTAAACCAAGAAGAAGATGATTCTGGAGAAGAGGAAGACGAAGACGAAGAGATTGAAGAAGAAAAAGGTTGGGGAGGAAGAAAGAATTACTATGGAGGTGATGATGCAAGTGATGATGAAGATTCTAAACAAATGACAGAAGAAGCATTAAGACAACAAAGAAAACATTTACAAGACTTGGAAATGGATGATTTTGTTGATGAAGAAATTATGGAAGATTGGCAAAAGAAAGCAGATACTTTCGATAATAAAGATACAACAGTCTCAATAATAAATACTGATACAAAATTAGATCAACTTGATGATACTGAAAGATTAAATTTGTTAAAACAATCATTTCCAGAATTTATTCCACTAGCTAAAGAATTACAAAAACTACAACCAGCACTAGAAGATTTTAAGGTGGTTGACCAAAATAAATGTACAAAAATTAAAATTGCAGCATTATCTGGTTATTTAGCATCAATATCGTCATATTTTGCAATATTTGTAGATAATCTACAAAATGGAGAAACTTTTACAATGAAAGACCATCCTGTTATGGAGTCAATATTAAGTTCAAGAGAAGTATGGAGACAAGCTAATGAATTACCAAATGATATTAAAGAAGAAGTTGAAGAAGTTACGCATGATCTTATATCGAGTGAGATAGATGAAAATGAATTTGAAGATGCAAGAGAAGATCAAGAAAGCGATATAGAAGAAGTAGAAGAAGAAGAAGAGGTGGAGGAGGAAGAACCAAAATCGAAAGAAACCTTCAATATCGACATAACGAAACCAAGAACAATAAGGCGAGCACCAAAGAAAACTAATGATGATGATTTCACAGAAGCTGATATTGAAGATGTTGACATGGAAGATAAGAAACGTCGTAAAAAGACTTTGAGATTCTATACTGCTAAAATTGATAAAGCTGCTGCACAAAGAGAGAAAGCACTTTCAGGAGATGGTGATATGGATGTACCTTACAAAGAAAGATTATTTGAAAGACAACAAAAATTAATAGAAGAAGCAAGAAAAAGAGGTCTTGATAAAAAAGATATTCCACAAGACGATAATGAAGATTTCAATGATAATGATTTTGAAAATGAAGACTATTACGACACTTTAAAACAAAAGAAACAATCTAAATCAAAAAATAGGAAACTCGCACACAATGCTGCTGTAAAAGCTGCTAAAGAAGGTAAACTTGCCGAATTACAAGAAGAAGTTGGTGATGATGGTAAAAGAGCTATTAGTTATCAAATTCTCAAAAACAAAGGTTTAACACCACATCGTAAAAAAGAATATAGAAATTCAAGAGTTAAAAAGAGAAAACAATATGAAACCGCCAAGAAAAAACTTAAATCTGTTAGACAAGTTTATGATAGTTCAAAACATAGAGGTCCTTATGAAGGTGAAAAGACTGGTATTAAAAAAGGTATATCAAGATCTGTAAAATTAATATAAATTTATTTAACGACTAAATTGTATATCATCAATTCTTAAAATGGATTTTACACATTCTGAAGCTAACACTATAGCGCTTGTACTTACCAAAACTGGTTGTAAAACATGTTCATCAAATGTATTTGATGCACCAGCTCTTCTTACTGATATCCCGGCATTCTTTTCCCCATTTTCGTGTCTATTCCTTAAATCTGTAACAACATTTATTGGATTTAATCCTGCATTTTCAGCTAATGTAGTAGGTATTACTTCTAAAGCTTGTGCAAATTCTTCCCATACAAATTGTTCAACGCCAAATAATTTATGTGATTCTTTCATTAATTGTCTTGATACTTCAATTTCTGGAGCTCCACCACCTGCAATTAATGCTTTTTCTTTAACTAAACATCTTACTACACATAATGCATCATGTAATGATCTTTCAGTTTCATCAACAATAAGATTGTTAGCACCTCTAACAACTATTGATACTGTTGGTTTTGTATTTTTCGAAGTTATACCAGTAATTTCAACAATTTTAGAACCAGAATTTTCAATTTCTTCAACTAAATCAGCTGAGCCTAATCTATCTTCTGTAAAATTTTCAATATCTGAAATTGGTTTACATCCAATAGCTTTTGATAAAAATTCAACTTCATCTCTTTCAATATCTTTTATAACCATTATATTTAATTTTGATAAGAAATGTAATGCTAAATCATTTACAGCATCTCTTAATATTGATTTCTGAATCAATAATACATTACATTTAGCCTTTTTAATCTTTTTACATATATTTAATAAATATGCTCTTTCTTCTTTTAAAATTTTATCCATTTGTCTATAATCATTAACAACAACATTATTTTCCATATCTGGTTTTGGTGGTGATAATTGAAATTGAATTAATCCTATTTTAGCTTTCTCTATTCTAATTGGTCCACCTGCATTTTTTACCACTGTTTGAGTTAACACAACCCCATTTATTAATTCTGTATCGTCAATTGTACCTCCTAATTTTTTTATAAGTCTGATGTCATTTAAATCAACATTGTCTTTACTTTCATTTATAACTTTTAATACTGAATCAACAGCTAATGGAGCTAACAATGATGAATGTTGTGATACAATTTTTGAACTTAATGAAGTTGATGCTGCACGTATTAATTGTTCTTTATCTTCCAATTCTATTTTTGATGACATTTCCAATAATATTTCAACACTTCTTTGTGCTGCTCTTTGAAATGATTCTGCAATTAATGTTGGATGTATACCTTTACTTAATAATCTTTGTGCTGCTCCTAATAATGCTCCTGTTAAAATTGCAACAGTTGTTGTCCCATCACCTGCTTCAACATCTTGTGCATGACTAACATCAACTAACATTCTTGCGGCTGGATGTAACACGGCCATATGTTTTAATATAGTAGCACCATCATTAGATATTATAATTTCTCCATTTTTGGTTCTAATCATTTTATCCATACCTTTTGGACCTAATGAAGTACGAATTGCATCAGAAACAGCTCTAGCTGCTAAAATATTGGCTTTACGAACCTCTAATGGTTTCTCCTTATCTTTGAATGTAGCATTGGACGGAGCCACTTGTGGTCTAGGTACTGATGCCATTATTTGGTGGTAATATGGTTGTAAAAGAAATTGATTTTGTTCAAAATATTTTTTTGATTCTAAAAAATTCGATGCGTATCTTTTTAGATTAGTTATGAGTAGTGATACAAATGATTATATTAAATTTGAGAGTACCAATATAAGAATTGATGATATACTAAAATGTTCATTCTCAAGCTGGTGTGATTTATTCAAAGATTACTTATATCCATATCGTATAATTAAACCTCTCCCTACAAGTTTTATTGAGTATTTGTTAAGTGACGGTATAAAATTGAATTCAGATCAACAAAAATTGGAACAAACTAGTGATAATGAATACAGTGATTGGGAAGAGGAAGAAGAACCAAATGAAGATTCTGGACCGGTGCACTCAAAATTCCCAGAGTTACATGAACAAATAATATCTGACATTAAAGAGCTCGGTGGTAAGGTGATCCCGAAACTAAATTGGTCAAGTCCAAAAGACGCGAATTGGTTACTCCCAGGTAATACAATCAATTGTACTGATATCAATGATATATACTTGTTACTTAAATCATCAGATCATGTAGTTGATGACTTATTATATCCATTTCTGGAGGTAGAAGAAAAAGAGGTTACAACCAAAGTGGAGCATGAACTAATACTAAAGAAATGGATAGATATCAATCCAGCACTTGAGTTTAGAGTATTTGTGAAAGATAGTAAATTATTGGGGGTTTCACAGAGAGATTTGAATCACTATGAATTTCTAAAAGATTTGCAACCACAATTACAAGAAAAAATAGAACCATTTATAGCTCAGGCAATTGAGAAATTGCAAAAGACTGACTTAAACAGTTTCATAATAGATATATATATTCCAAGGCCATTTTCCAAAATTTATGTGATTGATATAAATCCATTTCTGAGAAAATCAGATTCTCTATTGTTTACATGGAATGAACTACTTACTAAAAAATTTGAACAATATGAGTTTAGATTAATTAATGAAACTAATGTGGGAGCATTTGCTAAAAAGCAATATAGTGAAAGTCAAGTTCCTATTGATGTTGTTGGTGCTACTCATGATTCTGAAGCTTTAATTGAATTAGCTAGAGAATGGGATAAATTGCAAAAAAATGAGGATCAAGATACGCTGAATTAGAGAATTTATATAGACTATAAAATGAATGAAGTAATGATTTTAACGAATTGTTTAAACTCTACATCTTTCATACAAAAATTACAGCAAATTTAAAAACTAGTGAGAAATTAAAAAACTCCGGATAAATGTACCTTACATTAACTAAACATGTCGATTGAAGTAACCACACAAAATATATTCCCACAAGATTACAGAGGTAGATTAACAGAAGGTGTTACCTATGATTATAGAAATAATCAATTGTTATGGATAGATATTATATTAGGGCAAATCCATAGAGTTTCATTAACTGATTTAAACAAGCATGAAATATTGAAATGGGATAATCCTAAAGAAAGTGTTGGGTTTATTGCTCTTACTGAAGTCGAAGATACTGTTTTAGTTGCAGCAAAGTCAGGATTAGCTTATGGGAATTTCAAAACTGGTAAATTGGAATATTTTTTCAAATATCCATTTAATGAATCAGAACAAAATAGATTAAGATCAAATGATGGAATAATTGATCCATGGGGGAATTTATGGATTGGAGTAATGAATGATTTCCACGTTGGTTCAGTACAAGAAGAAGGGTATTTATATAGAATCACACCAGAATTAAAATTAGATGTAATGTTAACAAATACCAAGATTTCAAATGGATTAGCTTTTAATGAAGATGGATCGGAATTATATTGGACAGATTCTGAGAATTTTACAATTTTTAAATTTAAATATGATAAAGATACTAATAAATTAAGTAGTAAAACTCCTTTTATATACACTAAAGATTTTTATCCAGATATTAAAAGTCCAGAACCTGATGGAATGGTACGTACAGAAACTGGGGATTTTTATTCAGCTGTCTTCAATACTGGAACTATACTTCATACAAACCATAAAGGTGAATTGATTGATAAAATTCATGTACCAGCAGAAAGATGTACTTGTGTTACAATTGGTGGACCAGAAGGTAATGAATTATTTATAAACACAGCTAATTTAAAATTAGATGATTTCGATGCTGAAATTAACTCGGAAGATTTATTTGGAGATCTTGGTGGATTTTTATTTAGATTGAAATTTAAACATGATTTAAAAGGCCAAAAGAAAAATATTTGGGGTGGTAAAGTATAGATTAATTAGTGGGAATTCATAGTGATTCATTTAGTTCCAATACTCTTTGTACAAATTCTTCAACTAATTCATTTTCTTCTACTCCACCTGTCCTCAAGTCATTCAATTTTATATTCATGACTTCTAACTTTTGATCATAATTAAGATTGTTAATGAACCCGTCTTTGATTATAGTTAAAATTGATAGGAGATGGAACTGTAGTGATGGTTGTTTTAGTAAATATTGAATTTGTTGATCTTTTAGTATTTTATCAAATTTTGTTTCTTCTAATGATTCTTGTGGTTTTTCTTCTAAATTTTCTAACGGTGGTTTTTCTCTTATGTTCTGTTCTTCAACCTCTTCATGTTTATGTAATTCTGATTTATAACATTTAATTGAACAATAAACAATTTTACACTTTGGACACTTATATTTACTTTCTTGATCATTACATATTTGACATAACATAGTTGATGTACAGAAGTAGATGGATCCAAAAAAAAAAAAAAAAATTAAGTCCGATATATCTAATCTTCTTTTTCTCATTATTCAACTAAATGTCATCAACAACTCCAGAACATGAAAAAATTTCAAAATCAAGAGCTTTAAACGCGTCTTTGTTGACGCTAATATCAATCATAGTATTTATAGAGTTAATTTATCATGCAAATTGGAGTATTAAAGTCTTATATAATCAACCATTTGGTAATTACCTAAATAATTTGGTTTATGGATTAGGTTCATTTTTAGCAAATTTTGGATTAAGTGTTAGATTAATGAAATGGTTGAATCAAAAATTAGTAGAGGATAAAATAGAGTCAGATTACAAAAAGTACATATAACACCAGCTAACTAATTATATATTTTTAAGTTATCTAGATTTACTAAATGAATAGTTTTGAAATTTTCAAAAAATTGCTTATTGGTTTCATCATTCCATTTGTTTATTATTATAAGATTCTTTTTAGGTATTTGATGTTGAGCTTGATCTTGTTCAACAAAATCTTGATCTTCTTCATCTTCTTCAATTTCTTCTTCTTCATCATCATCATCTAAATCAATATCTTCATCTTCTCCATCTCCTTCATTCCATTCTAAATCTGAATCATATTCATAATCAAGCCCTGTTAATTCTGTATTTAATGGATTTTTAATAATTTGTTGTTGTTGTTGATTATGTTTTTGAGAACACCAGGTTCCTATATAGGGTGGTTTTGAATTTTCATAAAAACGAATGTATCTTATTGGTGATAATGATAAAATCATTTCATGAATTTCATATTCTCTTGTGGTGGGTATATTTAATGCATTTAATATTGATTCTGGGGTAATTGATGAAGTAGTAGAAGTGGGTTTTGGTTTTAAATCTATTAAAGATGATTCAAATATTGATGATTTCGTGACTCCCAGTAATATTGAATCTAGTTCTTCTTTTGTTTTTTCAGTTGAATAATTTTTTGTATTTTCTAAACTTACATTATGTTGAACGAAAAATGGTAAAAAAGTTGTTTCATAATCATTTAATTTTGGTTTTGATGGTGTTGATTCTTCTTCACTTGATGCTGATGATTCTTTAACTCTTTTTTGAGGACTTGCTTGGAAAAAACTAACTATTCTTTTTTGCTTCTTAGCTTCTGCTTCTTCTGCTTTACGTTTTTCATCTTCTGCTAATCTTTTAGCTTCTTCTTTTGCTTTTTTTTCTTCTTCAACTAATCTCTTTTTTTCAATTCTTATCCTTTCTTTTTCTTCCCATCTTGCCTTTTTTTCAGCTTTTTCTCTTTCCCTTTCTTCACGTTTACGTTGTTCTTCTAATTTTCTTGCATCTTTTTGTTCTTGTTCGATTCGTTTTCTTTCTTCCCTTTCAGCTTTTTCTCTTTCTAATTTCAATCTTTTAGCTTCTTTTTCTTCAGCCTCTTGTCTTTTCTTATTAGCTCTTTCAATTTCTCTTTCTGCTTGTTTTCTTTGTTTTTCTTCTAATTCTGCTTTCTTTTTAGCTTCTCTTTCTTGTTTTTCTCTTTCTATCCTTTGCCTTTTGGTTTCTTTTTTTTCGTCTATTTTTTTCTTTTTCAATTCTCTTTCTTCTTGTTTTGATATTTTTGATGGTTCATCATTTATCTTTCTCTTTTTGGTATTTGCTGATTCTGATACTGATTTTGATTCAGTGAAGTATTCTTCTACGATATCTCCTTCTTCTTGCTTTGGTAATTCTACTATTTCTTCGTTGTCTTCATTTATTTCATCACTTGATATTTCTATTATTTCACCTTGTATGTTATTATTCATTATATTATGATCTCTTTGTATTAAATTATTGAATTTATGATCTTGTACTGATGTAGATGTACTTGTTGACGCCATAGCTCAAGGTAGCATTTGACCGTGATTGTTGTAATTAATGAAATATTAAAAATTGGTTGTAAAAACTGATGTGTATTATAAGTATGATTTGAAACAAATATAAAAATAATAATACTAAATAAAAATACACTATAAAATTTATTAGACGCGTAATCCCCTGAGAAAAATTGGTAGCGATGGCAGAATCTAGACTTATACTCAAATACTAAGAGGAGCTAATTTTACAACCAAATTATATCATTAAAATTTATTTATATTCTAATTTTTAATAAATACCCTATATAATTTAAACCCATAGTTTTACTGATAAAACTCCCATTAAAAGTGAACCATAACCTTGTTGAATTTGCTTGTTTAAAAGAAAATGAATTGCAGCCCGTTTCGTTTCATGTCAAGTCGTTAGTCATTTTTTACCAATATGAATTGTATTGTTGTTGAGTATTGAATGGATTAATCAATGTTTGATTGTATTGTGGTTGTTGATTTTGGTAACTTGATTGATAAGTAGATTGATATTGGTTTATTGATTGTTGAAGTGGTAAAGTATATTGTGTAGTGGTGTATGTTTGTGATGGATAATAATATGTTTGTTGAGGTAATTGTTGTGGAACTTGATAAGTTTGGGTATTGTAATATTTGAATGGTTCTGATTGATAAAATGAATTAGATGAAGGTAAAGTGACAGGTGTTGAATTTTGGAAAACCAATGAATTTTGATAATTATGACGTTTAAAATTTGATTCTAATTGTGATGGTAACATTGGTACATTTTTTCTCTTTCTACATGATGATGATGATGAATTTGAAGTTACAAAATCTATTGGAGTTCTTGGAGTTAATGGATAATTTAAAGGTGATGAAAAAGTTGAAATTAAAGGTGATGTTGATGCAATTTTTATTATTGGTGATGTTGATAAGGTGGTGGTAACAGGTACCACATCTTCTTCTATTTCTTTAAGACTTACTTGGTTTTTGAATTTGTAAATTGTTTCAAAATTGAATAAGAATACTTTGTTAAATTCAATTAAATTCCAAAATTTGAGATCATTGTACATCTTGATATATGATAAATTATAATTTAAACAACTCAAGAAATAACTTTCTATTATATTAATTAATTTTAAATCTATTACAATTGTTGATTGTTTATATTGTTGTTGTTTTAAAGTGTTTTGAATAATAATTAACCAAGTTTTTAAAGTGTATGATTGATCATCAAATGATTTATTTGATAATATTAATGACATTATGACGTTGTATATATGTATATTACTTATTTCTCCAGTTTGTTGTTGTTGATTAGTGGTATCTTCAGATAAATCATGATTTAGTACGTGGTTTGAATGATAATATTTGTACAAGTAGTAAGTAGATATGACTAAATTGATTTTTGAAACTTGAGAATTTATTATTAAATTATTTAAAAATTCACCATATTTTGAATTAAATTGATTAAATAATTTTAATAATGAAGTAGTTGATAAATTTGAATTTTTATTAGTTGATGATGATATTATTATCCAAATGAACTTTATATAGTTATTTATATAAATTTGATCCATTTTATTTGGTTGTTGTGGGTAATTTAATTTTTTATATTAGGTTGCAAAATATGCTATATCATATATATTAAATTTTATTAGTGTAAATTATATGAAACAGGAAAAAAATAAAATCTGAATTTGCAAATAAAACTTTGTATGCGATTTAAATTCTTGAAATGAATAAATGAATGAATGAAATTAATAGTTTATATATAAGATGTATTAGAAACCTATATTCTTGAACTGGATTTATATAAAATTAGGTAAAAATGTAGAAATAATTATATGATTATATATAAGTGTTATATTAATATCATATTACACCTTAAATTATAAACCGTATAAATCTTTAAGTAATTGACTAAAATTAATTATTATTTTATTTATTAATTATTTATGTATAATTTATTATTTTTAATTGAATTTTATTTATAAGTTTATCAATAAAATATATGTACTTGTATAATACTTGGTTAATTCTTTAAAATTATTTTATTATTTATTTTATAATTTGTAAAACCTTTTTGATTAAAAAAATAAAAAATAAAAAGCTTAAATTACACAAAAATATAATAATATAACAATTTAATATTTAATACATAATTTTACATTTCTTAATAAATTTTAAAACATCTTACATTTTTAATCATATTTTAATTGAATTAATAATTAATATTGTTCTTTTAAAAGGAGTATAAACTATAGATTCTTAGTTTAATGATATGAGAAATTTAATTTGCAACTGTTACAAATTATTCTTATGCTCTAATATGAATAACAAAAGATTTGATTTGATAATTCACACAATTTTTAACTTTGATTTAAGTCAATAATTAAACTTTCAATCGAACCATTTGTCAGATTTACATTATAACGGGTTATAATCACAAGGAAATTAGATCTAATCAGAAGGATATGAAAAAATTTACAATTAATCATGAAATTCGTATTATATATTATTATTATTCAATACTAGTAATAAAATATTTTTAAAACATGATGAAATTTTCACAACTAATAAAAACAATTTAACGGTAATTTACTTAAAATCAAAAAAGTTCGCATATAATGTCTCATTAAATTGCTAAAAGGATAATCTATTAATTCTTATTTTTTACTTTATTTTCCTTTCCCATTGCTTTGAAACAACAAAGAAAGAAATAAAAATATATTTACTTCTAACTGTAAGTTCAGTTACAAATTTTTAAAATTTCTATTTTTTGCTGTACTTTTTAAATTAAGCAATACTTTAAATTATTTCTTTCAAATAAATTTGTTGATATCATAATGTAATGTATATTTACTTATTTTTAATTTGGTCAAATTTCAAATCATTTTTTTTTCTATTGTTTGTTCTTTTTTTAGTTAAAGTATTTCCCTCCTTTAAAGAAAAATTAATTATGATCGTTTCAAAATTTAAATTAAATTTTTTTTTTGAAGGAACAACGCATCAGAAGAAGTGGAATTTTAAGATTTTTCTTTCTAAATAATATTCAAATTTTAATTAATATACTTTTAATTGATGATCTTTTTTTTTATATTTCCATAATAACCAACTATAAAAATCAAATCATATTTTTTTCTTACTTTGTGAAGTATTCTTGAAATATCGTCAATCCAAATTAATTATATTAAGAGTTCGTCCGTATAATCCTCATTAATAACCGTTTCGTCTGCCTTTAAATTTTAAGTTTTGTCATTCATTTAGTTGATAATCATTATTCTTATCGCCTTTGTGGGTTAAGCTCCAATAATGGACTAAAATAAAGTCAACATTATCCTTCGATTCTGTTCCCTTTGAAGACTCTACTAAAATTATTTTTTCGTTCCACGGGTTTTAGCATTATAATAAGAGTAGTACTTAGTTCCGTATAAACTTTGAAAATTTAATTAAGCTACAAATAATACTTTTATCTAATTTTTAGCTTTGATTATAATAAAATTTTTTAATTCTTTCTTTACTTTTGATTTATTAAAAAAAAAATTAAAAATATTTATTAAATTATGCTACACAAAACAAATATTAATATTCTATACTACACTACTTTTACTTGCTTTTAAATTATTGAACCAAATAGAACAAACAGAATTATAATAATACATTTATAAATTTATTTTCGTTTTAGTTTTTCCTTTATTAATTACAAATATTCTTATTGTGTTACATGGTTTTTGATATTATTAAAATTCGTACTTGTTACTTTTTTAATTTATGGGCTATGAAAAACCCAAAAGAATTAGTTGATTAATTTGTCATTTTCAACTTTAAACTTAATTATCCATTGTTACATTATATCAAATCCAAATTTTTGAATCTAATTTTGCAAAAATCTAACCATTCAAAATTGAGTTATTTACTTTGAGTATATTGAGTTTATTAAAGATCTAATAATTACTAAGAAAAAGTAATATATACAAAATTGGATATTTATGCGGCTTGATGCAATACTACTTAACTACAGTTCAATAAAAAAATATATTGTTACTGTTTCAAATGATATTATTTTTTCTAATTTTTCTAGATTCAAATATTGTTATTGTTTATTATTACTATACAGCATTTATTAAATGACATCAATGAACAGGTATTTTTTTCAAATTTCTCTTTCTTACAAATATTGTTCCTGTAACTAAGTCACTCAACTGAATAATCTGCATTGGCAAACGTTATTAACTTAAGGAATGTAAAAGTAAGAGATAAATTTTTTGGTGTAAGGCTCAAGTTACAAAAACCTAATTTCAATAGACAATCATTTTTTTTTTTGATGAGCTATTTTGGCACAAACTTTCAAATCACCACCATGGAAATTAAACTTTCTTTCAACATCATTCACTAAAAACTAGATTCTATATTTAGACTTTTCAATTGATCAGCTTTAAGAAATCCGTAATGTGATACTAATCTTAATTTACATATGACAAACACATGATTTGCCATCTTACCTCATTAATTCTATTAATTCACTCATTACAAAATTATTATAACGATCTTTTTACTAACAAATAAATCATCTATTTAATAATTCTAAATGTTAAAGTCTACTTAACCATAATATTAATTTTAGTTCATGCACATTATAAAAATTTTATAATTATAATAATAATAATTAATAAGGAACTTCCAAGCTTAAAACAAACAATAAAAGAAGAAAAAATAAAGAAGATTTACCCATTAAATTGGGGCAATAGTAAGATCAATAATAATAAATGAAATAATATTAATTTTTTACAATATTTTGAAAATAAAGGATAGAAAAAGAAATTCTTGATTGCAAAAATCTTTTTTCTTTATGGTATATTGCTAAGTATAATACAAATATGATCAAACTTACAACTTCAAAAATTTTGAGTCGAGTAGTCATTGCAAACAAGTTGAGAGATTGTAGCGGCTTTTGAGACGTCCTTTGATATCCAACATAAATTTATAAAAATGGTCTTAAACTATGATGAACTATAAAATAATTAAGTCTATTGTGATAAAATATGGAAAAGTGTTTCACTTTATATTACACAAAATAGTTATTAATGCACAAAATTGACAAAATAATTGTAACAAAATTGATAATTAAATTTAAAAAAAATAAAATAAAAAAATCAAAATCAGCAAAAGACAAAGAGATTATATTAATTAATTATATTATTTAAAATTATGTAACTTGTTTAAAACTATACTAATGAAGTTTGTACAAAGTAGTGTATTATTGCTCAAAACCATTATTAACTATGTAATGTATTATGCAATAAAGAATTTAAATATTTAGTAAAAAGTATGACTAGAATTAAAAACGAATACCAAAATTTATTTTTATTTCGAATAACTAATATCGAAACACCCGCATCCGATAGTAACGTAGTTTGTGTGAAAGTGGAGTCGAGAAAATTTGTTGACTCTTAATTATCAGATCAGAACTTTAAAGTTTTGAACTTCAAGAATGTAGAATAACATCACATGAACTCGTTTCTTTTTTTCCTTTCTATTTTTGATCTATTGTTCACTACGATTTCACTTCTTCATCCGACTTAATTTTTGTTACACATCGACTAACTTCCCCATAAAAAAAACTAATCTCAGCTTACCAGAACTTTTGTGCTTATTGTTCATTAACGAATGCTTAATAGTGTTGAATGATATCATTTGTAAAAAGCTCTCAATGAATAGTCTAAGCCATGCTTATCGATACTTAGTAATCTCATGTAGACTCGATTACATACATGAGTAGGCTCAAATGTACTAGAATCAGTAAAATATAAAGCTCTATTAATATTTCAAAATTTAAATCGATTACTTCTCGATTTGTTAAGTAGTACAATGGAAGTGTTATATTTTTGCTAGCATTTGTAGGAAATCATATCCTAGTGCATTAAAATTTCAATTCATTACGTTTATGATCATCCCAAGCTAATATTGTAAAATTTAAGTAAGCAAAACAAGTAATTATGTGACACAAAATACGATTAATTTTATTAGCCCAGATGACATATACTAGAAATTTCAAAAATAAAAAAAAAGTGAGATTTACCGAATGCGTTTGGGGACTTAAATTAATGTTAGGCACCAATTTGAATATAATTATGATAATTTTGGTTACCAATTTTTGATCATTTGCTGTTCTAAACTTGAATACGAGAAACGAGTTTCTATTTGCGTTGAAATTGTCGTGCAATTTGAAAATTCTTGGTTTAGACCTTCATTGTAGAAACTTTAGTACTTTATTAAAAACGATAAGACGACAATTGTTACGATTCTCGTTTTAAATTTCTCTTATTGTCAAACATTCCTTGCTAACTAAATTTGAAATTATGCTTAACGTGAAAAATTATTAATGCTTAAGTGATAAAAACAATCTTTTTTCGTCAATTCAATGACGAGTCGATTCGTACAGTATCAAAAGAGGAAATGAAATTCAGAGGAACCGTTCCAAAAAATCTAGGTTTAATTTTGGGTTTCATATAAATAAATGACTTGCAAAAGGTTAGTCGTTTCGTTTTATACTTTGCAAATTTCTTTTAATAATTATTTTTTTTTTAGTCAAATTTTGATACAAAGATCAAAATATAATATTTTAAGTTTTTTATTGTCTTTCAGAATGCTTAATGTACTATTTCATTTCCTATTGTTTTTTGAGTTAACGCTAATGCACAGCTTATTAAATTTATAGAAAGTATAGTCAATTATTTTTATTGAGTTTGTTTTAGACTAAATTTTTATTAGTGGTAGCAAGATAAAACATTGAAAGAATGCATGGGTTGGTAGAGTGTTGCACAGTGCTGAACACCAATTATCATTTTCTGTTCAAACTCATCTTTGAGCGCTAATATCGTAGATTATATTTATTTATTGAGCAAATTACTTGTATTGTGTTACTTTTTTAACACCACTAACAATTTTAATTAACATTGGTTTGTATACTTAATTTCTTTTTAATTTCCTTTCTTAATTCTCAAATGTATCTTCCAACAGTATCAATTTTAAGTAACAAAACTCTGTGAAAATTTTATTTCTAGTGGTCCCTTGATTGTATGCAAATATGAAATTGCTGTTAATATTAAAGTTTTTTAATTCGTCTCGTCATATTTGATACGCATTCCCAAATAAAGGTATAAGCTCACAGAAAGATAAATTATTTGATTCGTTAATCATCAAAACTAGACTTAGTTTTTGTATGCAAAATGCGTATAAATATTATATAAGCCCTGGAATTTTATATGACAATCGATATTTAAGTTTGATGTTACAATGTATGAAAAATTTCAAACGTTTGTAAGAAATTTTGAACTACCCTTGATTGATCATCACAAACTTCATGGAAGTGAATATTGTATTAAGTTATGATACTTTGTATTACACGATATATTTATTCAGAAATACAGAATGTGAAAAGAAAATGAAAGTTCGGGTATAAAAAATCAATATGCATTATATCCGATTAGATTTGATGTAAATTTCCAATGTCTTCAATTCTTTTTCTCGTCTTCAATCAACGATTAAACTTTTCTTTGTCATGCCATACATCAATTGCTTGATTTTTCTCCAATTTCTTGTAAATTGATTCTTGTAAATTGATGAAAATTAGTTAAAGTCCACGAAACAAAGGGTTGCCTAATATGAACTTATAAACGTATTCATCTGAGTCAAAAATTGTTGTCAAATTGTGATTCGACCTAAAATTGACTATTCTTACAATACCAATTTTACAATAAACAAAGGTTAAATTGACCTCCCTTTCAAAAAGGTTTTAGAGGTGGCTGTCCTAATTAAAATTCTACAAAAATGTGTAGATTGCAAATTCAATTAAAACCTGCCAATTTCTCAATTATCTGCACGATTAGGTGCTCATAAATATCAGTAAAGAAGATACTGAGAACACCTAATTTGTTTCAAAGATAGACGAGTAGTCACTTGTCAATTCTAGAGGTGCTCCTGTTTGGCACGGGCTCATTAGGAAGCATACCTGTTGCTCTTTATATTTTCCACATACTTTATTTTAATTATTGATGTAGGGATCTTAACAAAAATGTTTTAAAAACAAACTTTATCATCGAAATTTATAATAGGCTTAGGCTTTCATAACCTCTTAACTGTCTATAATCAAGCAAAGTGCTATCTAGATGGAAGTATATGAAGTCTCTCGATCTTTTAATCAAATTTTGGGAATATTGTATATAGCGAGGAAGATTGTATAAATATTTGCTCCAAAACAAACATCAAAGTCTGAACCCTGTAACTTTGACGACCTATATGTGCGATTCTGACTCAGGCATTAGTGGGTAATAAGCTGTTATACTTAATTGATCCCTTAAGGAAAAGAGCTAATTATTGAATTTAATAGTAGTTTTGCAACAAAAAAGAGCTGAATTCTCAAACTACGAGGTAAGTGCCTTATCTACTCCAAATAAACCCAGTTTTGTGTAATAATTTATCAATTAGCAAAGGAGATTGTTGACTTTGACTTTGAACCATTTTATTCAACGTCATTGAGCTAGTACCAGTTTTATAAAAAATTTAAGGTAAGGTATTATGATCAAGACATTTTCTAAAAACTTAATGATGTTTTTGTATTTTTGAAACATTTGAAATTTGTAAAATTTTATAATTGCTTTTGAGAAACTCATATCTCCATTTAATCTTTATATATATGAAAAATAAAATCACATAGTCTTTATTCTTTGAAGCTATCCATCAACATAGATAAACATGGTCAATACAGAAAATGGTCAAAAGAAGCCAAGAGTTCGTTTTCAGATATTTCATTATTACTTAATCCCATTAGTGGCCTTGGTAGTATGGTTTGGACTTCTAATTTCACTTTTGATTTGTTGGTAATTCAAGGTCGACCTATCTACAGCTTCATGACAACTAAACAGAACCCTGTGTATCTATCAGACTTAGGTGCAACTACTAAGCCCACGAAACAAAATATGCTTATTAAACACCCTGACGTATTCATCTGAGTCAAAATTTGTGGTCAAATTGTAAATTAAACTAATTTGACTATTCTTACCAAACCAATTCTACAGTTAAAAAAGTTTAAATTGACCTCAATTTCAAAGTAAAATTTAAAGATAGCTGTCCTATGTTGGATGTAGTAAAATTGTTCGAAAATGCGTAGGTTGCAAATTCAGTTAAACCTGCCAGTTTTTCCCCGCTTTTCCCAATTTTCAGCACAATTAGGTGCTCATAATTATTTGTAAAGAAGATACTGAAACTTGGTATTTTGTGTCAATAATAGGCGAGTAGACACTTTGCTAGTCTTAAAGTAATGTGCTCTTGTTCGGCACGGGCACGTTAAAAAGCAATCCTCTGTTACTTTTTTACCTTTCACGCACTTAAATCATTGATGTAGGGGTCTCAACAAAAAACTTTAGTAACCAGACTTTGTCATCGATATTTTTTAGTAGACTGGTGCTCGAGTATTAACCACACTGTTTTAGTTTTATCAAATTGCTACCTAAATGGAAGTTTATGATATCTTTCGATCTTTCCAACAAATTTTTAGAATATTGCATATGGTGAGGAAGCTTGTACAAAAGTTTGCTTTAACTAAAACGAACACTAAAGTCTAAATACTATAACTTTGACGACCTATATGTGCGATTCTGACTCAGATCATTAGGGGGCAATAAGAGACATAATGTTTGTAAATGCAATTGATTATTGAAGGAAAAGAGCTCATCACGGAGCTTCGTAGTAATTCTGCAACAAAAATGAGCCAGATTCTCAAAGTATGAAGTGGTGACTCAATTACTTCAAATGAACGCGATATTTTTGTGATAATTAATAGATCTGCTCAAGACCTTATTTACTTTGAGTATGAACCATCCTATTTAAGGTCATTGGGCTAGTACCAGTAATTTATAGAATATAAGGTAAAGTATCATCGTAAAGCCAATTGTGTGAAAAACCTTATAAACCCATCGAACTTTAAAAAAAGCCCATCAAAATTTCAAATGTCGTTACTCAAATATTATCTGGCTGCTAGCAGGAGCACGAGAACTTTGAATTAGACTGAACCATGTAATTTGCAACTCAGACTTAACATTAAATCAAATGATTCAATCCAACAAGTGTCTAAATTTTTACTTAAAGTATCTGCCTATCGACGATCGAAAGTGATGAACTTTCAGATGAAGAATTCAAAAAAATGGCACTTAGAGTAATACACACAAGCACGTAATGATCATATTTCATTACAAACATAAAACAAGAAACAGAACAAAAACGAAAGATATTAAAAATGGTTTTGGGATTAAACAGCTATGAACTTAAATGAATGAATCATATACAAATTTTCTCCCTATCAAAGTTACTTTGTATTTAGCAAGCTAGATGGACATTTAATAGACAAATTAAGTACTGAAACAAAAAAAAACAATTAAAAATTGTTCCATAAAACAAGTCAGATCAGATTGAGTGATTGAAACATTGTTCAAGAGAACATTGCTTGGAATAATCAATAATTAGTGGGATTTGATTGTTCTACCTTCAACTTCCCAAGACCTAAAGAAAAAAAAAATTCTATTATAAAGACAAGGCTAAATTTAGATTTTAGACATAATGTATGACAAGTCCAGTTTCAAGGCCCTCAAATTTAACTGCGATTTATTTTTTAGTTTAATTAAGGTTGCGAAAAAACTCGTTTATTACACAAAAACAACAATTAATGATGTACTTGTATTTTTGAAACATTTGAAATTTGTAAAATTTTATAATTGCTTTTCAGTACTTTTATTCTTATATATGAAACTCACAATCACATAGTCTTAAGTCTTTGATGCTACTTTTATAATTGCTTTTGAGAAACTCATATCTCCATTTAATCTTTATATATATGAAAAATAAAATCACATAGTCTTTATTCTTTGAAGCTATCCATCAACATAGATAAACATGGTCAATACAGAAAATGGTCAAAAGAAGCCAAGAGTTCGTTTTCAAATATTTCATTATTACTTAATCCCATTAGTGGCCTTGGTAGTATGGTTTGGACTTCTAATTTCACTTTTGATTTGTTGGGGAATTCAAGGTCGACCTATCTACAGCTTCATGACAACTAAACAGAACCCTGTGTATCTATCAGACTTAGGTGCAACCAATTTGCAACCACTATTCATCTCCTGTTCAGGATTTCAAGCCATATTCTTCGTTGGCACGTTGGTTGTTGGATATTATTTACGTAAAAAGCATAAAATTCAACCATACATATCACATCATCAACCAAGATTAGCCATAGCTAGTATAATTTGTGCAATAATTGGTCAATTAGGAATACTCTTTGTTTCAATCTTCAATACTAAGAATTTTCATTCAGTACATTTATCAATGGTTGGTATATTTATTGCGTTTGTTTTTCTTGCATGTTGTTGCGATTTTGGTGTGAGTTATATATTCGGTTCAAGAGGTGCTAAATTAGATCCAATTCATAACGGAACAATTTTTGGTAAATCAAGGTTTGCTAATTTATATTTTGTTAGTTTTGTTGCTAAAATAATATGGTTAATAGTTGCTATTGTTTTAGCTGCATGTTTTGGTTACTATATGAAACATGGAAATGATTCTTTATCTGCTAGATTTGAATGGTCAATTTGTTTCTGGTATGGATTTTTATTAATACTTTGGTCAATGGATTTATTCCCAAGTGCAGTTAGAAAATATAGAAGTAAACATCCACATTTATATGAAACTAATCAATATGATTATGAAAATCAAAATGGTGGTAATTCACAATGGGAAAAAGATATTAATAACAAAGGTAGATCATCATCAGAATTAGGTGATCAATATACTTACGTTAATTCACCAATGATGCAAAATCAAAAATTAGCTAATCAACAATTTGCAAATGAAGAAAATCAAACGAATCCAAATGAACAAATGATGCAAGAAGATCCAGCCTTACAAAACCAAGCATTAGCTAATCAACAATTTACAGAAGAACCAGCTTTGCAAAATCAAAAATTAGCTAACCAACATCTCTCAGTTGCTGATCAACAAGTACCACCTCAACAACAACAATATGAAGTTAATTATCAACAACAAATTCCACCATCATCACAACCACAATATTATGAACCAATAGCTAGTACCAACCAAAATCCAAGTCTACCACAACAATCTCATGTAATGCCAGATTCACAACCAGTAACTTATAATCAAGATCCAAGAGTTCCATATTAGATTTGAAGAAAAAGTATATTCTTCAAGTATAGTTCGTATAGATTGTAATTTTTAATTTTTAATTTAAAAGGTTTTTCCGTAGAAAATTTGATCAGTCTGTACAAGTTAAAGGTTCGTTTTACTTAACGAGACCAATCTTTATGGATTCCGAATTATTCTATTTAAAGATTTCGGTGTAATTTGATCTATATCTACACGATTTCAAATCGCAGGACTAGGAAGCTTGTTATTTGTTTTAGGGTTGACTGATTTATACGATCTTAAAATCAAAAGAATTTTGATCTAGATCTTCTTATTTGGTTATAGATTTGATCTATCTAAATCTTCCTTAGTTGTAAATGTGATTAATTTAAATAATTACAAGATAGTTTATTTGAGAGATTTATGATTTGCTGCATATTTAATCGTTTCTATATCTTCTCAAGATCGTATTATTTGAATTTTTTTGGTTTGTCCAAGGTCTGATCAATCTAAACGACTTCAAATGTGGTTTTACTAAAGAGATTTTAAATTTGAGCGATCTAAACGATCTCAAGATTGTGCTAATTGAAAAAAATTTAGGTACGTTGTAGATTCCATTAATCTAAACGATACAAGATCTTTTTCAAAGTTTTTGTGTCATTGATAGAGCCCTTTATTTACGAGGTGATAGATAAATTTATTTTCTTGGTGTATTTTAAATATTTCTAATTTCAAATTACGATCCAAATAGATATCTAGACAAGATTGAAGTTGGTAATTTTTTGATGTTTTCTATTTTACAAAAATGATGCAAAATTTGCAACAAATTGCCAAATCTGCTCATNTGAAACCTTTTTTTTTTTTTTTTTTTTTGTTGTCATATTTCCATGTACTAAACATAAAGCCGCACGTCAATTTTTATACTTTTTTAGTTTTTTTATTTCTTTTTTTATAACGGAATTATTTTATCTATTATTATAATTTTAAAAGTTTAATTAATTTTAATATTATTATAATTTCTGAAAATTTAATTACAATAAAACAATCAATAATAAGAACTTACAAACAAAGAACTATACAAATTTTACGAATTCAGAGACTTGAATTATTACTAATCATTAAATTTATTCATTAAAGAATCAATCATATTTAATCATATATAAATTTCAAAAGCTGCTTCAACAGATATAATATAACAATGATAATAATAATATGCTATTCAATAATATAACGCGGAAAGAAGAGAAATTAAGTAATCTTGAAAATCAGTCAGATCAACAATTACAAATAGAAAATGTTAATTTGTCAACTACACCAACTACAACTTCTCAATTGAATGAAAAAAATCAAGGATTATTAGATGATCCATCAAGATTTCCTCTGGGTTGGAACACAAAGGGAATATTAACAGTTTTAGGATCTTTTATTGGTCTTATTGGATCATTAGGTTTTGTTAATTCAGGTGGTGTTATTTCAACTTATTTATCACAAAATATCTTGGTTAATGAAAGTCAAAGTAATATTAATTGGATTTTTTCATTATATAATTTTTTTGCATTTGGTGGCTCAATACTTTCTGGACCTATATTTGATTCTATTGGATGTAAAATACCTATATTTGTTGGTTCAATTATAATGTTTTTAGGATTAATAGCTACTAGTTTTTGTAACAAATTATGGCAATTCATTTTAGCATATGGAATATTAACAGGTATTGGAGCTTCATTAAGTTTTGCTCCATTTGTAGCAGCTACTGGACATCACTACCTTACAAAAAGGTCTATTGCTATTGGATTGGGGTATACTGGAGGTGGATTAGGAGGGGTTATTTTCCCTTTGATATTTAGGAAGCTATTTCCCAAAATTGGATTTGGTTGGACTATTCGAATTGGAGGGTTTATTTGTTTATTTTTTTTGGTAGTGGGGTGGTTATTAGTTAGTGATAGACATGAAGAATTTCATCAACCTCAAGATGAAAATATTTTCAAACAAATTATACATTCTATTGATTTCAAAATATTATTTAAAAATTTAATTTTTTTAGTGGTTGTAACTGGATTATTATTTAATGGATTAGCTTTTTTAATAACTATTGTTGAATTACCTACTTATGCTACTATTCAAGGTTTTGGAGAAAGTAAATCATCATTATTAATTGTTGTTTTTAATGCATTTAGTATACCTGGTAGAGTTATACCTAGTTATTTTGCAGATCATGGTTTAGGGAGATTTAATACTTTTTGTATTATAAATGTTTTTTCATTAGTGGTATTTTGTATAATTTGGGTACCATTTGGACATCATTTACAAGCACTTTTTGTATTTGCTGGATGTTTTGGATTTTCAAGTGGATCTGTATTAAGTCTTTCTGCTAGTTTGGTTACATCTATTGTACAAACTAAAGATACTGGTAAAAGTTTAGGGACTGCGTTTTTTATATTATCTATTGCTGATTTATTTGGGTTACCTATTGCTGGTGCAATAACTAATAAAACACCAAAAAGTTTTGATAATTTAGTTTACTTTTTGACTGTTTGTGCTTTTGTTGGTGCTTGTGTAAGTTTTATACTGAGGTATTTATACGGTGGGTTCAATTTACGACGAATTTGACAGAGAATTAATGTTTATTATATAAATTCAATTATATCTAAATTTGGACTTGTTAAACCTTCTAGAGATAATGCCTCCAACCTGGCTAATTGACCTCTCATTAGTATTTTCCAAAGTGATTTTTTTAGATAGATCTCAATGATTTCTCCTTGAATGTTTTTAGTGGTGTTGTTACTCAATTTTCGTTTTTTGGAATTTCTTTCTGAATCTTCTTCTATTTCTTCTTTATCACTACTGAAAAGTTCATTAATCCAATTCCTATTCATTTCATGATTATTTATTATAGTTTTCAGTTTACTTATCCCCACCAAAAAACTTATTGATGTTTCATTTACCAATAGTGGTTCAACATTTTTGAAAATTTGCTTTAGTTTTGAAGCTATTTTACCTTCGAATTTTGCAGTTGTTATATTCATTTTTTTATTTATTATTAATTTACAGTTCTTCAAGTCCTCATTACTTATAATTTGGAATATTAGATTTTTGGGTTTTTCATTTATGTATGGTCTTGAATATTGAATAGATAATTCTTGAGATTTATCCATGGGTGAGATATTCAGTATTCCCTTTTTTGAAATATCTTCCAAATTTAGTATTATATTATTGTTTATTATTTTATGATTAATCATTCTTTGTTCTAGTTCCAAAAATCTATAATATCTTGCTTCTTTAAGTAGTAAACATCTATGTTCTTCATTTTGTATCACCAAAGTATTTCCTTTTAAATATTCCAATAAATCTGAAAATAATTGTGGTGATCTATTTGTAACAATTGCTGGTCTTTGAGGTGGTGGTCTTAACATATTTTTTTTTTCAATAATTGCCAAATTATCAAATAATAATCTATCAGAATTAACAGTAAAATAATTTTGAGAATTACCTTCATTAATTAATAATACTCTTGGGATTTTAAAACATTTATCTCCAATACTTGCAAATATATCTTGTTCAGTTAAAACTTTTTTTAGGTTAGTTAAACCAAAATAAAAAGCATCACTCCAAAGATGCATAAATTCATAATCATTAATTATATTTATCAGGTATCCTTGTAAATGATTATATATTTTTTCAAATATTTTAGGATCTCTATCGAAAAATAATATTTTTTCTTCATTTTCTGGTTCACTAAAGAATTTTGTAAAATAAGATGGTGAATCTGATGATAATGAAAGCCCACTTAATCTAAATAGTTTATAACCAACTTGCATTGAATAAACTTTTTCATGAGGTAGGATTAATGGAACTGATGGATCATACTCTTCAAATGTTTGAATCGGTAATGAAGTTAAACTCATTGAATCAATTTGACTTATGGGAGCTTAACTGGTGATTATGTTATACTTTGAATCCTTGTTGGTATGTTTTCTATTTGTGTTTTGTAAAAGTTCAGACATAATTGTGTTGCAAAACCAAATCAAAAAAATAATTTTCCCCACCAAAAGATAAACAAATATTACAACTACAAATATCAAATACTCAACCATCAATTAATTTATGGCCAAAAGAGGTAGAACATTCAATGGATGCTGGACATGTAGACAAAGAAAAGTGAAATGTGATTTGACAAAACCAAATTGTTTAAGATGTTTAAAACTGAAAAGAGAATGTTTAGGATATGAGATAAGATTAGGTTGGTCTTCTCCAATAACTATTTCTAAAAATAATAAAATGATTAACTTAAAAGGATCAGATGAATTAGAAAATTTTCAAAGAAGAAGTATTGAATTAATGAAATTTCCTGAAGAAATGTATTATAAAACTTATTCAGAATTAAATGATATATTGGAAGAAATTGAAAATTCCGTTACTTTAGATGGTATCGCTAAGAAAGGTCCTTTCAGATGTTTTAAACTAAAAAACAACAAGAGAAGAAAAATATCAGCGCCATCAGAACCAGAAATTATAGAAATTGATCAACAATTAAAAAATCCGAATTATATAGATGTTCCAACTTCAAAAGAAACACCACCAGTAAATGAAGACATTTTCAGCAAAACAAACAATTCCTACGTTCATTATGATTTAATCAATTATGCCAAGCAAACAATCATAGCCATAAAAGGACCAGATTATGAATTCAATGATCAAAATATGTTACATATATTATACCCTAAATTTTACCCTAATGTTGATTCAGATGATGATTGGTTTGCTAATGCTACAATGGTAAATAACAAACTATATCAAAGAACTGCTAAAGAGCTACGAATATTTGATTTATTTAAATTTCTAATAAATAATTTTACAGAGGATGCTATATCGTTAAACAGGACAGGATTACCTCAAACTTATATTGAAGTATTATTTATACCTTTTATTAAACAAATTGTTGGATCATTTATATGTTGGGATTTTACAGATTGGGATGTTATAGATTTACAAAATATGAATGAATTAAATAATGAACAATTGTTGCATAGTATTAAATTATGTATCATTTATTTAACTTTAGGATTAAGTGCTTTTAATGTATCACAAACAAAAGGGTTAACAAATAAACAAGGTAAATATGATATTGACGAGTACCTCAAAATAAGTATCGAATTGAGGAAATTGAGTATAAAGCTATTAAATTATCATCTTGATGAATCAGATACAATTGCAGAAATACCTGGTTTAAATGATCCAATAAACGATAACAACTATAACACTTTACTACTTACATCATTAATTTTACAAATAGAACTAGACGGAGTACTTAATGTATTTGAAAATTTGGATTTAATTTATGCAATTGGAGATTTCGTTATTAAAAATAAAATTATTAATAATTCAAGAATAACCACTATAAATAAATTTTTAATCAACATTTTCAAAATCAAATATTTTTTATATGAAAGTACTCAAGCTATAAATGTTTTCAATTATCAAATAGATGAAAACAAAAATGAATTTAATGATTTGAAGGATGACTATAATTTGATTAATGGAACAGATGATGATGATGATGATGATGATGATGAGGAGGAAGAAGATGAAGAAGATGTCGAAGTTGAGTATAGTAATAATCAAGTCAATAACAATACACCCAGCTCAAATTCAAGTAATGGGTTGACTCCAACCACTAATATTTCAAATTCAAGATTTAAACCATCAATTGAAAATTTATTATCATTAACAAATTCAGAATCATCAACATATAGTCCAACAAATTTTACAATAAATTTTAATGAAAATCAAAAATATAATGCAGCTTATGAATTAACAAGTGAAAATACAACCATTACCCCAAATTCAAAATTTTCACCACAATTAAATACAAAATTTACAACAAAATTAGATATTGATTTAATTTATTTAATGTTTGGTATACCACAAGATTTATTAAATTTATTTCATGAAATTATTCATTTAGCAAATCATAAAAATATTTTTAATTTAAAAAAACAATTTCCTAGAAATTTCCCCAAATTATGTACAAATTTAGAAGATAAATTAATTAATTGGAATTTAACAAAACTGAATTGGAAATTAGATTCAAAAATTCCATTTCAAAATTTTTTAATAAATTATATATTATCATTTCATCAAGCTATTATTATTTTCCATAATAAATTAATTAAAAATAATTTTAATATAATTGATCATCAAAAAATAATAGAAAATTGTTTAAATCATTTAGTTAGTGCCATAGATATATCTACAAAATTAAAATTAAATTTTAAACCAATGTTTTGGAATTTATTAATATGTGGATCAATTGCAATATCTCCAATTTTACAAAATAAAATTAAAAAAATATGGTTGAATTATCAATGTTTTAATAAACAATCAAATAATTGGAGAAGTAAACAAATTCTTTATGAAATTTGGAAAAGAAGAAATCAAGGTGAATTTGAAGAAAAAGATGAAAAAAATTTAGGATTTATGAATTTAATTAAAGAATGGGATATTTTTTTAAGTTTAGGTTGATTATTTTTTTTCTACTTGTATTTAGATTGAGTAATGGTATAGTATAAATACAATTTGTAATTAGAAATACTTTTGACGTTAAATCATTGATAATATAAATATGATAATTCGATTCCTTCAATTAATGGTTATAAAATCTTCTCAAAATAAAATTACACAAAAACCAATACATATATACTGTATATAATTAGCTTTGAAAAAAACCCGGGGAAATACTTATATTATTTACGAATATTAAAAATAAAGTATTACATACAAATTTCATTCTTCATAGCAGTATGTTTATAAAATGTTATATCATTTCAATCAAATTTATTGAATAAGAAAATCTTTTAATAAACGATTAACAATCAACATTGTAAACGAGTTCAAGATGATCAATTGAGAGTAATATTATATTTCAGATATTAGAAGTTTATGTTTTTTTTATCTAAGGTGTATTATATTATTACTAGATCTAATACAAAAAAAAATTAGATATAAATTATAAATTTTTAATATTTTACAAATTATTTTTACTTTCTTTTATTTTACTTTATTACTTTATAATTTGATTTTCTTGATATAATAACAACATCTTCTAATATGATCTTCAGACTAAATACGGATACAATTGAAACACAAAGAGACTTAAGTGTATGAATTATATTTTTGTGATCATGATACCTGGTTGCTGAAGCGTATTAGCATCTACTCATTTAAAAAATATTCGAAACATTTTTTTAAAGACTTTGAAGACTGATTGATTAAATCATCAATTTAGTAAGTTTGAAAAACTTACGCGTAGTTTTTATCTTTAGAACTAATCTCTCTACTTATTGAAATACTCATACTATATATTAGTAATGAACTATTTCAATGGGTAGGGAATGACCAAAATTTTGATTACATGTAATATTTAAAATATTGTACAGTATAATCTCTTCATATAAGAAAGTACATGTTTAAATTTTTGATGTCTACCAAATCTACTATATCTCTACAAAATATTAATATTACTCGAATATTTATGATCAAGATAGAGTTAATCCTTAAGTCTATATAAAAAATTATAGATCTCATACTATAATTATACTAAATAAGTATCTAAATATTTATTTGAAATAATATATATTTATTTTAACATACTCTGTAGTAATTATTATACGATAATTCTAATTAATCAATACTTATACTACCATTAGGTACTTCAAGTCAAAGTAATCATTATAATTTAATCATTATCATAAATTGAACATAAGTGTTAGTTGAGTTGATAAAATATTTCTCCATATTTAATTTTTCTATTACATAATTTATTTAATGTATGTTATTAAAATTATTTACAACCAAAAAAAAAAAGAATGTTCAAAAAATTAAAATTTAAATAAATAATTTCAATTTATTTACAACCAATTGTTAAATAACAGTTCATAAACAATTAAACTAATTAATCTATTCTAAAATAAATTGATATAATATAATTTAATAAAATATACATAAATGATAATATAATAATGATTACTTCAACATCTACTACAAAACTGATACCTTCAATAAGTAATATATTAGCAGATACTGGTCAATCAAATAATAAAAATAAAATTAATAATAATAATAATCAGAATAATCAGATCAATAACAATATAAATCACAATATTCATACTACAACTCCAAATATAAATACAAATCATCAAATATATAACAATCATCAACAATTACCTAATCATGTTCAAAATCATAATCAAATCCCAAATCATCAACAACAACAACAACATCAACATATGCCACTACCTCCTCCATCAATAGAGATTCAACAACAACATCATAATAATCAATCGTCACATCTACAACAACCACCACCACAACAACAAATGTATCATAATCAACAACCAATCCATCCACATACTATAAATAATAACGCAAATGGCTCAATTTCAAATGTATCATCTTCTCCACAAATTGAACAATCATCAAAAGATCCTCCAAGAAAAAGATCAAAAATTTCAAGAGCTTGTGATGCATGTAGAAGGAAAAAAATAAAATGTAATGCAGAATTTTCATCAACATTAAATGAAGTTACTCAAATTTGTAATAATTGTCAAAAAAATTCAGAAGAATGTACTTTTTCAAGAACACCTTTAAAAAGAGGTCCATCAAAGGGGTTTTCAAAAGATTTAGAAGATAATATTCAAAATGAATTACATAGAACAAATTCAATATCATCTCAAACAACTATAAAGGATATACCTCAAAATAGTGTATCATTCCCGTCTATTAAAAATCAATCTCAACAACAATTACAATCAATTAAATTACCACCTTTAATGAATTATTCAAATAAAAATTTATCACCAGCAATTCAAAAAATTAATACAATGGAATCAAATCCATCAAGTCCGCAAAATCCACAATTCAATAACGGTAGCAATAATAGCAACAACAACAACAACAACTCCAATAACAATAGTCCACCAATTCAAGGTCCTTTCTGGAAAGTACCTTATGAAATGCCTCAATCATCAAGTTCTCATCGTTCATCAATTAGTAGTGTTACAAGTTCTGGTCAACCTTCACGTCGTAGAAGATCATCATCAATAGATTCGATATCATCAACTTCAACAACAGGTATAAGAATGCCCACAATTAAAAATACAACTTCAAATGAATTTTTAAGTGATAGTGAATCAGAAGATTTTTATTCTATTAAATCATCAAATTCTCAAAGACCACTGATTATTAGAAATAATTCACAATCTATATCACCAAGAAACTCAATAACTTCATTATCTAGTTTAAATGGTAGAATGAACAAATCTTTGTTACTCCATTCTCCATCATCACCAATATCAACTAATAATACAAATAATATCTCAACATCAAAACCTCATTTACAATTTTTATCACCACATGGAATATCACCACAATTTTCAACATCACCAATGAATTTGTTAAAAGCTGATTTGGAAGTTTATGAAAAAGTATTTGCACCATCATTTCCTATTATACTGGTTGATAATGATACTTTAATATCAATAATACAAACTAATGGAATAGAAGTACCTACTGAAAATTTAGTTGAAATTTTTCATATGGCATTGAATGATTTAATTAATTTTAAATCAACTGATGAATTTAATACTATATCGATGTTTTTCAAGTTACAACAATTGCATCAATTTTCTAAAATCAATAAAAATTCTTCATTTATGTATGGATTAACTTTATTGTTGATAAATTATGCATTATTACTAAAGGGTAGTTTTTATGGATGTGGTATAGCAATGGCAAGTTCATTTTTTAACGAATTGAATATTTTAGAACATGTTTTAACTAGTGAAGAGAAAGACTTAAGGTTTGCTAAATTATACCTCAATTTAGATATAATTGATAGTATAGTTTGTTTGAAATCGGGTGTTTCAAAATTTATACCACTGGGCAATTTATCAAAATTTGTTTCAATGAATGAGAGTAAATTATCACAAGCTGATTTATATTACGATTTGAAGAATTTAGTAGATATGAAAAATGAGACTATATTATCATCAACAATGACATTAAAAACCATAAAATCAAAAGACATTTTCATAATTCATTTCTATAATTTAGTCAATGAAAAATATCAATTATTCAATATATTCAATCAACAACAACAGCAACAGTCACAACTTACAGAAAAACTAGAAAAATTAGCAACAACAATATTAAATTTTGCAAACTATTTAAGTACTTCAACAATGGAAAATAAAAATTTATTATCATCAATACTTAACATTTCAATAACTCAATTATTTTGGATATCTAAATTTTTAAAAATTATTATTGAAAATTTACCACAATCAGATCAAACTCAAAAAATTTTCCATAATTTATCAATATCATTTAGTTTATTAAGTTTAAATTTATCAAATTTACCTATTTGTGATAACGTAATTAGATCAATTAAACAATCAATAATTGATGATAATTTAAATTTTACAACATTAACTACAAGCACCACACCTACAAATAATTGGATTCAGGACAAAATAATACCAATGATTAAATTAGATTTAATGAGACACTAATAATATAAATAATATATATATTGTAATTTACTTATTTACTATTGTTTTTTTCCACTCTATAAAACTCTTATTTTTTTTAGTCAATTTTAATTTGTGCATATATCTTTCTAACGAAAAATAAACTACTAACGAAACCAACACTTGAACAACATAAGAATACCAACATTGATATAACTATTGAGTATCCAACATATAACACAAAGGAAGATAATCCACCTAATCGTTCACCACCAGTTAAAAATATAGAATGTATGAAAACATATATAGCACATCCACCACCAATAAATATTGATTTCCATTGCCATTTATAATTTTCTGAGCATAAAGTATAATATATCATTAAAATTGTGATTAAACTTGTAGTTAAAATCATTAACAAAAAGCAAAAAAATAAAAATCCAAACATATAAAATATCTTATTAAACCATAAACTTGAATAAATAAAATACATTTCAACTGCAATTGATCCAAATGGGAAAATTCCACTTATAAACATAATTGGAATTAATCTTAAATACCAAGGTTGTTGTGGAATTTGTCTTGGAATTTGATTTGTTCTTACTGGAATATCCAATAATGGTCTTTTAGAAGCTAATATGGATCCAACAACTGATAATGGGATAGATATAAGGAACCATATCATTACAATAGTAATCATTGTCCCCATTGGTATAGCACCTGAAGAATCAACTGAAATTAAAAAGAAATTAAGGAATATAAATATACCAAATAATATACCTGGTACAATTATTGGAGTTAATATTAAATTCATTTTCCAATCTTCACCACCTAAAAATCTGTATAAATAACCTGAAATATATGATGAAATAATTGAACTTGACATATAAACAATAAACATAAAAGTAGATAATGATCCTCTATTTGATGGTGATAATAATCCAAATAATGCAAATATAATAGTAACAAAAGCCATAAAAAAGATTTGTAATCCACTTCCAACAATTATTGAAAGTAATTGTTTTTGAGAAGGTGGTCTGAAAACATCACCATGAATTAATTTCCAACCACTTTCATCAGTTAAATCATCATCTAAATTAACTTCATTATATTTAACAATATCATTTTTTAAAGTTCTAATTAATATATGAGCAATAACAATTCCCAAAATTAAAACAATTAACGAAAAATTAATTAATGAAAACCATTGAATTTTTGGATCATAAACATGTAAATATTGATCCCATCTAGTTGCCCATGCTATATCACTTTTTTGAAAATTTACAGAATAAGTAAATAAAACATCATTATCTTTATCTTTATCTAAATGAAATTGTTTTAATTCTCCAATAGAACAATAAGTTTCATCTGGTGAATTTTCAGGAATTTCTGATCGATCTAATGATGCAGGAGTTGCAGTTACTCCAACAACTCTAAATTGATTTTCTCCTCTTACATGATATTCAATTTTAATATCAAAATGATTATATAATACAGCAGCATGATCTTTATTTACTTCACCAATATGAAATCCAGTACCATAAAATTGAGAATTAGTTCTTTGATCTTCAACAATTCTTGCAACTGGTAATCCATCAACTAACCAATTATGACTATAACTTGCTCTTATATTTCTATTGACAAAAACAGCATCTGATTTAGGATATTTTGAAGTACATAATTTTTTACATTCAATTGGTTCTAACATTTTAATTTCAAATGGTGAATTAAAAATTCTATCACCAAAAATAATTGATCCAAGAGATTCAGATTGCTTTTTTGGTCCTCCTTCAGGTTGACAAAAATGAAATTTAGGATAATAATAATCATATGAATATACATATGTAGCTGATTTTATTTTATTTTGATGACTTACATGATGTAATGAAGGAGTTAAATGATTAACTAATAACGGTATAGTATCACCTTGCTTATAATCAGTAGGGGCAACACCAGGTAAATAAAATGAGTTAGTGGTGGATATATTAATTAACACAACAGTTAATATAAATATTAAATTCTGTAGCATTGAATTTTGAATAGGTAGGTACTTGGTGAATTAATGATTGATTTGTTGAATTATTGAAATGAAAATCAAAAAAAATTATTTTTTAATTCCTGAGTCTAATAGTTAAACAAATATAGGTCTCTCTTAATCAAAATTTCTTTTCAATATTCAAAATAAAATAGAAGTAACCAAAAGAAAAAAAAAATATAATTGAAGGACGTGTAAGGTTTAAGATTTATTGAATCAATCTCGTTTGTTCATTCAATTAACTTGATTTACGAGATTTTGTTCAATTAATATGAACGATAAGTTATAAGAAAAGGAGCGTTAAAATTTTATAATATTTACCAGAAAACTATTATTTATTGCAGATCCTATTTTTAGAATATTAATTTGAATATATATTAGTTTATTTAAGTAGTAGTATATGCTCAATTTTCATTATCTCATTAAATTTTAAAAATGTAATTATATCATTATTTAGTTCTACCTCTGCTATTAATCATTATTAATGTTGATGAGTTTGTTTGTACAAATCAGTTGCATTTCTAATTTCTTTTAATTTTTGTTTCTGTAATATTTTATTAATCATAAATTCAGGTCTTGATTCATTATAATCACAATATAAATCAAATTTATCACAATCTTTACATTTTGGTAATTCTCTAGTACATTTTTTATGACGTACCCTACATGTCCAACAACCTAGTTTTTTAGGTGATGTATATAATTTTTTTTCAGTAATTTGATTAATTTGATTTTGAGGAATAGTTTTGTTTTTATCACTTTGATTTTGATTTTGATTGATTTGTTTATTTGTTTGACTTTGTTGTTCCTGATTGATTTGTTTTATTGAAATTATTTCGACATCATCATTATCTCCATCAATAATACTCCCATTAATTTTTTCTTGTTTTATAAACCCAAATTCATGATTAAATTCAATTGAAATAGTTTTCAAAAACTTGGAAGGAACTTTTAAAACAATAATATGTTCGACAAAACTATCTAAAATATCTGATTTTTTTATATAATTTGTAAATTGACCATTTTGATGATGTTTATCATAGTAGTTCATTAATTTTATTCTTTCTTCATCTAAGGTTGTTTCAGATTTGAAATTATTATTTGATAAAATGTTGAAATTATTATTATTATTATTATTCCGGTATCTTGGAGTAGGTAGCGCAGATTGATTTCGATTATTATCATTATCGTTAGGTGGTTGTTGTAATATTTCCATTTTTTTAGTAGGTGTTAAACTTGATCTCTGATCATGATCTTGTTTTACCTGATCCCTTTTTGATTGTTCTTGATAATATTGGAAACCCATTAAGTAATCATCCTTAGTTTTATTTTGATTTGTGGAAATTTTTGAACTTTCCGTTAATGGACTACTTGTACTATAAATATTTTTATACACTTCTCTTGCTTTGATCATATCATCTGAATTTGAATATACAGTTTTTGATTTAAAAAGATTCTTCTTGAGTGATTTACTTGGTTGAATATTTGAGATAAGCGGTGAACTTTTTAATATGTTATCATTTATAGTAAAATTTTTATTACCGTTATTGGAGGTTTCTTCAATAATATCATCATTAATCAAGTCAATTGGTGGAATTACTCGTGGAATCATACGTTCATTGATAATATTGACGGGTTCAGTAATAAATTCACGTCTGATCCTTTTTTTAGTAGGTGTTGCTTCAAGTGAGAATGAACTATTGTAATTCTCTAATGAACTGTTGGCAATTTTATAATTTATTGGACTTGATTGGGCAACTGATTTGCCAATTGACTTTGACTCCATGATTGAGCTTGGTGTTTGATTGATGAAATAAATTTAATAAAGTTGAAGCTTAATCAGTAGAGTTTATTTACAAATTGATAAAAGGCACACGATAAAATATTATTAAGAGGTAATTTTTTAATACATAACAATTAATTGGTATGTGCTTCTATAAAAGTTAAAATCCAATTCAAATTAGTCAACAAAATTTTACAACTTTGGGTCCACTCAGAATTCGATGTAACTCTAATACTTTTGCCACCTATCGTATCTTTAAAGATTTTATAAGGTAACTCAATTTCATTATCCAATTTCATTAATTCCAATTCAATAATTAGAACAATATCTAGCAAGGCAATCATTGAGACATCAAGTTTGTTGAAATTGAATAATCTACCTAATGTAAATTCATCAGATGAGTATAAGTTTAAAACATTTTTTTGTTTTGTTCCATTTGTCGATTCTGAGAATTTAATAATTTGTGATTGAGAACCCATTGGCACTAATTTATAATTTTTTAGATTTAAATTTAATCTTTTGATAATAAAAGCTAGCAATATGACAATTTGTCCCAATGCAGCATTAACTTCTGGCCATACGATCTTATACCCAATTCTAAATCCATTAATCGTTCCATAATTATTATCTAAATTAATATTGAACATCATTTTATAAATATTTGATTTTCTTAATTGATCAATGTGGTTTAAATGAATTTGATAAGATGCTTTCAATTGATCCAATTTGATTTGTTTATCTGATAAATTTAATTGGAATTCATTTTTAAGTCGTAGTAATTTATTTAATTCAGTTTCGTTAATCTTGGCTAATTCTGATCCATTTTTTTCAAGTTGTGATTGTAAATTTGATTTCGTCAATTCAAGTTCTTTTAACTCTTCTAGTTTTGTGGATTCTAATTGCGATAATCTTTGATATTCATTTAAAGAATTTTTCAAATTTTTATCTAATTCAATTTCACTAAAATTTTCATCATCTAAATTAAGTTTCTGATCTTGAATTTTCAACTTTTTGAGAAAGTTTAAATATTGATTTTTTTCCTTTTGAGATTGATCAAATTTTAATTTATAATTTTCTATTAGTAAGTTTGCACAATCTTCACTTAATGGATGTTGAATATCTTGCATATTTGATAAAATTTTGAAAATCCTGTTTAGTTTTTTAATTCTTGATGATATTTTAATCTCAAAATCTTGTAAGTCATCTATTGACTGATTAGGTTCTTCGTTTGTTAAAGATTCATTTTCATTCACCACCAAATAAGAATCTATATCAGAATTTGAAATTGATTTGTACATTGTTGCCTCTTGTTCATCTTCTTCGTCCTCTTCACTTTCTTCATCTTCACTTTCAAAATAACTTTTGTAGAATATTGGTTTTGAGTTTTTGGGTAGTTCATCATATATATTTAATTTATCACTCGTTATATAATCTTTTGGATCTAATTCTTGTAGTTGTTCGTTGTCATTTTTAATGAATTCTTTATTTTGTAATGAGTTAGTTATAAGATTCAATTGTGATTGATTTAGTCTACTTATGCTCGGATCTATTTCCAAAGGTTTATCACATTCACCACAACTGTATTGATTCGTCATTGAAATGAAATAGTTAATCTGTAAATTAAAAGTATTTAAATTAATTGTAATATACTATTTTTCTGTTATCTAACTTTTTGTAACCCCAGATAATTGATAGTACTTTACAATTTATATAAATTACAAGAATGATTCTGGGACATTCTGATTAAATGATGTTACGCTTTAGTACTTCAAATCCACTTCAAGACTCAATAGTTCGATAAAAATCAATAATTATTATCTTCAGGATGACTCGTACTGTCTAAGTACTAGCCTCGAGCAAGTTTCGACCCAAATGGAGTTACAAAATCTAAATAATTTCTGACCTAACTTACACGATCTCTGACTATTTCTACGAAGAGGAAAAAATATTTCAAAACAAAATTTTTTTTACAACCACATTTCTTTTTCACTTTCATTTGAAGAACAGCAAGAAAATAATGAATTAAACAATAAAATAGTATGTTTCCTAGATTAAATAACTGATTCAATTTTTTTATGTTAAACATTTTAATGATGACAACGTACCCGTGCTTGAAGATTTTTAAATCAATGTAAGTTCACATGATTTCTCAAATAGACTACAACGGTATCTGATTTAACAACATAAGAAAGACTTCAATAAGACAAAATGTTTCGTGGGATATAAAGTACTAACTTGAAAAAGATAAATGGGGAAAAAGAATTCCAGACAATTAAATAAGATATATCAGAAACCAATACCAATTGATATTATACACAAGCTTAAAAATGAAATTTCATTACTAAATCCATTAAGTTGGATTAAATATGTTTTCAATTTTTTGAAATCCAATTTATTTTCAAAACCTAAAAATGAATCAAAATTAAAAATTGAATTAGTTGGTGATATTTTCAAAGTTACTAATCCCAAAATAATGATTAAATTATGGAGAGAAGGATTTTTTGGTAAAGGTATCTTATCAAGATCTGAACCTACTTGGTATGAAAGAACTATTGATAGACTCAACTTAGGTGTCAATAGTACCAATGGTGGTAACAAGTTAACTATGGAACAATTAACTAAAATTAGAAGAAATGAAAGAATTGAATTCAAAAAGAAAAGACAAAGATTACAAGATTTAATTTTGAAACAAAGACAAGATTTAATAACAGCTGATGAAATAATTGAAATGAATAAAATTGATGAAGAATTGGTTGAGTTTAGGAAAAGTGATAAAATAAATTTGGAAAATATTGATGATGAAGATGAAGAAGAAGAAAAATTAAGAGAAGAAGATGTTGCAATTATAAATTTTGATAACAATTCTGTTACTAGACTTGAATTTGTTCAATTACAAGCAGTTGAAGTATTTTTCTTGAAGTTTGCATTAAACAGAATAGAAGTCAATGAATTATCAACAAGGGATTTATTCAAAAAATGTTGTCAACTTTATAATAATAACTCACAAGAAATAAAATCAAACAATAAATTTATTTTGCAATATGTTATTTATCATTATTTTAGATCAAAAGGTTGGTGTGTAAGATCAGGTATTAAATTTGGAATTGATTATTTATTATATAAAAGAGGACCACCTTTTCAACATGCAGAATATTGTATACTGATTTTACAAGATCAAAATGATAAATCACAATTAGATTGGTTTCAAATGAGTACTCAAGCAAGAGTTGTTGGTGGTGTTAAAAAGAATTATATACATTGTTATATTGAATCACCTAATCAAGAAGAATTTGATAAAATATTTTATACTGAAAATATTGATGATGGTTTATTATTTAAACAATTATTAAGTAAATATAAAGTATCAGAATTAATTTATAGAAGATGGAATCCTAGCAGGACTAGAGATTAATAAATAAAATGAAGAATGAATAATTATGAATGTAATTTTGGATGTTGATATTTTCTCTTGTATTTTTCTTATTGATAAAATAAAGTTGTTATTCTTTTGTTGATTTATATATTTATATGTATAATTTATTAATAAAATATATAATATTATGCAAAAATCTCATCTCTTACGAAAAAACACGTAAAATGATAGGTACTGTATATAGAAGAGTATAATCAGCAAAAAAAAATTAATATAAATACAAGTTAAAATTTTTAAGTTTTTTTTTTTGTTTATTTTTAAATTTTTATGACAATCAACAAATTTACACGACCTAATTAGTTTTATTCTATAAATACAATATTCATATAATACAAAATATTTAAAGATGTCAAATCTACGTCATTTAATGAATTATGATGATGATACAACTACCTCTAATAATAATATTCATCAATCTCAATCACATCTTAAATCAAATCATATAAGTATAAATAATTTAATAAATTCATCAAATAATAATAATGATTCATATTCTAATACATTATCATATAATAATAATCAAATACTAAATAATAATAACAATAATAATAATAATCATCAGCCCAAAACAGAGCTACCAAATCATCACCAAAATAATCTATCATATAACCATCAAGAATATCAAAATCAAGATACAACACAAGAAGAACAAGAACAGGAGGAAGAACCAGAACAGTCGGAATCAACTTCAACCAATGAAAACATTTCAACAACAATAACACAAGATCAATTGTTAACATCATTTGAAAAAATTAAAACACATTTCCCAGCAGCAAGAATTAAAAAAATAATGCAAAGTGATGAAGAAATTGGTAAAGTTGCACAAGCTACTCCAGTAGTTGTAGGGAGAGCATTAGAAATTTTTATGGCAAATTTAGTTGAATCTTCCATTTTACAAGCTAAAAAACAAGGTGTTAAAAGGATCACTGCTTCTCATATAAAACTAGCTATTGAAAAAAATGAACAATTTGATTTTTTAGTTGAAATTGTTGATAAATATCCATCAATGAATAATTAAATTTTTATTGAATTATATAATGAATGTTTGCTTTTTAATTTTGTTTGTTTGGGATGGGTTTGTTTAGAAATTTTATAAGTAAAAAGGTATATTGGTTAATTCAATTCAATTTTTTCTTTTAGTTTATATTAGTATAGCATTATATATTTTATTTTAAATATAGGATTTCAAGAATTTATTAAAAATGATTAGCAAATTGAGCTTATAATTAATGGTTTGTAAAGAGATTTTGTCAAATATTCAAATTGAGTTTTAGCATTAAAAGTCCAGTCTCAATAATCGGCTGCCAAAATTAAGGTTAAAAAAATACGTAAAAAATAGGATCTACATTGTTAGTATGAACCGCCAAATCCGCTACAAGTAATCAACAATTGCAATCTTAGCTTTATAACACAAGAACATCATTTTGTTTAACTCAAAGATCAATTGAACACCCTCTATAAGAGCAATGAGGTGATGGACCAGATAGATCCTCCAATTTCTGGTTATTAAAGTGGTTGCTAAAATATAATAAATTCTAAAAATAATGATATCATAATACTTTTCTTTTTTCAATTCTCTCTCTTTCTTTATTTCTTAATATGAGTTCTTTTAATAATAATCGGAGATTTGAATATTTTAGATTTATTATTATGTTTCTCCATATTTAAATTAAACTTCTCTTTAATAATTGCTATTAAAATTATAATTATGAATAGATTTATTATTATCAACTAACTCTTTAGACTAATTAATTTTCAATTCACTTGTTTTCTACGATTTCATTTCTTTCTTTTCACAACTTAACAATTATCAAAATATGGTACAATCAAAATCAAATACTTCATTAGCAAATAGAAGACAATCATCATTCTTTCATCAATTACCACAAGCAGAACCAGATATTTATTATATTGGAGTTGATGTTGGTACAGGATCAGCAAGAGCTTGTTTAATTGATACAAATGGTGTTATTTTGGGATTAGCTGAAAAACCAATTACAAGACATGAATTAAAAGCAAATTATATTACTCAAAATTCTACCGAAATTTGGAATAATATATGTTATTGTGTTAAACAATGTTTAAGAGATTCAGGGGTGGATGCAGCTGATGTTTTTGGTATTGGATTTGATGCTACTTGTTCATTGGTAGCTATATCTGAATCAACCGATAAACCAGTTTCTGTAGGACCTGATTTTCATAATGAAGAAGAAAATATTATTTTATGGATGGATCATAGAGCCGATAAAGAAACTAATGAGATTAATGCTACAAATGATAAATGTTTAAAATATGTTGGTGGACAAATGTCTATTGAAATGGAGTTACCAAAAATGAAATGGTTAAAACATCATAAGCCAGGTGGTATAAAAGATTGTAAATTTTATGATTTGGCTGATTATTTGGTTCATAAAGCAACTGGTACAGAAACAAGATCTTATTGTTCTGTTGTTTGTAAACAAGGATTCGTACCAATTGGTGTAGAAGGTAGTGAAACTGGTTGGTCAAATGATTTTTTGATGTCTATTGATATGCCAGAATTAGTTGAAGATAATTTTAGAAGATTAGGTGGTATACCAGACAAAAATGGTAAATATTTAACTGCTGGTGACATGGTAGGTAAATTAACCGCTAAATCAGCTGAAGAATTAGGTTTAACAACTGAATGTATTGTTGGATCACCAGTTATTGATGCTTATGCTGGTTGGGTTGGAACAGTTGCTGCTAAATGTGATGTACCTGCTTTAGCTCAAGAAAAACATGATGGTACAATTGGAGATGCATGTGGTAGATTAGCTGCTGTTGCAGGTACTTCAACTTGTCATTTAGCAATGACTAGAGATCCATGTTTTGTTAAAGGTGTTTGGGGTCCATATAAAAATGTTATGGCTGAAGGTTATTGGTTAGCTGAAGGTGGCCAATCAATTACTGGTCAATTATTAGCTCATGTATTATCGATTCATCCAGCAAATCAAGAATTATTAAAAGCTGCTGATCAATCAAACATTTCTAAATTTGATTATTTAAATTCTACTTTAGAACATATGGTTCATGATAAAGGTGAAAGATCAGTTGTTTCATTAGCTAAACATATTTTTTTCTATGGTGATTTCCATGGTAATAGATCTCCCATAGCTGATCCAAATATGAGAGCAAGTATTATTGGACAATCTTTAGATAACTCATTACAAGATTTAGCTCTTAATTATTTTGGTGCTTGTGAATTTATTGCTCAACAAACAAGACAAATTATTGAACATATGGAAGATGGTGGTCATAAGATTGATTGTATTTTTATGAGTGGTGGTCAATGTAGAAATGGGTTATTAATGAGATTATTAGCTGATTGTACTGGTTTACCAATAGTTATCCCAAGATATATTGATGCAGCAGTTGTTTTTGGATCAGCATTATTAGGAGCAGTTGCAGCTGATGAATCAGTTATTGAACATTGTAAAGATAGACAAACTTCAAGAAGATTAAGAAATAGTAAAAAATCTCAAACAAGTTTAGATGGTTCTCATTCTCCATATACTGCTCCTTCTGCAACTTCATATACCAATTTAGCTGCAATTTCATACGGTCATTCAAATGCAGGATTAGCAGCAATGACTCCCGTTGGTGAAGAAAATGTTGATTATTTCAATCAACCAACTGCTCCACCACCAAAAGAAGAAGACGAAGAAAGTGAAGAAGAAACATTATCATTTGGATCAAAACAAGAAACTCAAAAAGGATTATCACAACAATTAAATAAATTAGGTTTAAAACCATTAACTAAATCCACCACATCACAAAATCCAAATAATGCAGGAGAATTATTATGGAAAATTATGCAAAAAATGACAGGACCAGGAAAAGTTATAAATCCTGGCTCTAAAGAAGATCCAGATAGAAGATTATTAGATGGTAAATATAAAATATTTTTAGAACAATGTTATAGTCAAAGAAAATATAGAGATATGGTTGATGAAATTGAAAAAACAAATTTGGAAAAAGTTGGTTCTGTTTAGAATTAGTTGAGGAGGAAAAATAAGTCAGGAAGATATTTTATAGAATATATAATTTTACATCGAATACAAAATTAAGTTTTAATTGCAGCAATAAATCAATATTAAAATTAATTACTCTTAACTATGAACGAAGAGTTTGTATAATTCAAAGTAAATTATTACTTCGTTTTTTATTTCTTCCTCACAAATTTTGTAAACATTTAACAGCAAATTTTGACACATTTCCGAAACATTAATATTTAAAAGTCATCAAACCAAGATCTTCACACTCGTTAAGTCTATTTTATAGTTTTAGTAAATAATAATAATTGGTCACAGAGAATATATACTTCCACAATTTACACATTATTCTACTTAGTTGAATAGTTAAGGACTTAAGCGAAATTTGGTTTTCTCTTAAATCAATATCCAGAAAAATTACCAAGAAAAAAAATAATTTGAAATTATAATACATCAATTCGCGCTACCAGTTTCATAGCAAGGTGAAAGGTTGTGAATTTTTGTTTTTCTATGAATTTTAACTTCCGCCTTTTCTGAAACTATTAACGTTTTTTTTGTCTGCATACAATTTGAAATGCAATTAAAAGTAGGAACCAAAATATTTTGAGTCAAGCAAAAAATTTTATTCTATTATATTTCGTAAGACTGGGTCTTGTTCCTTATTTGCCTAAGCGTGATATCACAGATTCTTCAAGCAATCGAATTGAAAAGAGCTTATTTTTCATCAATTACCATTAGATGTTAAAGATGTGTGGATGTGAAATTTGACAGAATGGTTGCAAATTATTGTTGATGTATAAAGTTGAATCAATTTAATTATAACCCAAAGGCGAAGATTTACAGAATTGCAAAATAAAAAAGAAACTTTATCACAAAATCTATGTTTTGGATTGAATGGTTAAGATATTTTCAGATTTTCTATTGTAATTGAAGACAAGCTTACACGTGACCATGATAAATTGCTTATTTATTGACGTAATTTGGAGATGATGAAACACTACTTTACAAGTTAACTTCTTGACAACTTGATCAATAAATCGAAATAAGTAGAATAGAACGAAGTTAATTTGAACGAAGAGATCGATCAATAGTAATTAGTGAGTGGAGTAAAACTAGTGAGGAGACAAATTTCTTAAAATAAAAACTAAATTTTAGATTCGTATTTACTGTTTCAAGATAGATGGGAAAATTAAAAAATAATTATTGCCAATAATTTTATTATTCAAGAAAAGCATTAATTATTTTTTAGTTCATCAGGATATCTAATCTCAAACTTTAAGGCAACTAAATGACGGTTCGATGGGAAGTAAAGTGAGCATTTTGATTTTAAAATATCGTTAATTTAATTAATTTCAGCAAATATAATTAATAATTTTAGTCTATTATTGTTTTTTTTTTTTTAATTTATAATCTGTGGCATCAACACCTCAAAATCAACAATTTAAATTGAAGAAAAACTTAAAAATTTTATACTTCCATACACCTTTTGAAAGCATATTTAAGTGTTTGAATTATTTAAATTTAAGTTTAAATTAGTATCGGGCCATTAGATCTCCTAAAGCTGTTAGATCTTTCATAACTTTATTCAAAGAATTAGGTTGCAAAATTTTCAAAATTGCAAAATTTCATATTACACATTGCATTATAGATCAAACTAAATTAAATTAGTATTTCATATTTCATTCTGCATTATAGATTAAATTAAATTAATTAATCAAGAACCACAATTTATAACAGATTAATTTAATTTAAAATTTGGATAAGGCTGACATTAACTTTAGATCTGCATTTCATTAAGTAGTTACATTGTTCTACTACTTCATTGTTTCATATATATATATATATTGGAATCACTTCCCCAAAATAAGAATCCCATCTTAAGTTTTCCTTTTCATCACATTCAAACAATAACAATTCATAATGTCTGACTTTATTCATAAAGTTCAGTCAATAACATCACAAGATGAACCAAAATCACGTATACCGAATGTTTATCCTCACATATATCAAGATGAACATGTAACTAAACAACATGAATTTCATCCTGAAAATTCAAATCATCAACAAAATGGTTCGGTCTATGTACCAGCTTACGATGAACAAGAAGTTACAGTAAAAGAATGGTTTCAACATGTATTTGCTCATCCTTTACAATTTATTAAGAATTATTTAATTTCTTTATTTCCAATTGCAAAATGGATTTTACATTATAATTATAAATGGCTTTATGGAGATTTAGTAGCTGGTATAACAGTTGGTGTTGTTTTAGTTCCTCAATCTATGTCTTATGCACAATTAGCAGGTTTAGAACCTCAATATGGTTTATATTCTTCTTTCGTTGGTGTTTTTATATATTCATTTTTTGCAACTTCAAAAGATGTTTCAATTGGTCCTGTAGCTGTTATGTCATTACAAGTTTCAAAAGTTATAGCTCATGTTCAAGGTAAATATGGAGATCAATATTCCGGACCCGAAATTGCTACTTTCTTATCTTTGATTTGTGGGGGTATTGCTGCTGCTATTGGTGTTTTAAGATTAGGTTTTATTTTAGAATTTATTTCTATTCCTGCAGTTATGGGGTTCATGACTGGTTCTGCATTCAATATTATATCTGGTCAAGTTCCAGGATTAATGGGATATAATAAATTAGTTAATACTAGAGATAGTACTTATATGGTTATTATTAATACTTTAAAACATTTACCAAATTCAACTGTTGATGCAGCTTTTGGTTTAGTTTGTTTATTCATATTATATGTTTGGAAATTTTCAACTGATTATTTCCAAAAAAGATGGCCAAAATATAAAATGTGGTTTTTTTATATACAACAATTAAGAAATGCTATTGTTATTATTGTTGCAACAGCTATTTCATGGGGTATTGTTCATCCTAAAAAAATTGCATACCATGGTAAACCAGGAGGATTTAAACCACCAATCTCAACTATTGGAGAAGTTCCAAGAGGTTTAAGACACGTTGGTGTTATGACAATTCCAGATGGTATAATTGGAGCTATGGCTTCTGAAATTCCAGTATCAACTGTTATTTTGTTATTAGAACATATTGCTATTTCAAAATCTTTTGGTAGAGTTAATGATTATAAAGTTGTACCAGATCAAGAAGTTATTGCTATTGGTGTAAATAATTTAATTGGTACTTTTTTCAATGCTTATCCTGCAACCGGTTCATTTTCAAGATCTGCTTTAAAAGCTAAATGTGGTGTTAGAACTCCTTTAGCTGGTATTTTCACTGGTGCTGTTGTGTTATTAGCGTTATATGCATTAACTTCAAGTTTTTATTATATTCCAAAAGCTGTTTTATCTGCTGTTATTATTCATGCAGTTTCTGATCTTATTGCAAATTACAAAGTTACTTGGTCATTCTGGAGAATTAGTCCTATAGATTGTGGTATTTTCTTGATTGCTGTTATTTTGACTGTATTTGTTACAATTGAAGCTGGTATTTATTTCGCAATTGCTGCATCAGTTGTTGTTTTATTATTTAGAGTTGCAATTCCAAATGGTTTATTCTTGGGTAAAGTACAAGTTGCCGAAGTTATAAATCCAATAATTGAATCCTCTTCAGGTTATGAAGATTCAGATGCAAGTTCAGATTCATCAAATATTGAAATTCATCAAGTTTTATCAAGAGGATCAAATGAAGATACTAAAGTAAAACATAAAATTGAAGATAAACAAATTGCAACCACTAACAATGTTCCACATTTTAAATTTCATACTCGTTGGGTTCCATTAAATCATAAAAATATAAATAAAGAATTAAATATTACTCCACCACCACCAGGTGTTATAGTTTTTAAACCAGTTGAATCTTTTACATATCCAAATGCATCACGTCAAATTGATGTAGTATCAGATGAAGCTAAAAGAATTACCAAAAGAGCTAAACCATATAGTTATTCAGATACCGGTTCAAGACCATGGAATGATCCAGGTCCATTAAAATGGAATATACCGTTTTTGAAAAAATATAATACACCAGAAAATTTTGAAGAAGATACTAGACCAATTTTAAGAATTGTACATTTTGACTTTTCCACAGTTTCACAAGTTGATGTAACATCAGTACAAGCATTAGTTGATTTAAGAAAAGCTTTAAATACTTATGCTGATAGAGAAGTTGAATTCCATTTTTCAGGAATATTAAGTCCATGGATAAGAAGAGCTTTGTTAAATGCTGGTTTTGGTACTTATGAAGATGGTTTAACTTCAAGTAATAATTATGTTGATATAGCCACTGGCTATAAAGATTTAGAAAATCATATTAATGAACCATATTATGCTGCTGTTGGTACAAATACTCCATTTTTCCATTTAGATATACCAAATTATCAATAGATTTAATGATATTGCATAAAGTTTAGTTTAGTTCTTTTAATTTTTTTTAGGTTGTTTGTTTTAATTCTTATAAATAGATTATTAGTTAGAAATATTCGTGATGATTATTAGAATTTAAATGTAGTTTCAGATATTTGATTAAACTTTAAGATTATAATTTTCCGCTTTATCTCTAAAGAGTAAGGGGAGATTCCAAATATGTATAGAATTGCGGCTTATTTTTTTTGGCTAGTTAATGGAATTTTTAACACACCACTAAAAAAAAAAAAATTCTATAATCTTATAAGTTAGTCTACACAACCACACAAAATGCATACAAGATCACTGCTGATAAATGGAGAATCAATAGAACCTGCGTTTATAGACAATGGGGTACCAGTATTCAAACCTACAATGGACCAGTTCCAAGATTTTTACAAGTTTAATCAACTAATAAACAAATATGGATTAGAATCTGGAATAGTAAGAGTGATACCACCAAAAGAATGGGTAGATTCTATATCAAGTTGTTATACAAAGGAGAATTTATCAAAAGTTAATATAAAAAATCCTATTGTTCAACAAATAAATCGTACTGGACATGGAGTATTTCAACAACAAAATGTAGAAAGAGCTAGAAAGTATAATTTGGAGCAATGGAAAGAATTATCAAGACATTATGAACCACCAAAGAAAAGAAAAAGACTGCATGATGAAATGATGTCTAATGATACAGAGTACACTGTAGAAAGATGTGAAGAATTAGAAAGAGCATATTGGAAATCATTAACTTATTCTGAACCAATATATGGAGCAGATACTGAAGGTTCATTATTTACAAATGATATAAATTGTTGGAATGTGGCCAAATTACCCAATATATTGGATTTAATGGAAGAACAAATACCTGGAGTAAACAATGCTTATTTATACGCTGGTGTTTGGAAAGCAACTTTTGCATGGCATTTAGAAGATCAAGATTTATATCTGATAAATTATTTACATTTTGGAGCTCCAAAACAATGGTATCTGATTCCACAATCTCAAAGTGAAGAATTTTTTAATTTAATGAAAGATTTATTTACTGATGAATATAAAAATTGTTCACAATTTCTTCGACACAAGACTTTTTTGGTACTGCCACAATATTTGAAGAAAAAGGGAATAACCGTAAATCATACAATTCATAGACAAGGTGAATTTATAATAACATATCCTTATGGTTATCATGCTGGTTTTAATTATGATTATAACTTGGCAGAATCTGTTAATTTTGCAATTCCAAGTTGGTTTGATGTTGCTGATTCGACTGAAAATTGCCATTGTATTCCAGATGCAGTGAATATAAATGTTGAACAATTACGAAAGAAATATAAAGATTATTCAAATAAAGTTGATCTATTTTAAAAAGTAAGGAGAAAGTGAAAAATTATAAATTTTTTTGTGTTATAATAATTTAGATCGAGCAAAAAAAAAAAAAAGGAATAATTAAATCTTACTAAATAAATTTTTTGATTGTCACTTTTCTTTATCATTTATGGCACCATCAAGAAAACGATGTAAAATCATTGAATCATCGTTTGAACAAATCTATCATTCATCAGATGAAGAGCAAGTATTTTTGGTACCTCCATCACCAACTAAAAAGACAACATCAAAACAATGGTTAGAAAAATATCAACCTAAAACCGCGTCAGAAATATGTATAAATCCAACAAAATTAAAACAAGTTAGAGATTCGCTAAGAAAATTGATCAATCACCAATCCAAAATTTTAGTGCTTACTGGTCCATGTGGCTCAAGCAAATCCACAACTATCAAAATACTAGCGAATGAATTTTACAATGGAGATATTTTTAACGACAATATAACTGAATATGATGAAACAGAAAAATTTGGTAGATTTTTGCAAAATTGTAAATATAAACAAGGATCTACTATATTGGTCGATGAACTTCCAAATGTGTATCATAATGAAACGCTAATGGAGTTTAGAGACGCGTTGAAACAATGGATTTACACAAATGATGTTACTCCACCATTAGTGCTATGTGTTAGTGAATATGAATACGAATCAGATGATTTCAACAGACTTAGTTATACGATTGAAAATAATATGAATGTTGATACTTTATTGGGTAGAGAAATTTTAGGAGCCCCTGGAGTAGAAATTGTGAAATTTAATTCAATTGCAACGAGGTATTTAAAGAAAACAATTACTGGTATATTAAAAAGTGAGGAATTAGGAAGATTAATGAATGATTCTAAGTTTGATCAATTTTTGACGGAACTTTATAAGGTAGGAGATATAAGGTCAATTATTTTTAATTTAGAGTTGTGGACAAAGTTTCATAAATTAGGTGGTGACTACAATAGAGAAGATGCTTTAAATATATTTCATGCAATTGGTAAAATTATTTATTCTTCAAAAGAAAAAGATGTCGATCCAGTAACTCAGGTGATAGAGAGATATCCAGATAAAAATTCTGACCTTTTAAATTTAGGATTATTAGAAAATTACCACATTTATCAAGATTCAAATTTTGATGTAAAGATTGCAGGAGATATATGTAATGATTTGAGTATTAATGATATTGTTTCATTTGGGGAAGTCGGGATGAGATCAACTAGAACAAATTTGGAAAAGGCAGGTCCCAAAGTTTCCACTTTAAAACTAAAGATGAAATTCCCAAGACATTTTAAAATGTTGAAAAATATTAGAAAAGCTCATACTCAGATAAATTCATATAGAAGATATATTACACCCACAACTTCATTTAGTGATTTGAATTTAATTGATGGGTACTATTTACCACAAATATACAATAGCCAAAAAAAGACAAGATATAGGTATAATAGACTTGGAGGAAAGTTTTTAGAAGTTTTTGCTGATGAAAATACAGTTGATGAACCGATAACGAATTATGATTATGACCAATTTCAAAATGACATTGATAATAAAATAACAACAACAGAAGATGAAGAAATGAGTGATCAAATACAAGAGCTGGATTCTGATAGTGATGGCTTTTCATCTGATGATGATATAGATTATTTAATATCACAAGGTAAGTTATAGAAATGAAATACCCTAATAAAAAATTATACATTTACCTTACATAATTATTCTAAAGCATGTTCAAAAAATTGATCATCTTCTTCTATATTCTCTTTAATAATATCTAAACCACCTTGAAATTCACCATTTATATATAATTGAGGAAAAGTTGGCCAATCACTGAATTTTTTAAGTCCTTGTCTTACAGAATCATCTTTTAAAATATCAAAAAATCCAAATCTTACTTGATGTTCTCTTAATATTGCAACTAATTGTCTTGAAAATCCACATTGTGGTGAAGATGGTGAACCTTTCATAAATAACATTATTGGTGCTGCTGTTGTTAATTTTGTTAATCTTTCACTTAATGCCTCTTCTGATTCTTCAACTGGTTCTGATGTTGTTGTTGTAGAATCTGATGACGTTGATTTTTCGGTGCTGGATTTGGTGGTATTAGTGGTTGTTGATTCTCCTGAAAATTGATTTAATGCTGCTATAAATTCTTTTGGATCAGCTCCTGATAATTCTTTTAATATAGTTTGATTACGTATTAATATAAAATAAGGTACGGCACTAACATCAAATAATTCACTTATTTCTGATAATTCATCAGCATTTATACTAAGGAAAATTATTGATTGATCATTTGATTTTGACTCTGCTAAAGTTTTAAAAACTTGATTCATTGTCTTACATGGTCCTGCCCATGGTGTATGGAAATATAAAGCTATTAATTTTGAATCATTCTTTTGAGTTAAATCTGTGAACTGTTGTTCACTTTCTACCTCTATTACTCCCATTGTTTGGTACTTGAATAGTTAAAATGATGATTAATTAAATTTGTAATTCAGAAAAAGAGAATAAAAAAAAAAATCTTCAATTATATGCACAGTGAATATTTAGCCACAATATGTTAGATACATAATTATTTACAGTCTAATCTTAGATTCTATTTTTTGGCAAAAGATGCTGATATATTAGCAGCTTCTTCAATACCTCTTGCAATTGTACTTCTTAATGCACCATCTTCCATTTTTAATAACCCACCAATTGTTGTACCACCTGGTGTACAAACTTTACTTTTCAAAGCAGCAGGATGATCGCCAGTTTCTAATAACATTTTAGCAGTACCTTCCATTACTTTAGCAGCTGAAATCCTTGCAACATCAAAAGGCATACCCATTCTAACAGCTCCATCAATCATTGATTCCATCATCAACAAGCAAAATGCAGGACCTGAACCAATTAATGAAGTTGCAATATCCATATTTTTTTCAGGTATAAGTACTGTTGTTCCAATTGGACCAATCAATTTTTGGACAAGTTCTTGTTGTTCTTTTGAAACATCAGGTGAAAAAGATATAGCAGCTGTACCACATCCGTATCTTGCAGGAGTATTTGTCATTACTTTGGCAATATTTTTTGAAAAAATTGATAATTCTTTTATAGTTACACCAGCCATTAATGAAATTATAAGTTGATCACCACTTAAAGCCTCTTTAACTTCATCATAAACTTGTTGATACATAAAAGGTTTTAAGCCTAATATAATAACATCAGCTTCTTTCACAGCTTTAACATTATCTTTTCCAGATGAATGTGCAATAATTTGTTCATCTTGGTATTGCTTTTCTAATTCTGGTCTTGGTTCTTCATTACAAAGAATGATTTTTTTGGGGTATGGATCGAATTTTTGTTTTAATATGGCGGATACAACAGCTGTACCCATAACACCAGCTCCAAGAACTGTAATTGTATAATCTTTCATTATTGATGTTGTTGGTGGTGAATTTTCGTTAATACTATCCTATACTTACCCAATTTGGAATTCTATGCGAGAGAAAATCAACTGATAAAAATTCAAATTCTACAGCCAAAATTTTTAAAATGAAACTTAACAAGGTAAATGAAGATAAAATCATTGATTAAATTGATTAGATTTCGGATGGACTTCGAGTAAGTAGTAAATTTCTGAGATTCGTCTACACAATCATCTCTACACATACTCTTCAAGAGCCTTTTTAGTCCTTTAATTTTAACCTTCTCTACANAAAAAAAAAAAAAAAAAAAAAAAAAAAAAAGTTAGCTCATAGATATCTGGTTGAACAAATTGTAACTAAACTTCAAATTTTTAAAACTACATCAGAACATTAAAATTTATTACTTTAGATTTAAAATTTTTAGACGCTAGGCTGTTACGATTTGATCGATACCAATATTAATATGTCAAATTTCAATAAAAATTTATTAACACCATGTCCGGTTTTGCAACCAACCGAAGAAGAATTTTTGGATCCAGTAGGTTATTTATCCAGTAAACCTATTTCGGAGCTTGGTAAAATATATGGTATTGTTAAAATTATTCCACCTTTGAATTGGAAGCCCAAGTTTCAAATTTCCTCAAGTTTTAAATTTCATGTTAGACAACAAGTTATAAGTGATTTAGGTATAACGACAAGATCTAGAAACTTCTTTAAAGAGAATCTAAATAGATTTTTGAAAATGAGAAGGAAGAAGCTAGTGAAATTGTATTTCAAAGTTGACGGTCAAAAAGTATATTATTACGATTTATATTGTTTAATTGAAAAAATGGGTGGTCATCAAGCTATAAAGAATTGGCGAGAAGTTAACGAATTATTCAAAGTAGACCCAAAATCGAAGGCAATAGAATTAGAATATGATTCAGCTATCAAATATTATGCAAATTACTTGAATAATAATCAAAATTACGATTTTCCCGAAAGTGATTCTGAAGATGAAGATAATTGTATGGTTTGTGGTGATAATGATGATCCAGAAGAAACATTACTTTGTGACAATTGTGATAATGCTTACCATATGAAATGTTTGAATCCTCCATTAACGCAAGTTCCGGTAACAAATTGGTATTGTGACAAATGCTTAATTGGAACAGGTGAATATGGGTTTGAAGAAAATCCAGAAATTAAATATAATATACCAGAATTTTATGAAATGTGTCAAGAATTTGATAAAGAGTTTTCAAAAAATTACAATAATGGAGAAAGGCTAACTCTAGATCAAATTGAAAAGAAATTTTGGTCTTTTGTGGATATAGAAAAATCAGATTTGGAAGTGAAATATGGTGCTGATATACACAACCTAAGACCTGGGGAAATAAGTGGATTTCCCATGATGAATACTCCAGATTTAGATCTTAATGACCCAGTAAATCAATATTATATAAATCACCCATACAACTTAACAAAATTGCCATTTGCCAAAGGATCATTATTAAATTATATAAATACCTCAATATCAGGAATGACAGTACCTTGGATTTATATAGGATCACTACTTTCAACATTTTGTTGGCACGTTGAAGATCATTATACATTATCAGCAAATTATTGCCATTTCGGAGCAACCAAGAAATGGTATGGTATTCCTTCAGCATTTTCAGATTCATTTGAAAATCTAATGAAAAAATCAGCTCCAGATTTATTTCAAAAACAACCTGATTTATTACATCAATTAGTCACTTTAATGAGTCCAATGAAAATTATTGAAAATGGTATACCGTGTGTTTACGCTGATCAAAATCCAAATGAATTTGTAATTACTTATCCAAAAGTTTATCATGCTGGTTTCAATTGCGGGTTCAATTTTAACGAAGCGGTAAATTTTGCAATGAATGACTGGTTAGAATTTGGTGATAGATCAATTTCAGAATATAGACCAATTAAGAAGGAAAATGTTTTTAATTATTACGAACTAGTGGAAAATATTTTGAAAAAGTTTAACAAAGAAACTGATAAATTTGAAAATTTGGAACTAGTTAGAAAAAGTATTGATATTTTACAAAACTTTATACAGAATCAAAATAAGTTGATACTGCAGATACAACAAAAGAAATTATCAATAGAATATAGACCAAAACATTACAAACAACGTCAGTTTGATGCAGAACAAAAGGGAGAAGTTATCGAAGTATTTGAAGAAGAAAACCTATGTTCTGGTTGTAAAACTCATTTAGGTTTCCAATACTGTATTTTGGGAGATGAAGAATTTAAAGCAGTGGAAGAAAAGAAAGCAGTGAATTCTCAATTACTTACACCGGAGCCATCACCGAAAGAAGCTGTTAAAAAGGACCAACCACCAAATATTCATGCTTTAGCTAATTCAAACTCATCAAATGAATTGTCCCAACTAAATAAAATTAAATGTGAAATGGATGAATTTGATCAATTGATATCACAAGCTAAAAAAAGATCATTTGAGGAAGAATCGAAAGAAGATTCAACTTCTAAAAGGAGGAAATCTAAAAGAATCTTATCGCTAGAAGAAAAACAAAAAATCATTGCTCCTCCAAAAATGAAAAGAAGTAGAACCAAAAAAATTGATCCTGCTTCTAAAAAAATATGTTTAAGTTGCGTTTTAGATGAAAAGGACATTTCTAGTGACACTAAATTGATCTACCAAAATTATCCACAAGAAATAAGTGACTTAATTGAAATTTCTAAGTATAATTTAAGAACTTTAGAATATGTATAGCTTGTATTAAATAATTTTATGAATTTGTTTCAGAATTCTTAGGTGTTTTATATGGTCGGGGATCTTGTAACTTGAAACACCATATATTTTTTTTTACGGCAGTGTTTGGTAGCAACTCGGCTAGAAATTATATTCAATTTCTTAAATCTTCTCGGTTTCTAAATTTACACTACCTAATTGATTGTAACAATTTAATTGGTTATTATATACTTTTTTTCTTCAAATAGAGTATAACAGCTACCAATTGTAGACTTGTTTAACTGTTGAACTTTTTTTTTGCAATTTTAAACAAATTTTTTTTTCAATTTTCGATCATTTTAAATTAACTACTACTTTATTAGCATTAAGTTCAAAATAAAAAATTATTAATTAAGTTAGCCAAAGTTATAACATAACAATGGTTTTACCAAGATTATTTAATGCTACTTCACGTACTGCTGTACAAGCATCAGCCAGAACTGCCAGAAATTTAGCAACTGCAACAAAAGCTGCTGATGGTAAAGTTAGGTATGTTCACAAAAGATAATTAATTGCCATGAATTGGCCTTGAATACAATTGGGGATTGAAGTTGAGGGGACATAATCTGCAGGCTTGGATAAATCAATAGAGTGAATATAAACCATGTAATTGACGTTCTTCACTTGTACAAAAAAAAATCGGATTAATAAACACGGTCAATTTGTCGTGATTCAATGCGATGCAACTTTAGTGAAATTATCGAGAGTCGTTTTCAATCTCTCACAATCCACATTTTGGACTTTGATAACTAGTCAAGATTTGCCAATGGGTATTGTTATGGCACGAATCGATTTTTCAAAACTTTTCAGCCAAGTCCCACGACCATCGTTTTAACCAATAGTATTGAAGATTTCATCAAGTACATTTATACTAACAACCTTTTGTTTAGAGCTGTTATTGGTGCCGTCGTTGATGTTCAATTCGAAGAAGGAAACTTACCAGCTATTTTAAATGCTTTAACCTTAAAAAATGGTAAACAAGATTTAGTTTTAGAAGTTGCTCAACATTTAGGTGAAAACACTGTTAGAGCAATTGCTATGGATGGTACTGAAGGTTTAGTTAGAGGTACTTCAGTCCATGATACCGGTGCTCCAATTTCCGTCCCAGTTGGTAGAGGTACCTTAGGTAGAATTATCAATGTTACTGGTGATCCAATTGATGACAGAGGTCCAATTGAATGTAAAAAAAGAATGCCAATTCATGCTGAACCACCATCATTCGTTGAACAATCAACAAGTGCTGAAGTTTTAGAAACTGGTATTAAAGTTGTTGACTTATTAGCTCCATACGCTAGAGGTGGTAAAATTGGTTTATTCGGTGGTGCTGGTGTTGGTAAAACTGTCTTTATCCAAGAATTAATCAACAATATTGCTAAAGCCCATGGTGGTTTTTCAGTTTTCACTGGTGTCGGTGAAAGAACTAGAGAAGGTAATGATTTATACCGTGAAATGAAAGAAACTGGTGTCATTAACTTAGAAGGTGATTCAAAAGTCGCTTTAGTTTTCGGTCAAATGAATGAACCACCAGGAGCAAGAGCAAGAGTTGCTTTAACTGGTTTAACCATTGCTGAATATTTCAGAGATGAAGAAGGTCAAGATGTCTTATTATTCATTGATAATATTTTTAGATTTACTCAAGCTGGTTCAGAAGTCTCAGCCTTATTAGGTCGTATTCCATCAGCTGTCGGTTATCAACCAACTTTAGCCACTGATATGGGTCTTTTACAAGAACGTATTACTACCACCAAGAAGGGTTCAGTCACTTCAGTTCAAGCTGTTTACGTCCCAGCTGATGATTTAACCGATCCAGCTCCAGCTACTACATTCGCACATTTAGATGCTACTACTGTCTTGTCTAGAGGTATTTCGGAATTAGGTATTTACCCAGCTGTTGATCCATTAGATTCAAAATCAAGATTATTAGATGCTGATGTTGTCGGTCAAGAACATTATGATGTTGCCACTGGTGTTCAACAAACTTTACAAGCTTATAAATCATTACAAGATATCATTGCTATTTTAGGTATGGATGAATTATCTGAACAAGATAAATTAACTGTTGAAAGAGCTCGTAAAATCCAAAGATTTTTATCACAACCTTTTGCTGTTGCTGAAGTTTTCACTGGTATTCCAGGAAAATTGGTAAGATTAGCTGACACTGTCAAATCATTCAAAGATGTTTTAGAAGGTAAATACGACAGTTTGCCAGAGGCTTCGTTCTATATGGTGGGCGATGTATCTGATGCTGTTGCCAAAGCAGACAAGATGGCTGCTGAATCCAAGTAGTTGTGGTTGAAAAATTTGAGGTTAATTTGATAAATATTCATGATTTTATTAGAATTTTGTAATTCACACAAAAAATAAAATTTATTAAAAGATTAAAGAAAAAAAGTGTAGAAATAACAATGTCGTATCAATCTCTTAATTACGAAGTATTTGAACTTAGTAATTAGAAAGAACTCTTGTAAGGTCAATTGTTTGAAATGGAAAATTCCGTATAGATTTTTTATATGCAGGATAATAAGAAATTTGGTGTTTCATCATGAAACTTTTAGCTCTGAGCAAATTCGTCTTTAAACTCGATGATTTCTCTCAAGTATCAATGACATAAAAGTCCATTATTGTATCTAAGAACAATAGAAAAGTAATGGCCTGAGTAATTCTAGCAAACTACTTTTTATTCGTAGCTTATTCCGTTTTACTGGAAATTACAACCTAGAAAGACAATTCGATGGTCCTACTCGCCTGACTGAATCTTTGAAATGCTATTTAGAAATAACTAATCAAACTGAGATGACAGACTATGACACGCAACCTTTCCAAAACAAATTTGATAAAATTTGAGCAAGCAAAAAAAAACACGCAATTAAGAAACTACTCGCTGCTAATTAAATTTTGAAACATGCTGTAATTCTTGATTTTTTTGGTAGTAACACTACCTAAGTTACAAGAATATTTATACTTTTGATATTAGTGATGCATCAAGTACATGAAACGTTTCATATAGATTGTTATATTGACTTACAATCAGAGATAATCAACACTATATAGCAAACAATATAGCAAATATCTATAACGATCCAATTGAGATTTTGAAACATGACTATTCCTAACTCATATTTTATTACTAACTGGCTAATTATGTCCCAAGTTAAATAAGTAAACCCATACATTAAATTCATGCAAATACAACTTGAGCAAATACAAAACACTTTAATTCTGTAAATATTTCGGAACAGAACTCTAATTAGCACAGCCAAAATCAAGTCTGTCAAACATACTATAGCTGCAATTAGTGGTAAAATTGCACCTATCAAACTTAACCATTGAACAGCGAAGCCGAAAATATTGTACGTTTTCAATACACAAGGAAATGAAGTAGAAACTTGATATCCACATATTTGATTCACAATTTTATAATAAATTTCAACAAATTGGAACTTGGATGATGTTAATTCCGATAATTGTAACTCAATATCTTGTAAAAGACAAGTTATTATATTCAATCCAGTACCGTAATAACAACCAATTCTTGAGCCAAATTGATCAAGTCTACAATATCCCAAAGGATTTAAATGATATATATTTCCATAAAAAAATGTATCAATCTTTTGCAAAATTGAATCATTTGTAGTTGAGTTAACAAAAACGTTTAAATCATTTGATAAATAAGTTGCAAATTTTAAACTTTGTTGAATTAAATCAACACAATTTTTGGAAATTTGAGAATTTGCTTCAATTTTAAATTTTATTGTACTCGGACCATTTGATTTAATTGGTGTACATGACATTATAAAAAAATTGCAAATAAGAAAAAGACATCCATGACTTAAGGTTTCAATCAACAACCAAAAAATCTTGGCCAGTGTTCTCCTTGGTGAATAATTTTCTTGTTTGTAATTATATTCTTTGTTTATAGTCATTATTGTTATGCAAATGAAATTCGCATTTGAATTTTGGTTGCAAAAATTTAAATCAGTATTAATATAACTAGTGACTTTGTCAATCTAATAACTATCTCCACAGTAACTTAAAGTCAACAATTGCTTAAAAAAATAAATTAACTATTGACCCGTTAGCTAACGCGGTTATTGCAATTGCTAGGGTTGTTGAAAAAGGTAAAAACTATGTTCAAGTTGAATTAATAACTTCAGGTGGTCATTCATCAATTCCTCTCGATCATACATCAATTAGAATGATATCAGAGTTAGGTTACTTAATTGAACAAAGCCAGCTTGACCCTATTCTTACGTCTATAGTCTAATAGTAAACTATTATCGATGTTTGGCATTTCTAACCTAAATGATAAAAGTCCCAATTTGTTCAAAGGATCAGTTTAAGATCAGGTTATTATGAATTTGCCGGTTCAAAACCAGTATAAAATTGTCTCAAATAGAAATGCAAAACACTTACGAAGTATCAGGCTTTAAAAAATAATTACTGGTGGAATGAATTTGTCAATCTATAAACTCAAGAATTGATATTACCTCAAGTGTTGCATTTGTCAAGACTCATTATACTGAAAAAGTCGAGGAAGTTACAATAAAAATTAATTTAAAAGTATAAGGACTTGATGATATAATGGCTTATAAACCGGAGAGTAGTGAAAACTCAGGTACATTCTACATAAAAGGATTCTCAGAGTTGAAGCCTGATCCTATTACTCAATAAAATCTAATGTTTTCAAACCCATTGCGGGAGTGATCATGCATGTCTTTGAAGATTTAGTCTTCAAAGGTCAGAAAGGTTACATCTGGACTGCAAAAGCGTTTATGACTGGTGGCTTAAGAAGTTATTTGTCAATAATTAATAGGTTTTAATTAACTGATAAATTGCTTATATATTTTTTTGAAGTGATTATACAATATGAAAATAAAACCTGGTGAATGATGTGGTGGAAGTTGCAAAATCAAATAAGATTCCTATCTCAATGATACTTCTTCATTTTTGCTATTTGCCGTCCCAGTTGTGAACTAAAATTTATACAATGCGAGTATAAGTGCTATGATTAAAATACATTTACAACTCCATAACCTTGAAAATTGTAACTTGGAACGATCGTGTCTTTCTAATCTTAATTGATATCTTTCTTTTCTAATGGATTATATCTTAAAAATTTTTCAATTAAATCGACATGAGTTAAAACCATTCTTCTACAACAATATCTTTTCAATTTTAATTTATCTAATGCGTCACCTTCATTTGCATTTTCTTCTTGTAAATATTCTAAATATGCTTCCCATTTGTCACCAACCACTTTACCACATGAAAAACAACGTATTGGAATAATCATTTTGTAAGTGATGATATTGGACTTAGTTGATTGTTAGTTGTACTTTTTTTTCATAATTGATTTTTCTTTCTCTCTTTAATATTTTATATTCAGTCTCATCACAATTTAATTTTTTTTTTAATAGCAGAAGACTTTTGCAACCAACTTTTTAAAAATTAACCATAACATCAACTCAAATGCCATCTTCATCTATAAATGAGTGGTCAATATCCATGTTGACTGGGGGTGTACCGATAAATTTTCCATATTCAAATATTACGGCATCAATATTCTCGAGTGATGGGAGATATTTAATTATCACTTTAACTCATCAAATAAGAATTTATTTTATTTCAACAAAACAATGCATAAAATCAATAGATATAGACTTAGATGATTTAATTGATTTGAAACTAGATACAAACAATCCGAATCAAATAATCTTGTTCAAGCAATTCGGAGAAATTATAACAATAAACTACAAAGATAAATTAATTGATCCAATAATTTCCACCACTACAATCCAATTACAACCTCAACATAACTTTTTATCAGTCGTTTGTGTCAAACATAACTCATTCATAATAGTGACGGGTAAAAAAGATAAAAAAAAAGGATCTAGTCCTCATACAAGATATATATTGTCAATTGATAGAACTTCAGAAGCAACAACCACTATAGGAGAAGTACAAAACGTATTGCTCTACTCCATTTCACTTGATTTCAAAAAAATAGCATTTGTGTTGAATGATCATAAAGTTTTATTATTAGACTTGGAAACGTACTACAATAATGAAGAGTCAAAAGTGGAGGAGTTAATTACGAAAGAACTCATCTCATTCCAATATAGATCACCGATTACTTCAATAGCCGTATCAAATGATTCAATTATTGCATTGGGAACGAATTCAGGTGTTATACAAGTGATATATGGAGGATTAATTATTAATAATGACAAAACTCAAAGAGTATTAAAATGGCATATTGAGCAAATTAATGCGTTACAATTTTCACTGGATAATAATTATTTGATATCTGGTGGTTCTGAAAAGGTTTTAGTGTTCTGGCAATTGGAAACTGAAAAAAAACAATTTTTACCACGATTAAATGGTGTCATTGATAAAATCAATATAGACAATTATAAAAATGATTATATTCAATTATTATTAAGAACTGATGTAAACAATTATGAAGTTTTGGTGCTCAGTATGGTTGATTTAGTTTCAAGATTATCCGTAAATACAATAAGACCAAAATTTTCCAACAATTTAAAAACAACCTTAGTCAAAACTAAAAAAAAAGTTGCAAAAGATGAATCATTCAACAAATTAAAATTAAACTATGATTACAGTTGTAAATTTGAAATTCATTCAAAAACCAAAAATTTATATTTCCCAAACGAATCACAAATTCAATCATTTGATTTAGTCAAGAACGAACAAAGTTTTATTCAAAATGCTGCATCAACTATATCAACAGGTAAAGTACGTTCGGAAACAAATTTAATTGATCCACAAATATCATTATTGAAATTTACATCAGATGGTGAATGGATGTGTACATACGATGAAGTTGCCAACTCCGAAATTGATTCAGTAATATCCACAAATGAAAAGCAATATGCTTTAAAATTTTGGAAATTCTTGGAGAATGATAAAGATAAATCATGGGAAGTGACTACTATAATAATGGATCCTCATGGCAAAAATTCAGTAGTATCCTTGATACCAGCACCAACTTCTTATTTTGGAGGTGTTGCGTTTTTAACAGCTGACAATAAAGGTGGTGTGAGAGTTTGGAGACCAACATTCCCGAAAGAAATCTATAAAACTACAACAAATAAATCACAACAGATATCATGGTCATTAAGAAAATTTAAACCATCATCTAATACGGAAAGTGATGCCATAAGTTTAAGTTGGTCAGATGATTCATCTATAATATTCTTAAGTCATGAATGCTCAATAATTTGTATTGATAGCAAAACATTTGAGGTTATAGATTTTCAAATTCCCGTATTGACGGAATCCAAAATTAGATCAATCCAATACTTAGATAACAAATTAATTGTGTTGTCCAAAACTAGATTTTTTGTCTATGATTTGATCAAAGGAGAATTAACAAACTTGATACTAAAGATTTCAACTACCAGTGGTGCATCAAACTTAATCACCATTGACCCAATAAAATCTTTAATTTGTTTAGCTATCAACTACTACGTAGAAAAAGAAGACAATTTACAAGTATCATCAAAATTATACCTTTTCAAACCAAATCAATTACAACCTATATTTGTTCAAAATCATCCACTGGGTATTGCATCAATTAGATACGACTCAGGTTCTTTTTATCTTGTGGATTTAGAATGTCGAGTTGGTTCCATAAACTCAACCTTATTAAATGTTGAAGAAGTTAGTTCCATCACCAACGATATAAGTCAAATGTTAATAAACGCTCAAGCAAATGTTGATTTATTGAGTTACAGAGAAAATAACACCAAGTCTCAAAATGGCAAAATTGAAGAAATAGAAGATAGTTCAACCACTAAGAAAGTTATTGACTTACATACTTTCCAACCAATTTTCCAAAATTTGAATGGATTAGAAATAGAAAATATCTTCGATCGTATAACAAATATATTAAAATAATATATATAAATAACTACCATTTAAATATAGATTTTTGTTCATCTTCATTAGTCTTCTTTTGAGTTCTTTGTATAGCCAAAACACTTTCAATTTTACTCAATGCATTTTCCAACAAATCTTTACGTTCTTGTAATTCAATATGTTTTTTAACTTTTGAATCTTCTTTTGCAAATTTTTCAATATCCTCTTTTGATAAATTGTTAAAGAATTTCAAATCAAGTTCTCTTGGGAAATTATAATAAAAATCACTTAATAATTCAACATTTAAAAATAAAATTGCAGTCGTTGAAATTTTTGTAGCTACAGCATCCAAAAATATTTCTGGACATTGATATTTATTTTCTTTTGATTTACATTTTTTGGAATTTTTAATAAATTGATATCTCATTTTTAGCAAAGATAATCTATCTTTCAAAAATATTGCATCTTTACCACGTTGTATTAAAGTTGGTGAAAACCCTAGTGTTTCATTACTTGAAAAATCTATATTTTCTTGCTTTTGTTGTTTTAATTTTTCCAAATATGTTACAACCTGTTGTAATTTTCTACCTCCAACTTGATGTTTCAAATCATTATAAACTTCATCACATTGTCTCATTTCTTCTTTCAATAGATTGACTGCATTATCTTTTGAGCTTTGCCATTCTCGATCTTCTAATTCAATTTCATATTTATATGGTTTGATACAATTCTCAACTTGATCTGCAGTTGAATAGTATTTGGTGCTTAATACGCTTTTTGCTGCATCTTTTACAGCTTGTTTTGCCATTGGATGATTTTTGAGTTGAGTGTTATCAACCAAGTTTTCAACCTCGGTCAATAATGCATTCGTTATAAGATTTGTCGATAATCTACCGACTCCTAATTTAGTTAAAGAGCCAGAAGTCAAATCTAGCTTTTTATGCCAGTATAAATCACCATCATGTATAGCTTGTGTCAACTCCTTTAAATTTGGTTCAAGACTTGCAGCATTCAAATCAAATGGCTTATTCCAATATCTTTCTGCTAATAAATCCAATATTTTTTGATCTAATGCATTTTTCAAAATTGATTTTAATTCATTTCTTGAAAAATTATGACTTAAATCTTTTGTACCTAATTTTAACATATCAATATTATTAGCTAAATACATTTCGGGAGTCAATGGTAAATCATTAAATTCAACTTTAAATTGGTATGAGGTTTCTTCTAATTCTTGTTGTATAGCTAAATGAGTTGGTCTTAATGATGCAGCCATTGTTTTTTCCAAAACTTTCATTAATTTCTTTTTCAAATTTTTTGTACCCACGGTAGTACCATAGAACTCTTCTTTATTTTCTTTCAAGTAGTTATGTTCAAAATTTTGTTGAGCTACAAATGCTTGGTAACCAGTTACTTTATGTCTTGAGAATAATCCAGACTCTTTAGCTTGTGGTGCTTTTGTTATGACACCAACGTATCCCAACCTCAAAGGATATTTTCGATTTGTCAAAATTTTTCTTGCTTCTTCTGGTTTCACTAAATCTAATTTAGTTATGACACCAATAGTACGTTCACCTCTTGGATCGGCTACTCTTGAAGCTCTTAATGCTGCAGAATTTGCTAAATCGACATCGGCAGCTGAAATTGCCAATATAATATTTGGTGGTTCCAAATATTTCAAACAAAGATCTCTAATTTTTTTTTTCAATTCAATTGGTTGATCTGCAGCTTCCACTTGAATGTAACCAGGTAAATCAACTAAAGATAAATCTGGAACTTTTGGAGACCTTATAGTTACTTGAATCGGATCATTTGATATACAATCGGTTTCAGGAACAGCCATATTTAAATCATATAAGATTTTTTGCAATTGTGTAAAGTCCGTTAAATTATACATTTTTAATGCAGGTAATTCTGCAACATTTGATGCTGACTCTGGTGTATTAACTAAAGTTAATTCTATTGGTCTTCTTGTAACCATATTTGAACCTTTTGGTAAAAATTCTTGTCCAACAATACTTTCTAATACTGATGATTTACCACTTGATTGTGAACCAATAACAACTATAGAAGGTAATTTTATACCATCGTGATCTATACTTGATAATAAATTTCTTATCTCAATCATTTGTCTTGTAAGATTCAACATATGATCATCTGTGTCATCAGGTATATCTTCATCTTCTTCTTCAATTAATGTCTCCATATCTTCTTCTTCTTCTTCGTCATCATCTACCACCGTATCTTCATCATCATCTGATGTTAAACCCACAGCTGCTGCAGTTGCCCCCAATGCAGTTGTTGCATTATCTCCACTACCACCACCATCGCCACCACTACCACTACCGCTAGCATTTTCACTTCCTTTCATTCCTTTGAAAAATTCACCTGTTCCATCAAATATTCCATCGGTAAAATCTTTAAATGCATTTAGTTTATCTTGAGTATAAGAGCTAGCTTGTTCAACTTTATATGCAACATAAGTTCCACCAGCTGCCATAGTACCTCCAATATATGCTGGTAGTTTTGTTGCTCTTGCTATTATTTTAATAAATCCTATATTTCTAGAGGGTATAATAAGTTGTTGATGATATTGATGTGATGATCTTCTGGGTATGGTTCTTGATAGTAGTAAATGTCTCGTTGGTATGTTTCTATTACATGATATTAGTAGTCGTTTATTCATTAGTGGAATCATGATGGGTTTGTAATGATATGATTATCTTTGTTGTTTTAGGACTAAATTGTATAGATAAAAAAGTTTTGATTTTTCCCCTTACTATTTTTGTTACTGTTTTTATTATGTATGATTTTAACTATGTGAAATTTTTTAAATAGTGGCAAATAAAAAAACCAATATAATTTTATTTCTTTTGTTGATCAAAAGTACCTAAAATACTGTGATGATCGGTTCTTTGTCTATTATTGATAGGTTAAAATTGATTACTTTAAATTTTGAGAATTTCAAAATATAGTGATGGTCAAAATCTGCTTGAAATGGTGTGTAGAATATTTTGTTAGACATTATGTAACTTATTTTATTGCTCTAAAAGAACATTTCATTAAAACACATTGCATTTCGTTGTTGCCTAGCTGCAAAATTGGCCATCAACGTGTTTTTTCAATGGAATTACAAAGTGCTGAAGAGGTACTTCAAAATACTCACTACTCTGATAAAAATTTGAAGTTCGTTTTTGTTTAGACAATTGTACTCATTGAAAATTTAGTTTGCATAAGCGTTACTCCCTTTTATTCCTCAAGAACTTTCTACTAATTACAAGATGAACTCAACCAAGGTACTCACTGGATTGCTTGTCAAGAGGTATAAGAAATTAAATTTACGACTAGTTTTGCCATCCTTTATTCCAGTTTCAAATTGGTATAATACTATTCTTTCTGGAACGGTGTTGTAGACTTCTTTTATCTAAGATTGGCCTAGAGTTTCCCTGATCGACCGTATGGTATTACATTTTGAGGCACTATCCACAAGATTTAAAATGGCATATAAAAATTTTCAAGGCTTCAAAGAGATCAAATTCAAGTGGAAAGACTAATCTAATTTACTTAGTTAAGGGTACGAGCTTACAGCTAAGGCGGTTTACGAAAGGACCTTCATTTTTTAAGTCAATAAGTATTTACCCACACCACTAAATATTTATTCTGAGACAAAGAAAATATTTTAAAAAAATTTGGTTGCGAAAAAATTTGGTCTCAGATTATATTTGTGTAACTAATTTAAATTCTAAATAATTTCAAAAAATCAACCAATGATTAATCCATCAATACATACTCTATAGACATGTATAAAGTGAGGTTAATTAACCTTATAACTTCTCGTTATTAATGACTTGCAAGAACTCATAAAACCACGCAGTCAATTGTAAATGCGCATTAAATGGTAATCTTTCATCAACTGAATGTATTCCAAGTCCAGCAATAAAACTTGAAACAAACATTGGTGAATAACGATAGACGTTCTTGGTTAACCCATAGTAGTATCTGCAATCAGTGTTACCAGTCATAAACGCACTTGCTGTCAAGACGTAACCTTTCTCACCTTTGAAGACTAAATCTTCAAAAACATGTCTGTTCACCCCTGCAATTGCTTTAAAAACTTTTGTATTTATTGGAGTAATAGGAGCAGGTTCTAACTCTGATAATGCTTTAATGTAAAATTCACCTGAGTTTTCACTACTTTCAGGTTCATAAACTACCTTATCATCAAAACCATAAACTTTTAAATTATGTCTTTTTGCAACTTCAACAACTTTTTCAGTATAATGATTTTTAACAAATGAAACACTTGAAGTAATATCAATTCTTGAGTTAATAAGTAATTTTGTATCTTCTGGTAATGCATTAGCTTTTTCTCCACCGTTAATTATATCTAAAGCTTGAGAAGTTTGTATCAAATATCTGTCAAATCTATTTGAAACAATACTTTCTACTAATTTTGAGTTGGCAAATTTGTCATAACCTGATCTTAAGATGATCTTTTTGAAGTAATTTGGAATTTTATCTTTTGGATCATGAACTGCTAAACATTGAAAATAATCAAATATTGGACTTTTAGATGTGAGAATAGGATCAAATTGATTTTGTTCAATTAAGTAACCTAACTCTGAAATTATTCCAATTGATGTATGATCAGGAGGAATTGATGAATGACCACCTGGAGTTGTTAATTCAACTTGAACATCAATATAACCTTTTTCAGCTACACCGGGAGCAGCAACAATTGTGTCAGTTAATTGTTCATCAGATACACCACTTCCTTCATCAATAATTAATTCTAAACCTTCTAAACCCCATTGGGATTCAAGAACTTTACTGATTTCTTGAGCTCCGTGTACACCTGATGATTCTTCATCAAACCCAAACGCAGCTATAATAGTTCTATCTGGTTTGTAATCTTCAGAAAGTAATAATTCTAAGGTTTCAAGGATTCCAATTAAAACATTCTTACAATCAACTGATCCCCTTCCATAAATGTACTCGCCATCAAATTTCCCCTCAAATGGTGGGTATGTCCATTTTTCAAGGGTGGATTTTTGAACAGGAACTGTATCTTGATGAGCTGCGAGCATGACTGGTTTTAATTTTTTATTTGATCCTTTCCAAGTGAAAATTAAACCATAAGTATTTACTTTCTCAATATCCAAATTTGAATATACCAAGGGAAAAGTTTTTTCAAGGTATTTATGAAATTTAACAAATTTTTCCCAATATTTTGGATCTTTACCAACATCAGGTGGATGATCAAAAATTTGGGTATCAACTTGTATAGCACCACTTAATCTTTCAACTGATTCTTTTTTGTATTTCTCATCATTCAAGATCATTAATACAGTTGAATTATCTTTGTAAAATGATTTTGGAGCAATTTTTGGTTGTAATGGACATATTTTTGATTGATCTGGAATTGAAGTTATTGCAATTTTAAAATAATTGAATAAATTTGTTGAAAAAAAAATAATTAAAGCTGAAACTAAAAGTGCAACACCACCAATTATCCATTTTCTTTTTCTGGAATTGATATCATGACCATCTAATGGAAGTCCAATCATCTTGAATTGAGAATTGAGCGTTGAAATTAATGAAAAGGAGTTGGTGAAATTAAAATTCTTAAATTATTGAAATTATTCAATCCTTTTTTTAGCAGTGAAAATAAAATCTCAAATAGGCAATTAGCGTCAAAATCTTAATCTTTATTCCGCAATAATTCCGCACTCAATTAAGTTTCAAATTCCGTTTTCGTTTTTTTTTTTACGCACATTAATACGAGAAAGTTTACCACCATACCTAAACCCTGTGAATGAATTTTTTTTAAGTTATTACATTGATTACCTTTAAAACCTCTGAAACACTATAAAGGAGAATACAAGTACTGGAGTTTTTAGCATTGCATAGTTTTAAAATTCATGGACAGGCAAGTTTTATCCAAAGTGTTCTCTAAACTTTTCTCAACAATTAGAATTTTGCATCGTTTTGACACCAAATTGGTTATAAAATGAATGATTGTACGAAAAAGATGAAAAAGAGTCAAAATGTATGAAGCAACATTTTTTGACCTCACAAATGATTTTATAGCTACCAAGGAAAAAATTAGCCCTTAATAAGGCTTTTCATGTCCGTGCTCAGTAAAGTTGACGAGTGGTCTTAATTGATGAGATTTCGAAATCGTCACCAAGACAACAAGAATAGATCATAGACTAATGAAACAAAATTTAGGTTCATAATCTGATCTGAGACAGAGAATAGGTAATTAGAAGGATTTAGTTTTTGCAAAACATCAAAAGGCACGAGGCACAGATCATTGATTTTCGTCTAAATTGACACAAATTGTTGAAATTTGCACATTTTTGCCATGTTAATTCTCTGATGAAACAGACAATTTCATTTGACATTAGACAATTCTAATCTCAAACGAGATGGCCTATGCGAATGAGTTGGAGTTCAGTTGCTATTCCTTTCTCCAATTGATATTTGATAACATGTGTAATAGAGAAACAGATTGGAACGGCTCCAAAATAAAGGCAGTAAAATGTTAAGTTTTTGATGCAAATTATTTTGTGTTCAAAAATATTCGTGTAAAATTATAAACATACTATATAAATCAGCTTATAATGGTCTTTCTGCTTTTATAACATAACCAATAGCTGGGTAAACACTTAAAGTAAATTATTTCAAACTATACCTCATTTCAAAGACAAGAAAATGGTATCTCTTGAAAGGAGTATACCAAGAACTTCGAGACTTTGAAAATAAGCAGAATTATTCTATTATGTAAATCAAAATCAGCAATGATAAGTACTGAGCTATATATAAACTGTAATAAAAAGTATTTCTTGTTTAATACTTCAAATAAATTAATGAGATAATGAAGTCTCAGTTTTAAAAATTTAAAGTTTCGTGTTTTTTTTCTGTACAGTTTTAAATTTACCACAAATATCATTGAAACATCCAAACTTACATACATTAAACAAGGAAAAGTGTTCACACGAGAAAAAAAAATAAAAAATTATAAAACACGATTTAAAAAAATAATTAAATTCAAAACAAACAAACAGACTAAAAAAAAAATATTGAAAATATGTAAACAATTAAAATTTGAAACAATAACTAAAATATGTCAAATTCTTAATTTATTATACATATTTACGCTAGTAAAATTTAATATATTTACTAGCTAACATTATCTCATATTACATACTTATTGTATTCTAAATTATTATATACACAATTTTATATATTTGATTTACAATTTTAAGTAAGGGGGCTTTATTTTTTACTGTAACAACAAACAACATTAATTTACTACACGTAAATTTTATATTTAATTTCAAGTTCTAAATCTAAATTTACGTCTAATGTTAGTAATTTATGATTTCTAAATTGTTTAAAGATTTTTTTATAAAAACCATCATGATTTCCTAAAGGGTGTAAAAAACTTGTTTTTTTTATGAATTTTATATTCAATTTCATTTTTAGAATTATCAATTTTTTGAAACAAATTTCAAGTTTGAAGGTTTAATCCATAAAATATATATCTTTACCAACTATATTTCATTCATTTACTATATATATATATTTTTAATTAGAAGATAATTATTATTTTAAGGATTAACTGTTAGTATAGAATTTAAAAATTGATAAAAGAAGAGTAACTACAATTATAAATGCAATTAAATTCATTAATTTTATTCTCATTAGCTACTTCAGTAGTTAATGCAGCTCCTTTTAATTTTTTTAAAAGGTATGAAAATACTACTTTACCATCATCATCTGCTTTTTCATCAATTGCTGGTGTTGAATTAAGTTCATCAAGTGATTATGGTTATTCAGCAAGTATTTATCCAACTTCAGGTTCAAGTTCATCAGAGGAAGATATTTGGATTACTTCAACTGTTATTCAATATGTTACTTTAACTCAAGATACAACTACTCAAACTTCAGCTACAAATACTTTAACTACTACTTATCAATCTCATGTTGTTTCTAGTGATGCTAGTGAATCATCAGATGTTGATATTACTTCAACTGTTATTGAATATGTTACATTAACTTCAAATGGTCAAACTTTAACTTCAGCTACAAATACTGCTACTACAGTAATTCATCAAGCTGACGCAATTGAAAGTGATGATAGTGGTGAACATGAAACTACTACTTCAACTATTACCTCAATTGTTACAATTACAAATGCTCAAGGTTCTACTGAATTATCTACAGAAGTTGAAACTACTAAAGTTGAAGAAACTGCCCAACAAACAGTTGCTGCTGAATCATCTAATGCTGCTTTAACAACTACTGAAGGTGCTTGTGTTCCATCAACAGTTACAGTTACAGTCACTGAAACTCCAAAACCAACTGATATTACATCAACTTTAGAACAAGATATCACTACAACAATTTCAACTTCAATTTATGTTACTTCCTATCCAATTGAAGCATCATTTACAAATGATGATACTACAACTACTTTAACTTCTTTCATTGATGTTACTCAAACTCAATTATATACTTTTACTTCAACTTTATCCCATCATAATTCATCATATTATGTTGCTCCAACTTATGGCGCTTCTTCATATGGTAATTATACTGTTGAACCAACTGGTTATTACAAATTATAAGTCAGTCACAAGTACAAATTATATTAAATACCTGAATCTTCAGTGTAGAAAGTATAATTCTTTTACATAAAGTTTGTTAGTTTTAATTTTTTTCAGGAGTTTTTTAATTTACAAGGGAGTTTAAAAATCTATTATTTGTTATTGTCAAAATTAGTACGTTGCTATCTATCTATCTATCGTTGTTATCATCAAAAAAGACAATACATTTTTTAACTTATTTATATTATAATTATAAATACAATTTTTTCATATAGAATACTCATACCCAATTTTTTTTATATCTTAGCTGCTTGTTTTATTGTTTTTAGTTCTCTCATTTTTTATATTTTTATTCAAATAGATACAGTTTATTATTACTATTTCTACTATTGATTCTAGCTCATTTTAGAATCAAAACTACTTCTGGTTATTGTAGTCCTTGTCTTTATCTTTTGTAAATACAATTTCGCGTATACCTTAAACAAAATTAAATACAAAGTAAATAAAATTAAAATTTGTTACCGAGTTATTTTGTGTAATAAAAAGATTTTGTTAATTAAAATTTGATTATCACCAAATACATTAAGTATTTTTAACAACCAATTTGATTTGAATTTTACAAACCAACAGATTTTGAACAATCAAGACCAAATCCCACCACCTCCACCTCAAATGTCAACATATTCATCACCCTATAAGGCATCAAATCTACCTATATATATTGATGATTCTTTATCCCCAGTAAAATTACCCACGACAAATAAAAAAAATCCACAAGTTAATCATAATTATACGCCCGTAAAAGAAATAACAAATTTAAATCATAATGATCAATTAAATTTTCAATCTTTAAGACCACCACATACTGAAAATATAACCAAAACGAATTATTTAAATATAAATTCAGCAACTAAAAAATCAATAAAACGTAATAGATCATCAATTTCAGATACAACTATAAATAAACCATCAAGATATTCATTAACTTCTCCATTACGTAAAAAAAGATTAACTTCAAATTTAAGTAGTATTAAAAAATCAGTTTTAGAATTAGATTTAACTATAAATAAATTAAATAATGATAGAGATAAAAGATTACAAAATTTTGATAGATCAAGTTTTAGTGAAATTGAAAATGATTTAAGTAGTCCAATAAAAAGAAATAGACCTGAAAATAAAGAAAATAATCATGAAAATGATAATGGTCAAGACGAACTGCAAGAAGAAGAGCAAGAGGAAGATGTTATAGTCATAAGTGGTAGAAGACTAAGTGGAGGATCAGATTTTATTGAACACCAAGATGATGATGTACAAGAAATTGCACACCAAGAAGAAGAAGTTGAAATTGGGAGAAGAGTAGATACAGCAAATTCAAGTACAAGTTGGAGAAAACAAAGTCCAATAAATCCACAACTAAGTAGTGATTTCGAAATTGATAATGAATTTATAAAAGATCCAAGTCAAACTTTGACTCATTCACAATTTACAAAATTAATAAATGAACTGAGACAAGAAAGACAAAACGCTACTCCAACTAATAAAATAACTGAACCTGAACCAATAAATCTTAAATTAAATCATACCAAGATAAAATCACCAGAACCAACTAATACAGAATCAAATTATGAATTAAGTCCACTTAGACATGACATTGATATTATAAATGATTTTGAAAGTAATGAAGAAGAAGAAAAAGAACAAGAATTAAATGAATATGAGGATGAACCAACTGAAAACTTTTTAAGTCCTACCAATTCAAAACCAATTTTTTCAATGAATCATATAGATAAATTAGAAAAAGAGCATGAACAAAAATTAAATCAATTATATTTAGAATTAAATGAAAAAAATCAAGAAATTCAAAATTTACAAGAACAAGTTAATAAACAAAATGATGAAGAGAAAAGATTAGTTCATAGTAATGAACTAATTAATATAACTATAAATACAATGGAAAAAGAAATTGCTTCATTAAATAAACAAAATAAAATATTGGAAAGTTCAAATTTTAGTTTTAAAAGAAAATTAAATGACTATAAAATTTCAATAATTGAGTTAGAAACTGAGGCAAGGAGTTATGATGACGTGAAAAATAAGTATGAAGAATTCAAGAGTTTATATCAAGATGCCAAAGAGGAAAACGATGAATTAAAGAATCAGCTCAGATTACTTGAGTTAGCCAAAGCTGAACTAGCTACAAAAAACCAAAATTTGAATGGCCAAATAAATAACATACAAAAGGAAAATAAAGAAACAGTAGAAAAATATGAAAAAAAATGTTCAAATTGGGAAATGAGATTTAGAAAATCAGATATTGCAAATGGTGATCTTCAATCATTTCTTGATGACGCTTTAGAAGAAAATAAAAAATTCAAAGAACAAAGTAAAGAACATGAAAAATTAATAGCAGAATTAGACAAATTAATTCAAGCTTCCAATCAAGAAAATGAAACTCAAGTTAAAGAATTAGAAGCAAAATATGAAATTCAAGTTACTGATTTAAAATCATCATTAAGCGAAATTGAAAAGGAAAATCTTAATTTGAAATTAAATTTAAATGCAAGTAAACAAGAAATATCACAAATCAATAAATCGAATGAAGGTGAAATAAAAAAATTGAAAGAAGAAAATAAAAGTGCATTTAAAGAGTTAGAACAGTTACAAATATCATATAAAGAAGATATTTTAGAAAAGAAACAAGAATTAATTACAATATCATTATCCTATGAAAAATTAGAAAAAGAACTCAAATCAAAAACTAACGAAATTAACAGCTCAAATACTCAAATACAATCTCAAGATCAAAAAATCTCAAATTTAAACTCACAAATCCAAGAATTAACTACACAATCACAACAAGATCAATCGACAATTTCAGAATCAACCCAACAACTACAAACATATGAAACAAAATTTACAGAATTAATAACAGCAATAGAAAAACAAACTTTAGAAAAACAACAATTAGAAAAACAAGTCTCTAATTTAACTAATAAAATTCAAGAAGTAACAGAAGAAAAAACAATAGAAATTGATAATCTTGTTAAATATTTACATCAAGAATATAGTTCAAAACATTCAAATAAAATGAATGAAATAAAATTACATTATGAACAAGAATTAAATAAAAAAAATCAAGAATTAAAATCCCTAAATAGAGATTATGAATTTTTATCCAAGAATCTTGAAAATGTCAAATTTGAATATAATCAATTACTTCAGTCAAAAAGTGAATAAATATTAAGCTATCATTTTTTTTTTTTTTTTTCATTTCATATCGCTTGGTCTTTCAATCCGACTGGACCATCTGAAATAACATGACAATCACTCCATCAAATTCTTCGATAAGACGTCATGATGACAGGTCAAAAATATCATTGTTGATCAGTGACGACACTAAGAAATTGTGGATATTAAAAATCCTACTAAATAGATCAAATTTTAAATTTATGAATGTATTAATATACGTCTAATTTTTGCAACCAAATTTCTCATATCCTATAAATTTCCTTCTCTTTCATAAAATTCGCACATAACTTTTCTTGTTTAAACAACATCAATATAAGTCTTTTTTTTAGAAGTAACTTGAACAGAAGGCATCATTTCACTACATTCATTTGAACCTAACCACATTGTAATTTTTCTAATTCCAAATTCATAAAATCCAAATTCATCATTTAAATTAACATTTTGTAATTCCAAAGATTGATCATTATATAATATTAATTTCCAGTTTTTAAAATAAGAATCCCATTCTAAATTTAATTTCCAAATTTCTTTTTTTGTAGTGTATCGTTGATACTCTGAAAAGGAAGAATGACATGGATCACTAGTTAATTGTCTTCCATCATCTTTTATTGACGTTAAGATAATTTTATAATGACCTATTTCATTTTGTCGTGGTGCTTTAATTGAATCAAATTGGAAATGTCCATGATGCCATATAAGTTTAGCTTTGGGGCAAGTATGATTTACTGGATTTGAATAAACTAGATATTGTGAAGTTTCATATGACATTGTCTTTAGGTTGAATGAATAAGATATACCTGGTTGAGTTGGTTCGTATAGAATTTCATCTATTGGGTTGAAGAATTTAGGACCAGTGATTACTGAGCGGGATTGGGTTTGCCAGAGACCGTGGATATTTGGGTATTGTATTGGTGGGTTTCTTGAAATTGAAGTGGTTGCAAAAAATATTATTGTTAGTGCAATGTTTATAATTATTGAAGTGATCATGTTGGTTGAAGAGATAATGGTTAGAGAGAGTTGCAATAGTTTACTGAAAATACACTGTAGATCTTGTTTTCTACTATAATTTGTGAAGTAATTGGTAATCTTTGGTCAAAAGGAAAGTACAAGAGATCCACTTAAAAAATACGAAATTTTTTTATTTACTTTATATACTTAATTTATAGATATATAAATAGCCAACGAATGTAAAATGAATAATTTTATCTTTATTATCCCCCAAGAGATTATGCAACTTTTAATGTTTTAAAATTCACAATTAATATTATATTTTAATTTATTATTAGCATCCCAAACACCCCAATGTTTTTCAACATCAGAAATTCCTGAAGTATCAGGTTTCCAAGCTTCATCAATAGCTTCAAAAACAGCAACATTAACACCCCAAGCTCTCATTGCACATATACCTTGTTGCCAAAAATTTTTAGCATTTTCAACACCTGGTTGAGAACTTTCAAAATTTGAACCATCTGATGGCCAACCAGTTTCACCAACCCAAAATTCAATATCAGTTGAACCTTTAACTGTTTGAATTGTTTGTAAAGCTTGCATAATATCATCAAAGAATGAATATGAAGCATTTTGATTAGTTTGTCCTTGCCAATATGAAAAAGCATTTGCATAAACAAAATCAGCAGTTTTAATTGCTGGTTCAGAAGCACCATCAACTAAAACATTCCAGGAATCAACAGTACCAACTGGAACATTACCATAAGAATTACCATCTTTATCTTTGATATCTTTAACAAATGATTTAATATCATTAATTTTATCAGATAATTGTTGGGCAGTTAAATCTTCTCTATACAAAGCTTCAGAACCAACTAAAAATACTTTAATTGTTGATGAAGAAATTTTTGGTAAATATTGTTGTAAAGCATCTTTTTCAGCTTGAAAATGAGCATCATCATTTGACCAAATTCCCAACATAATTTTGAAGTTTTCAGCTTCAGCAGCTGGACCTAAGTTTTGTAATGTATTACAATCTGATACAGCATAAGTTTTGATGATTGAAGTTGTTGATTTTAATAATTCTAAATCTGATTCAAATTCAGATACTGATTTACAATTACCAGCATTATCTTTAACACCTAAATTAAATGCAAGCTAATAAAATTTGTTAGTAAAATATTTGGAATTTATAATATATTATCTTTAAGTATTTTAAAAACATACATCACCAATAGCATTGGCAGTAGCGAGTGCAACAGCAATAGCTGTTAAGAATTTGAATTGCATATTTTATGTTTTTGTTGTTGAATTAATGAAATATAAAATAAACGAATGTGATAAATTAAAATTGATTATAATGAATGATATATAACCTTTATAATATATATATTAAATTGACTTTTGAAGTGGTAAAATGGGTATCTAATATTAAATATGAAATCTATTCACTTAAAGAAAGAAGTAAAATAATAAATATTTTTGGTTGTCAAAGTTTTTATTTTTTTTTTTATTTGTTGTGAAAATCTGAAGATTTTTTTATTTTATTTATTATTTTTACTACTAGAGGTTTTTGTGTAATATTACTTAATAACTATTTATAGTTGAAGTAAACAAAAATTACCAATGCTACCAATTTTTGTTCAAATTATAAACAAATTAAGAACAATATCACTCAATTAAGTAATTTTTTTGTTTGTTTGATTGGGGCTAAGTCGGTCGGTTCATTAAAAACAGTAATTTCTTATATAAAAACTTTGAGAGTGAATCAACAATTATTGAGTTTAGTTTTTCCATCTATAGTCTATTCATATTATATTTACAATGATGCTAATCCAATCTATACTTTGATAATAAAGTGGATAACTTTTGTAAAATAATAAAAGGGGTCTTTACAAAATTATAATAATAAATTGAAATATTATATTCTCTAGATTTATATTTGTTCTAGATTCATTTTTAAAAATTTATGTACAAGATCCTTTTTTTTGTAACAAATTACACTACATTTTTTTCTTCTAATTCTATTCCAGCTTACGATATACTGTTATCATGTCGTTATAGAATGTCATAACTTATTATATTACATAGTCTATATGAATTGTCGTTGATTATTTTATCATCTAACTGTATAAAACGATGCAGTTGTTTTCAGATACGACAACCAGATTGACTCAATTCTAACATCAAGCAGTAAAATCACCTTATTATGTCTGATCTGAAAAATTCCACTAAGAGATTGTTAGTTATGTTTTTGAAATACATGATTTAGAAAAATTGGGATTCAATAGACGGACTTGAGCAATAGCTTCTCAAACAAATCCATTTATAAAAAATCTCTGCAGGGCTCAAATTTTGAATGAATAGAATGCCATATATTTAATAAAATGTTTCTTGAAAGTCAGACATTTACTTTTAGCACAAGTTCTCTGGGTAAAATCTTCTTCTTCTTGATATTTTCCATACTTTGAAACTGGAAGTAGAATGTTAAGTTATTTGCAAAGTGTTAGAGTTCATTTCTTTACTTGAGTGGTGAAAACATTGACTAAACTTAACATAAGATTTTGATGCGTCAACTCAAAAGCTAGATTTGAGTGCAAAAGTAAATTTTCAAAAGTACAACATTAAATACTTGAATCTATTTCGTAAGAAATTAGTAGCCAACGATAGTGCTGCTAGGAATCATCTAGCTATTTCTTTAGCTATAATACTATGGCTATTGCTCGTCTTTACCAGCAAGTCATTGTATTGGACATAATAATGCTGCAAATTAATATATGGCTCGGGTGGTTACGACATGTTTCAGAATTCGTACAAAATTGCCGATACGGTATCGACAGGAATATTGGCACAAAAAATAACACTAGTCAACTTGAATACCGTCCAAGTTAAAAGTCGGTTCTCTGGCCAACTAGATAATTCTATTGTGATTATCAATAAGTATCATCTATTTTCAAAAAGTTTAATCCTGAATGATTAATTTTGGTTTACTGATTTATTTAGAGTGATTTTGAAGAACATTGATTCAATAATGGTGATTGAGCTCATTTTCAAAATAGAATTATCAGTTAGTCATTGACGAATTGGACCTTAAATCAAATAGTACTTACTTTTGTGTTTGTAACTCATGTCTTCATAACATAGCATAAACTTGGTTATACTGTTAGATGCAGTGCTAAAATCAAAACCAACTGATAAAGTCTTACGTTGAGCTAGAATTTTTTATTGATTTTGAGAGGTAGCTTGTGCTCGGGTGACAAATGGAAGAAAAGGAGTAACAATCTTTGCGTTCGTGGCCCACGAATTGATTGCTTGTATTGTTGATCAAAGTTTTTCACTATTTGACAATTCAATAGCACTAAAGAGATCGATTAAACGATTCAAAGCTGGGTTTTTTAAACATTTATCGGGGTCAGGTTATTGTTTTTTGGAGAAGTCTATACTCATTGCTATTTACAAGTTCTTGATTTATTGTCTAGTGCATCGCAGTATAGTTGATTATCTCACTAAATGTGTTTGAGCAAATTTAAAGAATAGAGTAAATTTGGAATTTAATTTTGAATTTAAGATATGAATTTGAGATCTGAACTTACATACTTTATAATCTCATTTAAAGAGATAATTTTTCAATTTATGTTAATTAAAGTAAACGAGAAAAATTAAATTTGTGATATTATTTGAAACACAACGGAATTACTTTGCAAAAAGTTCGGTTTTTAAAGTAAATCTTACTAATCATTTGTTGATTACAAAATAATCTCCACATGTAACAATATTTTAATTGACATGCTGTTCCTTGAGTTCCTTCATCCAGAGTTGAAGTTAAAGTTTGAGGCATAACACTATTGCTTACTAATTTATAAAAGTTAATATAAATATGTATCAATTCAACTACCTTGAGTCATTAAAAATTTCTTCCTATATCCAATTACGCAACAACCAACCAAATTTCACTCAATAGATTTTTATTATGTCAACTCAATCTGAAACTGTCTTTGTTACTGGTGCTAACGGTTTTATTGCTCAACATATCGTCAAACAATTAATTGAAAAAGGCTATAAAGTAATTGGATCAGTTAGATCAAAAGACAAAGGAGAAAATTTAAAATCCTTAATTGCCGAAGCAGGTTTAGTTTCCAATTTATTTCATTATGTTATAATCACTGATCTTATAGATAAACAACAATTTGACATAGTATTTTCTCAACATCCAGAAATTTCAATTGTTTTACATACTGCATCACCAGTTGATTTTAATGCAAAAGATGCTATTAAAGATATTATTGAACCAGCGGTTTTAGGAACTAAACATATTTTACAATCAGCTAAACAACATCCAAATATTAAAAATTTTGTTATTACTTCATCAATAGCTGCAGCAATTGATATTTCAGGAAGTATAAAACCAAACGGTACTATAACTGAAGAATCATGGAGTGGATTGGAAATTAAGGATTTAAAGGGCCCAGAAGATGCGTTTGTAGCTTATAGAATAAGTAAAACTTATGCAGGTCAAGAAGTTGTAAGATTTTAAAAGGAAGAACATCCAAATTTTACAATATCTTCAATTTTACCATCATACGTATTTGGTCCACAAGCTTTTGAAGTAAAAAATAAATCCCAATTAAATTTTTCTGCTGAATTAGTCAATAAAGTTTTAAAATTAAAATCAAATCAAGAAATCCCATCATTTGTTGGAATTTTCATTGATGTTAGAGATGTAGCTCATGCTCATATTAGAGCTTTCGAAGAAGCTCAGCGAACAAATGGTAAAAGATTAGGATTAGATGCTGGGGAAGTTACTAATGAATTGATTGCTAGTATTATTAATAAAAATTTCCCACAAGTTAATATTCCAAAGGGTTCAATTGAAAAATCAAACAAACAAATACAATCTAGAGGTTATGATTTCGATTATTCTGAATCTAAGAAAATTTTGGGATTTGATTATATTTCATTGGATAAATCAATTGTTGATTCTGTTCAACAAATTCTTGATGCTAAATAATTAGATCTTTGTACAGATAAATAATATATTTCAATTGTTCTTATATATGTCTTAAAATTGTAGTTAGGAAGTTCCAAACTTTTTTAAACTCTTGACCAAGGTGTGTTCATAATGTTAAAAGTGGGTCCCTGATCGAGAGATTCGTAATTCATTAATACTTAATGATTATATATTTACATTAATTCTATAAATAAATTACCTTCAAGATCTTTGAAAAATAGTTGGTTTTATACCATCAGAACCTAATCTAGGACTTTCACCAACATTATGGTTTCTTTTTTTCAAAACATTTTCAATGAATGCTTCACCAGCTTTGTAAGAAGATCTGACTAATGGACCACTAGCAACGTACAAGAACCCCATATCTAATGCGTATTCTTTCCAATAATTGAATTTTTCAGGTGAGATATATTCAACAACTTTCATATGTCTCTTTGTTGGTCTCATATATTGACCAAATGTTACTACGTCACATCCAATTGATCGTAAATCTTTTAAGGTTGATATGACTTGTTCATCAGTTTCTCCAAATCCTAACATTAATGAAGTTTTTGTAATTAATGAAGGTTTTGTTTGTTTAGCAGTTTCTAAAACCGACAATGATTGTTTATAAGTAGCTCTTCTATCTCTTATATGTGGTGTTAAATCTTCAACTGTTTCCATATTATGAGCATATACATCTAATCCTGAATTTGCTAAAATTTTAACCATTTCTAAATCACCTCTAAAATCACCACCTAATACTTCAACTAATATTTGAGGAGCTTTTAATTTAATTTTTTCAACTGTTTCTCTAAGATGATTTGCACCACCGTCAATCAAATCATCTCTATCAACAGTAGTTAATACAACATACCCTAATCCCCATCTACTTATTGCTTCAGCTGTATTTTCAGGCTCCATTGGATCAGGTTTTGAAGGAGCTCTATTTGTTTTCACAGAACAAAATCTACAACCTCTTGTACATGTATCACCCAAAAGCATAATTGTAGCAGTTGCTTCTGATTTTTTACCACCCCAACATTCACCAATATTTGGACATTTTGCTTCTTCACATACAGTTGATAATTTTAATTCTCGAACGTCCTTTTTAACATTATGATATGATTTACCCTTTGGAATTGGAACTTTTAACCATGAAGGTAATTTTGCATTAGGATCTTTTCTTGCAAGCTCTAAAGGATCTTCTAGCATATCTTTTGCTTTACCACTTACAAAATCATCAAATGATGGTCCTTTGTTCAATTCGTCTGTGAAAAATGTACGTTTTCTTTTTGGTTTTATGGTTGTGGTGGTGGATACTGATATACTTGTTGATTCTGAAGTTGTTCTTGAATTTAATATTGATTGTGTGGCATCAGTAGCTAGACATTTTGTTTGATATCTTAGTAATGAAGATTTTAGTATGGGAAGATTTTTTGAAAACATTATGAAAAATAAATAGGTATAATCTATGCTAATGAATATATGAAATAAAGGGATGAATACGCGTTAATGCAAATGGCTTGTGGTCTTGTTGTCTTTTTAACAGTTGGTCTCGGGTTGATGTGAATCTTTTAAAAATTGTTTTAGATTTAAGCTCTGTTTATAAAAAAAAAATATGGAACATCAAGTGGTATCTTATATGCAGACATAAAACTAAGAAGTCAAATTTTAATTAAGATTTGACTTCAAATTGTTAGAAAGATTAATATCAGATATAAACAGTTGGTACGATTTAAATTCTACAGTATATATGTGTATTAATTATGTGTATTTAGAAATTATCATATAAGGTATTTACATAGTACAACAGTTTTAATATAATGCAAGATTTTAGGATATGAATGCAATTAATGCTAACGTCTATGAAATAAAACGTCAAATTATCCACTTCTTCCTCAAAGTAAACGATGAATTGTATCATCTTTAAATTGATCTAAACTATCCAAATTATTCCACCATTTAAATAAGAAAGTTTGACAAATTAATTTAAACCAAGGTGTGAATACTAAAGAATCATCTTTAAACATTTCTTTTAATTCTGATTCAGTTACATATTTAAAATCTTTAACTTCATTATAATTTGCATCTATTTTAATATCATTTTTAGTTCTTAATATTAATATATAATCAATTTCATGTTCTCCCCATTTACTTGATTCATCACCACTTGCTGATTTATAATGAATTCTTGTTAAATATGTGAAATTTTCAATTGGTACATCTTTTAATTGTATACCTAATTCATGATCTAATTTTCTTTGAGCTGCTATTTTAGCACCTTCTATTGCATTTGATAAATCATTTACATTTGAATTATTTACAGTTATACCTAATTCACTTGGTACACATAATGGATGAGAACAACAAGTATTTGTCCACATTGCAGGAAATGTAATTTTTTCATCAGCTCTTTGTTGTAATAATAATTCATTTTTTTCATTAAATAAAAATACTGAAAATGCTCTATGTAATAAACCTTTATTTATATTTTCCATTATATGACATAATTTTTTTGTACCTGCTCCTAAAGGTTTATCATCATAATTCAATATAATACATAATTCTTCCATTAATCTAATTTGTTCTTCATCATGACCATTAAATAATTCTTGATCTTGTTGTGAATTTGATGAAGTCGAATCAGAACCTGCTGATCTTGGAATTCCTGATATTTTTTTTAAGGGAGTTATTTCTGTCCATTTAGTTAAAATCTCTTCTGATGAAAGACTTGATACTAATTTAGCATAATCTGATTGTGATGACATTTTTGGTAAGTTATGAATATATATCTATTATGATGGTATGAATAAATGAGTGTAAATATTTGAGATTGAATAATTAACAATTGATTGGATTGAAAGTACTTTAGTAATGATCCTATTTCTAAAAGAAAAGTCTTTCAAGCATTCAGTGGATTTTATTGAAGGAACTAATGAATGAAAATCAAATCAAAATTAGTTGTTGCAACAACTTTTAGTTAAATTTTTTTTTTTTTTGTTATTGTTAAATAATTTGGACCTAAATAAAAAATAAATTTTTTTTGTATGAATAAAAAGAGAGAGAGAAATAAAAAAAATTAAACGATGTGAAGATTAACATTAATAATTAAGAGAATTATAATTATTTATTATATTATGCAATACATTTTATAGTTGATAATTGTTAGGAGATGTTGCATTAACAATAGTTTTACTTTCATTTTTAACTAGAATAGAATAGACCCAAAAATTGACCTGAATGTTGCACTACAAACATATCTCTTCGACCCAAATCTAATTTTATAGTACAGTCTAGGTCTATTTGGTAGCATACTTTATTTAGATTTTGTTATATACAGTATTATTGATTTATAAATTATTTTTTTTTTTTTTTTCAAATTTTTCAACAAATTTATTCCACGTAGTTTAATTTTTAATATTCTAATTCTAAGATATATAAAATAAGATTACTATTATTAGATTGAATTAACTTTTATAAACCTATTTTTTTTTTTTTTTTT